TTGATGATGATGATGAAAATGATGATGATATGGACCATCCATCCGATTAAATAAACAATTTATAAATGTAATATTATTTATTCAGACAAAATATATTTCATATTAATATTAATAATATTTTATTTTGTGCCCAATAAAAATAAATAAATAAAATTATTTCCATTCTATCCTTCCAAATTTGAACTTTCAAACTTCATAATTCAAAATTCAAAAGTTTGTCAAGAACTTGAATCAGGAGGACAATAGTCCTCTGATCGTCGAAAGATACATGTGAATATTTGAAATATTTACTTCTTAAATTTGAAGAAAATGATTGTTTGAGGAGTTGGTATGATGTGAGAGTCAATGTAGCCTCATCAAACTTGGCTTGAGTACCAAAGTGATAAACTCCTTTACCAAGGATAAAGGTGGAGTAGGAGCTACATCTAAAGAACATAGATAGTAACTTATGGCATGTCAGACCCAGACAGAGTTTATCCAAATCCTCTGAAAGCATTTGAAATATTAATTGAATAATAATAAACGGAAGGTTCTCCATATTTAGATAGAAATAATATAATATAATACTTATTGTTAATGATAACCATTATGTTCAATTTACATACAATTTATACTCTTTCTCTTCCTAACATGCTCACTCAATCACTACCTTCCAGTCTGTAAAATGATTGACTCCAAAACAGACACTGAAAAAGGGGGCAATCACTGAATTTTGCATGGTTTTGATCACTTCTTTGTCCATTAGTGAATAAATTGATTGACCGACTGCCATCTTAGGGTGCAGATATAGATAGAGATAATAATAATTATCAAAGACGATAATGAAGTCTGGTGATGTCGTCATCATTAGCATCGCTACAATATTAACACTGTTGCTGTTGAAATGCAATGCTCTCCAATGTATGTCATAGTGATACGCGAATCATTACATCATCATCATCATCATTATCCACTTACACTTTAGCAGTGACACATCAACATGGGCAACAGCAACAGGTGTTAATATATGTATCACCAGCTGGTAATGACACCACTGGTGATGGCTCAATGGACAGTCCCTATCAAACACTTGACAGGGCAATGGGTGTCATGAGTGATGATAATAGTACGTTGACATCTGCTTGGTCTGTCATCCTTGCCAATGGCAACTATACAAGTGTCAATGATCACCTCATCAAACAATCAGACTCTCTTGAGCTTGTACCATGGCCATCTGTAAACTTTACATCTGATAGGGTGTCTATCGATCATATTGTATTGAATACATGCGGTAGTCAACTTGCCATGCGAGATGTTCATGTCGGACGACTATCACATACCAATATACAATGTACACAATCATCAGAAGTGATACTTGATAGAGTGACTGTTGGCTCATTATTAGAAAAGTCATCACAAGCCAACTACACCTTGAATATAGATAACAGCACAGTTATATCATCATCCATGTATCTTATCAATGCAAGGATCAACATGATCAACTCAACAATCAACGATACATTAATGTTCAATGTCAACAGTATAATCAACCTTGGCTCAATACTACTTGATAATGGTCTCCTACAGATCTCTACCAGCTCTCAAGCAAACATCACCGATTGCACTATGACCAATGTCACAACCAACGTCGATGACAACTCTCAACTATATATCACAAACACAGCAATACAAACTATTGGACTCTTTGATGCGATCGACATCTATGCAACCAATAGTAGTACTGTTCACATTGATCACAGCTCATTCAGTACCAATGGACAGTTTGCACTACTAGCACAGGACTCCCAACTACACCTCTCAGACGTATCATTCGACCACTGTAGATACTCATCATCATTGATCTCCTTAACGGACTCTTTGATTAACATTGTCAATCTGACCGTATCATCCACTGTCTCCCCAGTGTTTGTCCGCACCATCAACTCATCACTGAGCATGTCCAACTTCAATGTGCAGGTGGTCAGTCAGTATATGTTCTCTGAGGAGGGACACATGTCCCTGACACTAGTCAATGGAATCTTTGGTATAGCTCATGTGCTACTGTGGCAGCAGACTCCAGCCAGTCCCATCGACATCTCATTCACACATGTCCACCTTCAAGACCTCGAATCAATAACATGTCAAGGATGCAACATGACACTCCAACACGTGACCTTCCCAAAGCAGTACGACTCTGTCTTTGGCATTGCCATGGTAGACTCTCATCTACAAGTAATCAATGGACACTTTGCATCACTATCCCCAGTTGACTATCTGATATCACTCAAGAACACTGAAGCAACCATTATAGACAGCAGGTTCACTCAATGCTCAAACCTATTCGATCTGTCACAACAATCACATTTACTATTATCCAATGTTACTTTGGACGATATGTTCTCTCGATCATCCATCATCAACGCGTTCCAATCAACACTGGTCATTCAAAGATCAAACATGACAAGCATCTCATCACAGATCAACAATACACCATTATTACAACTATTAGCGTCATCCGTTCACATGTCCGATACATCATTCACCAATTGCAACTCTGCCAGTGGACTGGTATTGGCATCAGAGAGCAACGTAACACTGGAATCAATCATGATCACTGGTGGTGTATTCTATCACTCATTAATCAAGGTACTACAGAGCACACTCAACATGACCGATGTTCATCTCAACCAGACTGCTCAGACATCCAACCCCAAACCTTACGACTCTGGAACGGGTGCCATCCAAGCCGATGCCAGCACAGTCATACTAGACCAATTCACATCAGATCGAATGCTCACTGTTCTTCTCCTGGCATTATCCAATTCACACGTGACTATCAACACAAGCCAATTCAGTCTATCATCATATAACCTACTTCATGTCTACAAGTCCAATGGAACGATGAACAACTCAACAGTGCAGGGACAAGGTGCTGGCTCGGTCATGTTCTTGGAGGCCTGTCCCAACTTCTCGATCAATGGCACTTACTTTAGGGGTCTCACAAAGTTTGATCATGTACTATTCTCAACATACTCAAGCATCACGATCAACAAGGTGGACGTGTCCAACATTCAAGGTGGACCCTTTATCCGTGCCGAACATTCAAATGTCATCATATCAAAGTCATACGTGCTTTTCAGCTATGCACCATCATTGATTCAGATGTATAACAGCAGCCTGATATCACGATCAAACATTGTACTTGGCAATAGAGCAGTTGGCTACGATATATATATGGGCAGCCTTTCAATGGAGCAATCAGAGGTCTCTGATACCTCCTACACCACCAACTTTGCAATGGTCATTGCCAACGCTGTTAATGTCTCAATAGTCGACTCTCTGTTTGACTATAACTTTGCCTCTGAGACGCCCGTATATATCTCATCCGATCAAACTCTATCTCAGTGCTACCTCCACAACAATACATTGTCCAGGAACACTGGTTCAAACGGAGGTGCCATGCGCATCATTACAACATCAGGATCATTATCATCAGGTGGTTGTATCTTTACAAAAAACAGCTTCATTGCCAATGCAGCATCCGGCAGTGGTGGGGCAGTGTTTATCAGTGCCGACAGCTACCTACCAATCGACCCATCCAACATATTCGATCAAAATACAGTTGACTTTTATGGTGTCAATGTTGCCACATCCAAGCTCAGACTCAACATTACAGAGATCGACGGAGTACTCAGCAATAACTCACCGATACAATTCACATTGACAATGCTCGATGGCTACAACAACACGGTAGAGGATGAGGTTGGTGATGTTGTACTCTCTGTATCATCACTCACACCAACCATATCAAACATCAACTTCACCTATGCCATTGGACTCATTGGTGGCACTGCCGATGTCTTTCTCACACAGCTAATAGGTCAGCCATCTGGATGTATGTTCAATATCAATCTGACACAGTACAACAATGAGTGGCCCTACACGATCACCACAGCATTCAACATCACGGTACCATCGTGTGGACCATTCCAATTCCTCAAGGCCAACTCTTCACTATGTCAATACTGCTCATCAATCTACGATGTATACTCTCCATCACTGAGCCGATGTGTTGAGTGTGAGAGTGCCTACAGGAACCTGGCCCAGTGCTACTTGGACACGGTCAGCACCATGCCAAACTACTGGATGTACAACAATGACATTGAGCAGATCTATCACTGTCAACCAAACATCTGTCTAGGCGATAACAAATGTCGAAGTGGTCATACTGGAGTATTGTGTGGACAATGTATAGGCTCAACAGTTAGCAATAAGTCCGGAATCTATTGTTGTCGTAAGTAGCATAAGATATGGAATTGAATGAACAGTATACTTACACCTTAACTCATACAAGACACAAACAGTATACTTATAACATTAGGCTACATCTTATTCTTTATCATCACTACATTGGTACTGGCATTCAGACCTCGATTCTTCTACTCGATATATGGACACATGTTCATATTCCTACAGACAGTGGCAATACTTCTATACCCTCAGATCAACTTGTATGTGCTGCCACTGTTCAGAATGTCCATTGACTTTATACCATCAGTATGTTCCTATCCAACATTTGACTATCTATCCAAGGTGTCAATATCAACATTCACAATCATTGCCATCATTGTGTTTGGATTGCCAACTACATACTTTATCACACATCGAAGAAGACGAAACAATGATATCAACATACAGTATGGCACACAACATAATAACTCAATGCCATTGGTCACATTCTTATGGAACTCATTACTACTCTTCTTTGGACCATTGGTATTCAATCTCTTCTCACTAGTACTACCATGTCGTGATGTTGGTTCAAAGAAATACCAATACATGGACAATGATCTAGAGTGTGGACAGCTGGAACTATCATTCAGAGTTATTTCAACCATTTTACTGGCATTGCTACTTGTGGTAGTACCATTACTCTACACACTCTTTCACTACAAGGATCGATGGAGATCACTATCTATAACTCTAAAGGCCAAACGACGTTGGTGGGGTCTATTCTACATGTTCAAGATGACTACATACTGCGTTGCTACACTATCCACACTTTATGATGTTGAGCTAATGTCTATGATCCAACTGACATTGGTATCCCTATTCACTGCCGTTCAACTACTAATAAGACCACATCGACAGAAAGAACACAACTATCAAGACAACATGTCAAACCTGTTTATATTATCATTACTCATCCTCTCAACATCCAGTACAATGTCCAAGAACATACTTGGAATACTGATCACATCATTATCATTATCAATGTCCATTATAATGCTGATACATAGTTGTTATGTCCAACGATCAATCAAACGAGACTAGTCTAGACTTAATAAATCAAAAAATAATGTATACAAACAAGTCCCTTTCTTAGGGACCATCTAACTCTTTAATTAACAAGGACGTCCTTGTTCGAACAAGCATACTTGTGGACCACCATTACTTGTAGCGACCACAAACAAATGAGTTACTCCTTCAATGCCAGTACTTCGTTTAACATGGCGTCATCCAATGAAGGCAATCCACGCTTGGCTCTATCATTGATGATCTCGTCTCTCCAGTATTCCTCGCGGACAAAGGAGAACTCACTGACGCCGCCGTACTCTTTCTCGAGCACCTGCTCGTCAAAGTGTTGCGACAGTATGTTGCGACGCAGCTTCTCACCTTTCAGGAAGTGGATCTTCTTGGACGTATGTTTGTTGATGAATGGCGAGACAAAGTTCCAAAAGATGTTGAATATGTATGGTGGGTCGATGATGAAGGCGTAGCCCAGGCGCTCGGGATAGTGGTCACTGAGGATGTCCAGACACTGCTTGCTGACAGAAGTTGGTGGCATGTTGAACATAGAGTAGCCACTAAAGTCGATCATTAGGGCCACCTGCTCCACACCATTTGCTGCATCCATCTGTTCGATGGCACGCTCCAACGTATACACCATCAACTGGATCTGTCTATCATGAGTCTTTGTATTCTCTCTCGATGGTCTCATATAAATGACTGGCTTTCCATCCTTTATCTTTCCATTTACATATTGCTTTCCAGTTGCTGCTTCAAAGCTCAAGTGTTCAGCTATTAATAAAGATGGAATGGGTAAGGTCAACAATCAGTCTATTGATGATCAACAAGTAATAATGGCACAATTGTACATACCAGTAATTTCCCATGGCTTGTAATCTCTCCTCCAGGCCAGAGTCTTCTTGAGCATGTTGAATGATTGTGTGAGGTCATAATCACGAGCTCTAAGATATCTTAGGCAACACATGTCTGTCAACCATTCTCTCTGTTTATGTGTTATTGATAAATATGATGTTAACCTTTTGAATGTCACTACCAAGATGATGTTACATAACAATACATACCTCTCTATTGTCCAATTCTAAGTCAGTCTTTGTCAACTCTTTGAACTCGTTATAGGCCTTCAGCTCATCTTCACTAAGTTTGGCCAGTGGATCGAATGGACCGACTACCTCACCCTCTGTTGGTACGACATTGGCTGCAGGGGGACACTCCTTGGAAGTCTTTGACTTTGATGACTTTGGTGCCTTTGGTGCTTTTGGTGTCTTTGGTGATTTCTGTTTACCCATTATTTTCTATTTATATATAATAATTATTATATGTTGTCTTGTTATATGTATATTATTTGTTATTGTTTAACACGATACAGAATGACAACATTGTATGTACGGCTCACATCATGTTTGAGAGAGAGAGTGTGGATGAGGGAAGTAGAGAGAGAAAGGAAAGAAATCGGCGGATGTTCATACACATACTTCAGCTTACTGCAAATGATATTTTTAACAGGCTATCACCTCATTCATCATCCAGCATCACCATGATCACTAGTTTACTGTAATGATGATCCCGTCTGTGGTGTGTGAGTTATGAGAGGGGGTAACACACCACCCCATCATAAGAAATCGGTCAACACAACAAAGAAAGAAATCGGGAATGTGTGGTTGTGTGATGAGCTTGTCGCGCACAACATGCGCGACATGAAGTTAGGGTCATCTTCTTGGGGCTGGAACCAAGGCCCAAACCAATGAAACTTCAAGCTTTGCTCTACTAATCGTGTATTGACAGCATCGTGATGTCATTAGAAGTGTCGGCAACATAGATACATTGTCCAGTGATCTTGGCAGTTGTCAACCAATTCACCTTTGAATGATGGTGTGTCCATATCCTTATACGCTTATCATTATCTATTGGTTTAAAGGCATTAGTTAGTTTAAGTCATTGATCAATCAATCAACCAATCAATCAGTACACATACCAATAGGCTCATCTTTGGTATTCTCAATGTTCCAGAGTATAATCAAACTGTCATTGGCTGAGGAGATAAGACTGTTGTTGTGGTTTTCAAACTTGGGGAAGTGTCTATTATCGAGGAGGAGGTATTAGTAACAAGTAATTGTGTAAACAAGTACTCTATGATCAAACACATACACTTGTGATATAGGTGCTTGATGAGCCTCCTCTAAATGTATGATTCTTCTGAAGCTGGATATCTCATTGACGACGATATCACCACTGCCAAGTCCAACAGCTACTTGTTTACCATCGGATGAAACATCCAATGAGTTTACAAATGGTGGATTCAATATCTGTTTCTGTTGTGGTTGTTGTTGTTGTTGCTTGTCCTTTGCAGATGATGATGTCTGTTGAGTAGCCTGTTGGAATGATTCACGATGCAACACCTTTCCCTTTAGATAGTCCCAATGAATGATTGAATAATCCATTGATCCTGTCAACACTAAACAATCATTCAGTCAGTGGCTGGCCAGCTAAGTCTAATGGGATCGGTGGTAACATGGTATACATACATTCATTCTTTGAGTTTGGCCTGAACAATACGGATGAGCATACATTGGTATGCTTCTTTGCCAGTGTAGAGTGTAGTTTGTTCTTGTTGTTTGTGATGTCGACTATCTTGATCTGACCAGAGTCATCACCAGCGGCTATATATTGATACTTGTGATCGAATGATATCTGATTGATCTCCTCATTGTTGACACTGAACTGCCCACTATGTTCTTTCAGTATAATGTTTGGTTTACGTATATCATAACATGATACCTTTGTAGAATGTGAACAATATAACATATAATCATTGTTAAATACTACACTATTGACCTGTTATAATGGTGTCTTCGTGTCAGTCATTCAATCATTCAATCAATCAATCAATGTTAAGTACATACAGGATCAGTACCAAAGTCATTTATACACTTGATGGATGACTTCTTGTCAGTGTCCCATAGACGAACTGTACAGTCCTCTGATGATGATGCCAATAGTTTGTTGGTTGGATGTATTGCCACGCATAGAACACTGTCTTTATGACCTTTAAGTTTACACTCTGATAGTGTTTCTTTTGTTCTTATTGTTGTTGTTGATGATGATGTCGTTTCATCTGTAGTTGATGTTGATGTTGATGTTGTTGTTGTTGTTGATGTAGTTGTAGTTGTATCTGACATGTTGTATGTTTGTTGACTTCGAGGTAGATTATCTGAAAAGTATCGGTCGATTCGATGTTTGTTGACTTTTGAGATACTTTGGGTCAAGACATTCATTCATTCATTCATTCAAACATTAATTGTAATTATACATATAGATATATAAATAGATAGATAGATATGGCAGAGAAAGGTAAAGGTAAGACAGAATGGGATGACATTCAGATTAGATTGGGTAATATGGAGGCACCACCAAAGGAGTTGACAGAGGATGAACTATTCGATCTGATTCAAGAGGCTGCTGTATATGCTCATCAAAAGGAGAAGGAGGATAAATTGAACAATGCTTCATTGGAGGATCTACATGAAATGGAGGATGATGAAGATGAGACTGTATTGGAGAGATTGAGGTAAATGTCATTTTGATACAATGCCTCTCAAGAGAGAGATAGACGGTATACTTACATCAACAACTACAATACAAAAACATAGACAAAAGAGGATTGCACAGATGAAGGCTGATGCTGTAAAGAACAAGTTTGGAGAGTTCTATGAGATCACTGAACCTGCATACAAGAGTGAGGTCACTGAGGCAAAGGATTACTTTGTTGTTGTACATCTTCACAAGAATGGGTATGTGTTGTCAATCGATCGATTGAATGAATGAACAGACACTGACAATCAATCAATCAATCAAATGATACTATATAGTATTCCACAATGTCAATTAGTAAATGATCATTTGAAGGTATTGGCCAAGAAACATCGTGCTACCAAGTTTGTTGGCATTAGATCAGAGGAAGCGATACATAACTATCCTGACAGGAACTTGCCAACTATATTGGTCTACTATAACTCTAATATCGTCAGTCAGATGGTAACATTGGCCAAGATGTACGGTGATCAGGTTACCTCTAAGGACTTGGAATGGTGGCTGGCAAAGTGTGGCGCTGTCAAGACCGACATGGAGCAAGACCCCAGAAGTGCCAAGAAACAAACCTTCACATCCACCACCGGATCAATCTTCAACACTGGAAGACCAAGAATCGAGGACTCTGATGAAGAGGATGACTCTGACTAAAATAATAATGTTCATTATTATTATTATTATTATTATTATTACCTCATGTGATGATGTCTTGTGTCTGGCTGTGTCTGTTGCTGTTACCTCAGGCCACATCCATGTTGTCGACACCTCACATCACTTCCCTCACTCACACACTTTCTGAAAAACACTTGATTTGTGATCTTGAAGATGGTCGAGATCGATCCCAAACTTCATTTGATTGTAAACATATATTGTACAAATAATTATATATACATATACATATACAGATACAGATACATAAATATACATATAATAATAAGAATGAGTAGTCTATCATTATCAAATACATCAACATCATCTAATAATAATAATACAACTTATGAGTTTAAGATTATATATTCTAAACAGGGAGTTACAATATATCCAACAGATGGTGATAGTAAGGGTATAGAGGGTGTGATATCACTCTATTACTCATATGATACTACTGCACCTGTATTATCACCCTCAAAGGCATCAGCCTCTGACTCTGAATCACTATTACAACAACAGGCAAACACTCTATCTGCATCAACCTTGATCACAAAGTCTGTTATCCTATCATGGACTTGTAGTAATAAGCCTGTCAGCACACCAGTGTCCACTCCGACATCGTCAGAGGATGACGATCCAGTGGAGACTGGTGGTAGTTCGACCACATCAACAACAACATCATTATCATCATCGTACAAGTCATCCAACCCATTGGCACGTTCACAACCAATATCAATTGGCAAAGGAAAGTCAACATTATCAATGACATCATCAATAGAGTATCCAACACAGCAACAACAGCAACAGTATCAACACATAAAGATCAATACCAAAGATATACACTCAATCAAGAAGTACACACCAACCATTGGCACACCTTACCTCATTGTTCTAAGTCGGAATGGCACTGCATTGCCACCATTCTTCTTTGAGAATGGAGGCGTCAAGGAGTTCATCACTGCAATCCGTTCAGTCAATCCAAATCTTAAGAAGTATGTTGGCAACATCCCCCGTCATGTGATCAAACACTAACATACTTACACTACACTCTACTTAAGGTCAACATTGGACAACAACCTATATATGATGATGATGGAATCGAGTGATTTGGCAGAGATACAGACAAGTTCATCGTTAAAGAGAAGTGAATACTTGTCACCATCTGGGAATCCACCAATAATTGGAGCATCATACTCTTTGTCCTCTGTTGTTGAACAACATTCAACATCATCAACGAGTAGACAGACGGCTGGACTCGCATCACCTTCATCTATCAACTCATCGACAGTGTCCATGTCACCAAACACATCAAAGACACCACTGTCCAACAGTCATGGATCAACACTTGATACAGAGACCACCGTTTCCACATCACCAAACACTCTGACACCCACCTCTGGCGAACCAGGAAGCGGTGGCAACATCACCGCCAAGAGGAGGTTGACCAAAGAGATTTCGTCCAACATCCTCGATAGCTTCACCAAAGTATCGTTGTTTGCCAAGAATGCTCAAAGGAGTAGGTCATCACTATCCATGTCTGCAACATTCGTTCATTCGCTAATCAATCAATCAATCAATCACTTAATAGACATTCTAGAGGAACCAGCAAAGAAGATTGATAATCACTTTAGGAACATTACATTTGGTTCGAGAAAGACCTCGCCTCAACATGTAAGTTCAAGCGATCCAACATTATCCTGTGCACTCACTAACAAACAAACATACAACAGAGTAACAATACAAGCCTAAACTCATCACTCAACTCATCATCGGACTTCTTCACACCATTCAACTTGAGTACATCAATCGATGAACCAGCAGTCAATCGAAATGAATGTAATCCACTGAGTGCCAATGAGTGGTACTCCTACTTTGATGAGGAGGGCCGTATCAGTCTGGCCAGCCAACAGATCATGCAAAAGAAGATATTCTACGGTGGCGTACACGAGTCGATAAGGGCCGAGGTGTGGCCATTCCTGTTACAGTTCTACCCGTATGATTCGACACACTCAATGCGCGAGGTTATAAAGTACGAGAAGACCAGGGAGTACTACACCATCAAGAAACAATGGCAATCAATTACTGCCGATCAAGAGTCACGCTTCTCAAAGTACTCATCACGCAAGAATCTCATTGAGAAGGATGTGATCAGGACGGATAGGACGCACCCAATGTTCCAAGGCGTGGGCATGGACAATCCAAACTCAGTGCTCATCAAGGAGATACTGCTCACGTACTCATTCTACAACTTTGACATTGGATACGTACAGGGAATGAGTGATATGCTCACCATCATCTACTCTGTCATTCAAAAGGAGGTGGAGTCATTCTGGTGCTTCGTTGGCCTAATGTCCAGGATGGAGATCAACTTCCACAAAGATCAAAATGGAATGCACTCACAATTGAACACTCTGTCCAAGCTTCTCAAGTTTATCGATCAAGATCTATACTGTCACTTTGGTAAGTTTGTTTGAATTGTTTGATTGGACCATCATACTAACATCAATCAATCAATCAATCAAACAATCAATACAGAGAACATTGATGGAACAAACATGTACTTCTTCTTCCAATCGATACTTATATGTTTCAAGAGAGAGTTCCCATTTGATCAGGTCAAGACATTGTGGGAGGTGTTGTGGAGCAACTACATGACCAAACAGTTGCCAATATTCATGTGTCTGTCGATATTGGTCAAGGAGAGGACATCGATCATAGAGGACAATCTACAGTATGACCAGGTACTCAAGTTAATCAATGGAAGGGCTGGCAAGATGGATGTCGATGATATACTGTCATTTAGTGAGTCCGTTATCAATTGCTTCATTGCCAAGGTATCGGCTGCACCAGACAGCATCGATCAGACTCTTCGTGTGCTTTGCGAATCAATCTACCAGTATTAAACTACACCCATTGATTGGATCACGTCAAGCATTGCATGTTTATTACTTATTCGTAGTTGGATTATAGATAGAGGCATTGAATCTTGGAGGAATAGAGTCATGGATAGTTGACGTCGTCGGTTTGTGAGTACTCGCTCTCGAGACTGATGGAACCGCCGTTGAACTCACAACAAAACATTCTACATTCATTCGCATGAGACAGGTGGTGTACGCCAATGAGAGGCAGTAATTTATTGACATTCTAGGATGACGAGTTGTTAGAGAGCCGCTTGGACAACTCTTAGTAGGAAGTAAAGGCGCGGGGTGGGTTGGGTGCATTGAAGTTGAACTTCTTCTTCAGGGCACTGATGCCGCCGTGCAGTGGGTAGTTGTAGTTGTCAAAGGAGAAGTACTTCCTGGGAGCCCCATCCATCAGGGGCAGCAGGTTATACGTGGTGGTCGAGGGGATATGCCGTTGAAGCTGTGGTAGTCAGTCATGATGTTGAAGCTGGTGGCGTTGAGCTTCCAAGACGACTGGCCGGCGACAAAGTTGGAGAAGGCTATGATCCAGTCCACGCGTTGCTGGGCGCACCAGCTGGGGTAGGTATGGTCCAGGATAACCGTGTTGATGTTGGCCAACGGCGAGGCCGACTGCGTTATGAACGAGTCTCGGTTGTACCAATAGTAGTTGTTGTGGTCTTCGTAGTTGACTTGCTTCATTACGTCGCCGGCGTGAGGAACTTGAATTCGCCCAGTCTTGTCTGGATGCAGAGGTCTGGGCAATTCGGAATACGGCGGAACGGTGCCGAGTTGTTACCATAGATAGCACGCTCATATTGGATGAAGGTGGCCACAGAGTTGGCGGCCAGGGTATTCAGATGGCCATCCGCGCCAATGAGCAAGCCCTCACCTGTAGTCCATGACACCAGAGCACCGGAGGTCAGTCCCGGAACACCTGCGACCGAGATGTTGGGCGGTGTCTTGCTGCCCATGAAATCCGGGCCGTTGAAATCAAAGACTATCATGGTTGGCATGGCTTGGGAGCCACGGATGCAGGCTTTGCCCCAGAACACCATTGGTGGGATTGGGTCAGATGGAGACTGTTGACAATTGTCTCCAAAGGGATACTTGTTGTTGGTGCTGGGGAAGGAGAACTCGCGCTCAGAGCCATCGGTGTCGACGTGGAGGTATCGGATCAGTGTGGAGAACGTCTGGTCTTTGCCAGCCTGGTCGATCCAGTCGATAGTTATACTCTGCTTCGGAGTGAAGCTGCTGGTCGTTGGATCCAGATTCATGACCAATGTGTACTTGAAATCACCCGTGTAGTAGACTGGATATGTATTTGTATTAGTATGATGTAGATGCTTGACACCAGTGCAAACACTTACCGTCCTGAATTCCATTCATCTCATAGTACAACGCCTCCATACGATTCCAGATGTCCTTGATGGGGACATCTTTCTGGTCCAGCTTGATGGTCCACTGAGAGGGGATCAGTTCACGGAGCGGCGCCACCTTGAAGTCCAAGGGCACGGGCAACAGGTCAATGGAGGGCGTCCATCCATGGTAAGTGGTGGCCGAGCTGGCGGGGCCAAAGGCAGCAGGAGCGCCACCGTAGACCATGATGTTCGAGGTCGATGACTTGCTCTCCATGGAGCTGGAGCTTGAGCTCGAGGTGCTATAGCCTCCGCTGAGGGTCAGTGTGGACTTGGCGTGGAATCCTGGCCAGTTGACCGAGCCTCCTAGGGTGAGCGAGGCGGCCACAGACCACTCGGACTCCTTCTCCTGGCTGCTAATCGACTCAGACGTTGTGGTGATCTGGACAAGCTTGCCGCCCATGTACGCGCTGGTCATGTAGTAGGTGCCGAACCTGTCAAAGATGGACATCATCTGCATCTCGTCCGTGATCGCGGCCAGCTCCTTCAGGAAGGTCGGATCGAAGCGCGTGGAGGACACGTCCATCTCGATGTAGGTGGAGGTGCAGTTGATTTGGCTGACAAAGATGTGCTGGGTCGTGGATGTGGTCATCGTCGAGGCTTTGGCCATACAACACGTCTAACAGGTTGGCTCGCAGATCGATTAATGAATCCACTACTACTAGTCACTGACTAACAGGTTGGCTCGCAGATCGATTAGTGTATCCATTGCTGCTGCTGCTGCTGCTGCTGGGTACTGAATGACTGATTTGTTGGCTCGATCGCTGCGATCATTACCAAGCGAGTGTTTGTCACTGCTACTACTACTGCTGCTGTTGATTGTTACACCGTGCCACTTCTTTAACTCCATCATTCTCGCTCGTATAAAGAATTGCTTAATATTTGTATGTAGTTAAGGAGTAAATATACAAAGTTGTTTATTTGTTATCTGTTTGTTATTGGTTATGTCAAAACACAACTGAATGAATGATTGTGTATCATTGGCTCAAATATGTTTGTGACCACTTCGTTACAGCTCGCTTACAATGACCCTTGGGCACTTATAAATTGAAACAGCTGTATCTGTTCTTGGATGTTGTTTATCGTGTGTAGATCAACTGGAAGACCTTTGATCTATTGCCTCGTTGGGTTATGCGATGTCCGACGTCTGGAACATAGGATATCTGCCTCTTGAAGGTGAACGACGTGTTGGCCGTCAGATTGGGAACGAGTGCGTATTGGCGGCGGTACCATCGTGGTCGCACCTGGGCAACTGGGTATCTTGACGATTCAATGATGATCGTTCGGAGTGTTAGGATCTTGGCCAGGATCAGAATATAGGCGTGGAATTGATTCGTATCTGACATAAAGGCATGGAAGTTCCTCAGCTCCAGCGTGTCCAGACTGGGGCTGGCCTTGACATGGTCCACAACATTCTCGATTCCATAGTGCACGTCGATGATCAAGTGCTTGAGATTGGCGCTCTCGGTGAAGAACTGATGTGCATCCTCCAGTTGGCAGTCCTCGCTTGGAGCCTTGATCCGGAGGGTCTCCAGGTTTGATGGCGTGTTGGCGCGGAGAAACGATGAAACTTGGCGCGGAGTGCTATAATACGCATTGAGTCTTTGCCACACGAACGACTTCAACGATGTTGGCAACGGTAATACGAGCGGAGACCGGATCGTATAATGGTCGGCCGCCGAGCAGTCTGGAGGCATCTCGACACAGAGGTGCTTGAGCCATGTGTTGGATTGCAATGCCAAGGCGACACAATCGTCAAGACATGTCTTGATCGAGAGGGATGTGAGTGCTCGTGGCGCAGACAAGTACTGCGCCAACTCTGACGAGAACATTTCCGCTCGAGTTGTACTGTGTATGTATTTGTAGAGGCGCAGGCTGAGTGTCTCGAGCGTACTGAAGTGCTTGATGCCATCGAAGAAGCGATCGGGCTTGCATGCCAAATGATACACACATTGATAGTCGTCCTCAATCGTCAACGATGTGATGTGATCCACGTCGAGCTGGTGGAACGCCGTGCCAAACATGCTTGTGTTGCCAACGACAGCGTATTGTGGAAGAATGGAGATTCTGATGCTCCTGAGCGACCTGGTCCTCTCGATGATTGAAAACACCTCGTCAAAGTCCATAGGATGTGGACTGTCACAGAGATGCGTGATGGCCAGTGTGTCCAGGTGGAGGAGCGATGGCAGCGCGTCTGGCATCACAAGCAGCGTCCGAGCAGGAATGTTGACGATGGATCTAAGCGAGTTGATCATGCCGCTTGACAGCATCTGTGCGAGTTCAAGCTCGTGACCAGCCTCGCCGCCATCAAACACGAGCTCGCTGCCACTCCGAACATAGTTGATGGCGCCTCTGCCGTTGATGCAACAGTGATTGACGATGAAGCTCGTCGTTGGTGCCGTACTGTTGCCCTTCCAGACACAGTGAGGATTGCTGAAGTGGCCCACGATGCTTGCAATCGGCGTGAGAATGACGTTGTTCAGCTGCAGCGCCTTGGTATGTTTGATGCTGAACAGGCGCTCGGCAATGTATGTAAAGTGCGCCGACGATAGGGTGGCCAGCGACAGCCTCCACCGCCACGACGACGACTCGGCACGAAGTGCATCGTCCCAGCAGAGTCGAATGATATGAAATTGGATTCGAAGTGGTATGTTTGGCAGGGCAATGTTGTCAGTCGTTATGCCACTTGTCTTGACATCCTTTTTCTTCTTCCTCTTCTTCTCCTTCTCCTTCTCCTTCTTGATCCTCTCCTCGTCTATGCTAATCTTGTATGCTTTCATCATCTTCTTCTTCATCAGAATGTCCGCCATGGGGTAGAATATCTCGTCTTCGCTCTGCTCCCATGTCTGCGTGTCGGCTTGCGAGACAGTGTTGACAGGCTCGTCAACAATATCGATGTTGTTCATGTCTCTGAATTGAATCAATAGCTATTGCTCCATGTGTAGTGATTTGAGGTGTAGATGGCCCTCTCAAGGTCCCACATTGTATTTATGAACATTAGTTATCATAAAATAGATATATAAATAAGTAAATAAATAGGTACAACTATCAATTTTTATTTAGGATGCCTTTATTCTCAAGGAATTCAGCTCCTATCCAACCTCTGGATCTCAACAACAACTACAACAAAAACAAAAATAACAAGAACAACAACCACAACATTAACAACAATAACAATAACAATCCGACAACTAATGATTATGAGCTTTCAGTGATTAATTAGGGGACTGATTTCTCTATTTGTAACTGGCAGTGTGCTTGATCGCTTTAGAGTAGCAAGTAAGAATAGCCACTTGATCACTACAGGTCTGGGAATAGGAGATATGAGAGTGTCACAATTGAAGTTCAGAATGCCTTTTCAGAGGGTAAGAGAGGTCTCCTATTCAAGGAAGAGATTCAGAAACATTATTGTTACTCAGTCAAAGGACGGTGACTCCTTCCACTTGCCAGTCACCTTTTACTTTGGTCCACCCGATCCCGACCAGAACCTCACCAGCTTTAAGAGGTATGTTCAGTCCATTGCTGAACTACCCGAGGAAATAGTTCTTTCTTCAATCGACAGTGTGGTGCAGAGAGTGACTAGAACGGAATCATCCAATCTTACAATGGATGAGGTGGTAAAGGATTCAATCAAGTTCACAAAATAAGTGATCGAGAAGAGTTCGGTCGAGTTGGAAGAGTATGGTATCAAGATTGAAAACCCTGATATCAACTTCTTTTCAGTCACTCAAGACATTCAATTCAAGGCCATCACTGCTCAAGTTGTTGATAAGGATCAAAGGTCAACATTGTTGAAGCTATACCAGTCCAAGGGCTTCATTCTCCAACAACAAAATCAAGGAATTAAACTCTTAATAAACTATTAAATGATTAATTCCTAGTTTAATGAGTTTTTATTCTGAGCATCCACCAGAACATTATTAAATTTATCCTTAAATATTATTAAATATCAATAATTGAAATTATGAGTTTGCAAATCTTCAGTCTCAGTGAAGTGATTTGCAAGTAATCTTCGTTTCAAATAATAGATACAAGTATTAATAGTTTATTCAATCAATAAGGTCATTCTATGATCATTGATCATTAACCTTATTCTTGTCACTCTTCCTCTTGTTGATCCTCTCTCTTGAGATTGAGTTCAACAACTTGAAGTTATTTGTGGTTGGTACTTGATCAATCACTTTGGTATCAGTTAGGTATAGGTCTGACCAGAATGAGTCCAACAGTGGATGATGAATAGATAGAATGGACTTTAGAACAGATCTTCTGAGGCATGGTTTGTTGGAGACGGTGAAGTCAATTCCAGCCTTCTTCATTCTCTTCCTTATGGCATATCCAACGGAGGATGAAGACAAGGGAGAGTAGGTCTCTTCAGACTTGTTATAGCGAGTGAACAGTAACTCGTCCTTGGTGTCGACTACATGGGTGGCCTTCTGATCATGTGAAAGACAGAAGTACAGGTATTGGGTAAGTGCGGTAACTGGACATAGTTCTGGCTCGTCAAGGTTCTGATTGATTCTATATTTCAGATCACTGGGTCCACTTGGTCCTGATATCTTGAGGTCATAGTAGGTTGGCATTCTCGTACGAATATTTGGTTTGATCATATTGGCAATGTCTTGAAGAGTCAAACTTGGATGGGCCATCCTGATCAAGATGATGACCTTGCTCCTTGATTTGGATACCTTGGGGGTGTTGTCCTGTCTATACATTGAATCACCCTTCATCTTGTTGGCGATGTGGTCCAAGAGTATATCCAACTCAAATGTTCTCTCATTGGAACTATCAAAGCTCATGATCATCTTGATGGGGAACTGCGATAATATATGTTTGATGACTCTGTGCTCAACAACAATTAGATCCATCATCCCTAGATTCTCTGGATTCGACTTGATTGCAGTCAAGTATTCCTTGATATCAGTTGGCTTGACACCTCTGTCCAACAGGTCAATCAAGAACTCTGATAGTCTCTCTTGGTTGATGTGGGTAGTTGGGAGACCCTCTCTCTCGGTGAAGTTAGACCATCTTCTCCATCCACTTTCAATTGCTCCAATGACTGGACTTGGTCCAAAGAATATTCTAGCCTTTTGAGTGTTCTGGAAAGAGATGCCACAGTACTCTCGGATTGAATATTGATCAGATAATAAAGGTGATGGAGTATTAAAATAATTTAAATTGGACAACATTGTTCCAGTCAGACTGGATTGAATTGGAATGATTGGAAGTGATTTAGAAAATAATTTGGAGATCTTGATCATTGTTATTGTGAGTTTGAATATTTAAAATTATTATTATTGTACTACTACTACTACTTTATATTGTTATAATTGAATTGAATATTCTTTATTTATACATTTCCATCTTCATGGTCCATATCATTGATGTCAATCCATTGATTGACAAAAAAGCATTGACAAACTTGCCCAATAAAAAATTCGAAAAGTTACACTTTGCTGGCTTTCGTCAATGATTTAATTGACTGAAGGGGTACCATTGTCAGATGCCAATCAATAAAAATATATTATTATCTCTCTGTTATTGGTTGTCTGAAGTGATAACAGGTACTGCCAGTACTTATTTACATATAGTTATTATTATTGACTCAAGGAGTGAGATTGATTCCAAGAGTGTTCAATGATTACAACTCCATCAAGTGATTGATTAACAATATTCTATAGTTGAAGTAAAGATGGTCAAAGCATTCCTTATTGTACAGCATATCAATGCTGTCTTTGTCTTTTCTGTGTGTGTGTGTGTGTGTGTGTGTGTTGAAAAGGGGGAATGCCATCAATAAAACTAACTTCATCTCATTTCATTAATCTTATCTTACCTATTTGTATACACAGATATATATACAATTATTACTATTATATAAACATTGTATATATATACACAGAAATCAACCAATAATCCAATCAATCAAACAATTTATAGTTGATATATTCACTCACACACATACAACATTGTTACAATGTTGAAGTTAGCTCAATTACAATTGCTCAACGATGAGAACACTAAATACTTTAAGAAACCAGGACAAAAGGGAGATGGTTATAAGAAGTTGGACAAGCTAGGTGGTGGCTCATTCGGTTCTGTATTCAAGGCTGTCGACACTTCAAACTCATCTGGACAGGAGTATGCTGTCAAGTTACTCAAGTATCACACCTATGCAGAGTCTGTCGCAGCGCAAAAGTACATCAAGTCTGAATGTGATGTTCTAATGAAGTTAATGAATGGTCCACAACATCCTCACATAGTAAACGTACATGACGTATTAGTAGGTGTCTCATTCACTCAATTCAAAGTAGTAGTCTAAGACTGGCTTACTAACACGATCAATCAATCAATCAAATAAAGGATCTATATACTTATGTATTCGAGTATTGTAATAATGGAACATTGAAGAAGTATTATACAGATAACACTCATACATTATCAGAGAACACATTGAAGTTGATCTTTGTCCAGATGATATCAGCATTGCAGTTCCTACATGATAGAGATCAGCCCATCGTACACAGAGATCTCAAACCAGAGAACATCCTAGTCAATCAAAAGAATGGAAGGACTGTCTTTAAACGTATGTTTGATCAATCACTATACACCCCGAACGTTTATGATCACTCACTCACTCAATCAATCAATCAAACAGTGACAGACTTTGGATTCTCAAAGACACAATCTGAACTTGAACCATTGGTATCAGCAGTTGGCTCAAGACTGTTCATGGCACCAGAGATATCATATCATTCAAACAAGAATTATGATCATATGGTGGATATATTCTCAATGGGAGTGGTGTTCTATTATATTGCCAGACCGACAATGAGCATACCATCAGTACCAGTGACACGCGAACATATCATGGCACTACCATCCACACTTTCACAAGAGTTCAAAGAGTTGATCATCAGAATGATCGACCCTGATCCAACGACGAGGATCACCATCAAAGACATCATCAAGTCCAAATGGGTAATGGACAAGTTTGTCTCGCTCGAGGTCGTTGGCCAGGGCAAGGATGTCATGACCACACAAGACATCTATCAGATACAGTATGTTAATATTATTAGGCAGAGAGGTTGTTAATGTTCTGATACTTACATCACCATTACAATGTCCAATACAACAACAGTGAGAAGACCTACAAAGGATATATTGAATCCAACTTCAAACTATCATTGAAGGATCAACTTGTATTGGTATCATACTATGACTCTGATGCACTATACCCATTGTCAGACTCTATACTTCGTCCAATATATACTATTGTAAGTATACTTACACACCCTGGGTATATATAGGGACACCTATACTCATATACCCAATCAACCAATAGGACAAGGTATACCTGATCGATATGTACAATAATCCAGTATTCCAGTTCGTACCAATTGAAAACTTGACAAAGTACATCACTACTGTCAATGGACAGGTGGTCGAGAGGAACAATCTGGATAACCAACCATGCAGGGATCCAATCAAAGAGGAGATTGTATGTGTTATAATGGTCTCATTCAATCAATCAATCAATCAACATCTCATTGACATTGATCAAATCATTATATATTATAGGAGCGATTTACAGAGGTTAGAGCGATACAGTTACATGCATTCGAGGTGTTGAAGAAGGCACAGGATGGTCTAAAGGTATATCACCTCATGAAACAACATTATCAAACAGAATGGTATGTACATTGGTGATTGATGGATGATTATTCGACCACCCAACTGACATCACCTGGTCCAATCACAGCAACAAACAAGAGCTTAACCAGGTATTTAAGCATGTCGAGGGATTCTGCAAGGCCAACGTAATGAACAATCAAGCATTTGAGATTGTAAGTGGCTTCAATCCAGGTCCAACATCATCCACTAACACAACAACATTTCAAATGTATAGATCAAGAAGCTAAAGAACATTGACCACGAGGGAAATGAGACAGACGAGTTGCTTATCAATAAGCTGCCAATAGTTGTACAAGCAGTGTTGAACTATGGCATTGGAGAACAATATGATCACATCATTAACACTGCCAAGGAGTTTGATGCAACAAAGAAGTTCATCGATGACTTTAGTAAACTGTAAGTGACTACAGTCCTTCCAGACATCACTGGTTCATCAAACTAACAACCAGTTGTACCATACCATACAGTGTGACACAGTCATCACAGGACATAATGGGTATCATCAAGGACTTTGAGAGAATCAAGAACCTAATCAATGCCAAACAAAAGTCAATGAGCGATGAGACCAACTTTGGCTTTGTCTATGACACGAGCTCACTGACACATGGACCTCAACAGTACTTTGACAAGTGCTACAAGCTCTACATGCGACTGTACTTTGCATTGAATCGCGAGTTGGTCATATTCAATCGACACTTTGCTCATCTGGTCAAGTCAGTGTCGTCCCTAGTCAACGTCCAGAAACAAGCGCCCAACCTAATGTACGACCAGCAGCTCATGACTGAGATTGCAAAGATACCAACCTACTTCAAGCTCTACAAGGACGAACTGAAGCGACGAGCACAGTTCAACAAGATGTTTGCAAAGCATCAGCAAGACTATGCAATGGACTTTCATGCTCAAGTCAACAAAGAAAAGAGCATGAGGCAAAAGTAAGTTTGTTGGATATCGAATGAACCGTATCAGTCTATTAACCTTGATGTACTCAATAGGTTTGATCAGGCTGAGCCACCTAGATACTTTATACCAGTGTTGACTCAGAACGAGCTTGTCAATCCATTGACAAGATTCCTTCCAACAGAGGAGAGTATATCAATGCGGGAGTTCATTGCCAATGAAGGCTTTGTACCTATCTATAAAGGTATGTTTACATGTGGATAGTGATCCAGGATCAAGCCAGTCACTAACTCAATCAATCAGACCCTGAGGAGCAACAACTTTATAGCAAACTAGAACTTTTAAAGATGAATGAACGTTTGGAGAATGAGATAGCGATGCTTAGGAAGTCACCAGTTCATACATCATCTGCACCATTATCAATGCCATCAAAGTATACCAACAGCTCATCATCGTCTTCATCAACAGAGGATGATCAAAGAACAGAGATATTCAAACCGAACCAACAACAACCAGTGGTACAGACACTGATTGATAAGGAGAGAGAATCTGCGGATTTGATGAGGAGGGTGTTGGACATGACAGCGCAGGACAATGCCAAACAGATGAGACTCAACAGTCTGGAGAATGAGTCAAAGATGTATAAAGAACAACGCGATCAATTGGAGAGACAGCTGCAACAGGACAAGATAGAGACAGAGCACACGAACAAACAGGAGCAACAACAACTTATGAAGCAGATCACCGAGCTACAAGTAAGACTACAGTCTAAAGAGAATGAGATGAACAACATCCATCATTTGTTCACCAATCAACTATCAGACATTGAGACGCAGTACAAGAATGCTCTAAAGGCCAAAGACGATGAGATCTCATCACTACAAGCTATTAACTTGTTCTTATCAGAAGGACGTTAATCATTCATTCATTAATTTTTATGTATATAAACCTTATCATTGTATATTTACCTACAACTTGGACCGGTCTTTGATCCAGGACCATATCACTTCTGGAATTATAACCCACAGACTTGAGCTGATTGAAAAAATTAATTTAAACGACGTGATGGTTGTGCGTGTGGGGTGACTGTCTCTTTATCAAGTTGCAAAAACAGACCAATCCACTCTTATTCTCACTATTACTATCTATACTACTACTCAATCAAATACAAATAATTAATTATCATTTATCTATTTCTAATACAGCATTAGCAACAACAGAAAGACAGCTTTGAATTAATAAATATTATATACATATACATGAATGTCTTCAATATTACGATCAAGTCTTGCAAGTTCGATAGTTGCTGATGGCTCTTTGACAAAGCTGATGGGTGGTGTAGCATCATCTATACCAATACAGCCTTCTTCCTCTCGTGTACTTCTAGTCAATCGAAATGTAGTCAACTACTTTAACAGGAATAATAATAGTAGTATTAATAACTACAACATCAGCAGCAGCAACAGTAATAGATATATCAACAACAATAACAATAACAACACATATTTATTCAATCATAAACAACAACAAACAAATATACCAAACGTATCACCAACGTCTATATCACATCAACTACAACAACAACAACAACAATCACCTTTTCACCATAACTCACGTTATCCTGCAACACCATATTCAACGATAATCAATCATAATTCACATCAATCCAGGATCAACGAACTATTCAACACAAAGTACAACAGGTTCAATCATGCTAATAGTATCATTGGACAACAAAGATCAACATCAACTACGACCAAATCATCGGTCTCAATGGGCCAGCCTCTACAGACTGGACGATCACAATCTACAATGTTTACAGCACCACAGTTCATTATTGTGCCCGCTGCCAAACGACACTTCCACTCCAACCTCCCCAACTACTTTGTCTTTTCAAAGACACTTCGACTGGTGCTGCCCTTTGCCATGGGTGGCATTCGTGAATGGATCCGACAGGGCAACAGTCTGCTTCGCTTCGCATTCATTTGCGTCGTAATGTTTGGCAGTTGTGGACTCTACATCTACTTCAATCAAGAGTCGGCACCGATCACTGGTCGCTCCAGGTTCATCGGTGTCACTGTAGAGGAGGAGCGTGACATCTCTGACATGGGCTACGCATCAGTCATGGAGCTCTACGCCGACAGCATCCTGCCAGACAACAACGTGCTCCAGAATCAGGTCAGATTAGTGGCCAAGTCGTTGATCCCCTACTCGGGTATCCAACTGCCATGGGAGTGCCATGTCATCAACTCGCCAGAGGTCAACGCTTTCGTCCTGCCCAACGGCAAGATCTTTGTCTTTACCGGTCTGTTTGAGATTGTCCAGACAGAGGACGAGCTCGCAGCAGTCATGTCACACGAGATTGGTCATGCCATTGCCCGTCACTCGGCCGAGAGGATGAGTCTTCTCAAGGTTGGCATCGTCTTCCTCACGCTCACCAGAGGCCTGCTTGGCGACACCATCACTGGAAATGTAGCAACAATGATAACGACCTATCTCTTGGAGTTGAGCTACTCGAGAATGCAAGAGATTGAAGCAGATATCATTGGACTTGGCATCCTAAAGAGTGCTGGCTACAACCTACAAGCAGCAATCAGTGTCCAGGAGAAGTTGGCACAACTCAGTGACTCTGAGGATGACAGCAAGATAGTATCATTGTTGGCCACGCATCCCAAATGTTCAGACAGAGTCAGCAAGATGAAGGAATGGATTACTGAGCATGGTACTGAACCAAATACAATTACAATCCAACAACACCAACACCACCACAAGCATCAACATCATGTCAACAACAAAGCACTACCATCTGCAACTCCATCCAAGTTGCCAGTAGCAGCTGCTGCAGCAACATCCTCCTCGAGCAAAGACTCTCTGTAAACAAGTGAGTTAGGTTCATTGTGTCTAATCCGTCATATTGTCAATAAACTTGAGTTATTATTATGTCCATACTATACTATGAGGGTAGAGGTAAGGGTAGGATAGGGTAGGGTAAGGACAATTGGACGACTAGTCTTCCCACACTTGGACAAGTGACGTGTTGGTTGGCAACACGCACACACACACGCACACACTCATTGTCGACAGTGTTCCACCCACGTGCCAACAATCCATCGAAGGAACATACTGGATAAGTATACTTAAGTTAGTAACAATAGTAATTCAATTATAATTAAAGAGTAGATATAGAGATAGAGAGGCAGATAAGAATAATAATAAATGGAAGAAAAGAATAATTATGATAAGGATCCAAATTTCTTTAAAGAATATCAAGAGGCATTCACTCGTCACTATCCAGAGATAATGAAAGGTAGTGATCTGTTCTTTAACTTGATACCGAGTCTAAAGAAATCTTCTCTATTGGACTTGGCATGTGGAGATGGAAGGTTTACCAATATGATAATGGATAGAACAGAGATATCATTGTTGGAAGGATATGATCTTTCATCTATGATGATCCAGAAGGCAAATCAGGATCTTGGAAAAGATACAAGGTGAAGTTCTTTGTTGGAGATCTAGACCAAATGGAGTTACTTGTCGATAGATATGATCTAGCCATCTCACACTATGGACTTCATTATGTAATTGATATTGATAGACTGATTGGATCGATCGCAGATAGTCTCAAGTCAAATGGTGTACTTATCTTCATGGTTGAGCATCCAGTTAGAACATGCAATCAACACGATGGTGATACTTATCGATTACAATGGACATAAAGTGTTCCCTTTATGTGATTATCTTGAGGAAGGTAGTCGTCAATTCACTTGGCTTGGACGTCCGAACATTATCAAGCAACTTCATACCATATCATCATATATCAACAGCTGTATCAAACATGGATTGACTATAGAGAAGGTTATAGAATGGGCACCAGACCAATCCAAGTTCAGAGTACGTCCATTCTCTCTAATGATCAAGGCTGTCAAGAACTCAACACACCTTCTAGCTCAGCATCCATCATGTTGACCTAGAAGTTCGAATAAACTATAGATTGAACAACACACTTTAGTGAACAATGATTAAGTGTGGGTCTGGTTATGGTTAAATCCTTATCATTATTACTATAAAGATATATATAAGAGATATAGAGATATACAATTAGAATGAGCAACAATAATAATGATAATAATCCTTTTGATGATCAAAAGTTGTTCGAAAGATTTGAACAGATACATAAGATGTATCCAGGTCTATCAAAAGGTTATGACACTCTGTTCGATTTGATGCCAGATATCAAGGATGCTACTGTGTTGGACTTGGCATGCGGAGATGGTGCATTCAGTAGAAAGTGTCTAACCAAAGGAGTGGCATCGGTCGATGGTTATGATATCTCCTCAATGATGATTGATAAAGCAATCAAGGATGCCAACAATGAACATCGTCTTGTTTTCAAGGTGGCAGATATTGAGAAGCTTGACCTACCAGTGAATAGATACAACGTGGTGCATTCACAGTTTGGACTACACTATGTATCTGACCTTCCATCAATGATGAACAGAATCGCCAAGTCTTTGAAACCAGGTGGTATCTTTGTGGCCAGTATGGAACACCCAATTCGATCAGCCAACATCCGATTCGACGACTATATGGAAGTGGATTGTCAACCGGTTATTCCAGTGCATAACTACTTGGTGGAAGATCAAAGAACATCCATTTGGTTGGGGGGCTCTCCTATCACAAGATACCACTATACATCAGCCAGCTACATCAACTCGTGTATTGATAGTGGATTGATCCTTGAGAAGTTCCTTGAATGGGGACCAGACATTGGAACAAAAGTAACACCCTATGCTGTGATGATCAGAGCGAGAAAGTCAAACAATTAGTAGCATATGTGAATAAACAAGCAATATTACCCTCCACTGAATACATTCAAGCATATTGATTATATGACAGAAGGAGGTAGTGGTACAGAGAGCCATAGATGGACACATACATAGAGGGTGCATTAATAATGGAAAGAACTAACTCGATTCTGAGAAGCAAACATAATTTGTTAATGAGTTGTCAATGTTGTGTTGGTTATCTTTGATTTAAGAGGTGTAGTAATATGTATTGAGGTGAGGGTATATCTTCTTCCAATACTCAAGCTGCTGTTTTGGATCACTTCATCAATTGAATTGCGATTCCACATGCCCCCCCCCTCCCCCCATTATACTCCCCTCCAAGATTGAAGGATATATCCCTGTCCCCCCCTCTGCACCTCAGTTGGATGCTGTATACTCGAGTTTGTAAAGGTGAAGATGATGATGCGAGAGGTGATGTAACATTAATTTCTGGCCACTGTTTCCAAGTTATTATTAATGTTTCTGAAATATATTTTATTATAATTATAATTATCTATCCTTTTCCAAATTATTAATATTTAGAATGAACGACAACCAAATTAATCAATATGATGATATAAAATTCTTTAGTTTTGAACAGATTCATAAGGTGTATCCAGGTCTTTCAAAAGTGTATGATACTCTATTCCAATTAGTTCCAGATGTAAAGGATGCAACAGTGTTGGACCTGGCATGTGGTGACGGTTCTTTTGGTAGAAGATGTCTTCCAAAGGGTGTTGCTCTGGTTGATGGTTTCGATATCTCTTCAATGATGATTGACAAAGCAATCAAGAATTCCAACAAAGAACCACGACTTGTATTCAAGGTGTCAGACATCGAGAAGCTTGACCTACCGATGAATAGATACGACGTTGTGCATTCCCAGTTTGGTATGCACTATATCTCAGACCTTCAATCAATGATGAACAAAATCGCCAAGTCTATGAAACCAGGTGGTATCTTTTATGCCCGTATGGAGCAACCCTCTTAGATCAGCCAACATCCGATTCGATGACTATATGGAAGTTGATGGACATCCAGTAATACCTGTGCACAACTACTTGGTGGAGGATCAAAGAACATCCATTTGGATGGAAGGTTGTCCTCTCACCAGGTATCACTACACATCAGCCAGCTACATCAACTCGTGTATTGATAGTGGATTGATCCTTGAGAAGTTCCTTGGGTGTGGACCAGACATTGGAACAAAGGTCAGCCCCAGTGCAGTGATGATCAGAGCCAGAAAACCAACCAACTAATAATGAATAAAGGAATGATACAAAGAGTTAAATTTTGGACGAGGGGAAACAAAGAACGGATTTATTCTTAAAAGTATTAATGGTATTGTCCTCCATTGTTGAAGTAGTTGTGATGGCTGCTCCAGTCATCACCATGACCACCACCACCGCCGCCGCCACCACCTCCTCTTCTGCTGTCGCTACGACCACCACCGCCACCGCCGCTTCCACGGCTATCACCAAAGCGGTCATCGTTACCACCACCGCCACCGCCGCCGCCACCACCACGGTAGCCACCACCTCTGCTGAATGGAGAGTCGTTGAATCTCGACTTCTGGGGAGGAGTGTGCTTGGGCTTGCCGTAGGATGAGAAGGTTGTGCGCTCGAACCAGTCTGGGACGTCCTGGTTGGACTTTCTCATGAGGTTGACCAAGTCAGAGGCAACGGACTTGTTCTTCTCATTGTAGAAGGAGATAGCAGATCCCTTCTTTCCAGCACGACCGGTACGACCGATACGATGGACGTAGACGTCAATGTCGGTTGGCAGGTCAAAGTTGATGACGTAGAGAACGTTTGGAATGTGGAGTCCTCTGGAGGCGACATCAGTGGCAACCAAGTAAGGGGTTTGGCCGTTACGGAAGCTGTTGAGTGCGCTCTCTCTCTCATACTGGCTGAGATCTCCGTGAATGCAGATCGATGGGAACTGCTTGGAGTTGAGGAAGTAGGTCAACGAGTCACACTGGCGCTTGGTCTCGACAAAGATCAGAGTGAGGGCGTCCGACTTGAGAGTGGACAAGAAGTCGAGCAAGTAGCTGTTCTTCTCATCCTCCTGGACGTACTCAATGCGCTGAGTAATGTTCTGGGTGGTACCGATAACTCCAACCTTGAGGAAGATGTAGTTGTTCAAGAACTCAGAGGCGAGGTTCTGGATTGGCTTGGGGAACGTTGCAGAGAACATCAGTGTCTGACGGTCACGAGTGCCTGGCATGTCGTTGTCCTGGATGATCTGACGGATCTGTGGCTCGAAACCCATATCAAGCATACGATCGGCCTCATCGAGTACAAGGTACTTGACTTGGGAGAGGGACACTCTTCCACGGGAAAGGAAGTCGACGAGACGACCAGTGGTGGCAACCAAGATGTCACAGCCACGGTCGAGCTCGGCAATCTGCTGATTGATCTCAGCACCACCGTACACGACGACAGAGGCGACTGGGGACGAGTAGGAGAACTTGACAGACTCCTCATAGATTTGCTGGGCCAGCTCTCTGGTTGGGGCAAGGACGAGGGCACGGGGACGGACGGGACGGGGGACTCCTGGACGGTATGGGGCCATTGGCTCTGGGGCTCCGTCAAGGAGGATGCCAGAGATGATTGGCAGAAGGAAGGCTGCGGTCTTTCCGGAACCGGTTTGGGCACAGGCCATGAGATCACGGTCCTTCATGATGATTGGTAGGGCACTCTTCTGGACTGGGGTTGGCTTGGTGTACTTGGCGTACTTGATGTTCCTGAAGAGGACATCACCAAGATCAACATCCATGAAGGAGTTCAATGGTGCACAGATGTGCTCAGAGGTATCAATGGAGATGTCATCATCATCGTAGGCATCAAAGTCCAAACCATGGTTTGCGTTGCCCTTGAAGATCTCCTCTGCCTGCTTCTCATCCAACTCAGTGAAGTCTTCTCTCTGTTTTTGTTGTTAAAATATTGTTTGTTAGTTGGCTGATCAGTTGTGAAGAGTGAGACTGATTGTTTGTTTTAAACATACCTTAATCTCCTTGTGAACTCTTGAATCACGGAAGGAGTTCCACTTGTCAAAGTAGCGCTCGATTTGTGGTCTGCCCTTTCCAAAGCCACCACCACCTCTGCCACCTCCAAAGGCAGAGTTGCGACCATAGGATGAAGATCCATAGCCGCCGCCACCACCACGAGGTCCATCGTTCGACCAACCACGGTCGTTTCTGTAACCAGCTGGTGATTTGTTGTAGAAGTCACCGCCACCACCACGGCCGCCGCCACCACGATAGTCATCACGGTAGTCACGGGCATCACGGTTGTCACGGAAGTCTCTTGGGTCGTCACGGAAATCGGCGACACGATTGTCATCACGGTTGTCACGGGAGTCGCGAACATCACGAGTGTCGCGGGGGGCATCGCTGGTGGGGGCTGGGGCGACATCAGCGGAACGGTCACGGCTGTCACGACGGTCCTCGCGAGGTTGGTCACCACCAACACGGTTGTTGTCACGGTCACGGCTGTCACGGCCAGCATCGCGGTTGTCACGGCTGTCGCGGTTGTCGCGATAGTTGTCACCACGGTTGTTGTCACGTCTCACATCACCACCACTACCACGGAGCTCGCGTTGCTGTTGATGCTGGAACTCACGCTGACGGCGTGCGGGGGGGACGTACGGCTGGCCGGTGCCGATGCTGCTGCTGCTGCTACCACTAGAGCCACCTGAAGGAGCAGGGGAGCCGGTGGATGATGTTGAGGTAGGCTGTTGAGATTGGCTGTTATTCGCAGATTGTTGATTCTTTGAACTACCCTCGTTTGAGATGGTGAGCCCTGAGAAATTGTTCAGGGGACTACCATCATTCTCTTTTGATTTTTCAATTGGCATATAGCTTTACTAACTATCTATATATCTAATTATTTGTTTGTTATTATTATTTATAAGTTGATTGATTGATTGAATGATTACAGTTAGTAAATTTGAAATATTTATAATTGATTGATTGATTGATGTTGTCCAATATTAATATTAATAATAATAATTGATTATTGATGATTCGAAGGTAAGATAGAGATAAATAAATATGTAAATAGACAGAGAGATAACTTACCTCACAGGTGTGGGATTTGAATGTGAAGTGGTTAGTGTGTCAATTGTTTCGACTTTATTGTTTGTTGTTGTTTGTTTCAACCTCAACCACACGACCGAATGCATTTAAAACTATTTAAATTATTAAACATGTGAGAAATTGTTCAAAAAACCCGCGTAACGTTCACTTTTTTCTGTTTGTTGCCGTTGAGATCAAGATCTCAATAATCTGAGTCCAGGATGGAACATTCGTCGATTCATTCATTAATTAATATAATATTTATTATTACAATGTATATACTTATATTATTATTACTATTGTTGTTGTAGTTGTTTGTTCATTGCATCCAACTCTTCTAGGATACATGTGTCGAATTGTGCGACGAAACGTTCAAGTTCTTTGGATACATTGATGTCTTCACATGATTCATAAATGTCTTTGGCATCTTTGATCAAGTCAATATTGTTCTCATAAGTATATACCAATGTCTTCTTTGCCTTTGTCAACTTATCATCAGCTTGATCAATCACCGGTCTATCTCTCGTAAATGCAAACCTTGTAATCTTCTGTATCGATATAGATATCTAAGTTGTTGTATTTGAGCATGTTAGTTAAACAATCAATCAATCAATGTAATGTGATGGATATAACATACATCTGATAACTTCTTGAATAGTTTGATGAGGTGGATACCTTGTTCGGTGGAGTTGGTGTTGTCTACGATGGTCTTGAGACGTGTGAAGTTGCTGGTGATGTTCATAAAGTGTATCTGCATGTCGATTGGTTTGAGGAAGTCACTGCCTTGTCGTGAGAGCATCATACTCTTCTTTCGATTGGGTGATGTATGATTGCCACCACCACCTGCTCCATGATGACTCGAGTCTGGTGTCAATGAGATATGATAGCTACTATTATGCTCTGGACTGCCAATTGCACTACGAGGAGTATTGAATCTCATTGGTGATGTGGTGCCAGAGAGCATTGATGATGGTGTTGTTGCAGATGTCTCTAGTACGGCAGTGGATGGTGCAAGGTGTTGTTGCTGTACCAGTGTGGCGGACTTGATGGGAGGTGACAGGAGTATTGGTCTGCTCAGGTCTTGGTTGGAGCGTGACAGCTCTGAGTTGAGCTTGGGTGGGATCACCGACTCGGTGAACGCTCTGATGCGGCCAGACAGCTCGCTGTTGACTGATTGTGATGGGAAGATTGAATGATGGTTCTCAATCATGAGGATGAACAATGCGTTGAACTCTGCGAATGTCTCTGGCTTCTGAATATCCTCCACTGTGAGGTTGGGTATTGGCTCAAGCAGAGCCGGTCCCAACACCACCGCCAAGTTGTTCACATCCATCTTTGTCACCTCCTTGCTCTGTCTAATAGTGTTGCACAATGATAGTACATTGCGCAAGATGACCTGGTTGGCCACTGGTAATGAAGACACTAGTCTTCTCAATTGAGGAATATGTTCGGATGATGGTAGTTCTGGAAGTGGCCAGGGTCGAGGGTTAGGGTTAGGTTGAGGGTTAGGCGAGGGTCGAGGGTCTAGGTATACATACTTGATACAGAGAGGTAATGTTGGTATATGGTGTAGTGGACTACAGGCTCGGGTAGTGAGCGGAAGAATAGTTTGAGGACGGAGGAGACGACATGAGGATCGAGGATTGTGTGTAGGTCCAAGGGTTGACTCATCTCAATCTTCTGTTGTAACATCTCTATTGATGACTTGCCTGCGCCAACTCGGAATATGCCCTCGATGGCTGGTGCACTCTTCTCCAGGTATTGGAAGATCTCCTCGAGGAACACTGGAATGGGTCTTGTTGACTCGCGTGCAAACACCTCCTCCAACTTGACTCCAAATGTCTTGCGCGGGATATAGTTACGCAGTTTTGCGGCCACTCTATTCGTCTCGAGTATCACCTTGCGATAGTTGTCAATGTCCACCTTGATGCGTGCCATTTGGAAGGCACCCTTTTGGAAAAAGTCGGAGTAGGCCTCGTAGGCCGAGAGTATTGTCTGGATGGCCGAGTTCTCCAGCGCCAGCTCCGAGTCGCCATATAATAGCGCAGTCTCCTTGCGTGCTCTATCGTATATGTCCTGTTCGCGCTTGCTGTCTGGCGTGCTCTTGAGTGCCGACGATGTTGGTGGACTGGTTGGCTGGCTGCTTGCGCCGCCGCCAGTGGTGGTGTTTACGTCGCCAGTTGGCGTCAGCTTTTTCAGCTTGTGTTTGGCATCCTTCACGACATCGACCTGGATTCTGATGGTCTCTTTGAGTGGCTGTGTGGTCCTATCATATAGGACATTGCCAAGATGATTGAAGCAATCACTCAATGAGTTCTGCCACTCTGATGCACGTTGCATACAATCATGCAATGGTATCCTCGAGTTGAAACCTGATGCCGTCTCACCATACCTCTTCAATGCATCGGCAAGTTGTTTGGACTGAGTGGCGGATGCTATTTATGATTGGGTGATTAGTCAGTGTGTTGCTGGATCGCGATGGTCAATCAAACATACTAAAGAATTGTTGTTGTTGTCTTTCGAAATTCTTTTGAAGTTCATCCAATGTATCAGAGTGGCTTAGGATGGTCTGGAATTGATTGATTGATTGATTGAGTGATTGAGTTAGTGATCATTCTTGGTCCAAATCATCAATCATTGAATACACACTCTATATAACTCATCACCAGGCGTAACCTTCTTCCTATTTGTAAGTTGTTGTTTGATGTTATTCATTTATGATTGATTTGATTGATTTGATTGATTTGATTGATCGATTGAATGATTGATTCTTGGTTCCTCGTGATCATTAATAAAGGAGGTAAGTGATAATATTTATGTGTATTAATACAATGAAATGAATATAATTAAGTGTAGAAAAGTGATTGTTTGGGGGTAAACCATCATGTGATCAAAGACCACTTCACACTTCCCAACAGCGTTGTTGATGGCTGAAATTATTTGAATTTGAGATGACCCCTCGCTTATTCGAACACAACCTTGAAATTGACCCCTTGGATCACTTCCCCAACATATCACCTTTGCATGGGGGAAGAGATAATAATAGTTATAATATAATATAATATATGTATTCATTCATTGTACAGATATGTTATCAATGAACTGAGGCAAGCTAGTTGATAGTTGGGATGATGGTGATGGTGATGATGAGAATGGAGTGGTTGTCGAGTCAATCTCTAACTCAACTCGCTCAAAGTTGGCTTTCTCGGCACAGTCTGCATGCGTGAATGACTGTGGCAGACATTGTGGCGTCTCTTCAAAGATGTAGGCAAAGTCTTCTATGAGAGTCTGCATGATTCCACATTGTATCTGTGTCTCACTCATCAATTCCATTCTATCCAGTGTCTGTATCCTTGGTCTCATAATGGTTGGCCCAAATACAATACTAAGATTCTTTGTGTCCATCTTGTTCACATCACATCTCTGTGCAATCTTGACCAACAATGCCACCAAGTTATTCAATACCAATCTATTGGCAGTCGGTATCTTCCAACATATATTCCTAATAGTCTCTGCATCTTCATTCTCTGTTTGATCAAAAATTTGGAAGTTAGTATGATTGATTGACAGGAGTGAGTGAATGTTGGGATGGATACATACTCCATGCATCCAACATTGGAATGAAGAAGTCATAGGGTATCAGTGGAGGATCGAGTGCTCTCAGGTAATGCTTGAGTGCATTGGAGATATTGTGTACCTCATAGTTGAGATTTGGTTCCTGTTGTGTAAATGACTTTACAATATGTCTCACTGTATCCATGTTGCCAGACATCCTGAATATACCCTCTATCTCAATGGCTATATATATATGATGGTATGTTAGTATGAGTGATGGGTGGGATAGTTCCATGATTAATTTGAATATTTACCATTCGCCTCCAGGTGACTGATGAGCTTGTCAAATATCTCGATACGGAATGGGATGGTCTCTTTGGACTTTGAACCAAAGATCTTGAGCTTCATGCTTATCCTCTTGTCTTTGTCCTTCTTCTTCTCTTCGACCTCCTTCTCAACCTTGTTGTTGTTTGATGTTGTCAATATACTCTTGAGTGATTGTGATAATTGTTTCCTTCTGGACTTCTTGTCGGCACCATTATCACTATGTGCATCGTCTAGCACTGATGACACTGATGATCCATCCATGAATGTTGATGACTCGTCATTGGATGATGATGACGACTCTTCCTTGATCGGTGATCTATGTCCATTCATTGGACTGATAACTATCACTGGATCCTGATCATCCTCCACCATGGTCACTGGAGTACGATCGAATTGTACCGAGTTACGATTGCCCTTCTTTGATTTGAGGAACTTCAATATATGATTGTGTCCACTCTTGGGTGTCTCTGATGGTGACTTGCTACCAACATCCTTCTCCTTCTCCTTCTCCTTCTCCTTCTCCTTCTCTTTCTCCTTCTTCTTGAGACCATTGAGGAACTGGATTGGATGTGATGACGATCGTTGATGCAATGAGTTGGCCGTTAGAGTGCGCTTGACACCTGGTGTCACATTGGACTCTGCTGTTGCCAAGTTCGGTGTAGAGTTGAATGGTCCATCGATGCTAATGTCCTCGGGATCGACCTCGATACACTTGTTGGACCTGGAATCCATGCTGTTATCACTAATATCACTCATTGAATCAGAGAGTAATGATGATGATGGTATGCCACCAACAGAGTTTGACAGGACTTCAAACTTGGCGCGTAGATTGACCAACTGTTGTCTCGTCTCACGCTTGGCCATCTCCTCCCACTTCAATCTCTTCTCATATCTACTCAGCTCTCTGGCAAAGTCATCCACATACATCTCCATCACCTGCTGATTCTTGATTGGTGTGCCACTGCCACTGCCACTGGTCTTGACATTGCGCATTGATGACTCGATGATTTGTTCCAACTTCAATCTTCTCTCCAACTCCTCTTTGTACATCTGTTTGCTCTCGAGGTAGAGATCACGCATTACACTATATCGTAGATGGCATGCGGTCGATGAGCAGCATTCACCAATGGCAATGGCTGGAATATCACACTCACTTGGCGATGATACCATGTTGGAGTGCATTGTTGGCTCACTACTACCTGGACTGGGACTGGCAATATCAAGTTGATTGAGTGATAGTGCCACTGATGGACTTGGTGATATGTTCAATGAAGATGACAATGGTGGCTTGAACCCAGATACCCTTCCACCTGGACTGGGAAGTCGATCATTGGCCAATCCTGGACTCAATGTGCAAGTGGCCGGGTCAATGACTTCTGGCGTGGTCGAAGGTGATGATGATGCAGCCTTGAACAAGTTGACAAGAGATGTTTGAAGTCGCTTGGAGTTCAAACTCAGTGATGATGAGTTATTGCGATTTAACAGGTTCCTGGAAGGCGTCTTGAACACCAACTTGAGAGTCTCCAACACATGGTACATGGTACATATCTGTGACTTCTTGTTGTTGGAATTCTCTGCACCACCAATGATGATCAATCTACTTGATATTGCCAGACACACATGTCCATATCTCGGTGATGGTGTAGATCCATGTGTCTTGATCAATGTCCATGTCAAATACTCCGTGTCCAATATATAAATATCTGGATCTGTTGATGATTGCATCGGATTGCCAACACCAATCAAGCTGCCACCGATTATATATATCTTTGTGCCGATGGCCACGGCTGAGTGTCCACATCTTGGCGATGGGGCATCGCCCTGCAACTCTACTAATGTCCATTCCAATGTCTCCAAGTTCAAAACATACAGATCATTCAACAACTGTTCACCATTATATCCACCAAATATGAATGCCTTTGAACCAACAATGGTACATGTATGATTGGATCTTGGTGTTGGGTACACTAAGTTTGTGGCGTTGGTGATTGACTTTGTTGGCGATGATGTCGATGATGTAGTTGAAGTTGTTGTTGCCGTGGTACCGCCAATTGGTGGAAGTAGTTGTTGTTGTGCCGCCAGAGGTGATCGATTGATAAGGTGGACGATTGGCGAATGGTGACTGCGCGGTGAGTTTCCACCTGCGGCTGAATGGACTGCTTGCTTGAAGGGGTGACCAGACTCTGTGACAGGTGTCGAAGGGTGTGATATTGTTGCAGAACGACCTCTTGTCGTTGGTGATGGTTCGGATGTGTCATTATGGTTGATCGAGGAGGGTGTCGTCTGATCGAGTATTGACGCGCCCGGAGCTAGTTTAGACCATTGATTTCGTTCGGTATGGAATAGATGTATGTCGTTGAGTGGAGTTGACTTGTTGACACCACCGAATATCATTATATAACTGTCGAATATGTATGATGCTGTATGGCCTGATCGCGGTGTTGGGGGCTCACCTGACACCTTGGGTCTGGACCATGAATAATTATTTGTGTTGAATTGATACATGTCATTTAACTGCGATGTATCTGTCTGGCCGCCAAACACAAACATCTTTCTTCCAATCTGTGTTGCCGTGTGGCCTGAACACGGGGGTGGCGGCACGCCCAGTGTATGAGGCTTGGTAAATCCATTTGGATGAGCTAAGTATTGATTGAATGATGGATGTTAGGGAATTGATATCACCTGATTGATTGAGTGCTTGGACTGTACCAACCTGTATTAAGTACAATAGTGTTGTTGGACAATTTGTCGTTGACAAAGTCATATCCACCAAATAGTACTATGTCCCTATCACCAGAGATCGTGCCTGACAATGAGTGCACTGACAATGTCGCATCTGGAAGTTTTGAAAGCTTTGATGCTGTCCAACTCATTATTTGATTGTTTGATTGAGAGATATGTTTATCTGAATAGATGTCTGTCTGTCTTTGAGGTTGGGACTGAGATTGAATGATTGATTGATTGATTCAATGGACAGAGTGATGGATTGATGGATGGACTGGACAGAGATGACAGCGGGTACGTGTTGACCAACCAATCAGTTGAGTATAACTTGTCAACTCTACAGTTTAAAACAATGCAATAAAGTATAGGATTGGGGAGCTGGGAATGAATGGATTTGATTAATTAAGGGATGGATGTATGATGGATGGAGTGATGGAGTGAAGAGCGATGGATGGACGGTGATGTTGTTGACAAATGGGCTGGCAACAAAGGGTGGGAAGGACGAATATAAAGAGAGAGTGGAGAGTGTATAAGTATAGATTAGTGGATTGATTGATTTATTGATTGATTGTCGCGCTCTGATGATCATGTGAGTGAGGGACGGATTGATTGATTGATGTTGTTGTTGGACACGCTCCAACATCCACCTCACTCCTTGTTTGATGATTAAGACCCTCCTCCTCTCTCCTCCCACACCCATCAATCACATTCAACATCAACATCAACAACATTAACAATAGAATTAAGAGAGGTAGTAGAGATTATACCTAAAGTGAGTAGTACAACATCTCATGGTAGTAGTGGGGTTTGGTTGTTATAAGTATAGGTGCAGTCAGTCGTTAACTTATCATAACGCTGACCCTTCAACTAAGGAATAACACACCACCACATTTACATCTAAGGGTGGGATGCCATGACCATCAAGTCACCTGATCATTTCATTCATTCATTCATTCATTCATTCGAGTGGTCGAGATGTGTGGTGGGTTGGTTGTTGTTAGTGGGTTATTGATACTGTTTGTTATTGTTGTTGTTGTTGTTGATCATGACTCTGTGTGTGAGTGTGTGTAGATAATAATAGACTTGAACTTTATTCATTTCATTGTAGTTCAACTTCAACTTCATTCATTCGATTATGTCAAGATGACCTGAATAATGAAGTACTTCGCTTGATGATGTTCACAAGTTGACCAAGTCAAATGGGTTATATCAAAGAGAGAGGCGCCATTTAACTTGGAATTCAAACAAACACGTGTTGTGAAGTAGGATTACCAGCCGATGCCAACTTGTTTGCAGCCACCCATCAATCCATAAAAAAAAAAAACTATCTATGTTCCTAGATTACTGTTTTTGATGGAATGTGGCAAAAACTTAATAAAATTCGGTGAACGATGAGAGGCTTTGAGTGTGGATTCATAGGTGATTGATTTTGGTCAGTGTTTCCCATTCAACACTTAGGTGAATTTACTAATGTTGCTTCAGAGACACCTTGGCATAAGAAGCGTCCATGTCCGAAAGGACAGGAAAATCAAAGAAATCAGATCAAGATCTCTCTATCTCTTGGTCATGATACCATACCAACAAACTGGACTAGACTATCTGGGCTGACTAACTCACACATCATACCCATTCAGTTCCTACCCGAACCAACTAACTCACATTGACCTATGATGATCGTCAACTTCTAAATGTTACATGAATTGTTAACTTACTAGTTTTAAGGGCAAAGGATATCTTGAAACGTCCATCAAGTGTCTCTTACCCAACATATACATCATTGATTAAAACAATACTTGTATAACTTTCATTCATTCATTCATTCATTCATTTATTCATTCAATAAGTTCATCAAGTATGTACTCAATCTTTGTTGTGTTGTTGTTAATATTGATCTAACATGTCCTAACGATTAATCAAATACAAATTAGGATTCAAAGATAGACTATAAATAGGATTCTTTAAAAGATAAGAAAGCAGTAACTTACAAACACAGATATTATTATTACTTTTGAGTGGCATCATTCCTAATGTAAGTGACATTCACATTGGATAGGTGCCAACAATGCACATTCCCTCATTTTGCACACTTTGACAAACCAACCGAAACAACAATCACCCACCCCCATCTTGCACCATCACATCTTTCACTAGCTCAATCCAATTCCGAATCGAATCATCATCGCAAACATTGTCACACTTCACATCACTCTTTCATTTTGTCATCTGTCTGTGTATATCTGTATATATATATAATTATTATTTATTACATATTTAAGTGTATTACTACTTCAATATCATATTACTATCAGTCAGTCAGTGCCGACTTGAATATATAAACTATCGATTGAATGGATTGATTGATTGATTGATTGAATGATTGATACATGTTCGTGTCTAGTGTCATGCATGCATTGACAATGAATAATGTTACTAACTTGGACTATCTTACACTACACTACTTATAGATTGAAATGATATATGCAATGGAGTATAATAACAATTTCAATCTACTCACATCACAGTTGTCAAATCAATTACAACAACTACAACAACAGAATCAGCAACAACAGCAACAACAGCTACAGCAACAGACATTACCTCAACAAACAATATATAATGGAGCGCAACAACAACCACAACAACAACAGTACATATATAATTCACCGACATTACCTCCACAGCCAATGCCACAATCACAGCAACCCCAACAACAACAACAACAGAACTATAACAATGTACCTCCACCAACATTAATGGTCAATAACTCATTTGCATCACATTCATCATCATTGTTTGGGGATCAATCCAATGCATCAAATAATGAACCGACAAAGAGACTGAAAAAGGCGGCCAAGTCATCAAAGACTACAGCCGCAGCGGCACCATTGTCCACTTCACTGTTGTCGTCATCATCACATCTGTTTGGTGCACCTCCCAGCAGTGCGACATCTGTTGCCTCACCATCACATGCACCCGCCACGCAATACATGTCACCGCCGACGACGACAATGATGCAGCATGTACACAACAATCAAATGCAATTGGTGGTGCAGGACTCGTCGTCGCCGCTGTCGCCACCAGTGAACGTGCCACTCTCGCCATCGCAACCAACTACGCCAGGTCGTACATTCGACCTCTTTGACTTTGGAAACACCTCAAGCATCCCCTCGTCTCCCAACAACTCTCCTCCTACAAATCTCACCGACCATCCATCATTCGCCAGTGGCAGCCAATATCTCCTGCCACAACATCATCATCAACAACAACCACAACAACAGCACTCCCATCAACCAACACCATCAACAGCCGACTCGATCAGCGGCAACCTGAACAGCATATATAACGAACTAATAAGCTTCACAAACAACAATAATAACAACAGTAACATCAACGCACATTCACTTGGAGACAGTCTCAGTGGCAGTTTCAATCATTTACAATCATCGCTAAACATGGACCTGTCATCCACGCTCCATCACTCGTCATTACTCCTTCCACAATCAACATCAACGCCAACACCAACCCAAACGCCATCGCTGGTCGTGCCCGCGCAGCCAGCCAACATCTTTGTCACACCGCCCATGAACTCAGTTGCCGCGTCAACCTCGTCGCCCGTGTTCCAGGCACTCAGCATCAACACCATAAGCAACAGCAGCAGTGGTAGTCCATTCCCTATGCATGACGTGGCACAATGTTCACAGCTCTGGACATCACAATACCAGCAGTTCACGAACAAGTCTCCGTCCTCCCCGCTAGTCGCCTCGATCATGGCGCCAATGATGTGCAAGGATAGTTATCTAGGCGTCTACACCGTGGACCTCACTTGCAGCGATCACAACCTGCTTCTAAGACTCAGAGTGCCCAGCCCGGCAACCCTGCGCGTTGTCAAGAGCTCCGAGTCGCCATCGGCCATGGTCAGACTGTTTGCGCACGTTGAGTCGTCCAACGAGTCATTATTGGCTACACTCCCTCAGACGCTGTCATGGTGGATGTCATTGCTGATGGAGAACAACTACATTCAGATGGAGTGCACCATTGTTGGCTCCAACATCAAGGCTGGTCAACTCGAGCTAGAGATGCGATTCTACAATGGAGTGCGAAAGGAGTATGTCATGTCACGCGAGCACATCCTGGCCAAGGCTTGGCTACAACTTGGACTCGAATTGAACATTGCCACAGCACCCAACAACAACGTATATCAGCCATCCATGCTATCGCCACAACAGGCACCACTCAACTACCACAACTTCTCGTCATCATCAAACTCCTCACTGGCGGGACTCTCTCCCAACACATCACTCTCCTCTGTCATCACCCCGCTCTCTCTTTACTCGCCCTCATCCTCATTCGCCTCATTGCCCACGTCCACATCGGCATTGTTTAGCAGTGGCAGCGAGTTGCAACTGTCGCAACAAAGCCTGGGCGGCTCCAACTCCAGTCTCAATGTCAGCTTGGACTTCTTGTCGAGCTCACGCAACCTTACACCATCAGGCGCACTGCGTGGCAGCAGTGATGTATTGGGCAAGTCAATGGAGACCATATTCAAACAGAGGATTGAGGACTTTTACACCAATCACTCCTTGGACGAGATGGACAGTCCCACAGGCCTGAAGCTAACGTTGCGAAACTATCAGAGACAGGCATTGCAGTGGATGTACAATCGTGAGAAGGCCAGTCCTGACGAGCATCTCTCAATCAATGACCTGGACGGCTGCATGACCAACGAGAACATTGAGTTTGTCAAAGGTGGCCTACTCTGCGATGATATGGGCATGGGCAAAACCATCGAGATTCTCTCAATCATACTGGCCAACAAGTACAACGAGGCTGACTACCCTATCGGTCCCTCAACCAGTCCAACTCAAGGCACATCAACCAGCACCAGCAACAACAATGACTTCCCTCAATCAAAGACCACACTGATCATCTGTCCAGTGTCTGTGTTGCAACAATGGTACAACGAGATCACGACACACACTGACCCATGTCTGAACGTGTACATCTACCATGGTCCAGGCCGCAACCGTGACGTCACATTCCTGTCGTCGTTCGACGTGGTCATCTCGACCTACACGACACTGTCGGCCGAATATCCCGACGAGAAGGACGACGACTCTGAGCTCTCCCAAAAGAGCGCATCGAGCAACATGTTTGCCAGCAGTGGCTTCTCGCCACTTATCACTGTCCAGCCTGCGGGCGTCTCCCCCAACACCATCGTGGCAAAGAAGCGCAAGCGTGGCTCCAAGAAGTACGATAATGGCGGTCTTCTTGCCGTGCGTTGGTTCCGTGTGGTGCTGGACGAGGCGCATACGATCAAAGAGCGTCTGACACGCACGACCAAGGCCGCCTGTGCGCTCGACTCCAAGATCAGATGGTGCGTCACTGGTACGCCCATCCAGAACAAGCTGGACGACCTCTTCTCTCTGCTGCACTTCCTGCGCGTCGAGCCCTACTCCAACTTCTACTGGTGGAACCAATATATTATGAAGCCCAGCAAGAACAGAGATGAGAAGGGCTTCTCGCGACTCAGGATCCTATTGTCAAAGATCTTGCTACGTCGTGTCAAGGACCAGAAGCTGAACAACACGCCTATATTGGACCTGCCAGACAAGATGATCACTGTGCGCCACGACAGCTTCAGCGAGGAGGAGCAGGAAATCTACCAGGAGCTGTGGAACGCCTCCAAGCGCAAGTTCATCAGCTTCTTCCAGAGTGGCACGCTGCTGCGTAACTACGCCCACATCCTGGAGCTGCTGCTTCGACTGCGCCAGGTCTGCGACCATCCCTTCCTGGTGAGGAACATCCTAAAGGACAAGCTGTTCTCGTTGATCGAACAGGACGTGTCGGAGGAGCTCAACAAACTCCTCGAGTCCATCAAGGCCAACGAGGAGATGACGCCACTCGAGTTGGGCAAGCGCTTAAAGAAGATCCTTGGACGTGAGATTGAGGACCAAGAGTGCATCATTTGCATGGAGACACTGGAGACACCCTACCTCACCACCTGTGGCCATCTGTTTTGTAAAGACTGTATATTCAAGTACATTTCACCAGAGGATGACCGTCATCCCCACCATCAACACCAGCAGATGGAGTGCTCCGATGATCAAACCAACGCCACGTCTTCGCCAACCTTCTCAATGCCCGCCGCTCCACTTCCCAAGGCCATTGGACTGAACCAATCAATGAGTGGCCTGCCACACTACGACTCACCAACTCAGAAGCAGAACCATCTCAGCGCCTCGTCCAACTGCATCGGTGTCCTGGATGAGGGTGGCCAGACCACATCCACCTCCAGCACATCCACCACATCCAACGACAATACCTCCCCACCCCACTCGCCAGTCTTCTTGGAGCCTGCACCCAAGGTGATCACATCCAAGTGTCCAACGTGCAAGAACCAGTTCCAACACAGCCTGCTCAAGCCTGTCTGCTTTGAGAGGTCAACCACCGATCAGGCCAGTCAGCAACTGCAACAGAACAAGCTGACCGCCGACAATTGGAAGAGCAGTACCAAGATCGATGCGCTACTGCAAGAGTTGGACAAGGTCATCACCAACGACCCCGAGTCCAAATCATTGATCTTCTCGCAGTGGACCTCAATGCTGGACCTCATCGAGATACCGTTACAGATGCGTGGAATCACATTCGTTCGACTCGATGGCAAAGTGCCACAGAAGCAGCGAGAGATAGCCATCAAGCGATTCAAGGAGGATGCCTCTGTCAAGGTGTTCCTCATCTCGATGAAGGCTGGTGGTCTTGGTCTCAACCTGGTCGTTGCCTCACATGTATTCCTTCTCGATCCATGGTGGAATCCTGCCACTGAGGAGCAAGCCATCGACAGAGTCTATCGTATTGGACAGAACAAGAATGTCTACGTAACTAGATTCGTTATTAAGGTATGTTTTCCTCGATTCCACTCCACTTTAATAACATTGTAAAGCTAACCATAACACCAATCACAAATGATCAGGACTCTATTGAGGAGAGGATACTCAAACTACAACAGAACAAGAAGAACTTGGCCCAAGACACATTGCAGATGAAGAAACAGATCAGAATAGAGGAGTTGAGGATGCTCTTTGGAGATGATTGATCCGTCTGTGGCTGGCTCATAAGACAACACAACAATAAATGGACATCGGGTTGTATGTGAAGTTTGCTGGATGTTTATTGAGATTGTGATGATGATCGATCATGGAAGGTAGCATGAAAGTATCTGTTCGACTGGGTAGTTCAATGGAGCTCGGTGGTACCACTTTCCATCCTTGATAGAGTAGAGGCAGTACGAATTGATTTGTATCTTGACAACACCAAGCTCGGGTACCATCGATTGGGGAGTGTGACAGGAAGACTACCTTTAAGCTTTCGCCAGGCACTGGCACCACGACTGGCAACGACGCCCCTCAAGAAATTATCATTGGAAGCAAGTTTCTTCCACTAATCCACGCACGAGTGGACCCGGCCACTCCTGGCCAAAGAGTCTCTTCCCACCTCTTTGAATGGTTTAGGCGACACAAAAAATACTGTCTGCATGTCATGGTGGTTGTTTATTGGTTGGATTGTGCGGAGTAGGTAAGTGCAGCCCGCTTCAACAAAGGCGACTTTGACTTCTTGGTGGAGGCAACGCCTCCAAAGATGTCGGCCAGGGACAGCAGAGTTTGGTTCAAGAAGTTGATCCACAGAGAATTGAAGTAGTTCCTGTTGCACTCGAACTGCGAGTTGGCAAAGTAGCTGAAGGACAGCCAGCGCACCAGAGCTCGGGTCACGTAGAATATATATGCCCAGTAGGCATTCGATGGTGTAGATGCTCCTTTTAGAGCGGAAGGTTGAGGACAGGGGCTGCGCCGACGCCCAAGTCAATAATGCCGCCGCGGAACTGCGGCGATAGGAGCAACGCAGTCGTCGGAGACATGATCCGGATGAACACGACGATCCTGTTGTCACCGACCTGGTAGCGGTGCTCGATATCAGTGCCGACAGCGAAGCAACGAAGTAGGGCAATTGGCAGGCGACCTGTCTCGCAGCCCAGGACGACCGTTCTGATCGATGGGAACTTCCGTGAGGTGTCTAGACTGAGATACCGTGTGTTCTTTGCGTCATTTAACTTGTGCGGGTTGCTGAAGAGTGCCAACGAATGAATGGTTGGTGGGAGGTCGCGGAGCACGATGGGGCATGCGCGATTAATCGGAGTAGTGTAGTGGAGGATGAATGTCTCTAGGTTGGCGGGCAACACCTCACTGTTGAAGGAATCACGGGTGTATAGCTCCAAGTGGCGAATGGTCGACGGTAGGAAGTGCGCCGGCAGGAGGGCAATGTCGAGATAGAGCTTGGTCACAGAGGATGGGATGTGGTATTGGTCCTGGCGGCTTCTGAGCCTCATGTAGACCTTTGCGTCAGGCGTGCCATTGTTGCCAATCTCCTCGCTGAAGAGGTCATATCGCATGTCCATCGACGTGAGCGAGGCTGGGAGAGTGCCGATGGGGTAGCGATTGGCAACGAGCAGGCTCCCAAGGCAGAGGTGATCCATATGAGTGAGGTAGGAAATGTCAGATGGCGCCTTGTGCAGAGTGAGTGACCGAAGACTGGATGGAAAACTGTTTGCGCGCAACGTGGCGACGCCATTGTAATCCATCCAAGTGACAGACTCGGGAATGGCACCGGGCTCGATCTGACAAGGCCTGTCGGACCCCCAGCTCATGGACAGCGATTCTAGACGCGCCGGGAAGAAGCCTGCTGGGATAGAAGTGTTCTCTGCGTGGACAAGGATGTTGATCACTAACGATTTGAGCGCCGCTGGGAAGAGGTTGGTCTGGAACACCTGGCGGAAGCCAAGGTCCAGCGAGGTGATCGATGGTGGAAGACTGTTTGGTTGCAAAGTCGCCGAGCACTTGTGCTGAGAGAGATCGGCGTTTAGTCGAAGCGTCGTGACCGACGAGGGGATGGAGTTGGGAGGGATGGCTTGGAGGCGAAGAAGATCCAGCCTGGTCACCGACGAGGGAATTGCGCCGATGGGCAGCTGCTGTCTCTGAGTCAGACTCTGACAGTCCAACTGGAGGCGAGTGACCGAGTTTGGAATTATGCCAACAGTTGAGAGGTCGAGCTGGGGCATGTAGCCCAGCATGACCAGTGTGTGTACCGTCGTGGGAATGTCGCCGACCGCCAGTGTGAGCTGATACTGCGTGATGTCCAGCCAGGTGAGAGCTGGCAGCGACGCGAGGAATGAGAGCGGGTGTGCGTAGTTGCGCAGCTTCAATGTGGTCAGCGTCACGGGAAGGGTGCCAGCAGCGATCGCCAGTGGACAGGCGATGAGGCGGAGGCTGGTCAGGGACGAGGGCAGCGACTTAAAGAAAGACGACGATGTCGATGCAGTGGCAGGTGGCGTGGCCTGTGGTTGGGAATTGGCGCGACCAACGCTCAGTCGTTGAACTGTGGCGGGTATCAATGGATCACGGTCGAACTTGGTGAAGAACTTAAGTGACGCCACATCTACCGACGCGTTGAAGGAGATGCTCCTGGAGTCATATTCACTGAAAGCTTGTGGACAAATGTCAGCGATGGCGCTCTCTCGTCGTTCGAAGGTGCTCAAGCTTACCAAGTGTTCGAACGAGAAGTTGGTGGGATATCGAAGAGTCAAACAGGTTCGGGTTCAACATGTTCGATGCCTCGACATAGGGACGCTCGTTCTTTCGCGGCTTCTCGTAGCGAATGCCTTCAATCCAAGTTGTGCGCACCACTGCGCACTTGACCGTGTCAAGTCTGTGGACCAAGGGCAGAGCGCGCTGCCACAACATCGACTTGAGAGTGTAGAGGCGGCGACATGTGAGCAACAAGCAGACGAGGTCGAGCGTGTCCAAACAGCAAACAATACTGCCGAGGCAATGCGGTGACAATGTATCCAGCATTGTGAGAGCATGTATGTGTGTATGTGTGTGCAAAGTAAAACTTGAGCCACCAGCTTCCACAAAGTTGGTTGCGGCAAAGTGTCCCGTGTATTTCTTGGCCTACTCCTCCTGGCTCTTGCCCAAGTATTATACTCTTGCAACAGATGGCGCTGATCGTGTTCTTCCCATATCGGCTCTTCACGTAATTGTTGGATAAGCTCCTTAATTTGTAATGTAAAATTGACAAATATTTCCTTAAATGGGTTGGAAGTCCAACCCCACGACAGTACTATTATTCTCACATCAATTTAAGGTGTCTCATTATACATATACAGAGTTTAAACAAGTTACAATGAGCTTTATAAAGTAGTAACTTATTCAATTGAATACGATGAATCAAGTAGTTGAAGTGATATACTATTTAGAATCCTAGAGTTATGGTCCTCATCTTATCTTTATAGAGCTAGACAGAGCATAATCATTTAGATACTTTGGGTAATACTCCAGGAGTAATAAAGATATCTGGCTGGAATTGTATTTGTTTTCATTTAAATTTGCGATAGTTCTATCTGGTAGAGGTGGATCTTTGGCCCACACTTCACTAAATCAAAGAAGCAACTAATCGGTCAATCAAACAATCAATCAAACAATCAATCAAGCACACACAACAACAATGAAGGTAAGGACTTACAAAGAGTAAAGAGAGCCTCGAGTCGAGACACATACTCACTCTCACAACTCACACTATTACAGAGTTACTTGGTTGTAGGTGGAGGTGGATTCTTGGGAAGATACATCGTCGAGGCCTTGTTGGCCCGTGGCGAAACAAAGGTCCATGTGTTTGACATTAGAAAGTCGTATGAGGACACTAGGGTCACATTTCATGTTGGAGACATCAGAGTGTTGGACGACCTCTTGGCTGCTTGCCAGGGCATCGACTGTGTCTTTCACACTGCTTCGCCCACTCACGGCATGGGCTACGACCTATACTACAGCGTCAACGTGACGGGCACTGAGACATTGGTCGAGGCATGTCGTCGTGCCAACGTGCGTCAACTGGTCTACACGAGCAGCTCATCAGTCGTGTTCAACGGCAGCGACATTGTCAATGGCGACGAGACCATGCCCTACGTCAAGACTCATCTCGACCCATACAACAAGACCAAGGAGCTCGGCGAGCGTGCCGTGCTGGCTGCCAACTCGGCCCAGCTACTCACGTGCGCCCTGCGTCCCGCTGGTATCTTTGGTCCACGCGACGTTCAAGGCTGGCCCCAGTACCTCAAGGCCGCCAAGGAGGGCAAGAACAAGTTCATGTTTGGCAGCGGCAACAACCTTTGCGATTGGACCTACATCGACAACGTGGTCCACGCGCATCTTCTCGCCGCTGACAAGATGACCGAACAGTCCAAGATCCCGGGTCAGGCCTACTTCATCACCAACGACGAGCCCATCCCCTTCTGGGACATGCCCATCTTTGCCTACGAGGCGTTTGGCTACGAGCGGCCCAAGATCAAGGTGCCGTTTCTTGTGATCTATGCCATCGCCTGGTTGATCGACCTCATCGTGCTGATACTGTCGCCCGTCGTCAAGATACACCCAACCATCACAGTGTTCCGCATGGTCTACTCCAACTCGACACGTTACTTCAACATTGCCAAGGCCAAGCGTGATCTGCAGTACAAGCCCATCGTCTCAGTCGAAGAGGGCATGGAGAGAACCAAAGTATGGTTCAAACAGAACTACTCTCAGTTTATCAAAAGGAAGTAAATAACCATCGACCATCTTAGTGATGTTGATCAGGTCTTCTTCTTCCCATCCAATCATCTTTGTTGTCGTCATCGTCTTACTACTGATATCTGATCATCAACATCATGAGGCTAGGATAGTGGACACATGTATCAATCACAAGTAAGGTGATTAAAGAAATACAGTACTTTGTAGGAATGGTTTATTATTTAGCAGCAGCCAGACTTGGTTTGGGTTGGCTCTGGAGTGACCTGGATACCTGGTGGGATTGGGAACACACTGATGAAGTTAAGAAGAAATAGAAAGAGAGAGAAGGATAGTGTTAGCAAGTGTTGTTGATAAGTGCGCTGATGGTCGTTGATTGTTAAAACATACAGTCCGTCCTCCAACTTGATGGCGTTTCTAGCGATGGTCTGGAAAGCTTGCTCGACGTTGATGGCCTCCTTGGCAGAAGTCTCAAAGTATGGGATGTTGCCCTTGCTCTGGCACCATGAGGCGGCACGCTTCTGGGAGACGACACGCTGGTTCTCCAAATCGATCTTGTTGCCCAGCACGACGAATGGGAAGTTGTCTGGGTCACGTGGGCCGGCCTGGATGAGGAACTCGTCGCGCCACGAGTCCAAGTTCTCAAAGGTCTTGGCGACGTTGACGTCGTAGACGAGCACACAGCAGTCGGCGCCACGGTAGAAGGCGACACCCAAGCTCTGGAAACGCTCCTGACCGGCTGTGTCCCAAATCTGCATTGTGACCACACGGTCGTCGACCATCAACTCCTTTGTGAGGAAGTCTGCGCCAATGGTTGCCTTGTATTGATTGCTAAACTTCTTGTTGACGTACTGGTTCATCAAAGATGTCTTACCGACACCTGTGTCTCCCAAGATGATAACCTTCAACAAAACCTTCTTCTTTGTGGCCATTCTTTATCTTTGTTTGTTTGTTATTATTTAAAATAAATATCTAAGTAATGATGATGTTATTATAAGTATGTGAGTTTACAATTAACTTGTTTGTTGTTGTAGTTGTTGTTGTTTGGTTTGATGTATGAATGAGGACAAGTAGTTGTTCTTTAAATAGAATAATGATTGAATACAACAATGAGAGAGAGGATGATTCAAGTGATGAAGAGAGAGTGAGTATCACCAACAACAAAGAGAGAATCGAACGTTAAAGTGTAAGAGAGTACAACGACAACACAATGAGTGTGTGTGTGAGAGAGAGAGAGTGAGAGAAACTTGGTGTGATGTCAATCAATGAGAGGATGAGAACAAACTCCTCACTTTGAATCGATTGATTGATTGAGTTACTGATTGATTGAATAGTTTACTTACATGATGTATGTATGTATATAATGAGTAGAGTATTCTCTTTTGATTATTTGTATGACAATAATAATAGAGAGAGATACTGCTGGGTGTGAGAGAGGTAATGAATGCAAGAGAGAAACGCTTGCCCAATTAATTCACCTTGAGATTCACATGCTCTGTCACCAGACTCATTCACTCACTCTCACACAGACACAAACACAAATACACACGTATCTTTGTCACAACACTTCGGTCTCCTTCCTGGACATGCAAGTTTATGTTTGTTTGTGCACTGCCCCCCACCAAGATACTAATTCCAACGCATTTTCTATTTTTTTTTGTTTTTTTTTATGTTTATTAATCACCACACTCTAGAGGGTGTGCGAGAGAGCTAGATTCTCTCTTGAGATTCACCCCCATTATAAAAGTACGATTCACATCCACTTGGGGTTGCATTGTCGTCTCCAGGACTTTCCCTAAGTCCACTTTCCAGGTCAACCAATTAGTTGATTGGTAACCAAAGTCTGATGATAATTAATGATCAAGATGATGTTAATATTGAACATTAATGTTCAAATCCAACTGAATTAACTTCGACTTTAGGTCGTTGGAATCGTGTCAGGACTTGCAATGAAGCCTTGATAGTACCAGGTGTTTATAAATTAATTGATTGATGGCTGTCAATTTAATATTTGTATATTTGTTTGTTTGTTTGTTTGTTGTTGGGATTGAATGAAGACAGCTCATGTGGATTGAGGAAGTGGAGAACTGTGTTGTTCCAAGAAGTCTTACTAAGAACTAACATCACCACCATCCTTATTCTTGCGAACACTCACATAACAATATGTTGTGTTGGTGAGGAACGCCACAAGTCAATGTTAGACCAGTGCAGTTGTTGATGAAGACGTTGGCGATGTCTTGGTGAATTGTAAACCAAATGTTCTCCAACAATCGACCATTCCTTCAACGAGACGTCCAATCTCGGTGTCACTGTGCACTGGGGAGGGCGTGAGACGGAACCGTTCGGTACCCTTGGGCACCGTGGGGTAGTTGATTGGCTGCACGTAGATCCTGTGCTTAAGCATCAAGTAGTCGCTCATCTTCTTGCACAGGTCAGAGTTGCCGACGATCAATGGAACAATGTGCGAGGGCGACTCAAGCAGGGGCAGGTTGGCATCGCGCAACGATTGCTTAAGCTTCTCGGTGCGCTCGCGGTGCAGGCGACGCTCCCTCTCGCTCTTCTTGAGGTAGCTGACACTGGCACGCGCGCCGGCGGCGATTGAGGGTGGGAGAGAGGTGGTGAAGATGAAGCCAGGGCTGAGCGACCGGATCGTGTCAATGATGTGGCGGTTGGAGGCAATGTAGCCACCATAGACGCCAAACGCCTTGCCGAGAGTGCCAGAGATGATGTCGATGCGGTGCATGAGATTGTCACGCTCGCAAACGCCTGCTCCACGCTGGCCGTAAAGACCGACGGCATGGACTTCATCGATAAAGGTGAGAGCCTTGTACTTGTCGGCAAGGTCGCAGATACGCTCGATGGGCGCGATAGTGCCATCCATGCTGTAGACCGACTCAAAGATGATCAACTTGGGACGTGCTGGGTCGACAGAGGCCAACAGCTGCTCGAGATGTTCGGCATCGTTGTGCCGGAACACAAACTTGTCCAACTTGGAGTTGCGAATGCCCTCGATGAGCGAGGCGTGGTTCTTGGCATCACTAAAGATGATGCAGTTGGGGAGTGCGGCGGCGATCGACGTCACGGCCGACACGTTGGCCACGTAGCAGCTGCCAAAGACGAGTGCGTTGTCCTTGTGGTGGAGGTCGGCCAGCTCGCGTTCGAGCATCACGTGCTCGCTGGTCGTGCCAGAGATGTTGCGCGTGCCGCCAGAGCCTGCGCCCATTCTGCGGATGGAGTTGGTCATCTCCTCAATGACCAGCTCGTTCTGTCCCATGCCCAAGTAGTCGTTGCTGCACCAAACGGCGATTCCCTCGCTGTCCACATCGAGCTCAATCTCCTCCTGTTGTGTGGACAACAGTTGGGCGGACGCTGCTGCGTCGGGGGAGGTCGCCACGGCCTCGTTGTAATAATCAACGTTGGCAAACTTCTTGGCGTAGGGGAACTGACCGACCTGGCGCTGGATCGTGGTGAACACACGGTATCTGCCCTCCTCCTTGAGGTTGTCGATCACATTCTCAAAGTTCTCCTGGAATTGGAATCTTTGTGGCTGTTGCTGCTGTTGCTGTTCCTGTTGAATGACCAGGTCCTCATTCCTACGTCTCTCATTCGTTTCAATCATCTCCTTGACCAAGTTATCCTCGCTAGTAGTTGGTTGAATGACCAAAGTGCTATTCTGAGGTGCAATCAAGTGTGACAACACCTTCAATCCTTGGTCGCCCTATATGTACCATGTTCATGAATGAATGAATGAATGAGTGACATATTCGTTGTATTCATTCATTCAAACACACATACCTCTTGTTGAAGGCTACTCTCTACTACTCCAGCGAAGGGACACTTCTCAAAGAAGTCCTTGGCATTCTCTGGAGTGAGACTGGTTGGATGGCTATCGATGATTTGATGCACCTTTTGAGCGGTGCTTGTCATTGCTCTACCGGCAGTGCCGTGAAAGAATGGACATGACTTTGGTATGGCAGCCGAAAGCATTGATGTTGCTGCCTGAGCTGCACTAGTGCCTGCACGTGATCCGATATTCGAAAACATTGTTGTTGTCTATTCCACTAGTTTGTTTGATTGTTATAACTTTGGAGATTATAAATGATGTTGGTTGGTAAATGGTATGGTATGAAATGAAATGATTGATCAGTCAGCCAATCAGTCCGATATGAATGAATGAGTGAGCGAGTTGATGAGAATGTGGGGGTTAGGAATGCGTGTGTTTGTGTGTGTATATTTATAAGTTCCCAAAAGGGGTTGATGCTTGAATGAATAAATTTGATGCATCTCATCAAAGCGATCGTTCGACTTTAGGTTTTATTGGGTCAGAAACGAACTTTGGTCAACAAAAATCCAAAACTTTATTTATTTTATTGTTCAACATCATCATGTTGTTAGAATCTTTGCGTCAACTTGACAGATAGATAATAAGACTTATTTTGACTCATACTCTCTTTACTTGTTCACTCTTTCATTTCTTATTCCATCAAATAACAAACACCTCTATCAGATAGACAGTTGATTGGATTACTGGAATATACTATAATGAGTGATGTTGATGGATGACAAGGACATTGGAACCCGCCCAAGTCAACCCAATCTTGGTTGGGCGAAGAGATATTGTTATTTCCAAGGTCATCACTTCACTGCTCTTCATCAATCAATCAATGTGATCAATCATGATAGAGTTAAGTTGACTTGTTGGGTGAACTTGTAATAAATAATTAAAAACAAATAAAATCCCAAATTTTGATCAACTTTTTAAAATTGAGTGTGTGTGAGAGGCCGAACTGAGGACCTCTCGATCAAACAAACACACACACGCATAATCAACATCACCAACATCAATATCAGTCATTCACTTTCATACTACTTTCATACATATTATATATATATAAACATACTTTAGACTTAAAGTTAAAAAGATGTTCGGAGGAAAGATCGCTATCTTGAACAGATCAATCATTGGAGGCGCAGCCAGGACCTACGCCACGGCCACCAAGCCATACGTGCTGATCGACAAGAACACAAAGGTCATCTGCCAGGGATTCACCGGCAAGCAGGGCACCTTCCACAGTCAGCAGGCGATTGAGTACGGCACCAAGATGGTCGGTGGTGTCTCGCCAGGCAAGGGCGGTAGCACCCATCTGCAGTTGCCCGTCTTCAACACAGTGGCCGACGCCAAGAAGGGCACCGGCGCCAACGCCTCGGTCATCTACGTGCCACCCCCAGGTGCCGCCGCCGCCATCATTGAGGCCATCGAGGCCGAGATGGAGCTGGTCGTGTGCATCACCGAGGGCATCCCACAGCAGGACATGGTTCGCGTCAAGTCCATTCTCAACCGTCAGACCAAGACCCGTCTGATCGGACCAAACTGTCCAGGTATCATCAAGCCCGGCGAGTGCAAGATTGGTATCATGCCCGGCCACATCCATCGTCCAGGCAAGATCGGTATCGTCTCGCGTTCCGGCACTCTCACATACGAGGCCGTCGCCCAGACCACCGCCGTCGGACTCGGTCAGTCCACATGCGTTGGCATTGGTGGTGACCCCTTCAACGGCACCAACTTTGTCGACTGTCTCAAGCTGTTCACTCAGGACCCACAGACTGAGGGTATCATCCTGATCGGTGAGATCGGAGGTGAGGCCGAGGAGGAGGCCGCTCAGTGGCTCCGCGACAACCCCACCAACAAGCCCGTCGTCTCTTTCATCGCCGGTCTGACCGCCCCACCAGGCCGTCGTATGGGTCACGCTGGTGCCATCATCTCTGGAGGCAAGGGAGGTGCCGACTCCAAGATGAAGGCTCTCCAGGATGCCGGCGTCGTCATGTCATTGTCGCCAGCCAAGCTTGGAACCACCATGCTCGAGGTCATGAACAGCAGAAAGTAAAGTAATAAACTACACATCAAGCAGCGACAGCCCAGCAGTAGCAGGTGATGATGCATCATTATAGAACAAACAATCAAACAACAAACAAACATATTCACTCGGAGTAGACTACATTGTTGGACACATTGATGGATATATGGATGGATGGATGGGCCTCCATGATTGATACATGGGGGCCACAACGTGATGGTGCACGTACGACAACTCTACTTTGTCTTGTAGAGCGTGACCAGGTATTTATAGCGAGCGACACAGTCCTTCTTTGATCTCTTGACGTGCTCTGCGATCTTGTCCCAACGATCGGTCAATGTCTTGTCAAACTTGAGCATGGCCTCCTCGAGCAACTTCTGCTCATCAGGGGTCCACATCTCCTCCTTCTTCTTCTCGACAGCGGGTGCAGCAGCAGCGGCAGCAGCAGGGGCGGCGGCGGCGGCAGTAGTGGTGGAGGTGGAAGCAGCAGCGGCTGGCTTCTTCTCGGCAGCAGCGACAGGGGCAGCAGGTGCAGCAGCGGCAGCGGGTTTCTTCTCAGCGGCGGCGACAGGTGCAGCGACAACTGGGGTGGCAACGACAACTGGGGCAGCGACGGCGACTGGGGCAGCGACAACGGGTGCTTCGACTGGTGCCTTCTCATCAACCTCGTATCTGTGAGACAACTCGGATGAGATAGCCTTGTCACCGACCTTGGACTTGAACTTGTCGTAGGCACTGGTGGTCTGGACGACGGGCTTGGAGAAGGCCTTGGTGGGTTGGGCCTCCTTGGCCTTGTTGATCACCTCCTTCAGAGTCCTCGATGGGATCATTGTGGCAATGCTCTCCCAACGCTGGGCACAACCGGCGGGGAATTTCTGGATGGCTTTGGCCAACATGGTCAGCTCCTCGTCGGTCCAGATGCGCTCGCTCTCTACCTCCTCCTGCTTGGCCTTCTTGCTCTCGGCCAGCTGTCTCTCGCGCTCCTTCTTGGCCTCCTGCAGCTCAGCAAGCTTGCCAGTGAACAACACCTTCCTTTGCTCGTTGTCAGCCTCGGTCAGAACCTTGGTGTACTGCTCCAGCTCGGGTGGCACCATCTCACCACAGATGAACTCGACGTCCTCGATGGTGGGCATGGGCATGTAGAGAGGCTTGGGTGGGCCGTAGCACAGCTGTCTGAATGCGTGCTTGATGTTGTGGATGATTCTGTTCTCAGCCTTTCTCTTGTTCTTCTTCTCGAGCTCCTGCTCCTTTATCCTCTTGGCCTCTGCCTCTTTCTGTTCCTTCTCCTCACGCTCCTTCTGCTCCTTCTCCTCCTCCAACTTTCTCTTGGCATCAATCTTTGCCTGCTTGGCAGCGTTCTTGGCATCCTCCTCATCCTTCTGCTTCTTAATAACTCTTGGATCTCTCTTGTAAGCCATGTCTAGGTAGAGTGAGTGAGTGATTGAGGACGGTAACATGTTAGTCAATGAATGAATGAATGATTACAACTCTCAATTGATACATACTGGCCAACTCTAGGATTCTTGCAGACTCGTCCTTTCTCAACTTGGTACGCTTCTTCTCGTTTTGCTTCTCCATCCAACGCTTCTCGTCACGAGAGTCGGCCTGGTCAAGCTCGTAGTCATCGTCAAAGGAGAAGTCACGCCACGACTTGAACGACCACCAGAAGTCGTAGAACTTCATGACCTTGTCGAATGGAGTGTTCATGTCGCCGACCTTGGGTGCGGGCTGCACGCTGGACCAGCGAGAGTTCATCTCAAACACTGGCTCAAACACCTTGAAGAAGTCGCCGCGGTCAGCCTCGGTGGATGTAGGCAGCGAGTCATCGAATGGCTCCTTCGAGTCGTAGGCGCGACGCTTCTTGGCGTCAGACAGCACGTCGTACGCCTTCTGCAGCGACTTGAACGCTTCGTCGCTGCCTCCCTCGTTCTTGTCGGGATGGCAGATGAGGATCATTTTCTTGTAGGCGTTCTTGATGTCGTTCTCGGTGGCTCTCCAGCGGAGATGCGCCAGACCCATGATCTCGTAGTTGTCAATGTCCTTGAGCCAGTCCTTGGACTTGCCCTGGTACTTCTCCTTGAGCTTCTTGAAGTGCTCATCCTTGTCGCCGTCGTCGTCACTACTGCTGCTGCTGCTGCCGTCGTCGGCCTGGCGGTCCTCGTAGAGACCAGTGTCGGGCTCCTTCTTCTGGACCCTCTTCCAAATAAACTCGAATGCTTTGCCGACTGGGTCGATCGAGCGGATGCAGGGCCATCCGTCTTGGCTAGTGTAATAGAACTCTCTTACACTGCCTCCATCCCACATATCAGCAGAGGGTGCACCAACTGAAACAACTATCTCCATAATTATATTATTGTTATTATTATCTGTAGTTGACAAATATAAAACGTGTTGTGAGCGATTAAACAAAATGATTGACTTATGTTTCATCAAAAACCGAGCGATCAAAATTATGAATAATTTTGATTTTATTGATTTGATTTAGCCCATGATTGCAAATAAAGATTTGGATAAGATGGCTCCAGGTGCCACCAGGTAGTCTTAATTGAAGATAGACTATATGTATTACGGGATATTAATATCTAATATATATAATTATAGTTATATTTACATTTTTGTTATCCCAAAAACTAGTACACTCATAAAATTCCATTCGACGATTTCCAACATCTTTAAGTTGGCAGGATCAATATACCTAAATTATTTATTTCCAATTCTCTAAATTATTGATGTAAAGATAATAGGTTGTACTTTTTATACTCTTCATACTTACAATCTTTGCATCAAGTTCTTGAACATTATAGCCAATATGATGGTCTCTGGCGTCACTCTTATCGATGTTCATGAAACAAAATTATATATTATGAAGTAGAATCCAGGATGATTCTTGACGTCATCTCCTTTGTAGCTGGAGTTCACCAACCTTGAGATCACAGTCGGACAACCATAGATTGTTTGAAAATAGTCCCATATCACTTGAGGTACTGGAGTGAAGTCCTTGTTCGCAGTGACTTCGGGTCTTAGAAAATTGGTACCAGGCATGAGTAGAGTCTCATTCAAGATAGGACCAAGGTTGTCTTCATTGGCTCTCCATTTGGTCATCCATTCCTGGTTGATCAGGTACCACTTGTCACCTTCATTTATCTTTGTGCAATCCACAAAGTCTTGGAACATTCTTGATAGTGCCACTCTCTCTTCGAGAGAGCTGATGGGGCGCCGTTGATCCTCTCCAATCACATCTCCAGGCAGAGTGAACTCTTCGTTCACCAAGTCGGCCAGCACAGATGTACATGAATGAATGTGTTGTAGATACCTCAAGGGGATACATCACTCGAACACAACAAACATGATGGGGATGCTTCTTCAAGACGGTTCAACAACAATACCATATGTTGAGGACTGTTGAGATCTGCAGTGTTTATAGCAGGTTTCTCTTGACTATTCTTCATGTTGTCTCTAAGTAGTCTGAGTTTGGCCTCTTCATGTTTGTCATACTGATAGTTGATCACCTTCTTCAAGGTGTTTGCACAACTGTTGAGATGTTGGAGGTAATGAAATGCTGAGTATGTGTTGCCACATACTACACATGTTGGAGCTTCATCTTCCAGTCTCTTCTTCAAAATACACTTTGGAGATGTGTTGTTATTGTTATTATTATTATTGTTGTTGTTAACTTCTTTCAAATCTCCAGTCATTGTATTGTTATACTTGTATATGTATATACATATATTGTTGTTAATTGAATGAAAGAAAGAATGAATGAATCAGGTCACTCACCCTTTAATGAGCTTAAGTTCATCCACACTTTCATTCATTCATTCATTACAACTACACAAACTACAAAGTAATAGACTTCTGTGTTGTGTTGTTGAACTTCATGTACATGTAAGTATGAGAGCGGATCATTAGATTGTGTATTAATACATTGTTTATTAAAGATGTACAAGTAGATGTGTTAGGTCAACTAAGGCAGATATTAGAGTAATGGATATCCACCAAGGTATCCTCTCATGAAACAGTTGTCATTGTTGTTGGTCAGTCTAAAGAATCCACCTTCTCCCCATCCAGGTCCCCATGAATTCTTGATTATCCAATAGTTTCCTTGAGCATTGTAACCAACTACCAGTACAGCATGGTTCTGTGAAGTGTATCTAGTGTTACAAGAGTAGATACCACCCTTGTAGTTCTCCAATGATGTGTCTGCCATCATACCAACTGATACAGGTCCATTCTGAAGTGCATCGATCAAACTCTGTACACTGGTGTCTCTCAGGAATTGAGATCCGGTGAATTGGAACTTGTTGTTGGGAGTGGCAGCCATTGGATCTTGACACGAACTGACTCGACCTTGATAGATCATCGAGCTCTCTAGTGGCAACGACCTGAAGTTCTGCCACACCAATCCGAACCAACCACCTCCGCATCCATTGGAGATGCAGTTCAGACAGTATTGCTCGGACAGGTCAAGTGTATTCTTGTTTGCGCCCTTCTTGATCACAGCATGTGCTTCAAGGTTGGCAATAGCACTGAAGATATAACAACTTCCACAAGTACCTTGGAACTTGACGGATGTCATCATGCCAGTCCAATCAATGGAGCCAGATGGACCCTTCACTGGACCAGTCACAGGAGCTGATGTTTGTGTAGGTGTTTGAGTTGGTGTTGGAGATTGAGTTGGACCAGTATTTGATTGAGGAGTGTATGGTCTTACGCCTGGATATGAAGCTGGATAATATGAACAATAGATATAGTTCAGTCCTCCACATCTCGATGAGGCACAAGCATAATCAGTACTCCTCTCCCACACAGCACTTGTATAAAGACAACTCTTTCCAGGTTTGCAAGCCGAAGTACTCCAATCAAAGTTTGAATTAGTATTATAAACACTATTAAGTACCTATTTGATCAGTGATCAATCATTGTTAAAATAATTATACAAATATTATTAATATATTATTTCTATTTACTTACATCTGGAACATTGACATCGGATCCAGTGGTTGAATATCTCCATTCACTATTGATTTGGAATAGTGCCTCGTTACTTTGTTGACCAGTACAACGGTTGACAAAAGATTGAAGTGTATTCTCCATTGTTGTATTCCACTTAAGTGGTCTGAGTGTGTTTAGTGGAGTTGGTGTTGGGTACTTCCTCCATTGATTATGAATTTGATTAATAATATTTATTTGGGATGTTGACAAAGATGATTCAGTTCCACAAATAACCAAACTAAAAATAAATATAATTTTTAATAATAAAGACATTAATTTAATATAATATATAAAGGTTGTATTTGTAAATAATAATAATACAGTTGATTGTTTGATTGATTGATTTCGAATTGATTGTTTTGATGTTGATTGATTGTTAATAATAATAATTAAAAATTATTATTCAATAATGTTCATGTCAAGGATCTCGCGAATGAGTTCCCAAAATGGGATTGAGGACCACGCATTTTGGTTGACAAAGTTGGTTGGTTTTTTGATTCGTCCTACTTTTTTTGTTTGAAAAAAAGACCCAAACCCCGACCTACCACGAAGTTTTGTAACCGTTTTGACCAATCAATGTTGCCACAACAATCCAGATAGATCAGTTTACAATCTAATATTATAATCTTTAAATTCTAAATGGAACTAACGGCAGATTCTTTAGATTTCGAGTAGAGTAGTGGGATGTGATGGCTTCCATTTCTAGACTCAAACCAAGCATGGACCATTGTTCAATCCAATCTTTGAATAAGTAAGGAGGATCAAGAATTTTATCATCTTGGTAATAAAAAGAAACAAGAGTTGATCACTATTTTGATTGAAATAACTAACAAAGCTAAACAAACAATATAATACAATTCTGTACAAATACAAATATATACTATTACATCGTTAATAATGTTAAAGTTATTCATAACAATTATATTTACACTTCAACTTGTTGGAGCATTGACCATACCATCTGACAACATATTATTTGATGCCTTTCAAAATTGGATGCAAATATATAATGTACATTATACCAATGGTGAATTCCAAAGTAGATTCAATTCATGGAAGGTATGTCAATGTAATAAATCAATCATTCATTCAATTTATGATCATTGTATCTAACCTTAGAGCCACTCATCAAAGGATAATGTACTTAATATTGCACAGTCCAATGAGAGAGTAACAACAGTCGATGTGGCAATTGAGTATAAAGATACTGCAGAGTTGAGGACAAGAAGTTTGTACGATGTCATGCCGGTAGAGTCATACCCAAATGCCAACAACCTCCAACTCTCTGTGAACTCATTCAGTGACCTCACACATGCGGAGTTTGTTGAGTTGTACACTGGAGGCATTCCCAACCCAGCGATGGCAGCACCTCTCGTAGCCTCAGGTGGTCTATCATCAGGAGCTATCGCAGGTATTGTTGTTGGATCAGCCGCATTTGTAGCAGCTATCATTGGAGTGTTTTTATTCGCCAACAGATATAGAGAACTTAGTAATGCCGGGAAAGATACTATAGAGCACACGATGAAGACAACGGAGGTAGTCTCTCCTCCATTGTCATCGGTGCAGATATCAAGAAGTGTAGTGGATTCTCCTTTGTCAGAGCCTAGGTCACCAGTGACTAATGGTATCAACGTGTTTGACATGACCAGAAGTCCAAGACATTCAATCACAGCTCGTAATACTACAGTCGAGTTAATATCCCCTGAGTCTACAATTAAGTTGTAATTTAAATAAAATCATTTTAATAAATTATCATGCTGATGGAGTAATTATAATTCTTGAGTATGGAGTGATCTAAATTTAAATCCATTGTTTGTTTATAATTAATTATTATATAGTATAACAAATAATAATGAAGAGAAGATAATAGTGAACTCAATCCTTTAACTTACACCTTGTTGTCAAATGTCCTCCAGATCAAATCTCTTGACTTCCAAGAGGTGAACAACTCACGTTCTGAATGTGTAAGAATGAAGATGAATAATTATATTTATTCGAGCAGATCTGCTACAAGATTCATTGTATTACATTACATTACCAGGCAACCCAGGCAATTGGTCCATTGGGGAAGAGACGAGCTAATAGTTTACGAATCTCATCGATTAGGAGGATGGTTGTTGGGATGTTTGACGCGCAGGAACACGCCCCACTCGAGGGCCAGGATGCCGACCAGCAGGATTGTCATCAGGACGATGATAAAGACGAAGCGAGTGATCTCCTTCTGGATGAGGGGTACCTTCTCGCCACGACTGTTGGTCAACTTGTTGATGCGGCCCATCACAGGTTCAGTTGCCAGTAAGCACGACGACACCGGTGGCGTCGCCGTTGAATACTTAGGTGCCCATGAAGGCCAGGTTCTTGGACTCGAGGAAGGACTGATCGGTGGGCGAGGTCTGCACGCTGATGGGCTTGTTCTCGCCGGTGAGCACAGAGTTGTCGACTTTGAAGTCGCCAGACGTGTGGACGATTACCATGTCGGCTGGCACCTTGTTGCCCATGCTCTGATGGACGATGTCACCAACCACAAGTTGGTTGGTGGTGATACGGGTTACGTTGCCATCGCGGACCACCAAACACTCTGCTGGCAACATGTTGAGAATGGACTTCATCACCTTTGCTGTGGACCAGTCTTGGAAGGCAGAGAAGGATGCTTGTAGGAAGATGACTATCATCTGTTGTTGTTTGTTGGAGGGGACGGGAAGGGTTAGGGAGAGAGAGAGGGAGAAGAGAGATAAGTAGAGACGAGACGAGACGAGAAAGGAACCAGAGTGGAGGTTGGAGGTGTCAGTGATCTTGGATCGATCAATCATTCGTCGATAACCTGATGAGTTTAACTTGGACGTTAATAGGACACGCGCACATTCTCCAACATTACAAACACATAACAATGATCCAAAGCTGACGCACGACGGACAGGCCAGTAGGCGCGGGCCTACCTACCATGGTGGACACGGGACCAGTCTGCCAGCTAGACAGTCAATTGGGGATCGTGGGGCATGCAACGAATTGGAGAATGTGCTTTGATCAACATACAACTAGGATGGCCAAGGCCAGGTTGGTGACGATAGGGGGGTCGCTCAATGGCTTCCAGCAAATAAAGAATACGATCACTCCGACCCAAAGGATGCTACAAAATCCTCCAAACACGTAGGACAACAGCTTCTTAACATAGTTGGGACGGTGGTGATCAAACACGTTTGGCCCGTTGCTCTTTAGACGTGTGGCGCACTCTGTTGAGGCAAGACCACGGGTGGTGTTTGTGTTAAGACGTCGGACCAGCTCGTCTTCGCCGAGGAGGTGGAAGTCGAGACTGGCAAAGAAGGACGAGTCGCTGCCGTCAGAGGATGAGGATGGGGAGCTCGGGGGGAGAGCTGAGGATGAAACAGGGTGGATGGGTGCTTTGGCCAGGTCTTGGCTCATGTACTGGAAATCAGCGGGGAAACTACGATTCGAAGTGGTATGTTTGGCAGGGCAATGTTGTCAGTCGATATGCCACTTGTCTTGGCATCCTTCTTCTTCTTCTTCTTCTTCTTCTCCTCCCTCTCCTTCTCCTTCTTGATCTTCTCCTCGTCTATGTTAATCTTGTCTGCTTTCGTCTTCTTCTTCTTCTTCATTAGTATGTCGAAGTTTATCTCGTCTTCGCTCTGCTCCCATGTCTGCGTGTCGGCTTGCGAGACAGTGTTGACAGGCTTGTCAACAATATCGATGTTGTTCATGTCTCTGAATTGAATCAATAGCTATTGCTCACTGTATCTTTAAGATACCATCTTTCCAATGACCTCATTACAAACAACAACTACTCGTTTATTCATGAAATGACTTATAAAGAAACCGGGATCTAAACAAAGAACGAACACTCACTCTTAATTACTCGAGAGAGATTGACTACAATATGTATAGTCCAATGGCCAATATGATGGTACTTGTGATGATCATGTAGATGTTGCACGAGAGTACTGAACCAACATTGCAAGGATCATACTGGATTGCATCGATTGGATTGCCACACTTGCCTGCACAACTATTGTCTGGTAAGGGATTGCTAACAGCTGGACACTTATTGTTCAGAATACAATTGTGATAGTTGATAAACGTCATCTTTGACACTTGTGTAGGATCGATCGTTGGACTACATCTACCCTTGTTGGCACCACTATTGCCATTACATTGACATCTCGAGTACGGCGCCACCCTTGTACAGTCAGACGAAGAGTTACAACCTACATTAGTAAGTACATTCTTGCTCTGACATGTTTGTTGAATGCACTAATGTATCACAAGTTAGTATATATGTTTGAGCGAAAGAATGAATCAGTGCAACATACCATCAAACCTTGAGACATGTCACACTCAAACATGCCTTGACATGTACCTGCAGCTTCAACTGAGAAGTAGGCTATACACTTGTTGTTGAGACAGCTACTGAACTCGGAACAGTCGGTTTGGACTTTGCAATCTCCGCCATCGGGTGATGGGAGTACACATTGGCCAGGAGCTCCACAGACTTCATCATGCTTGCATTGGTATGAAGTTGTACAGTTTGGATAGTTCATGTTGGTACATGAGCTTGAGTTGCAAGATAGTCCAATTGAACATTGTGTATCATTTGAATATGATTCACCAAAGCCAAGATAGTTTAGTGAAATACATTTCTTGGATGATGGATCACAACTATAGTGATTGGAACAGAACTTGGTGAGCCTGCAATCCTCTCCATTATCAGGTATATCCACACATTTGTTTGTACCATCTGAAGTCTTGGCACATGTTGATCCCTTTACACATATATCACTATCCATATCACAATAGTCATTCATTCTCTTGCAAGATAGACATTGTCCATTAATCACTCCAATCACCAAGGAAACTATCAATAATTTAATCATCATATTAATCATTTTTATATTATTTATGTATAATATTAATAATATTTATCGATGTATAATACTTGTATGATGGAACTATTCATGATGTTAACATCTGGCTGAACCAGAGACAGTCTGAATAATTCATTGGAAATATAGATTCAGCTCATCTGATGAGCTCATCAGTCATTATGATGCTGGCAATGGATTACCAATTCCAATGTACTGACTCTCAATGATCATTTTTTTTATGGAGAGATCAAGTTAAGTTTATTCCAATCGATGACTAATGGTTGGATATATGTTTACAAGATTGTGCAACACATGGCACGAACCATTCTCTTTGCATTTGGATCGTAAGTGGTGGTTCCCTTGCCCTTGCAGTGGAAGCAAGTCTCCTTGCCAGTGCCATTACACATGCCACAATCGAATCTCTAAAATGATATTAATCAATCAATCAATAATATTGTTAGTATCTCTACTTCCTTTATCCAATCCTACATCTTGTTTGATTTTGCTACATACACCAATTCTGTTGGCGACCGCTTCCTTTGCAGTGGAAACAGCTGTCGTGGCCACGACCCTTGCAGAACCAGCATTCGGTGGTGACTAGCTGCACTGGAGCTGGCTGGACGACGTAGGTCTGTTGGTATCCGTATGGCTGCTGTGGCTGATATGGACTCTGTGGATGGCCACCTTGCTGGTATGATTGACCCTGATATGGTTGTTGGGTAAACCTGTTGTGGCTGACCTGGGTGCTGTTGGTAAACCTGTTGTGGTTGACCTGGGTGTTGTTGGTAAACCTGTTGTGGCTGACCTGGATGCTGTTGGTATTGTACAGGCTGTTGAGGGTATGGTTGTTGAAGCTGACCTGGAATTGGTTGTTGTTGTGGTTGTTGATGTGGGGCTGGGGCTTGGGGTTGTTTAGCAAGGACAGTTGGCTGATCATGGACATGGACTAATGGTTGTGGTTGAATTGGAGCTTGGACTGGTGGTTGGCCTTGGACTTGACCTTGTTCAGGGTTTGGTGCTGGAGTTGGGGTAGGTGTTTCAGTTGATCCCTCAACCCATGAATTAGTTTCATCTTCTTTGCCCATTGTTATATTATTTGTTAATTATTTGTATATTATATAATATATGTTATGTGTATTTGTATTGTGATTGGAGTGATACCATGAACGATGATATTCTAGAGAGTTATAGAGCGAGCACATTCATCAGCAGCTGCTGATTTGCCAAATGAGGGAAACTGGAAAAAAATGGAGGAGGCGCGATCAAAAAATAAACGTTGAGGGAGACTGTTTTGGAAGCAAATAAATATCCACGTATATGTCTTGTTTTGGAAGTGCGCACTCGCTCGATCGATCATTACATGTTCACATACTCGCTGTACATCCTCCTAAAGTCATTCCTGATACGTTCATATAGTTCACGATAGTTTGCTATGATTGTAGCCTCGCCATCAGCTGGATCGGCAAACTTCATCGTTGAGATCTGATACAGTGTTTCTCCAATTTCACTCTTGATCGAACTCCATTTGATCACTCGATTGCTAATATTCTTTGGTATACCCAGTATTATACGTGCTTGATTACGTAGTTCTATGTTGTTGCGTAGTATCCAATATGACTTGTAATGTGGACAGTACTTGTCGTATGATGTAAAGATATTCTGTTGAAGAAAGTCATCTTTGATGGCCTTGGCCACGAACACTGTCAGCTGATCCTCCTCGGGCAGATGGTCGAGTCCAATCTTGCTCACTGTGTCTATCAGGTCGTATTCGCGAGATAGTATGGCCTTGGCTTCATTGATCAAGTCCATGTAGTCATGGCCCCACGATTCAAAGTGTGGCGCGAGTGCTTGATGGAACTTAGAGGTTGAGTTTAGATAGTTGATGGGAGGATGATGTCTGCGACGATACAATGGCATGCACGTCTCCCAAGAGACCTGAGTGTGGTCCAATGACTTGCTGACTGATGGGTCGACCTCGTCGTCAACTGCCGTGGTCACAATCGTTACGGATCCATTCCTGCCACCACGTCCAAGGCAATCTATATTGCCAGCTCGCTTGTAAAATGATGCCATCTTGGTGCCCAGATAGGCAGGATATCCATTGTCGCCAGGTGCCTCACCCAGTCGACCAGACAGATCACAGATTGAACGTGTCCAGCGGTCGATGCCTTCGACGACCAATGTTACTTGCAAGCCCATATCTCTAAAGTACTCGGCTATCGTTGCGCCACAGAATATCGTTTGTTCCAGGCCTGGCATGTTGGCAGGCGAGATTATCAAACAACTCTTCTTGTACTCGCTGATATAATCTTGCTCCATGATGTGTTCCCATGCATCTGTTGCTCTCTCGCCGCTGCTCACAGTGATCAATACATCAGTGCCGCCACCATACTTGCCCACGGAATATGCCGGTCCACTTTTTCCAGAGTGTTCGGGACCATACAAGATACATGATCCACCCTTGGCCAGTCTATATACAATGTGTCAGTCAGTCTCAAGTCTTGCGTTGACCTCTATAGCAACTGACTTACGGGAAGAAAGCATCGAGCACGCGAATGCCTGTGTTGAAGGGCTGGTCGGGAGGGATGACGTCACGTGATGGACGTGGAGTGCGAACAGGCCATCGTTGGATCATTGTAAGGTCGAGGGGTTTGCCATCTGGTTGCTCGATTGTCAAGAGCACAGTATCCACGTTATACTCTCCTGCTGGCAATATCGTAACAATGACACCAGACCTCTTTGGTGGCACCATCAAACGATGTTCAAAGTTATGTTCCATTACCTTTCCAAAGATATCACCTTCATTAACTGTGTCTCCAATCTTCAAACCATCACTCGGTTTATACTCATACAAGTCCTCTCTATTGATTGCATGATCACTTGTTCCTCGCTTGACATATATCTGTTTACATCGATCAAACTCTGAAGACTACATCATCATCGTCATCGTTAACATCACTCACTCAATCAATCAATCAATCAGTCGATGTTGAACATACTATAAGTGATCTCTGCAGTCCATCAAAGACATTGGTGAGCAAACCTGGACCAAGTTCGACACTCATTTGATGATGCATTCGCTGAACGAGGTCACCAATCGCAAGACCATTGGTATGCTCCATCATCTGTATAGTGGCCAGGTCACCATTGAGTTGTGTCACTTCTCCCAGTACCTTACCAGTGCCAATGCGAACCTATAACGTTGTTATTGTTGTAGATCATTGGCAATGTGGTGAGACTCACATAACATGTCATCCTTCCTGCGAACTGACCAACTCTACCAACCTACCAACTCGAATATGGCAGCGCCAGACATATTGTTGGCGACCAAGACATGACCACTTATCCTTGTCACTGTTGGTGGCGATCCTGACTTATCATCATCCTTATCATCAATATCATATATGTTGAATAATGACATTATATCTTTGTTATGTGTATGTGTATGTTTGTTGTTGTGTTGTCACTTTAGTGATATGGACCATCTTTGAATCAAACTGTTTTGTGATTCTTGTGACCTTGGGACGAAGGGGTGCAACATGAATCGTCATGACCCACACACTCCCAGGGCAAACAAGTAGGTGTGCCACTGTCAACTGGTAAGTGATGATGATTCATGTTGGAAGATTCAAATGAAGTATAACAAGTATGTCATAATAATGATTATTTGAATGAATGAATCACAACTGACTGACTTGTTTCCATCTTCCTTTAAACTATTATATGTTTGAATGAATGATTGTATAAAGTAAGTAATAATTAAGTGAGTGCCAGTGTTTTAAGTTGTACATGTTTAGATCTATATTGGTTGCCTTGCACTCAATTGGACCCATTCCCCACATTGAATGCATTGTATATGTGTGTTGACAAGACTTGACATCACCTCAATAAACACAAAGAATGACCAACTCACTACCACACTTCGTCTCTCATACACTTTGAGATCGTTTTGGGGGGTTGACACATGACACAAATTGGCAAACCCCGTTTTTCGAACACAACACCAAACACAAAGTGATCAACACATGTATCGTGTAGTGTTGAGATCCATGATTAGAGCCGGCAAATTTAGGTTATGACATTGAGGCAACAACGAACTTATAAGTTGGGGATTGATTGGGTGGTCATATGTCATTCAAACAAATAATAACAAACAAACAAATAATAATAATATAACTTTTAATAATATAATATATAATATAAATAATAATGTTGGGACAAATAGAGAGAGAATTAAGTAAACTTATAATTAAGGAGATGTCAACGATGAATAATAATAATATAGAGGATCCAACACGAGTATTAATAATAGAGAATATAGATAATGTATCAAGTGATATTATACAATCAATGATTGATAATAATAGTTTTGGTATTGATAAGGTTTCACTTGTAGTTTCCAAATATATCCCAATACTTCGATCACTTATAATGGTATTCAAGAATCGTGATGATTCATTCTCTGTCAAATTATTCCTCGAAGGTCAATCACTGGCCTTCAACTCCTCAACCAACAATATTTACTTTGGAAAGGTATGTCTAACAATATCAATACAACATCTCTAAAATAAATATACTAACTTATAATTTCCAAAATAGGATATAAGTGATCAATTTATAAAGAGATATCAATCTAAACAACATCAGAGATATTTGTCACCGGCTACTATTAAGGCTCGTAGTCCATATCATCAATGTTATGAGAAGTTACCATCATTCCCATTGTCATTGGATAACTCTGCCGAGAGTTTATCAACAATCAATGAGATCATATACAAAGATATAACATCGAATGGATTCCCATCAATCACACTCGAGTACTGCGTCTAGTACTTACACACTTGTATAATATACATACATTATATATATATAATATTTAAATAATTAAATGTGCACATGGATCATCAATAGTTTGATCCAATCAATCAATATCCACACTTCCAGAATATTTATTCTTTGGACTCGCTCATATGTCCAACTTTGTAATATCGACTGATGGTGGACTTCTGTACATTTCGTTGGATGATTTGATGTTGAAGTTACCAGATAGGAATAGTTGGTAGAGTAGGATAAAGGCTGGTGCAACTAATGATCCCTTCCAAAATGGTACAAATCGGTTGGCCAATGCCATTGGTACAAACAGTGTGGAGAACACTACACCTTTGAACAATATCCTCGAACTCTGTGACTCCAGTCTAGACAATGCAATATTATACTGTTTGCCCAATGGATCAAACGCGATTGATACTGGTGCCACTGTAGCTGTAGTCAACAATGCTGTCGACAAGCTCTGTTTGTGATTGATTGATTGAGTCAGTGGGTGCGTGATGGATGCGTGATGGATGCGTGATGGATGGACCAGGGACATTGTACATACCATGCCTCGAATGCCAGAGTAAAGGAAGACTGTGGCGACATCAATTAGTTGAACGTAGTACTTGAGCGTGAACATTCCAAGAGGTCCAATCGGGAAGTTTGGTTGTTTGACCAAGTATTTGATCAACTTCTTGTCCTCATCAGTTGTCGTCTTGAGTTGGTCGATCACTGAGTTGATGTCATTCTTTGAAGTAGGGCTACTGGCTTGAGATTGAAGATGTTGTAACATATATTGAATGGCCAAGTTATAATCATGTTTGTAAATATTCTTGTTGATGTAGTAGAAGTAGAATAGTGATGTGGCGCCAGCCTCCAACAAATGTTGTCTATTCTCCTCTTCCTCAGCCATAATAGACAATGATCTGGCCATTGATATCCTAACTGGATACGGTGTATCTGGTGATATGGCCACACTGGCCATCTTCTTGATCACCTCGCCATTCTTGTCCTTGACTATTCATTGTATGAGTTAGTGAATGATCTGGAATGGTTCCATTGACCGATGATCACTTACATCCTTGGGAGAGAGTTGTGATGAGTAGGGAGCACTCATAGATTATGCCATAGTGTACGCCATTCTGATCGACAGTGTGATCTTGTTCATTGTTGAGAAAGTGCTCGGTGATGTTGTCAATCTCTTCTTTGTAGCGTGAACAAAGGAATTGGATGGTATCGGCCAACTTGCATAGATTGTCCTCGGTCTGCAGATCAGTCCTCAAGTCATAAATACGTTCCAGCAACTGAATGAACATATTCTGCATTATAGTATTCATAAAGAATGGTAGCTCACCCTTGAGTGACATTGAGAACAGGTAATCAATCATCCTATTGGCCGTTGATAATAGATCCTCCCTTGTCCTGTGTATAGCGTTGCCAGACTCTGTGAGCACTTGAGGTTGTCGGTTATGTATGAGTTAGTAAGGTCATCAGTGTCGCACCATATCCGAGATGATTATGACCTACATGCGATACCAAACGAACCAATCACCCAGAGCAATGCATAGGTAGGCAGTCTTGACTTTGGTTGTGACTCTTGTTGTTGACCCTCCTGTTGATGTTGACCATCCTCTGACTTTGTTTGAACTTGCTCTGGGGCTCCAGTAACATTGACATTGTTTGACTTGTCATTGGGGATTGATCCAGCAGGTGATTGTGACTGTGACTGTGCTTGAGTTGAGGCTGTTGTAGTTGTTGGTTGGTCCTTTGGTGGAGGAGTTGACAAAGTTGTGTAATGAGGACAACTGATTGATCTGTAATGAGGTGAGATTGAAGATGTAAAGGAGAGTGATGATAATGATGTAGATGTGCTCCAAAGCATGCCCCTTCTTGCTATTCCTCCAAGCATTGGACATCTTAATGTCATTCGTGTCAATGATTTGGAAAGCATTCTATCCCAATTATGTATAACAATGATGATTGATTGATTGATTGATTGGTTTGAATGAGGGAATGAAACAGTGGTGGACTGAATGAAGAGTAGTTCATGAACATGTTTATTGAAAAGTGATTGGAGGAATGAATCGGAACTCTTAAAAAGGTAATCGGGAATGGCGTCAAAAGGGGTTCGCTCAAACACATCAATTCAATCATTCAATCAACCAACATGTATGTTTACAAGTATCTACAGATATATAATATTATATGATGACCATCACATCATGATGAGATGAAGAGGTAAGATTATGATAATTATGTCATCAATGAGTGTGTTGGAGGATAAGATACTAAGTATGGACTGGGTGGGGTATGGAAGCCCATTCTTTGTGATCATCTGTGGTGGTGGGACTTATGGGGTGCCCCTGCAAAGGGCGAAGACGTTCCAAAGTCAACCACGCACCGGGATTCCTTCTACATGTGTTTTTGGCAAAAGTGTGAGTTTTTCTCTCGTGTTGACGAATCAGAGTAATACTCTGTAGTACCCCCTCTCTCTCTCATTCATTCAGTTCTTTCATTCATGTTCTGTTACTACCCTGCAAACATTAATCCATCCAACGCTTCGCTCTCTCTCTGGCTCTCTTATTCATTCATTCTTTTCATTCACTTTCATTCTCATTCATTCATTTCAATCAATCAATCAAACAAACATATAATAATCATCATTCATTCAATCAATCAATCAATCAAAGAGATAATATACTAAGATAAATGGGATTCATTGCAGAAGGAAATACACTTGTTTGGGAAGATGCAGAGAAGTATGCTGATTACATTAGACAACATGGTGTAGAACAATTGCTGAACATTTGGAATGATCAAAAGGATAGAGGCAATGATGTCTTTACTTGGGGAGATGAAGTATGTAACAACATTGACAATGTTTGAATGGATGTATGAGATGTTGATGTTAATCAATCAATCATTCAATCAATATAGGTTGAATACATATTGGTATCAGTTGATAATGAGACAAAGGACATTAAGTTGGCATTGCGTTCACATGAAGTGTTGGCTGTGCTGATGCAGAAGGAGAAGTTGGATCCACAGTAAGTGTCCTTTGACTCGCGAGCGAATGAATGAATGAACGAATGTCTAACGACGATCATCAACAAACATTAGGAATGTTGACTATCTTTGGAGACCAGAGTATGGAAGATTCATGATTGAGGGCACACCAGGACAACCATACCATGGACTTGGAAGACAACTCTTGTCAATTGAGGAGAGCTTGATCAAGCGTAGAGAGGAGATTGAGTCACACTTGAAGGAGAACGAGAGGATCTTGACAATTGCTTCATATCCACGCATGGGCGTCGAGCACTTTGCCGAGCCGTACAGCTCACCCAATGGACTGGTGGCCGAGTCACAGTTCCTGCCCGACACCGTCATCAATCCACACTTTCGTTTCAGCACTCTGACTGCCAACATCAGGAAACGTCGCGGAAAGAACGTCTCGATCAACATCCCCATGTACAAAGACATCAACACGCCGCCCCAGCAGGACCACCAGACATTCGTGTCGCCATCCAACGACAAGGCCGAGCCATACAACCAGCCGTACAACATATACATGGACGCCATGGGCTTTGGCATGGGCTGCTGTTGTCTGCAGGCCACCTTCCAGATGTCCAACATTGAGGAAGCGCGCAATGTCTATGACCACATGGCCGTGATGGCGCCAATCATGCTGTCGCTGACTGCCTCCAGTGCCATATTCAAGGGCCTCCTTTCAGATATTGACGCTCGCTGGACTGTCATCTCGCAGTCTGTCGACGACCGCACTCCAGAGGAGCTTGGACAACAGCCTTTGAAACACAACAAGTGCGTTATCAACAAGTCTCGCTACGACTCTATCGACACTTTCATCTCGCGAGGCAACACTTACCGCGCCGAGTACAACGATCTCCCTCTGGTGTATGACAAGCCCAGCCTCGAGCGCATGGTCGGCGCCGGAATGGACGAGCAGTTGGCTCGCCACTTTGCCCATCTCTTCATCCGTGACCCATTGGTCATCTACTCGGACAAGATTGAGCTGGACGACAAGACACACTCCGATCACTTTGAGAACATCCAGTCGACTAACTGGCAGACTGTTCGCTTCAAGCCACCCTCACCCGGCTCGCCCATTGGCTGGCGTGTCGAGTTCCGTCCAATGGAGGTGCAGCTTACCGACTTTGAGAATGCAGCGTTCATCGTCTTTGTTGCGATTCTGATGCGTGCCATCTCTGACCTGAAGCTCAACTTCTACGTTCCAATCACCAAGGTCGACGAGAACATGAAAACCGCCCATCTGCGCAACTCTGTCGTCAACAACAAGTTCTACTTCCGCAAGAACATCACTGTCAGCACTGGCACTAGCACTGGCAACGTGGATGAGGAGTACGAGCTGATGACCATCGATGAGATTTTCAATGGTTGCAAGGAGGAGGCCAGAGAGTCGGTGGGATTGTTGAGCATCATCCGCAAGTACGTCGCTGAGAACAAGTCGTTCGATGCAGAGACCAACCGTCTGATGGATCGCTACTTCTCATTGATTGGCAAGCGTGCCAGTGGCGAGCTGATGACCATGTCGACGTGGACCCGCCACTTTGTACAGAACCATCCATCCTACAAGCACGACTCGGTCGTTTCACAAGAGATTCAGAATGATCTCCTCCAACGATGCTTCCAGATCACCAACGGATCCACTCATGAGCCAAAGCTCCTGAGTGCCGAACTCATCACAGCAACTGGTGGCGCCAACTAAGATTACGGGGTCAACAAGTATACCTCCGATTCCGATGATGTTGCGTATGAAGATAGAACAATCGAGTATCTACCTCCTCCGACATCGGTCTCAAGGGCCTTGCTAGATTGCTTGCATGTATGCTTTCCATTCTTTACACCTGTCAACTTGAATAAACACACTTTGTCTTTGACTTTGTGTCTCTGTGTGTGTTGGTTGGCCATTCGGGCAATCAGATAAGGACAATGATCTGGATCGTAATCATTCATATTCAATAATAATCAACTACATCAGATTGGTGGCTCAATGTCAACCAAAGGGGGAGGTAACTTTTCTCATAATAGGTTGATTTGCAGGGTTGGCCAGCAAAATCTTGGTAATGTTTGTTGTTGAACGGACGCACTTTATGGTGTTCTGTTGTTTGCCCACGCTTCATAGGACTTGTGGGCTAAATAGTGGCTATCCTTGGGTGCCGGCGACCACCCTCAATCATAACAATGTTGTGCTCCGTTCCCTGACAGTAACCCTTACTACTACCCTATCCTCTTATATTGGGGTTAGTAATTATGTGTCCATTCACCCTTACCCTTTTGTCTTACAACCAAGTTAACATAACTTACCTTGTATTGTATTAGTAGTAAACTCAAACAAATATTATTACTCTATCTTCTCTCTATTTAATATATATTTATATATATTGTATTATTAATTTAACTTTCAAACAAACAAACAAGCAAGCAAACAAACAATGGTTGCATCAACATTGACATTGGAAGAACAAACAAAGATCAACTTTATCTATGGCAACAGTAGTGTAGTTAAAGTTATGACCACTGGTCAACTATTCAAACGTAATGGATCAACAAGTGAATGGGAGTACAGTGGTATCGAAGGTGTAATCTCATTACAACTAAACAGAGTACAAAAGAAGTATTATATTCGTATTACCGATCTTAGTGTATGTATCTCTTTCTTTATCTCTTTATCTCTTTATCTCTTTATCTCTCTATAACTAAGCAACAACAACAATAATGATACAACATGAACTCAACATTGTCTTTATCTTTGTCTTTGTCTTTGTCCAACACACACGCATACATTGACAAACCTGGAACACTCACACGCTAACACACATGTTCGCGGGACACACTACACAAACAGAACTCCAAGACCATATTTGAACAAGAGATCCATAGTGAGTTCGATTACAAGAAGGACACTGACGACTTCCACTACTTTGAGAGCGTCAACAATGGTGTCTGTGGTCTATCCTTTGCCAACATCGACAATGCCAATGAATTCCAGAGTATTATTCAGAAGAGTAAGATATATATTTGATATAGATATAGAGATAGAGATAGAAAGGATGGTACATCTACGTTCATTGTTCAATCACTTTCATTTACATGAATCAAAGAAACAAGAACAATTCGAATTGAGAGAGGATGGTTATTATTATCAATGTGCCGCCACAACGACAACAACTAACAACAAAAACAATTATTATAATAATGTAGACAGGGAAGAATATGCCCAGGCAACACTGAGTAGGAATAGCTCAAAGAAGAGCAGTAATAATAGTCATAATAATAATAGTAGTAGTTCAAAGAGTAGTAGTAAGAGTAGTAAACATTCAAAGAATCATCAAGAACCAGCACCAGCTATACGTGGACAGGAAATTGGATTACCTTACGATGTAAAGCATGAGAGTCATATTGGATGGGACCAGAATAGTGGATTCGAGTTGAAGAATATACCACGCGAGTGGATGGAATTGTTTAAGAGTGCAGGTATCAAGAAGAGGGATCTGATGAATCCAGACACGGCCCAGTTCATCTATGATGTGATTGGAGAGTCTTTGAATCAGCGGCCTGGTGCACCACCTCCACCTCCAGCCAAGCCACCCAGAACCAACAACAGCTTGCCGCCACCCCCGCCACCACCTGGTGGCGCTTCCAATCGCCAGCCTCCAATGCCACCACCTCCTGGAGCATATCGAATGTCACAGATACAGCCACAGCAACAGTATAATGGCGGCGACATGTTGGATGAACCATTGATACCCATCCCTTCATCGTATCCCTATCCGAATCAACCGAATAGGAAGCCACCTGGGGCAGGTCCACCACCTATACCCAATCAAAGACCTTTATCAATGAGCTATGGATCTGCTCAACCTCAACGTGTGCCGGCCAGTCCGCCTATGCATCAGGGCATTCCACCACGACCACCATCAATCCATCCAAACAATGTAAATAGATCGACTGACAACCGATCACCACCTCCACCCATACCTGCGCTGAGGCCATCGTCGTCTCCAGGCGGTCTGCCTCAGAGGCCAACAGGTGACATGCAGTCGGCTCCTCGCATAGTGTCACAACCACCACCTCCCATTCCAGCCGCCCGTCCAACGTCGCCAAACAGCTTCGATTCACGCGGCGCACCATCCCCTCCAAGACCGAACGGAGCACCACCCATCCCGTCCAGCCGACCATTGTCTGTGGCACCCAACTCTATTGCACCTCCACGATCACCGCCACCCCCAATGTTATCGCCTCCCAGTAGCATGTCCAGGCCGCCAATGATGATGTCTCCACCACCTCCACCGCCTCCTCACATGGGCATGCACAATCACAACAACGGCTATCCATCATCCCCGCAACAATACAGTTCGCCTCCTCCACCACCTCCACCACACATGTCCAATGGCAATGGCAATGGATATGGATATGGACATGGACATGGCCAACCACCTCCTCCACCTGGTCGTACCGCGCCACCACCTCCACCACCCGGATCAAGACCGGGCGCGCCACCACCTCCACCTCCCGGATCAAGACCGTCGAATGCCCCGCCTCCTCCCCCACCTCCCCCCGCATCTGGTGGCGGCAACTCACTGCTCGATGCCATTCGTCGTGGTAAGGAGCTCAATCACGTCGACAGGAGTGCACCACTGCCACAACTACAAGAGATTGAGGAGCCCGCTGGAAGATCACTAGTAGACACACTCAGCATGGCCATGGCAGCACGTCGTATGAACATGCGTGAAGAGACAGTTGACGAAGCAGCCGATGACGATGACGATGATGACTGGGATATATAAGCAGGAGTAGTAGCAGCAGGCAGTAGTAAGAGTGAGAAGCAGGGAGTAGTAGAAGTAGAGTAAACTCTTTATTTATTTATTTAAGATCTTCTTGGCCCGCCCATCATTGGGAGGCCTTCCCGCTTTGTTGTTGTGTGGGGTCTTGCGCCACAAGTTTGAAGAAGTTCACCAAGTTGCCGAACATGATTCCATTTGCGAACACACTTTCAATCATTCATTCATCTATTCAATCTACTTCTTACAGATACATCTTCATATTCATTCATACATCCACAAGCCATGGCTTACAACTTTGTTTCAACTGTACAGAAGCCTACGGCTGTGACACATACAGCCACTGGCAATTTCACCGCTCATAATGAGAGGAACCTTGTTGTTGGGTAAGGTGTACAATGCATGCATTGATGAAGCGTAGTAGTCATACTGACTCAACTCAACAACAACACTCTATAGCAAGGCTACAAAGATAGAGATATTCACATTAACAGCTGAAGGATTGAAGCCTGTACTTGATGTCAGCATTTATGGTCGAATAGCATCAATGAAGATGTTCTTGCCTCCTGTATGTTATGTTATATGATTGCTTGCTCGACACGACACATTGCTCACTCCTCGCTTACTCATTCAATCATATTCAATCAAACAAACAGGGAGAGAAACAAGAACAACTGTTCATTCTAACTGAGAAGTATAGATATTGTATATTAGGTTATTCGAGCGAGAGAAAGGAGTTGATTACTGTTGCATCGGGCAATGCTGAGGGCGCTATTGGACGCCCGGCAGAGGCTGGACAGATTGGTATAGTCGACCCCGATTGTGGACTTATTGGTCTGCACCTCTATGAGGGTCTGCTTCGCGTGGTACCATTCAACAGAGAGACCAACAAGTATGGAGACTCGTTTATCATGCGATTGGAGCAGCTACAGGTGATAGACATGGTGTTCCTACACAACTGTCCAAAGCCCACCATTGCCATCCTCTCCAAGGACACCCGCGACGCACGCCATCTCTCAACCTACATCGTCGACCTACAACAACAAAACAAAGAGTTGATTGATGGACCATGGACACAAGGTATGGATGATTGATTAATTGATTGATTGCTGATCACTCATACTTACACCCGACACATTAGACTCTGTTGATGACAGCTCAAACATGTTGATCGCACTACCAAACGGTGGATTGTTGGTTGTGGGAGAGGTTCTTATCACTTATATGAGCGCGGTTGGCAAGTCATCAGTGCCAAGTGTCACCATTGGACACACAAGACTCACAACATACGAGCAAGTTGATAAGGACAGGTACCTGTTTGCTGATGATGCCGGCTATTTATACCTGCTCATCTTGGTCACCGCCTCCAGCACGGCTAAGAACAAGGATATCTCCAGTATGAAGTGGGAGCCGCTAGGCGAGACGAGCATCGCGTCGTCGCTGTCCTACCTCGACAGCGGCGTCGTCTACATTGGCAGCGCGTCTGGCGACTCACAACTCATCAGTCTGTGCTCGGAGAAGGACCCCGAGACCGACTCGTACATCAGAGTGTTGGAGCACTTTACCAACCTCGGTCCCATCCTCGACTTTTGCGTCGTGGACATGGAGAAGCAGGGCCAGGGACAGTTGGTGACATGTTCCGGCACGTTCCAAGATGGCTCATTGCGCATCGTTACCAACGGCATTGGCATTGCCGAGCAGGCGTCGATCGAGTTGGCCGGTATCAGAGGTCTGTGGGCCCTGTCTTCAGGCTCGAGCGGTGACATGCATCGCTACCTCATACTCTCATTCATCAACTCGACCAAGGTGTTGGCGTTCTCTGGTGAGGACATTGAAGAGACTGAGATCGCAGGCTTTGATTGCAACGCACCAACACTATACATTGGCAACCCGGATAAGGATCACTACCTTCAGATCGCGACCACTGGCATCTACCTTGTCAACTCATCCACATTAATGAGAGCTGATCTCTACAAGCCCAAAGGTTCTATCAACTTGGCATCATGCAATGGCAAACAAATCCTCATCTCCCAGGGCAACAACCTGATATACATTGAGATCCAAGATCAAAGTCTTGTTGTTGTCAAGTAAGTACCTCCTTCTCGGGTCCCCGCCCACTCAATCATCCACTTACCAATCAAACATATAGGGAGACACAACTACAGTATGAGATTTCATGTTTGGACATATCATTATTGGATGGCTTTGACAAGGCAACGATGTGCGCTGTTGGACTGTGGACTGACATTAGTGTGCGATTGCTATCACTGCCAACATTGACAGAGGTGTACAAGGAGACACTTGGAGGTGAGATCCTACCAAGATCACTGATGTTTATCACATTCGAGGGCATCAATCATCTGCTGTGCACGCTGGGCGATGGTCATCTCTTCAACTTCACTCTCGACCTCGACACCAGCACACTGAACGAGCGCAAGAAGATATCGTTGGGCACCACTCCAGTGCTGCTCAGCAAGTTCAAGCTAAAGAACAACGTCAATGTGTTTGCCTCGTCCGACCGGCCCACAGTGATCTACAGCAGCAACAAGAAGTTGCTGTACTCTGTCGTCAACATGAAGGTGGCGTCGCACGTCTGCTCGTTCAACTCGGAGGCTTTCAACGACTGCATTGCCATCGCCACCGACACCTCTCTGTCCATCGGCAAGATCGACGACATCCAACGTTTGCACATCAGGACCGTTCCCCTGGGCGAGATGGCCCGACGCATAACATACATCGAGGAGAATCAATGCTATGGAGTGATCACAATCAGACGTAGCGACAACGACCCATCGCAGGTCCAGAACAATATCAAGCTCCTCAACTCACAGACGTTTGACTGCATGTCCAAGTTCGAGCTCCAGGAGCTCGAGTATGGATGGTCGATCGTCACCTGTCGCTTCAAGACAGAGAGCGACGCGCTGTTCCTCGTGGTGGGCACGGCATTCCACAGCGAGAAGGACATGTCCAAGGGCAGAATCCTTGTATTCAAGATCGATGACAACAAGCTGTTCCTGGTGCATGAGCTCCCGCTGATGGGCTGCGCCTACTGTCTGCTGCCATTCAACGGACGTCTGTTGGCAGGCATCAACAAACGTGTGCAATTGTTTGGATGGGATGCAATCAACAACAAGCTGACCGCCGATCACGTCTACAACGGCCAGACACTCAGCATCCACCTCGCTTCGCATGGACACTTTGTGCTCGTTGCAGATCTGATGAAGTCCATGACACTGCTGTGTGAGGAGCCCAGTGGCGGCATCAAGGAGATTGCCCGCAATCCCCAGCCATTGTGGCCATCTCGTGTTGAGATGATCGACGATGAGAACTTCATTGGCGGCGACAACTCTTACAATCTGCTGGTGGTTCAAAAGAACGACGACGCCACTAGCGAGGTGGAGAACTCATTACTCGACAGTGTTGGACACTTCCATCTGGGCGAGCAGATTAACCGTTTCGCACATGGATCATTCGTCACGATACCCGACCTTGAGAACACAAAGATACCGACCATCCTCTTTGCCACGGTCAGTGGCGCCATTGGTGTCATTGCATCAATCACCAAAGAGGACTACGAATTCTTTGAGCAACTCCAAAAGGGTTTGAACAAGGTCATTCAAGGTGTAGGAAGATTGTCACATGAGGAGTAAGTTGTCCATATCCTACCAAACGGAATGATTCCCAATCATACTAACTCAATCAATTATCAGTTGGAGATCATTCAGTACAGAGCATTTGACACAGAGTTCAAGGAACTTTATTGATGGTGACCTAATTGAGATGTTCATGGACTTGAGACATGACAAGATGCTGGAAGCAATCAAGGATATGGATGTATCGATCGAGGACACTTACAGAAAGATTGAATCAATCATGCAACATATTAGATAAGATAGGATTGTCAAGTGTTTCCATATCCAATCGCAATCATTATTGTCAATAACAACTGAACAGTGTAGCACACACTCAATCCTATCAATCAATCAAACAGATGTGTCCCTTCAGCAATACAGTTGCCCGTATTTTTAGATAGCGCGCACTTCTCATGTTGTGGTCGCTGCACAGACGACCGTTCGTTCGTTCTCTTCCATTGGGTCGGACGGACAGACGTCTGTCCTTGCATCTTCGATGGTAACACTCAACCAATCAATCAATCAATACGTCTTCATATCACTCATCACCCTATATTTAAGGTAACTATTATTACAATGATTATTGTTGATGTTGGTATTATATCGGGTCCAAAAATACCCATCATTCTTATACCACTCTATCTCTACCACTACTACACATTGTTTGTTCATTCATTGTTAGCATGTGGTACTCTGACTGATCAATCAATCACAATCACACACTCACACACACAATGGGATATAAATAGAATTGATCACATGACTGTGTGAGAGTGTATGTATATGATTGATTGATTGATGTTTGGTGTGATAAATCATACTCTAAAGGTATTACCTAAAGTAGTACTCTACAGTTTACGAATGTCGATTGAGTTGGATGCGGGTGACCGATCGTGAATGTCCACTGAACTCAACTTGGACATTGATTGAATGGGTCCGATATTTATTGGATAACGGTCGTCCTTCTTATTCATTGTATAACGCATCCAAGTTCTAATTATCTTCAATATCATCATCATCCAAGTTTTGTTTGTTTGTTTGTTTGTACATCAATCCATTGACATTCATATCAAGTCAATCCAAGAATTGATCACCATCACATATTATTTATTTATTTATTTAATAGTATATATATATTCACATATTAGGTAGTGTGGAAATAACATTGGATCAATGAAATACCTATTAAACATAATATTATTAATATTGTTTATCAATATTATTTGTATGTATAAATTAAATCCTTGAAATAATTCAATTATATTAACAATCAATCAAATAAAATATTCAAATAATATTTTTTAGTTGCCGATGTTAGGGAATTGGAAGTTGTAATTTATGATCATCATCCATCACTTAATCCAGACTTTGAATATCCACTTCAACATGGTGATGTAACAGTTGGACTTGTTTCACAAACTCTGATTAATGGTGTGCCAATATTTGTTGGATCTCCAGGCCAGGGTGCCATCAACAATGCATCGACATTCAGCAGCTGGTTCGTAAACACACCAGGCATCAACATGCCAATCGTCGACAAGCTCCAGCTGTATCCAGCACCAAACGACGAGAGCAAGTACACCATATCCAACGGCAACTTCTTCCCCATCGATAACCGTGGCTTTGATGCCATCAAGAATGAGGACGGCACGTGGAAGTACCAGCGCTACACCGACCGCTGGTCACAGTACAGCTACAACAAGCAGGACGCGCTCAATGGCCAGTACCACAACTTCCACTTCTGCATGCATGCCAGCGCCACCTTTGACTACAAGGGCACCGAGCTGTTCAGATTCGAGGGTGACGACGACGTGTGGGTCTACATCAACGGCCAGCTGGTCGTGGATCTTGGTGGCATCCATCAGCAAGCCAACTACACGCTGGACTTCTCCACAATCGAGAACATTGAGAAGGGTGACCGTTGCAAGTTTGACTTCTTCTATTGTGAGCGCCACACTGATCGCTCCGAGATCAAGATCGAGACCGAGCTGGACCTGTACTGTTCATACCGCGACTACTGTGGCATGTGCCAGGGCACTGGTGGTTCGTGCTGCAACCCCGACCGCGACTGTGATGATGGCGATCCCTGCACTAAGGACCTCTGTCCAACCGACTACAAGAACGACACGCTCAAGAATGGCAAGTGGAAGGACTACTGCACACATGTGCCAGTCGACTGCGAGCCACACCACAGCTGTGACATGGCGTCGTGTAGCGCGACCAATGGCAGCTGTATGCACACACCAGTGCAGTGCGAGGAGTTGCCATGCAAGAGGAGTATGTGCCACCCGCAGTTTGGATGCCAGTACCAAGACATGAATTGTGGCAAGAGTGACAAGTGCACTATCAACACCTGTGCCAAGGGCCAATGCCAGCAGAAGTTGGTCAACTGCGACGACAATGACATGTGCACAGAGGACCACTGTGACCCAGTGGCCGGATGCACACACATCAGAAAGGATTGTGATGATGGCAACCCTTGCACACTGGACACGTGTACAGCATCCAGCGGACAATGCCAGCACCAACAGATCGACAACTGCACCAGCTGTCCATGTCCACAGGCCACCAAGTGTGACACTTTCATCTGCCACTCCAGTTCATCGTGCAGTGTCACGCCAAAGATTATCTCGGATGACAACATGTGCACCCAGGACAAGTGTGACGCTCAGACGGGTGAGATCAAGCATACCGCCACACAATGCGAGAGCGAGGATCTGTGTCAGGTGCCATCATGTGATCCAGAGTCCGGACAATGCATCCTGACGCCAATCGACTGTGATGACTCCAATGCCTGCACGCTGGACTCTTGTTCTGAGGGTGAGTGCGTCCACTCGCACTTTGACTGTGACGACCAGGACCCTTGTACCGTCGACTCTTGCAAGACTGATTCCTCGGGCAGCAACTCGACCTGTATCCATACGCCAATGGTGTGCAAGGCTGCCAACGCCTGTGAGGTCGCCTTTTGTAATGCCAGTGGAGTGTGCTCGGTGAAGCAGTTGGAGTGCCCAGTCTCTGACACGTTCTGCAATGTGTCTGCGTGTGACGTCAATGCCGGCTGCATCATGGTGCCACGCGCATGCATCCCTGAGAACGCCGCGTGTCAGAAAGGCACGTGTAGCGAGGAGAAGAAGCAGTGCGAGTACCGCGACTTTGACCCCAAGCCCTTCAAGTGTCAGCCAATCGCCGTGCAGGGCGCCGTCATTGGTACTGCGGCAATAGTTGGCATTGCACTGGGAGCTGCGGCAGCAGTAGCCCTGGCAGCATACGGTGGCAAGAAGACCTATGACTACTGGAAGAACCAACAAAACAACAAGATGCAGTCGACCAACCAGAACCCATTATACAAAGACAATCCACAGAGTGGCACGAATCCATTCTATGGCAATGCCTAAGTCATCCTCCATTAAGTTAATCATTCATCATTCATCATTCTTAATCTATCATCTTTCATCTTTATCATGCATGCCAGCATTATAAAGTCTATCTATCTATATATATATTAACATATAATAATGAATAAATATTATCTCATTGTAATTATAACTATACATGTATGTCAACTGACTTTGACTAACTTATCAAGTTCATCAAGAGTGTGAGTTCGCAAAGATACAGTGAGCAATAGCTATTGATTCAATTCAGAGACATGAACAACATCGATATTGTTGACAAGCCTGTCAACACTGTCTCGCAAGCCGACACGCAGACATGGGAGCAGATCAAAGACGAGATTCTACCCCATGGCTGACATACTAATGAAGAAGCAGAAGAAGAAGAAGACGAAAGCAGACAAGATTAGAATAGACGAGGAGAAGATCAAGAAGGAGAAGGAGAGGGAGGAGAAGAAGAGGAAGAAGAAGAAGAAAAAGGATGTCAAGACAAGTGGCATATCGACTGACAACATTGCCCTGCCAAACATACCACTTCGAATCCAATTTCATATCATTCGACTCTGCTGGGACGATGCGCTTCGTTCTGAGTCGTCGACGTGGCGGTGGAGGCTGTCACTGGCCACCCTATCGTCGGCGCACTTTACATACATTGCCGAGCGCCTGTTCAGCATCAAACATACCAAGGCGCTGCAGCTGAACAATGTAATTCTCACGCCGATTGCAAGCATCGTGGGCCACTTCAGCAATCCTCACTGTGTCTGGAAGGGCAACAGTACGGCACCAACAACGAGCTTCATCGTCAATCACTGTTTCATCAACGGCAGCGGCACCGACGACCACGCCATCAACTATGTTCGGAGTGGCAGCGAGCTCGTGTTTGATGGCGGCGAGGCTGGTCACGAGCTTGAACTAGCGCAGATGTTGTCTGGCGGCATGATCAACTCGCTTAGATCCATCGTCAACATTCCTGCTCGGACCCTGCATGTGATGCCAGACGCGCTGCCATCGCTCCTCCACCTGGACACACTGGCCATCACGCATCTCTGTGACAGTACCCGTCCTATGCACTTTGACGAGGTTTTTTCAATCATCGAGAGGACCAGGTCGCTCAGGAGCATCAGAATCTCCATTCTTCCACAATACGCTGTCGTTGGCAACACAAGCATGTTTGGCACGGCGTTCCACAAGCTCGACATGGATCACATCATATCGTTGACGATTGAGGACGACTATCATTATCCCTATCATTTAGCATGCGAGCCCGATCGCTTCTTCGATGGCATCAAGCACTTCAGTACGCTCGAGACACTCAGCCTGCGCCTCTACAAATACATAAAGGGTACAACCCGAGCGGAAATGTTCTCGTCAGGGTTGGCGCAGTACGTGTTTGCGCCACGAGCACTCACATCCCTCTCGATCAAGACATGTCTTGACGATTGTGTCGCCTTGGCATTACAATCCAACACATGGCTCAAGCACCTCTGTGTCAAGATGCCTTCAGACTGCTCGGCGGCCGACCATTATACGATCCGGTCTCCGCTCGTATTACTGTTGCCAACATCGTTGAAGTCGTTCGTGTGGCAAAGACTCAATGCGTTTTATTACACTCCGTGCCAAGTTTCATCGTTTCTCCGCGCCAACACACCATCAAACCTGGAGACCCTCCGGATCAAGGTTCCAAGCGAGGACTGCCACCTGGAGGATGCACATCAGTTTCTCACCGAGAGCGCCAATCTCAAGCACTTGATCATCGACGTGCCCTATGGAATCAAGAATGTTGTGGACCATGTCAAGGCCAGCCCCAGTCTGGACACGCTGGAGCTGAGGAACTTCGACGACTTTAATTCAGATACGAATCAATTCCACGCGTATATTCCGATCCTAGCCAAGATCCCAACACTCCGAACAATCATCATTGAATCGTCCAGATACCCAGCTGCCGAGGTGCGACCAAGATGGTACCGCCGCCAATACGCACTCGTTCCCAATCTGACGGCCAACAAGTCGTTCACCTTCAAGAGGCAGATATCCTATGTTCCAGACGTCGGACATCGCATAACCCAACGCAATATATTAAAGATATTCCAGTTGATCTACACACGATAAACAACCTCAAGGAACAGATACAGCTGTTTCAATATATAAATGCCCAAGGGTCATTGTAAGCGAGCGACATTCTTCCACATGCGTCTAGTCGCGGGGCACTCAACCAATCATGTAGCATGTGTCTCTGGTCCGCTTTCCATCCGTCTGCCTGCCCGCCGTTGACATATCGAGTCGTCCCGCTCTGGTATCCCGACCGACTACCTATTCCGTCCGTCCGTCACCGTACCATTACATTGTATTGCCGTCAACTGCCATTCATGGTTCGTCCAGATTAGTAATAAATACAGTATTCCGAGCTACCCCCCTTTGGCATCACCAACAAACTTCTTTCATTCACACATTCGATCATTTATTCATTCAATGTCAATCGACCAATTCAAGGTTGTAGAGATACAACAATAGATATTCATAAGTAGTATAGTAGACAAGATATATATACATATAACATACGACTAACTATGGTTGGTTCATCAATCAAGAGAAAGTACTATTCTTATAACTATGATGACGATGACGATGATAATGATGATGATGTAGAGGAGGATGATAATGATGTTGAGGAATATAGTACATCAATAAATGGAAGAAGAAGAACTAGTATTAGTAGTAGATTGAAGAAGAGACAAACAACAACAACAACAACAACAAACAATGGTAGTCAATCATCATCATCATCAACGTCATACATTCCAAAGGTCAAGAAAGAGATATTGATTGATCTTTCAGGTTTGGATGATAATGAAGACAATGATAATATACCAAACCTGATTGAACAACAACTAGCTGGTAGTTCAATATCAAATGTTATCGATGTTGATGCTGATGATGATGATGGCGATGGAGATGACATGATAATAGATATGACTCAACCAAGTAGTGATGTAGATGATCAAGATGATTATGTTGTTGATGAGCCCAAGTATCGACGTCAACGTCAGCCACAGCGACAGCCGCAACGTCTAACGAACCGTCAACGTCAACTTCAAGAGAAAAGAGCACGAGCACGATCACCCTCACCTGACTATCAATCATCACAAGATTCAGAGGTTGAGTTGTTGGAATCGAACTTGATCGATAACATTGTCATCGTTGTGGACGTCCCAGCCGAGCGAGATTATGCAGGTGGAGCAGAACAGCCAGACCCATCTCCAGACTACATGATGTTCAGTGAACCAAAGGATGAGGATGAGGATGTCAATGTGAATGTGGTCGATGATGATGAGATCGTGTCCAGCATTCCCAATCCCATTCCCAAACCCAAGACAACATCAATACCAGCATCAACAACGACAACGACAACGACAACAACGACAACAGCAACTAGGACACCGAGGAAACCGAAGACACCGATAATAACAAGGACGCCAAGGACGAGGAAGAGCACAGTTCCAACTCAATCACAATCAATCCCACCTTCACTGTCGACCCCTTCACACTCATACGACATCGACAACGACAACGACAACGACAATGACAATGACAATATCAACGACAATGACAATGATAACGACATCAGCTCAAACATGGAAATGGACGACACATCATCAATGGTTCCTCACGAGTATGGAATCATTGAAGCGATCACTTTGGAGAACTTCATGACACATCATCACTATGAGATCAAGCTCTGTCCCAATGTGAACTTTATCACCGGTCAGAACGGCAGTGGCAAGAGTGCATTGTTGGTGGCCCTGACCGTATGTCTAGGTGTCAATGCATCCTACACCAACAGAGGCGCAAAGCTATCCGATCTGATCAAGCATGGTCACAACAGTGCACGCATCACTGTCAAGCTGAGGAACAGGGGGCCCGATGCCTACATGCCCGATGAGTACGGCCCATCAATCATTGTACAGAGGATAATCAATCGCAATGGAACAACACAATACAAGCTAAAGGATCACACCAATCGAAAGACCATCTCAACATCCCACCGTGACCTCCAAGTAATCCTTGAGGAGTTCAACATCCAGATCACCAACCCAATGATGATCCTCATGCAAGACACCAGTCGTGAGTTCCTGAACGAGTCATCACCCAGCAACAAGTACAAGGTATGTTTGATTGTTTGAGTTGATTGAGTTGATTGGATGGACCCTAACCCTTGCCCTTTCCCTCAGTTGTTCTTGGACGCCACCCAGCTGGCACAGACAAAGAATGATTATGACTTTGTGTTTGATCAACGCAAGGCTATCCTGATGAAGCTGGACAAGGCAAAGACTGTATGTTTGATCAATCAATCCCACTCATTATGCGTTGGACTGACCTGACTAACATCCACTTGTAATGTCAATTGTTTAGATGATCGAGTGCATGGAGCAGACTGTAAAGGGTTATTTGGAGGAGTTTGAACAGTTGGAAGAGGTGGAGGTGATGGAGAAGAAGGTCCAGGACCTCAAGAACAAGTTTGCATGGGCAACAGTGGTGGAGATAGAGAATAGAATAGCAGAGCGTACTGCTGCATTGGAGGATCTACGCAATACAGTCGCTCAGCACGTGGCCAACGCTGAGGCCTATAGGTACAAGGCCGATCAGAGTCATAGCAATATACAGAAGGTGCGCGCACAGGCCACCGCCAAGGAGTTATCGATCAAGGACATCGAGGCCAAGAAGGAAGTGTTCCGTCAGCCTCTGGCCGAGGTCAACAAGAGGATGGCCACGGTCGAGCCCAATCTGCAAGACCTGCGGACGCGCATCAAAAACATTCAAGGTCGCAAGGAGAAGAACCTCTTGGCAATCAAGGACATCAAGGCCAAGAGTAGCAAGTCGGGCGAGGCCCAAGCATTGCTCAGATCACTGGAGGACAAGCAGGCAAAGATCAAAGAGTTGGAGAACCAGGCCAATCAGATGACCCTGGAGATTGAGAGCATGAGGAAGGAGCTGGAGACGTTGTCCGCGCAGCATGCTGAGTTGGCGGGCCAGACCAAGAATGCCCAGTACGAGGTGTCAAGGATCGACAAGCAGCTACAAGCGGCCAAGACAACTGCCAAAGAGGGCAACGCCCTAGGTGTCTATGGCTTCAAGTACATCAAACTACTGGAGATGATACAGAGGAAAAAACAACAATTCCAGGGCTCTCTACCGATTGGTCCAATCGGTACCCTTATCAAGGTTAAGGACGAGAAGTGGTCACTGGCCATTGAGGCATGCATCTCCAGAGGTGCACTCAAGGCCTTCCTAGTAGAGACCCACTTCGATGCTGAGCTCCTCTCCCAGATGGCCGATGAACTCGGTATTCCGTAAGTACTGGAACAATTCCAATCACACCTTGTTGGAACACTCCACTCACATTCAATCAATCCAATCATATAGTGCATTCTCATGTACTAATGTAGGTCGCTTCACAACAGCCATCTATCCAGAGGTATTACCAAGCATCAACGCCAATGCCACCAATCCAAGACATCCAACTATACTAGAGTATGTCGATCGACGTTTGATTGAACCCATCATTATATCAATCCCAACTAATTAACAATCAATCAAACAAACACAATAAGGTCATTGGACTTTCAATCAGCACCAGTCATCAATCATCTGATTGATTCCAGAGGTATAAATAATATTTATTTGATCCAGAAGCGAGTGGAAGCGGAGGAGGTGATATACAATCAGCCAGAAGGACGACATAGCAGTGCATTCACAATTGAGGGTCATCGTATATTCCTCTCTGGTTCAGGAACAAGAGGATTCACATCGACCAGTATCAACCAGTCAACATTCCTTCAGGCTAATGTCGAAGCATTGATTCAATCACTGCAAGCGCAAGTCAACGGATTGACTCCTCATCTGGTCGAGTGCAAGCAGAAGGAGTCACAGGCGACGACGTCCGTGCGTCAACTCAACACCACCCTGACGGCCAAGAACAAGGCACTGGTCACGCTGAACAAGGCACTCTGGCAACAGCAGACTGAGGCCAAGCAGCTAGAGGAATCAATACAACCAGAGCAGACAGACTACACGATCGAGGAGCTGGAGAATGGAGTGAAGGAGATCGACCAGGACATTGCCAAGCTCCGCGAGCAGATCAAGGAGTATGAGGGAGGTGAGATGGTAGATATCCAGGCGAGGAAAGCAGAGATACAAGAACAGATTGATGTCATTGACAGTGAGAAGCAGACGGTCGTGGACGAGGTGGCCGCGATGGACATTCAGATGAAGCAGTACCTGAACGAGGAGAAGGATTATCGCCAGAAGCAATCGAAGCAACAGGCGGATGCACAGAGGATCCAGCGAGACAAGGTTGAGCCTGGTGAGAAGGAGCTGCAGGAAGACAACACGAGCTTGGGTGTCGAGACGACCAAGGCACTGGAGTACTGCCCGAGGGTGTCCGTCGAGGAGGACGAGACGCCGGCTGTTCTGGAGAAGGCTATCAGCTTGACCGTGAGACGGCTGTCGGACTTGAGCAAGGGCAAGCGTGTTCGCGCAGACGTGCACAGGCAGTATAGCGCCGCCAAGAAGAGTCTGGCCGAGACCAAGAAGAAGTACAGCATGATATCAAACTTTTGCGACACTCTCAAGATCAAGCTGGACGCTCGATTCCAGAAGTGGCAGAGAATCAGGAACATCACCTCACTACGCACGTCTATCTACTTCAACACATTGCTCACCAATAAGAACTACACTGGATCGATAAACATTGATCACGATCAGAAGACGCTGGATGTCAAGGTGATGCTCAACAATACGGCACCGTCCAGCGGGCCTGGCAGCGCACATGTACAGAGCAACACCAAGCAACTGTCGGGTGGCGAGCGATCATTCACCACTGTATCCCTACTACTAGCACTGTGGGCCAACATGGAATGTCCATTCCGTGCAATGGATGAGTTTGATGTCTTCATGGATGAAGTGAATCGCAAGATCAGTACCAAACTCCTATTAGAGCGTGCCAAAGAAGATGACAAGAGACAATATATATTTGTCTCTCCACTTAACATTAAGTAAGTTAACTACCTTTATTCATTCATTCATTCATTCTTTACTTACATGTACATGTACTTATAACTAATTGATCTTTATTTGTTAGTTTCCAACAAGGTCCCAAGTTAATGATCTTTGAAGTCAAGGCTCCGATTAGAGGTCAAACAACAATCCCATTGACTACAGATAATCAACAAGATTGATCCCCCGAATATATATAGTAATAATTTGTAAATACTTACTTTACTCTTTGGTCGCATCATTATTGATGTACAGTTTATTACCAATTCGAGTCGAACAGATCCAAGGGTGCTTGTTGTTGCGAGATGTGGTGGAGGGGGTTGAATGAAGTCTGGAAGTGGGTTGGTGTTCTGTGAATCATAATAAAGGTTAAATTGAAGTGATCACAATTGTGTTTAATTAATAAATTGTATTACTTGTTGTATAACAAAGAGATAGAGATAGATAATAATAAATAAATAAATAATGAATGAACAATCACCTTCAAATGAATTACAAAGGACAAGAGAATTGTTTAGACAATTGAAAGAGAATGATACGACTAACAAACAATGCTTTGAGTGCAAGTCACCAAATCCTCAATGGGCATCTGTTACATATGGTATCTACCTATGTCTAGAATGTAGTGGAATTCACAGGGGACTAGGTGTTCACTTAAGGTATGTCACCTACTCTCTAGAGATCAATGTTTGGAACTATTCTAACAATCTAAATTCAGCTTTGTTAGAAGTTTGACCATGGATAAATGGTTGGATAAACAGTTGGAGATGATGGTTCTTGGTGGTAATAAGAATGCTCGTGAGTTCTTTGCTAAACATGGCGTTCAGATGGATAGTTTGGACATAAAATCAAAGTATCATTCCAAGGGTTGTGCACTTTATCGTGAGAAGTTGTCTACGATGGCTGATCAGAAGGTATGGAAGGAGCCTGAGGATCGTACACCAGAGCCTTCGCCATCTCCAACATCAAGGTCCAGGACATCCTCATCTCCAGCGCCAAAGAAGAATTCAAAGGCATTGGAGGATTGGGATGATTGGGACAAGAGTCTAGACAACAACAAACCAAAGATATCGACTTCAACCTCATCAATGACGAGACCATCCATGGCTAGGGAGCGTGCAGATACTTCGCCAAGCACCACCAGCGCTCCAACAAAGTACACCCAAAGTAAATCGCATTATAGTTCGTCTTCCGACACATCACCAACTCACGAGAGAAGTGCCCCGCCATCTGACGATCGAATCAAGAAGTTTGGTAACGCCAAATCAATATCAAGTGCCGACTACTATGGTGAGAACAACCAATCTGGACGCACCAACAATCAATCCTCCAACACCAGTGGATATTATAACTACGGAATGTCACTACTTGGAGAGGGATACAACAAGTTGACAAACGTTGCAAGTGTATGTTTCATTATGATTGATCGATCAGATTGATACTCACACCCCTCATCCTTTAGACTGTTACAAACAAGTACAACGATGGTACATTGTTGACAGAGGCATCAAGTATGGTAACAACATATATTCAAAGAGCTAAAGAGATTGTTCATAGTCCAGTTCATACATCAAAGACCCAGGACACTAAGTTGCCATCATGGACGAGTAGCAACAACACTAGAGATGAAGAGAGACCAACCAGAACGAACGAAGACAACAATCAATCTTTTGAGGGATGGAAATCACACAGTGATGACGAAGATAATGATAATGACAATGACAATTATCAATCCGATGATGAATCAAACAAGAACAAAAACCTCAAACGTAATCATGTTGAGGATGAAGCGGAAGAGGAAGAAGATGAACCTCAATGGTCCTTTGGATCATCCAAGGATAAGTCCAACACGCATGGAACAAGTGGCAATGTATCCAATGCTCACAAATCAATGGCCAGCACGAGCAAGTCCAAGTCCCAGTGGGAGGGGTGGGACGAGTAATGGTAATACTTATAATCTGATGTACATAAAGTAAACCTTATTGGATATAACTTTAGTTTATTGAGAAAGAGAGATAGTATGTCAGTGTCAGTTCATTAGGCAGCAGTGACCAATGCCTTGTTGACAATGATGCTGCGGATGTATACTGGTGTTGGACCCTTGCTTCCAATGTGGATGTCCACTGCGGTTCCAGTGGTCATCTTGAATGTGCAGATCTGCTTTCCAACAAGCTTCACTCCATCAGTGGCTGCAGCCAATGGGATGGTCTTGGTGACGCCGACCTTGGCGGTGGACTCGAAGAACAGTGTGACTGGGCCAGCACATTCAATCAGCAACTGGAGTGCATACTTGATGGTCTTGCCTTCAGCCCATCCGGCGGGAGTGAGACGGAAACGTGCGGCAGAGTTCGAATCGCTGAACAACATTGCTGCGCCACCTGGTCCAAAGTGCTCTTGGACCATCGACGTGGTTCCCTCCATCTGAACGTACTTGATTGGGTCAAACACATGTCCTGGTGCCTTCTGCGAGATGTAGTTGGTTGACACCAACTCCACTGGTTGGAACACGACAAAGGCTGAGTCGACGGTGCCTGCCTTGCGGACATTTGGATCATAGTTGGTTCCCCATGACCAGACGGCTTGGATCACGTGCGCTGATTGAGTGAAGGAGGTTGAAGAGCACGCCCCATATGTAAGAGTTTTGAGATAAGCAATATCGCCATCCCTGCCTCCATGGACGCTTGAGTCGTCGGGGTTGAAGTACTTCTTGTCGGTGACGATGTTGGGGAATGTGTACTGGGCTTGGCGTTGATGCCATGACTCCTCAGCCTGGTACTTGGTGACATAAGTCTTGGCGTCGTAGCTGGTACAGGCAATGTCACCAGCGACACTGAGTTTGAAGGCACGTGGGATGATGTCGTAGACAATGGTGATGGTCTCGTCGGCAGAGGCGCTGGAGCCAACATGAACTTCATCCTTGACGGCGGTGGGACCGGACACGGCGACATCGCGACGAGACTTGTCGGTGAACCTGTCGATGAATGTGTTGCAGAGTGTGACGAATCGGAAGTCGTTCTCATCCTTGCTCACGTAGAGGTATTCGTGCTCGCCGCGCCACAAGTAGAACTTTCCAATGGCGAGCTTGCTCTCAAGGGAGGTGCACGTGTCAGAGTAGTAGCCCTTGTTGTCAGTGGCCACCATCAGGTTGACTGGACAGCCGACAGTGTCACTCAGCAACATACGCGAACGATCAAGCTTGACGATTCCCTTTGGGAACTGGAAGACATCCAGGAATGGCCACATCGAAGCCATATCAAAGATCTGAGTGATCATGAATGTGCGGTAACGCTGCAACTTGTTGAAACAGTTGACATCATCGGTGTTGTCGGTTTTGATCTTGTTGTAACCTGTGGTGTAGGTGGTTGCGCACCACTCACCATAGTCCTTGATACACTTCTTCAACTCGGTCTTGTAGCTGGTCTTGATGGTCTTGCCAGCAATGTCCCATTTCTTGCCATTGGCGCACAGATCACGGAGAAGCAACAATCTGGTGTTGGCCATCATCGCGTACATGTACAGCTCGCTCACTGCAAACGAGGACTTGGAGGCCAGGTCCAGACCCTGTTGCAAGTCATTGAGTGCCAACTTGACAGTCTCTCTCACCTCGGTTCTGAGCTTGGTGTTGGTGTGATCAGCCTTGAGCTGTTTGGTTTGAATGAGTGAGTGACATGTTAGATGGAATGGTTCCAATCAGTTGAATGATTGATTGAGTGATGACTTACATTCCTGAGGTCGGTTGAGTACTTGACAATCTGGGTCGAACATGTCTTGTAGATTGCGATGAGGGCCTCAGTGTCATAGGTGGTGATGGTCGAGTCGACCATGGATTGGATCTGCTTCTTGAAAGCGACGACCAACTCTGAGGTATTGCTCTCCTTCTTGCTGACCTCGGTCATGATTGACCACACGGTGGACATGGCCATGGCGGCAAAGTTACCGATGACGGGAACACAGTAGACGGCACCGATAAAGAGGTTGTAGATGATATTGTCCAGATTGAAACCGCCAGCTGCGGTCTGGCTCAACAATGCGTACAACTCTGTTGAGTGATCCTTAATGGCCAGCTCCTTGTAAAATGCTTGTGCAGCATTTACTCTGTCCTCCCACTTGTTGGACTTGAGCATAGTATTGATGTTGGTTTGATCCATTGTATTGTATATTGATTGTTGGATATAATAATAATATTATTATTTGTATCTTTTGTTGTTGTAATTGATTAACTGGACCTTCCGGAAGGTCACTTTAAATAGTTGTTGTCCGTGATGTCCTGGCTTGTTGTCTTGTTGTTGTTGTAGTTGTTGTCGGGGGTGAATCCATCCAATAAGGTGGATCGATATTATTGTTGATGGCCAAACTACAAATTTGTTAAAGATAGATCATGGAGCCTGTCCAGAGGATTCAAAATCTCACCAATTTAGATCGATTTCGGCCTCTGTCATCGTCTTGGTACACCATTGATTATAAATCGAAATCAATATATGTGTCCATTATTGACAACTGAAGATACCTTCGCTGATCACGTGATTGTGAGGTATCATTGTATTGTATTGTACTACTCGTACTTGTACCTGTTAGTTGTTGTTATTGTTTTTATAATAATGATGAGAGATTTGTCTTGGCATCAGGTGACTTTTTGATTCTACACAGTTTTGTTTTGGTCATCGCCGTGTGGTGTCTGTTCGAATGATTGAAGGTGAAGGTTCTGAAAGTGGGGGTTACCATTTAATGGAAGATATTATATTATGGAATGGTTCCAAATAATAGTGAAAAGAGATAAAGTGTACTTCCACAAGTTTGAACAAAAGTAGTCTATTGGAGGAATTGATCAGGAATAGTTCCTGAACTCATTTTGGTAATGGCACAGGGTATAATCTGATGTACATAATGATATAACTTGAGTTTATTGAAAGAGACAGTGTCAGCATTAGTGAACTGATTAGGCAGCAGTGACCAATGCCTTGTTGACAATGATGCTGCGGATGTATACTGGTGTTGGACCCTTGCTTCCAATGTGGATGTCTACGGCAGTGCCAGCGGTCATCTTGAATGTGCAGATCTGCTTTCCAACAAGCTTCACTCCTTTAGTGGCCTCAGTCAATGGGATGGTCTTGGTGACGCCGACCTTGGCAGTGGACTCAAAGAACAGTGTGACTGGGCCAGCACATTCAATCAGCAACTGGAGTGCATACTTGATGGTCTTGCCTTCAGCCCATCCGGCGGGAGTGAGACGGAAACGTGCGGCAGAGTTCGAATCGCTGAACAACATTGCTGCGCCACCTGGACCAAAGTGTTCTTGGACCATCGACGTGGTTCCCTCCATCTGAACGTACTTGATTGGGTCAAACACATGTCCTGGTGCCTTCTGCGAGATGTAGTTGGTTGACACCAACTCCACTGGTTGGAACACGACAAAGGCTGAGTCGACGGTGCCTGCCTTGCGGACATTTGGATCATAGTTGGTTCCCCATGACCAGACGGCTTGGATCACGTGCGCTGATTGAGTGAAGGAGGTTGAAGAGCACGCCTCGTATTTAAGAGACTTGAGGTAGGCAAGCTGGCCATCCTTGCCCGAATGGAAGCTTGAGTCGGTCAAGTCGTAGTACTTGTTGGAGGGGTCGATGTTGGGGAAGGTGTACTCAGCCTGGCGTTGATGCCATGACTCCTCGGCATGGTACTTGGTGACGTAGGTCTGGGCGTCATAGCTGGTACAGGAGATGTCTCCGGCGACACTGAGTTTGAAGGCACGTGGGATGATGTCGTAGACAATGGTGATGGTCTCGTCGGCAGAGGCGCTGGAGCCAACATGGACTTCATCCTTGACTGCGGTTGGACCGGACACGGCGACATCACGACGAGACTTGTCGGTTAACCTGTCAATGAATGTGTTGCAGAGTGTGACAAAGCGGAAGTCGTTCTCATCCTTGCTCACGTAGAGGTACTCGTGCTCGCCGCGCCACAAGTAGAACTTGCCAATGGCGAGCTTGCTCTCGAGGGAGGTGCACGTGTCAGAGTAGTAGCCCTTGTTGTCGGTGGCCACCATCAGGTTGACTGGACAGCCGACTGTGTCACTCAGCAACATACGCGAACGATCAAGCTTGACGATTCCCTTTGGGAACTGGAAGATGTCAAGGAATGGCCACATCGAAGCCATGTCAAAGACTTGGGTGATCATGAATGTGCGGTAGCGTTGCAACTTGTTGAAGCAGTTGACATCATCGGTGTTGTCGGTTTTGATCTTGTTGTAACCTGTGGTGTAGGTGGTGGCGCACCACTCACCATAGTCCTTGATACACTTCTTCAACTCGGTCTTGTAGCTGGTCTTGATGGTCTTGCCGGCGATGTCCCATTTCTTGCCATTGGCGCACAGATCACGGAGAAGCAACAATCTGGTGTTGGCCATCATCGCATACATGTACAGCTCGCTCACTGCATAAGTCGACTTTGAGGCCAAGTCCAGACCCTGTTGCAAGTTGTTCAGTGCCAACTTGACAGTCTCTCTCACCTCGGTTCTGAGCTTGGTGTTGGCGGGCTCAGTCTTGAGCTGTTTGGTTTGAATGAGTGTTAGATGGAATGATTCCAATCATTTGATTGAGCGAGTGATTGAGTGATGACTTACATTCCTGAGGTCGGACGAGTACTTGACAATCTGGGTCGTGCAAGTCTTGTAGATGGCAATGAGGGACTCGGAGTCATAGGTAGTGATGGTCGAGTCGACCATGGATTGGATCTGCTTCTTGAAAGCGACGACCAACTCTGAGGTGTTGCTTTCCTTCTTGCTCACCTCAGTCATGATTGACCATATAGTGGACATGGCCAAAGCGGCAAAGTTACCAACCTCTGGTATACAATACACGGCACCAATGAATGCGGTGTAGATGATATTCTCCAGATTGAAACCACCAGCAGCACTTGGGCTCAACAATGCGTACAACTCTGTTGAGTGATCCTTAATGGCCAACTCCTTGTAAAATGCTGTTGCGGCCTTTACTCTGTCCTCCCACTTGTTGGACTTGAGCATAGTATTGATGTTGGCTTGATCCATTGTATTCTTGTTATAATAATAATATTATTATTTGTATTATATATGTTGTGATGATGATTAACTGGACCTTCCGGAAGGTCACTATTTAAAATTGTTAATGGTCGCCTCGGCGGTGATGTCCTTGCTTGTTGTCTTGGTTGGCTTGGGTGTTGTAGTTGTTGTCGGGGGTGAATCCAATCCCCAGCTGGATATTAATGACCCAACATGATGGCCAAACTACAAATTTGTTAAAGATAGATCATGGAGCCTGTCCAGAGGATTACAAATCTCACCAATTTAGATCGATTTCAACCTCTGTCCACCTGTCTCATCATCATCATCTTGGACATGATGGGGCGTATTGGTATAACCTTAACCTACATCGAATTCGAAAAGTTATTATTATTTGTACCATTGGTCGCGACTTGACGATACCTTCGCTGATCATTCATTTGAAGGTAACATTGTATCGTACTACTTTTGCTCCTATTTGTACCTCTGTTGTTGTTATTGATCGTGGTGGTGTCTTTTTCAGGAGTCGTGAACAACACAGTTTTGTTTAGGTCACCCCGAGTCGTGTTTAGTTTTGGCTGTCGCTTGGATGATCATGTGAAAGTGGGGGTTACGAATACAATTTGGTCTTTGATTGATTGAATCAGTGAGATAATATTCAATGAAGGACTTAAATAAAATTTATTTTATTAATCTATTAATTAATATCTATTTATTATATTTAAATAAAAATAAAAATATTATACCCACATATATAATTAATACGTACTACATCAACACCGTCTCCATCTGTGTACCATGGTTCATCAGTCGCATTAATCTTTGGAGTTGTGATGTTTAACTTCATAATATTACTTGTTTGATTGTTTGACTAACGATCAAAAAACGAAAGATTGTTTCAAGTTGAAAATACAAATAAACAGATACAAATACAAATATATAAATAAAACAATAATATATATATATATATATATTTTATATAATTAAAATAAATAAAATAAAAAATAATTATATCTCTTATTATATTAATTATTAAAGTGATGGCATGGTCGTCATTAAATGAAGCATTGCAAGAACTGGGACTGAAATGGCGACGATTGCGGGGAGGAGCTGCCTGGCGAGGACTTATTTTGGGAGGGCGACGATAGCTCTTGGGGATCTGAGTCGATGGCTGACTGGTCGTCCTCCTTCTTAAGTTTGGATCGTGACAAGATTTGGAAAGAGTAAATATCCAAATTATTTTTAGATTAAATATGTCAAGAAGTGTCTAAGTTTGAACAGTTATTATGATGCAACCAATCAAATAATGAATAATAGAGTTAACAACAACAACAATATGTTATTAATATCTTTATTGACATTGATGATAATAACAATAGTAGTAGAATGTGAATCAACAATAGTTAGTGCGACAAGACAATGTAATAATTGCAAAAAGATAAATGAACAATGTTATTATGGTCTAGACATTTGTGAACCTGGAAGTATATGTCAGAGTAGTAATAACATAGATGGAATATGTGTCAAACTACCATCACTCGACCAACCCTGCAACTCCACCCTCATGTGCAGCGACAACTATTGGTGTGACTCAAACACAAGAATATGTATTGCACAACGATACCTTGGTATGTTATGTTCATTCAACATCATGATGAGCCACAGTGGCTCATGACCTACCTCATCTAACATTGTATTCATGGTACCTTTAGGCTTGGGCGAGACTTGTGGCAACAACTCATTATATTGTAATGAAGGTCTTGTTTGTGAACAATCGATATGTGTCAATGTGAACTACCCGGGATGTATAGATAGGACTAGATGTCCATGGAATGAGACATGTATAAGTAATAAGTGTACATCTCCAATACCCGATGGTGAAGCATGTACAGTACAAAGTGAATGTTCAATCAACAGTGGATGTGTTGCCAACAAGTGTGTTCCCAACTTCTCCCTTGGTCTCAACTCCAAATGTCTCTTTTCCTTTGACTGTGACTTCTCCCAAGGTCTCATTGTAAGTGTACCATGTGTCAACTCGACTCAACATCGCGAGTCACTAACATCCCAATCAACCTCAGTGTCTTAACAAGACATGTAGGAACAAGGATGAACTGTTTAATGCACAGTGTAATGCTACTTATCAATGTCCTACTGCTATATGTATGTGTAATGCTAATGTATTGACATCGGGTAGTAGTGGCAAGTGTGGCGCTCAAGATGACTATACTGTATATCCAAGATCAATGTATGATAACTATCTAAAGTGTGTAACAGATAACAAATGTCCTGTTGCAAGTGTTGTTGAACCAGGTAGCTGTGTCTACAAGTGTGGCAACTTCCTTTCACTACCTGGATTGAATAGATGTTCAACATCGACTACATCAACGACATCAACATCATCAACTTCATCTCCAACTTCTACAACATCATCAACTACTTCATCTTCATCTCCAACAACCTCTACATCCTCTACTACTTCATCGTCGCCAACATCGACATCAACATCATCTCCATCTGTGTACCATAGTTCATCAGTCGTTTTAATCTTTGGAGTTGTGGTGTATAACTTCATAATATTACTTGTTTGATTGATCAACGAGTGATCAAAAGATCAAAAAAACGAACGAATGATTGATGATTCATTTCGCTCAAAGCATCAAATTGTAAATATACAAATAATATTATAATAATAATGAGTGATAGAAGGTTTAATAACACCTCTGGCGGCAGAGGAGGAGGCAGAGGAGGAAGAGGAGGAGGACAAGGACAAGCACCTCAACAACAAAGAGTACGAACTCAACATAGGGACAGAGGCGATAGATCAGTCGACAAGTATTCAAAAGACAAGTCAAGTAGATATTTAACAAGAGATAGTATGTATTTGAATGAGCTTATTGATTGAATGATTGAATGATTGGTTGAGTGATATCTAACAATGTCTGTTGGTTATAATAGAACATACTTTATTATCTCGTGAGGAGCAGTTCAAGAAGAAGTATGAAAAGAAGAAGGAGAAGACTGCAGCTGATGATGTTAAAGCAAAGTTTGAACAGTTGGCAGAGGACCCGCTATCAAGAGTATGTATATTAACTTGATTGACATTGATTGATATCCTTTGATTGATTGACTAATATGTGTAATAATATAGTTCGCTCTAGGTAGTGGCAATAGTAAAGTTGATGAGTTTGTTAGTAGGAGAAGTAAAGGAAAGAAGAGAGCTCAACAGAGAGAGGGAAAGAAGGATGATGATGAGAATGAGGATGTAACAGAGGAGAATGATCAAGTCATGAATGATACCAACGATGAAGTGGAGGTCAAGAAGGATGAGGTCAAGAAGGTTCAAACCAAGGCAAAGGTGCCACCACAAACAGACAATGTATCTGTTGCCCCGTCGACGTCATCAGTCACAGAGAATGATGATGATGAGACACCATCAATAACAACATCAACAACAACGACAACGACAACAACTACGACAAACTCAAAGATATCAGACAATCCTTATATGATGAACAATAACGCAACGACGACTACAAATGAAGAGGTACAGAATGGAAAGAAACCAAAGTCAATCAAGGGAAGACTGATCGAGGCAAGAAAGGAGTTTGAACAAAAGAGATTGGAGAAGGAACAAAGAAAGAAGGCTATGGAGGACAAGAAGAATGAAAACTTGATGAAGCACAAAGAGAGGAGACAGGAATCACTCAAACTGATGAAGCGCACAAAGAGGGGTCAACCAATCATGAAGAATCAACTTAACAAACTGCTGCAGAAGATTGAGTCTTCCTAATGTAGCCATTCATTCATTCATCTGACCAATTGATTGCCATCATATTAATATGTCTTTTAATTATTTTATTCATGGCTTGTCAACTCAAGTGGTCATTCATCAGTCTTTGGACATTTATGATTCTTCAACATTTATTTATAATTATAATAATATTAATAATAATGTTATCTAAAGTCCACATTATTTCCAACACATTAGTATCTGTTAGAAGATATATATCACTATCTAATCATTTATATTGTCGATCATATTCATCAACATCAAAATACAAAGACATAGACAAAGACAACCAACATAAATTACCAATATTTCATTATGGATCGGGAAACTTCCAGAATATTTATAATACTCCATCTTCATTTTATAGAGATAATAGTAAATATATTAGAGATATTGAGGAATTGACTAATAATATTATTTTATCAACATGTCCACGAAGATTTGGAAAGACTTTATTCCTCAATATGATGAGTCATTACTATGATAAAAATTATAAAGATAAATTCGAAAATATGTTTGGACGATTGGATATTGGAAGGAATCCAACCAAACTAAAGAATTCATACATGGTATTATATTTAGACTTTGCCGGTCTTAATACAATTTCTTCTGATTATTTCGAAAGTAGTTTCAACTTTAGGATAAATAATTCAATATATTGGTTCATCAGAGATAATAAGGATATTCTAAATGATCAATACCATATTAATAATGATAATTATAATAATAATTATTTAGATGCCTTGACTTATTTAATTAATTTAACAAATGATAGTGAATATCCATTATACATATTTATTGATGAGTATGATACATGTATAAATTCAGCAATTAATAATAATCCTTATACATTATTCTTTGAGAAAATGTTCCAACAATTCTTTAATAATCTTAAATCATTATTTCAAGGTACAAAGAATAGAGCATTCATCACTGGTGTAACTCCTTTATCAATATTGGATTCAGAATCTATTATTCATAATCCTACTTTCTCCAATCTTTATGGATGGACAGAATATGATATAAACAGAGCATTGGATTTAATATATCCACCTCTGGATCATTCAATCAAATCAAAACTTTATAAATATTTGTTAGAAGAGAATTCTGGATATTCTTTCCATCCTGGATATCAAAAAGATTTAATTCTCAATCCAACCAAATTAATATATGAGTTAGGAGAAATACAAAGAAATAGATCCGATTTAATTGATAAAGAGGTAAATTATATAATTGATTGATTTATTAATTAAAAATATTAATTAATTATTTAGCTGACTTTAGGAAAATTGGTACAAAGTATTCTTGATCCAAATTCACTTCCAGCTCAACCAACTTTGGATAAAATTATAGAGTATCCACTGGGACGCGAGATAGTTTACCAAGCAATAATATCAAATGATATTGATTTTGGATATGGATTGATAAGATCATTTAGTCCAACTCAGGTCCAAAATATGGGTAGTGATCGTGATGTAATGATCGCTCTAATGTATTACACCGGCGCATTGACTTATTCTAAATATGGTACACATCTTTGTATCCCAAACTTGGCTGCTAAAAAGGAGTACATATCAACTGCCAAGACGTTGTTCAGAAGCAGGAAGTACCAATTAAACTGATCGATTGATTGACTTGATGAATGCCACGATACTTGGTGCAAAGCCACCCTCCATTGACTCATTGAGTATGAGCAGTCTATTTGGAGCGATCTCACGTATTTGGAAACAGTCCAACGGTGTGACCAACATTCGGATTGAAGATGGTAGTGATGCCAGTGGTGGAGGTGGCCAATTGAAGCTCAAACTTTGTAGTTTGTTACTGGGCGACAGTATGTTTGATGAGAGCTGTTGAGAGTAGTGCGATCCAAGACACAAGTCGACCAGGCCATCAGGGAGTGATCCCTGATTAAAAGGTGTGTTGTATCTTGACCCAAATATTAGTCTTGTAACACTTGATGGTATGGCACCAGGCTCCAACGATTGATTGTAAGACTTTCCAAACTTTAGATGTTGCACAGAGTCTGGGATATCGCCAGGTTTTAGAATGCCCTGGAACCCTTGAGAGAAACGTAAATAGGTCACGGATCTTGGGATCAAACCAGGACGGGCCACAGCACATTCATAGAGACGGGTGACAGAGTCTGGTATCCAACCAGGCTTGAATGATTGCTCGTAGAATGGTGAGAACTTGAGGATTGTGACTGAGTTTGGGATGTGTACCTGCTCCAAATCCTCATCGATCTGTCCCTTGAATACTATATGTGTAACAGTGTCTGGTATCGAGTCGACGGTGAGCGAGTGCTTGACCGAGCCCAGCATCACCAATTGTTGGAGTCCACGAGGCAATGAGCCAGATGTGAAAGGATGATCATAGGCATATCCGGTGCGTAGTGTGGTCAGAGAGTCTGGCAAGACACCGGGTGTGAATGGTTGATTGTGTACGACTCCAAATGAGATAGACTCCACACCGCTTGGTATGACACCAGGTTGAAGCTGTTGGCTGTACTCATCGCTAAGCTCCAGCTTCTTTAGAGACATTGGCAGCACGCCAAAGCCAATAGGTTGATCAAAGTCACTCTTAAACAACAGATCGGTTATAGAGCTGGGAAGCGAGCCAACCGCCAGCACCTGATTGAATCGATTGGATAATGCCAGCTTGATGAGTGAGGAAGGGAGAGTACCTGGCGCTAGAGGTTGGTTGAAGTGGAAGCCCAGTTCAAGCTCCTGGAGGCTATCGGGGAGCATGCCAGGTAGTAGTGGCTGGTTGAACGAACCACCAAAGATTATAGAGGTGACAGAAGATGGGAACACATCGATAGGAAGTGTTTGATTGAAGCCACTGCCAAAGTATATTTCTTGAATGGACTTGGGAAACAGACCGACTGGCAAGGGTTGATTGAAGTAGAGGCCAAATTTGATTGATACCAATTTGGGTGGAAGTGAACCTGGCTCCAACACTTGATTAAAGTCCATTCCAAAGGTGACCACTCTTAACTCTCTTGGCAAAGTATCTACCTCAACAAGACCATTATACGTTCCACCAAATGTCAAATGAGTTATCCAACTCGGTAGACTATCCTTTGTCAACTGTATATTGAATCCATTAGACAATGTAATATTCTTAACAGCATATGGTATAGTTCCAATGTCTATATCATCCGATGACTCTTTGATTGAATAAGTGTGAGTGATTGAATGATTGAATGAATGATAGAGATGACATACCGCACATTATATGATAGTCAAACTTCTTATAGGTGCCTGTAAAGAGGTCTTTGTCGGTCATATAGAGCATGCGTGGACTATGTTTAGCTTGTTTGGATTGTTGTACAATGTCTCGATAGGATCGTAGTTTAATACGTCTACTGAATACACTCAATAGAGATGTATCCATCTTGAAGCTTAGATATCCATGTCTATCATCATACAACTGTTTACAAACGAGTGATAATGACACTCTATCAATATTATCATCTATAAAACATACTATATTCTGTAATATAATATGTGAAAACATGTAAATATTGATATTGATTAATCACTTTTGTTTATAAGTTATATGTTATATGTTATTACAATTATTATTTTATCTTATTATTATTATCTGTTTGTTTTTTTGATTGATTGAGATTAAGATTGAATGACATGTTTGACGCGCATGTGCTGGAAGTTGGAAGTTGGGAGTTTGGGGGTTGTTGCCGCGACACACTCAGGGGGTTGTTGCCGCGACACACTCAGGGGGAATTTTGCAAGAACGAAGATGGGACTTCAGAGACTCGTCTGACTCGGTTTATTGACCTGGCTGGATCATATTGATCGCACATGTCATCATTCATCATCCAAACGATGAACAATGATTGAGTGATTGAATAATTAATTGGACATGGAACTATCCCATCGTTGGACAAAGGACCAAGGCCTCGGCCTCAGCCTCACCCTCATCCTCGAATGGAATGAATAACTGATCGATTGAGGTGACTGACTGACCACTATATTAGAGTAGACGACTGGCGATTGTATTCAGTGAGAAACGATCTTCGACTTGGCCCCAACGACGCTTGGCCTCTTCGAGGTCGGGCTGGTGATACCAATCAGGGTAAGGGTTGTCGGGATTGAATCGGTAGTTGAGTAATAGTTCACCATCATTGATTTGTTCATAGGCAATGATTACGAATGATTTGACAAATATGTTGCCATCACGAAGGAATCGATTCTCGAACATCTCCATGTTGGGAATGTACGGCTTGAGGTGCTCGGGGAAGTCCGCCGAGAAGTTGTACTTGATGCCAATGACGTTGGGTCGCTGTCCCTCTGCTGGGTGATTGATAAACTGTCCAATGGCAAAGGGATTGCGATACTTGAGCAGGCCGACGCCTCCATCTCCAGAGCTTCCCGTCTCGTTAAAGTATTGCGGGCGGTACACCGACATGTCGGTCTTTTTCAGCCAGCTGCGTCCGTCAATAACAGTGCCATCGTATCGTGCGATGGCATAGTCGTTGTCCTTGATTATGCCAGGCGTTATTGTGTTGGCCGAGTATGTGTCGCCTGGGTAGATGGCCAGCACGGTGCCCGGCACGACGGTGCCCACGACGTGCACACCATAGCCGGCCTGGTCGTGGCCGATGCCCGACCGTCCGACGCGCAACTTGAACCCGTCGGGATGGTCGAATGTGACGCCCTCCAGATTGGACTCCTTGATAATCAATGCGCGCCGCAGCTTTGCCTCCATACTATTGAGTGGCAACTTCTGAATTGGTGGCGGGTAGCTGTTCAGTCCGCCAATCTTATGTACATATTCAAACAAATCCAACATCTGTGTTCCAACGACCTCTCCAATCCTCCTCTTTTGATCAATATAAGATGTCTTCATCAAGTCCTTCATGTATTCATTCAAACTCTCTTCATCATCTTGCTCGTCCTTGTCATTTCGCTCTTGTCTCTCTTTATCAAGTTGTTCAATCTCTTCTTTTGTCTTGTTTGATAAGCTATTCATATGTTGATAATATGTATTTGTTGCCAAGAATGCTTTGAATGTATCCAATCTCTCTTGTTCATTCTGAATGTATTGCTTTGGTTGTGTCTTTGTTGATGAAGGTGGATCAACTGCACCTCTCCATCTTGTCAATCTCGACAATGATGTTGCTAACCTTGACAACATATATTATGTATATATATAAGTATAGGTATAATGTTTGAATGATTGATTGACTTGATTGAATAAAAGATGGAATGAATGACAGCCCAATTAGTCAATGTATGTTATAGACGAAGTTCGTTAATGGATTTACATTGTTGTGTTAATCGTTTGTAAATTATGAAGAGTAATTCTGTTGAATAAAATGATATTTATTTTGATTTTTGAAGTGTGGTGGTGTGAGGAATGTTGGACAAGGAATGGCAGGCGAGGTGAGGTCCTTGAAGTCTAACATTCATTCTTTTGTTTCACTCTTTACGTACCTTTGACAACGCAGCAGTAGCAGAATACAGACATGGCCGACATTCAAGTATGTGTAACGAATGAATGATCATTATCCATTAGAATGATCATCATCAGTATCAGCAGCAGCAACAGCAGAGTGATCATTATTGGATAAATGTTGTGAGCGAACTAGCATTGTTCATAGTTGTAGTAGTCGTCGTCGTAATCATACATTGTCATCATCATCATTGTCAAGAGTATCGATAATAGATATCAATCATATGGATTACAGTAGTCATCAACAATGAAGTAGTAATCAATCATTGAACATCAAGTGAGAGGAGAGACAACACATCATCATTGATATACAATCATACAGGATCCATTATTTGATGATAACTCTATGATGATGATGATGAATGACTTTGATGGATGAACAACGAGCGACAATTATGAACTACGAAGTCTTGCTGTACAACATAATATAACAATACAATCGCTCAACCACAACTCAATCAATCACCAACTCAGCAACAACAGCAATTACACATTTAGATAGATGAACCAGACACTAATACATTAATCAAACAATCAAACAATCAAACTATAAATAGGCTGAAAAGGCATTCCAACAGCAGGAGGTTGTTTTCTCCAAGACTTTCCAGTCCAAGGCTGCCAAGGGTGGTGAGGGAATCAGATTCTACAAGTCCATTGGTCTTGGCTACAGAATCCCAAAGGAGGCCATCGAGGGTACCTACATCGACAAGAAGTGCCCATTCACCTCGAACGTCTCGATCCGTGGAACCATCCTCAAGGGTGTCGTCGTCTCGACCAAGATGAGAAGAACCATCATCATGCGCAGAGACTACCTCCACTACATCAGAAAGTACAACCGTTTCGAGAAGAGACACTCCAACATTGCTGCCCACGCCTCGCCATGCTTCACCATCAAGGACGGTGACAACGTCACCATCGGTCAATGCCGCCCACTCGCCAAGACCGTCAAGTTCAACGTCATCAAGCACGACGCCGCTGGTGCCTCCAAGAAGCAATTCAAGGCTTTCTAAACGGATCGTCTATAACTGGTAGTCTCCAATACATTAAACAATACTTTCTCCACTACTATTCCTCCTCCTTGGGCGTCTGTCCATCCGTCTGGCAGTGTTGTTTGTTCCAACAAACGATCATTCATTCCGGAAGCGTGGTCGATCATTCCGCGGAATTCGCCCAACATTGATATTTTTGCGCATAAATGTTCAACTTGAACCTCCACTCATTCATTCAATCATTCAAGTTCAAACTAACTAATAACTTATAACTTATAACATATATACATACAACATAACAATGTCAAAGAATATTCTTGTTTTCGGAGGTAGCGGAGCATTGGGAGCTGAGATCGTCAACTTCTTCACGACTAAGGGATGGTCCACCGTCGCCATCGACTTCCGTGCCAACACTGTTGCCAACAAGTCCATCGTCATCACCAACTCTGGTGAGACCGAGATGGTTAGAGTAGCCACTGAGCTCAATGCCACCAGTATGTGTGCGACACACTCACGAACACTGATCAAGCAATGAATCAATCACTAACTCAATCAATCAATCATTCAGAGTTTGACAGCATTATCTGTGCTGCTGGAGGCTGGACCGGAGGTAGCATTACCTCGGAGGACTACTTCAAGAGTGTCCAGAAGATGCTCGATATGAACCTTAGCTCAGCTATTGGAACTGCCTACCTCTCTGGCAAGTTGCTCAGCCCAGGTGGTCTTGTCGTCTTTACCGGCGCCAACTCTGCCCTGGTCCCAACACCAGGAATGATCGGATACGGTGTCTCCAAGGTTGCTACTCACCAGATCGTCAAGTCACTCGCTCAAGCCGACTCTGGATTGCCAGCCAACGTATGTTACAGCACAGTGTCTCGCACTTTCTGGACATGCACTAATCATTCATTCATTCATTCAAACAAACGTAGTCATTGTCCATTGGAATCCTTCCAGTCATCCTGGACACTCCATCAAACAGAGCTGGTATGCCAGATTCAAACTTTGACAACTGGACTCCAGTTAGCGATGTTGCCTCCAAGTTGTTCGAGTGGTCCTCAGACAGCACCACCAGACCAGCCAACGGATCGCTCGTCACCATCGAGACCAAGAACAAGGCCACCACCTTCACCCTGGTCTAATCCAACTAACCAAATCAATCAATCAACTAAAGATACACCTTTAGACTTGTAAATGCTCAACGCGTTTGGCGAGGATGGCGTCGTCGCCATTATCCTGTCCTCGTCACTTGATTGCTACTACTTTATTTCTTCTTCATCGACTTGTGCATGAGTGACATCATCTTTCTAAAGTCCTCGGCGCAGTTGGGCTCACAGAATACCTTGGCGGTGATAGTGGTGGCCAGCTGCTTGCCCTCCTCCTCGGTCACCTCGCTGGCGGTTGGTGGGTTGTTTCTCTTGTCGCTGTGCATGCCTGACAGGAAGATTGGTATCTTGCCCATGAAGTTGATCTCTGGCAGCCACTGGAATGTGACGTCCTCGAATGTCATGCGGTCGGTCACCGTGTAGACAACGATGGCGGCGTCGGCGGCCTCGTACTGGAGTGCGCGTAGTCTTGAGTACTTGTCATTCTCCGATGTCTTGACAAGGGTGAAGCTGACCTTCTTTCCATCGATCACAATGCTGCCACTGACAGTCTTCTCGTACTCATTGTCTGAGATGATGTCCAGGTCGTCCACCACAGATATGAAGTACTCCATCATTGCTGACTTGTCGTTGGACTTGTCTCCTGCCAACACTATTGTAGTTGTGTCTCCATTCTTCTTCCTACGCATCTTGATACTGCTTCCACTTGATTCTGACTTGTCTGGCTTGACCTTGCCCTCCTTCTCCTTCTCCTTTTCTTTCTCCTTCTCTTTCTCCCTCTCCTCCTTCTCTCTCTCCTCTCTCTCCTTCTCCTTCTCTTTCTCCTTCTCCTTTCTATCCTTCTCAAGTGCTAGAGATGATTGATTGATTGAGTGAGTTAGTATATGGGTCAATCAATCCACCCAGGATCCATCCATCATCACATGTAGGTACATACCAATCTTCTTCTCAAAGGCCTGCATCTTGTTCTGGAGCTCAGATTGGTTCTTGGTCAGATGCTTCTCCTTGCTGTGCATCTCTTCCTCCTTCTTGCCAAGGTTCTTGAGCTTGTCTTCCAGTTGCTTCTTGGTCTGATCATTGGTCTCCTTCAACTTGAGACTGACCATCTTCTCCACCTCCTGATTGATAATGTTTGAGGCATCCTCCTTCAATCGCCTTTGTTTCTCCAAAAGTGCACGCTTCGCCATCACCGACTTGATGCTGTCCATAGTTTGAGGAGTGATTGGATTGCTAGGCATGAACAGGTTGGTCAAAGACAGCTTGCCCTTTTCCAGCTTGCTCAGTATGGACTTGGCCGACTCCTCACTGACATTACAGTTGTACATGCTCAGTTGTCTAAGTGATGAATTGCGCGACAGTGACTTGGCCAGAGACTTTGATCCGACTGGACCAATGACGTTGCTGTTGATGTGAAGCGTGATCAATGTCTTGTTGTGTTCCAGCATTGTGGCAAGTGATGTGGCGCCACGCTCCGTGATGGAGCAGTCTGAAAGATAGAGTGACTTGAGTCCACAGCCACTCTTGAGTGCGGCCAGGATCACAGCGAGTCCATCATCGCCAATTGGATTGCTGTCCAACTTGAGATGTTGTAGTGTGTTGTTGATAGACAGTGCGCCTGCAATCTCACGAGCGCCCAGCAGCGAGATGCGGTTGTCTGACAGGTCAAGTGACTCGACCAAGGCCTGCTGCCTTAGCGCGTCAGTGATGGGCTTGACCTTTTGATTGTCTATATTGCAGCGATCCAGTCGCAACAGAGGCAGACGTTTGCCTTTCTTGAGTACGTTGGCAATCACCTTGGTGTCATAATTGCCCATCTTCTTGAATAGATGACTGGATGCTTCCAGTGACAATTGTTCATCCTTGTTGTTGTTCGCTACGTCCATCTTGTATATATTTATATGTTTATTTTCAAAGAGAGAAGTATGGAAGGATGGGTATAATGTAAAGTAATATAAAGTAAAGTAAAGTAATAAGGGGAAGGGAAAAGGGTAATCAATAGACACAGTTAACAGTTAATAGGATGGGCACAGCACGATATCAAGTTGATTGATTGATTGATTGAATGGATATGGTAATCGCAAAGTAATGGATATCGCTCAATAATGATGATGATGTCCAATAATGGTAATGTAGTATTATAATGGTAATGGTATATATATATGGTAATGTATACTTAGAATGGAAGGAAGGTATGTATTTAAACACTATCTATACACTCTCTAATTCTTGTCGCTAATGTGTGTTTAAGATTGGTGTTAGTATCCATTGTTCATTCATTCATTCATGTACTGTCTCCAACTTATACAACATGTAATACATACATTGATATTGTTCCTTTGGTATTAACTTATAGAACATCTATCTTGTATTCTTATTCTAACTCTATTATCTCTAACTATTGTAGTATAGTATAACAAACACATCAATAATAAAAATAATGACAAACAAATAAGATAAGTTAACAATGAATAAGTATACGGGTTGAGTATGTATAGTGTAAGGTAGGTGTCCTGTCCTGGTCTACGATATTGGTCAACATATAATCCAAAGAAGGCAATGAATAATAACTCATACCCTTAAAAGGTTCACACTTGTATACTTATAAGTATTATTATCTCTATGTATGAATACAGATACATTACATGTTCCAAAGTGGGTGTCATTGTATGTGTGGTCTTGCAGACGACAATGAACTAACACACACGCTCCACACTCACACACAATCATCCAGTCGTCTGACGAATCACCACACCACCTCATCATCACTCATTCTACCACTACATCTACAACTACAGCCTATTACTTCTGACTTGTTTGTTTGCTTGATTCATACAACTAGATTGGCGTCAAGTGGAGAGAGAGTGAGAGTCACTCACTCATCACCATCACCATCTTGATGTGGCCAGTTTCAAGAACGAAAGAAGAAGAAGGACAAGATATAGTATCTGTAGGTAGATAGATATTCGAATCGTACTTGGGTTGCAAAGGTATGTAACCAATCGGTTGGTTGGTTGGCTAACTGACTGACTCTGATTGATATTGTCGAATGGTCGTATGATGAATCCAAAAGATCAATAATGATTCGTCGTGGTTTTAACTGTATTGTTCATGACCCAACAAGTTGGCCAATGAATGGTCTGATGGGGTATTACTTTGTGTCACATTCCCAGTGATATAAGACAGACAGACAAACAGTACAGATAATATGATGTAATGTAGTTACGACTGATTGGTGGACGACCATCCATCATCAAACCTTTGGTTGTTTGTTGTGGGATAAGCCCTGATTACGAATGACACCAAGTGTGATCTGTTTTTGGCCCCCAATCAAAAGCGTGCCCAAAGGCCCAAAACAACAAAACAACAAGCAGATGGGCTCAACCAATCGAAGAGACACAAACAACATCGGCCAGCTGGAATAGTAAGACAAAAGTCAAACCTCTAATTTAAGTCTGATCAAATCCATCTCTAAAATAGAATCATTAATTGACCCTGTTTTAATCTCAATTAATTATGTGAAGATGGTAGCCAATCAATCATCAAACTGCAATGCAACTACGTGTGCGGCACGGTGTGATTCCACGTACATCATCAAGTCGTCGTACCATCATTCAAGTGGTTGGCCCGCTACACGTGAGTTAATGAATGATCTAATTCAATTCGTTCAAATAAGTCATTGCGACTCTTCCCAGATTTCAAGCAGAATCTGGTCAGTCCAACGCGCAGATCGAGCCGAGAACAAGCAGTGGGCCTAAAGCTCGACGCCATCACACAAATGCATTCAATTGCATATGTTCATTGGTTGTTGACCCTCCTCTCTGCATCACCTGGTCCATTTGGCAAAAGGATAACTTTATGTTCCTATCCGTTTCATCGACAGTTGAGGCATTCCAGATGTCTGTCAGGCAGCCAGCCTTCGTCATCGTCACTGGCACTGACAATGACGACCTCTCGCACCCGGATGCACTACTACATCAACCGATAACCTTTGCACTTATGACCTATCAACATACATTTATTTATTATAATACTTTGCAGCATAGATAGTTCATTAATTAATTAATTATCGATCAACCAATTAATCAATTAAGTTAAACAAACAATCAATCAGATATATATAATACTTAAGTTATAATTGGTCCGAATCATTCTAATTAATTCACATTCAATCATTCATTCATTACTTTGGGTACTTGGACAACTTCCAAGGACCTTGGTTACATCAATTCAATGTAAGTGTTACAAGTTATTATCCTCATCCATCACTCGTCCTTCACTTTTACATCCAAACAAACAAACAAACAAGGCCTCACCTTAGGCCTTCACATTCGTAATTTGTATATCTCAAATAACTTGTTCCTTGTGTTCTCGATCACTAAGTTGTTGAATGTTGACATCATTGATGATTATAATGATCAAAACATTTGAATCTGTAAAATATTATATTATGATCATTGTCTTTAAGTCCCAAGGGAACCTATTTGTATCATGTGATCTTTACCAATTTAGTTTATGACAAGCTCTAATAATTGCAGATTGAACAAACACAACAAAATCGGTCAACAACGACCATCATCATTCTCACCTCCCAACCCACTCTCACGTTTTCTCAACGAAAGTGATTACCACCATGCACAATCACCTCTTTCAAAAGGCTTGGAGGTTTGGTTTATCGCCTGATTTAGTCGTTTTTGGCCTTCCAAACGGCCCACCCCCTCCAACAAACACACAATCAATCACACACATACTTTCTGCAAACTGATCAGTCATTGGACGTGTGTGATGTGTGATGAATACTTGTGTGATACAGAGAGATAGTAGTTGAATGTCAAGAGAGTGTGTGTGATTGATTGATGTATAATGTCTGTCAGATCTCCACACTACACACACTGCACTTGATTAAGTGAGTGAGGGAGCGTTGATCAAGTCGTTGATGGTGGGGAGGTCGATGTGAAGGATACTCTACAATAGTCGGGATGGGTAGGTCCCGTCATCATGTGCCTCGTGTAGCACAACAGATGGCCATCTACCTACCTGTCACCAACAACATCAACAACAACAGACACCAACACCAAAGTAATGGAAAGGTTGTTGTTGCCTTTACGTCTTTGTTTCATTCAATCAATCAATCAATCCAGCCCTGCCCGTGTATTGTTGTTGGGCAAGTTGATAAGTTGATCATATAATTACATCCATTCTCACCACTAAAGATCGCTGATCATCTGTGTTGGAGATAGATACAGAGAGACCTTTATTGCTTCGTATAGGTGAGTGTGTGTGGATGTGGACTTGAGCCTCGAGCAGCCAGCGGTCAGACGCAGAGCTTGAGTCTGGCAATCCAAACGACATATATACTAGACAACCCCCAACTACTACTACAACACATTTGTGCCATTAACATCCACCACCCGGGCGGTCTCGCCTCCATCCAGAACGTCCGTCTGTCGCCACTGACGACTTGACAAGAAAACATAACCATCATATCATTACCTTATCCATCCTCCCCGTGGTCGATCAACAACTCCATCTGATGGTGTGATTGATCAGAACCCTTTCCACCTCCTATCTGTCTACATCTTAAGCAATCAGTATTAGTTAACTGCACCATTAGACCTACATACATACATTCATTCAATCAATCACTTCATAAGACATCATCCTCATCATCCCCATCCATCAACCTTCACACCACCAACGACTTAATACTATCAACTTATTTATTAATTAATTAACATCTTAACTCTGTCTGATGGATGCTTATTAATCGAATAGTGTTGTTGTGTTCAATCATTAATCAAACTACCATTCCACCTTCCTCCTTCACTCTTTAATCATATATACCTACCTCTGTACATTATCCTAACATCCCCTACCTTCTCAACCCTTCCCTACCCTCTTTTCCCTCCCCTCCCTTCTCCTACTCCTCCCCTCTTCCCTCCATTCATTCCCTACCTATCCTTCCCCACCTCAATCGACCAACCAAGATTGAGCACACTCATTCTCAAAGATGGAGAATAACAACAACAACAACAATGTCCCTCTGGAAGACAATATATCCTCGAGGAACTCCTTACCTTTGGATAATAACCTCGAGAGTGTGCTGCGAGTTGAAGGCGTTCCAGACGACAGTCCACAAGTGACACGTCACCGTGGCTCACTGTTCGTTCCAAACTACCTGGCACCACTTTCCACCTCTCTCCCAGCCAACACATCCAACAGCATCATCACAAACGCATCCAACGCATCAATAACATCCAACAATGAAAGTCCTCTCGTACATCGAAGTTCAATGATCATTCTCAACTCATCCAACACTGCACCAACTACACCTTCACAATCATTCGACTCTGTCTCTGGCATCAACAATCACAACAATAATAACGACAATGACACATCGAGCAGCAGTAGTAGCAGCAGCACAGACAACATGACCCCTGATGGCAACAACAGTGAGATCAACTACTCTGGCACAAGATGCACACTCACTCTCCAAGGCATGTCTGGCACGCGTGAGGATGGCGTGGAGATGACGACCATGGGTAAGCCAGGCTCCCTACAAGACGAGAATTCCAGAGATGGCGCCACTGCTGATGAAGATAACAAAGTTTTTGAAGAGCTCTATTCCAAAAATCAAGTTGGCTGGAAGGGCTGGAAGACCATCCGTCTCATGGCACAACGTTATCTCTTTGGACTCATCGTCGCCTGTTTCGTCTCATTGGCCATATATATACTATCACTTCCCCAATGGACAGGACCAGCCAACTCCGAGGTCTACTTCAACACCACCACCTACACAGTCTTCTTCCAATTCGCTGTAGTAAGTACTCCTCCCTCTTCACTGACGGAATGATTCCACTCACTTACTAACTAACGATCAATCAATCATAGTTATTATTCGGACCAATATATATATTACTTGGTCTACTTGTATCATATGGATTTGTTCGCGTTAGGGATTCAAAGATATTGTACTACTCGATTGGCATTATCTTCTTCCTGACGCTGTTCTACATGGTGTTGTACTTGAAGGGCATTAGCTACTGGTTCTACTACATCGATGCACTGGGCGTGGTCATCATGTACGTGCTAGTCGAGTTCCTCTTCGCCTACAACATGTCGCTGACACTGCAGGCCGAGTCGGCGCCCAACGACGTCTCAGTCAAAAAGGCCTACAAGACAGCCTACAACTACTCGGCGCCCGACATTGTCGTGACCGTGTTCACGGTCGTGTACATGTTCTTCCTGCTGCCCGTGTACTTCTCGATCCAGAACGACCTGCTGCGTCTTGGCTGGCGCCTCGTCGTGCATCCCGTCTACTGGACATTCATCGTTGTGGTGGCGCGTCAGTTCCTCACGCGTGACATCTCCACCGACGACATCATGCTCAACACAAACATCGTGCTGCACACCTTCTTCCATCATCAGACACTGGGCAAGATCTTTGTCTACACTTTCTCGGGCGACGAGAAGTACCTGACAGAGGTGGGTATGATCGTGGCCGCCATCGAAGAGATCCTGCTGCGTGCCGTCGCACTCAAGCGTGACGAGTGGGTGCTCAGCCTGTTCTACGGCCGCACTCGCGCCAAGGAGATAGTCTACAGCCAGCAGAGTCTTCAGTTGCGTGCGGCCATCCTCAACATCCAGGTGGCGCTCGAGTTCTCTGGCCTGATCACTGCGCCCATCTTCATCTACCTGTTCCAAAAGTGGCGTATGCTGTTCCACTTCTTTGACACGGGCGATGTCATCCCCCTGGTGCTGTTTTACCAGAGTCTGCTGTCGATTGGCCTGGACTTCATCTCGGAGCTCACGTGCACCTACGTCGAGTGTCGCTTCTTCAAACTGCCGATAGCGCCCACCTGGAAGTGGATGAAGTCGCACAAGTGGTTCCTGTGCTGGCTCATCTACGGCAGTCTTACCATGGGTCTGCTTGGCATGCTGTGGACGTGTGCGCGTGTGCCTCGTGCTGGACTCTGCGCGTCCAACGACATCTGTTCATGTAACAACATCATTGCGACCAGTCTACCGGCATTCTGTATGAATAAAACAATGACATAGACATCATAAAGTTGTAATAATATACAATCTCTATGTTTGTTTATGTATAATTATATAGTTTATTTATCTCTATCCCAAGTTGGTTGTTTATCTGTTTAATTGTGAGTTTGTGAGTGGGGGTGATTGATCACCAAATCAGGACTCACCGAAATATCTAACGAAAGTGATTGAGAGTGGTGTGGGTACCGGTCTCCAGTGACCAGAACTATTCGTTTCAAATCATATGATCATCAAACTATTCAATCATACATATAATGAAGATAATGATGAAGTCTATGCTTCAATCACTTCTGTTTGTGACCTTTGTGACTGCATTGGCAACATCAGCGACTGCTCAGTCTACAACATGTCCAAACTATAAGGTTGTGTCAATCGAACAGACTAAAGTTGGATACTCTGGACAGCTACAACTACTCAATCCAGGACCTTATGGTGCAGACATTGAACAGCTTAACATCGATGTCTACTACCAATCCCAGGATATCCTACGTGTTCGCATCTATGACTCAAACAACCAACGTTGGGAAGGTGAGTCTTACCATCCCATCATGACTCATACATGTTCACTAACCATCATTCATTCAACCAATCAGTTCCAAACATCAATCAACTACCTTTGCCAACAGAGGCACCTTCCAACCTCAACTACGCAGTCCAGTTCAATCAACAAACCTTTGGATTCGAAGTACTGCGCGCATCAAACAATCAAGTGATCTTCAACACTACCTCACCATCCAACTGCCAGTTCAATGGACTGATCGTACGTACCCCACTGGAATCATTCCAATCACTCAATCAATCAATCAATCACTCACACACTGGAGTCATTCCAATAATATATAGTTTGAGGATGACTACATTGAGATATCGACATCATTCTCAGAGTCCAACCCTAACTTGTATGGACTTGGCGAGAGGACTCGTCCACTGAGATTGGCAAACAATGGAACATACACACTTTGGGCAAAGGATCAAGGAACAGCCAGTGAGTTGGACATCAATACTTATGGCTCACATCCGTTCTACCTACAATTGCACAGTGATGGCAGCGCCAACGGAGTGTTCCTGCTCAACTCCAATGCAATGGACGTTGTGCTCAGCGAGACATCGCTCACATACAAGGTCGTGGGTGGCATCCTGGACTTCTTCATCTTTGTCGGACCCACGCCCGCCGCCGTCGTCCAGCAATACTCGCAGGTGATCGGCACCCCCTACATGCCATCGTACTGGTCGCTTGGCTGGCATCAGTGCCGCTGGGGCTACCACACGCTGCTCGAGACCGAGTACGTCGTCACCAGCTACTTCAAGAATGGCATCCCCCTCGAGACCATGTGGAACGACATCGACTACATGTACCAATACGAGATCTTCACGCAGGACCAGGGCCGCTTCCCTGCCGACAAGTTCACCGCATTCATCGAGTACCTACACTACAACAACCAGCACTACATGATGATCATCGACCCTGGCGTCAAGATCCAGACCACGATCCCCTACCCCTCATACACCGACTTGTTGGCGGTTCGCGCCTACATCACTGAAGCGGACGGCGTGACCCCCGTGGTGGGCAGCGTGTGGCCAGGACCCGTCAACTTCCCCGATTGGTTCCATCCCAATGCCACCACATACTGGCTCGATCAGTTTGCCGCGTTCCGCGCGATTGGCATCAAGTTTGATGGAGTCTGGATCGACATGAATGAGATCTCCAACTTTTGTAATGGTGACTGCGCCACGCACGAGGCGTCGCCATCCGCGCCAAACTCATTCAACCCCAACACGCCACCATACATCCCAGGCGGCGTGCCACTCAGCGACAAGACATTGAACATGACCTCGATGCAGTACGGCAACATATCATTCTACAATAGCCACAACCTGTTTGGATACATGGAGGGCGTGGCGACATCATTCGCCGCCCAACAGCTGATTGGCAAGCGCACGTTGGTCATTGGCCGCTCGACCTTCCCCGGCAGCGGCAAGCACCAGGGTCACTGGCTGGGCGATAACGACAGCACGTACGAGGACATGTACTACTCGATCCCGGGCATCCTCACCATGAACATGTTTGGCATCTCAATGATTGGCGCGGATATTTGCGGCTTCAACGGCAACACCACCGCCGAGCTCTGCGCCCGATGGACTCAGCTGGGATGCTTCTACCCATTCTCGCGCAATCACAACTCGATCAACAGTCAGCCACAGGAGCCATACGTCTTTGGCCAGCAGGTGATCGACATTGTCACCGCCGCCATCAATCTCAAGTACACTCTGCTGCCACACTACTACACGCTGTTCTACAGCGCGCATGCCAATGGCGACATGATGGTCGTGCGTCCACTGTTCTTTGAATACCCGACCGACCCCAACACATACGCACTGGATACTCAGTTCTTGGTGGGCGGCCACCTGCTCGTGTCGCCCGTGTTGGCCGAAGGCGCCGACACTGTCAACGCGTACTTCCCCACCGATGTGTGGTACGACTACTTCACTGGCGTGCAGGTGCCTGCGTCATCCACGGGCACGTACCAGACATTGGACGCGCCACTCGACAAGATCAACGTGCACATCAGGGGAGGCATCGTCATGCCCACCCAGCCAACCTCACAGTACACCGACCCAGTGACCCCCATCACCCTGACCTTTGCCAGGGCCCTTCCATACTCGCTGGTCGTCGCGCTGTCATCACAGGGCACTGCCAAAGGTCTGTTGTACATTGATGATGGACAGACGGTCGATGCCTATGAGTCTGGCGTATACAGCTTGATTCAATTCAATGTTACTGGCGGCAACACGTTGGTGTCTGACTGTTTGGTCGCAGGCTACACCAATCATACAGTGAGCACATTGGGCTCGTTCAACATTCTGGGCGTTCAACAACCTGTTCAAAGTGTTACATTGGGCGGTGAATCTACACCATTCAACTACAACTCCACCACCCATACCCTATCAATCAGCAATCTAGCCATCAGTCTATTACAATCATTCACTCTTGAGTGGAATTAAAACAATCACTTATCATCATTCATTCATTCAATCAATCAAATGGATCATCATACCTTATTTGAATGCCTTGCCCATCATCAAGATCACATGACTACATTGACAATATGTCCCTTCACTCTACCTTATGTTTTTTCCAGATTTGGATAACAACTAGGCCTTGTTCATTGATTGATGGTGGGGGTCACTCACTCACCCACTTGACTCCAATCAATCAATCACATTACCACCCCTTTGATGATATCATCACTACCATCAATATTGATTGGCGCGCAAAACTATGAACTTAACATATAATTAATAATGTCTTTCCATTATTAAAAAGGTAATATTAATAGTATTATTAACATAATCAATTTAGATTGATCAAAAAACAAAAGATATAAATAGATCCAGGTAACCTGGATCACTCAATCAATCAAACAATCAAACTATCAAATAACTTAAACTAACAATCTCTTATACACTACTTTAGATAAATAATTAAAATGACTATCTTAGGTATGTAATATAACTTCATCAATCAATTTAAACTTGTACCATTTATTAATATTTTTTTATGAAGGCGCTATGACATCAATGGGCACTGTTAAGCCAGCAGTTGGATCAATGTCCAAGACCTCAGTATCCTCTGGTATTGGAGGTTCCAAACAAGGATCTAATGGAGTGGCCTGTGGTGGATGTGGTGGCATTGGACTTGGCCTTGACCTTGACATTGATCTTGACCTTCACCTTAATCTTGGAGGACTCCTTGGAGGCGTCCTCGGATTAGTTGGAGGACTCCTCGGAGGTGGAAGATGTCACTAAATATCCCTGATCGATCAAGAATTCTCTATCATTCATTCTAATAAATGTTTGATCAAATTTATTGACTTGTAACAAACTTTGAAGATTTGATTGATGATGATCTTGTATATTGTCTTCTAAATGGTTTGCGAATCTTCAATCTATATTTTGAATGTTTAAATTTTTTTATCAACTTTAAATCATTATCTGGATCTTCTTGAGGTAATTCCCTTTGTTCTTGTTGAATATATAGGGTTTGTAAATCATTCTTTTTCGGAAATAAATAAATAAATATATTTATAATGAATTCAGGTATTATTGAATATATACCTCTACATATCATCAAAGTAAATAAATATAAATAATCAAAGAATAATGTTTTCTAAAGTTTTGTTAACATGGAAGTTAATATTTTTTAATCAATCATTTATTATATTATTATTAGATAATTCAAATATATCATACCTTGTATAAAGTAACAGTTGTAAAAGATACAACAATTATTAGAGTTGTAATAAACATAGAATAAATAATTAATACAGGAATACATGTAATTAGTGTAAGTATAACTCCTATCATTATTTCTTTCTTATTTAATCAGACAAATATATAATGCCAGTTGAAATATAATCAATATAAATATATATATTTCCAAATCCATCTAATCTTATTAATCTTATTAATTTTTTTTATTAATCTTGACTATCTCGAGACTAGAATGAATAAGGAACTTCCAAATTAATAAAGATGAGATGCCCAAAATCCAGATATTTTTTTTATGATTGGGCGACTTTTCATCTTAGACTTTATGTTTTAGGAATGATTGGTGATTGATTCTTGTCGTGATGATGTTTGTTATTCTCAACACATTAATACGATTGTGTAATACTTACAGTACTGCTCCTACTCTTTATCTATATGTATATATATCTGTTTAATCTTTTAAAAAGAAATGAGTAGTTCAATAACATTCTTCATATTTCTAATACTACTGTCATGGTCAATCACTTCATATTCATATCCAAATCCAACATTGGATACAACTTATTACAATTGTAATTATTACTACACCTTACTTATATCTCTGTTTGATCATCAATCATATACTTACACACTCACACACACTCACTCTCACACATTCCACTTCGATCAATCACATGATCAGTTCACAAGGTTGAGTCACAATCAAATATAAACAGAGATATAAATGAAGTTAGAAGGATTGTAAATATATATATATCACCAAATGGTAATGATTCAACTGGAAATGGAACATTGGGTAATCCTTATGAGACATTCGGTTATGCAATGACATTGGTCAACAATAGTATATTGGAGACTGAATCAACTGATTGGTCAATACTACTGGACTTTGGACAATACATCGACAGATTCACACCAACTTATAATCTGCGGCAGAATGATTCGTTGACCCTGTCACAATGGCCCACCAACATTGACCCGCCAGGATCATCTGTCAACTGCTCGCTGGTCCAAATCGGCCATTTCAAACTTAGCGGACAGGGCAACAATGCCCTGACCATACGTGATGTGTACATTGGCTTCATGACACATGTTGATGGCCCCGACTCCTACTACACCACATCCATCCTGTCGATGAGCAATGTGATGATCGACCAATACAGCGAGCACTTCTACGGCCCACTGATGACGATGAGCAATTGCACAATTGCTGAACCTTCGATATACACATTCTTCACTCGGGTCCTGGTCGATCAGTCCAGAATGATCGATGCCTACATGGTCGTGAGCAATGGCTCGCTCACAGTCACCTCGTCCTACCATGACAGCATGTTATTCAGCATCGTGGAGGCACAGGTATACTTCAGCCAGAGCATATTTATGTCTTCGGAATGCAGCCTCATCTCGTCCAACATCACCGTGGATCGATGCAATTTCACGACGGTCGTCAACGTGGACACGGACATGACTCTGACCCAGGGCACCACCTTGAACCTGACCAACTCGGTGTTCTCCACGTCGGGCCAGTTCTCAATGCGCGCCGACCAGGCCTCCATCACGATGAACAACGTCACCTATGGAACGTGTCAATACTCCTCGGCCTACTTGCTGACCAACAGCACAGTGACTATGAACAATGTCCACTTTAGCGACATCCAATCATCATCGTTCGCAGACATGGGTGACTCATCAATCGACTTGAAAAACTTTGTGCTGCAGACCAACTCGCCCACGTTGTTCCGAGTTGGCGGCGAAGCCAGCTGCAGCATCAAAATCGCCAAAGGATACTTCCTCAACACAGCCTACTCGGCAAGCCAGCAACTCTTGTCGCAGACCGACCAGGTACTTCATATCACACTGTCGATCGTACGAACACAGTTGATGGGACTGTCATCGATCGTGTGCTCATACTGCTGGCTCAACATGGAGACCGTCACATTCGACCAGATTGTCAGCACATACTTTGGCATCACCGTCACGGGCTCGCAACTATACATACGCGACTGCCATCTCTCCGAACTCACCAACAACGACTACCTGCTGCGAGTGATGACGAGCAATGCCACGATCGTCGACACTAGCTTCGCCTACTCCTCCGACCCACTCTGCGCCTACAACTCCAACATCACACTGGACAACGTCAAGCTGGACAACATATCGGCGAGGCAGGCCATGGTCCTGTTCAGCTCGATCGTCACATTCAAGAACTGCACCATGTCCCGAATCAATCAGATCTTGGCACAGCCAATCTTTGTGCTCACTTACTCGTCTGTGCGATTTGAGCTCATCTCGATTACTGCGTGCACGTCTGGCGCGGGACTGATGACCATGTCGCAGAGCGACTTCACTATGATGAATTCGTCAATCAATGGCGGCAACTACTACCGCCGCATGATATTCGGTATGCAGTCGACCATCGACATCACAAACTCTAAGATCCAAATGACCACACAGACGGCATTCAACTCGAGTATCGAGGGAATGATATCGGCCGAACTGAGCACAATCAACCTTCGAAACTTCACAGCCACTGGCCTATCATCCATGCTCATTATGTACATGGAGACGTGTCAACTCAACATCTTTGGCCTCAAGATATTACTAAGCTCCAACAAGTTGCTCTCGGCCAAATGGTCCAACGTAACATTGATTGGCAGCAATGTCTCAGGATCGTACTTAGGGTCGACAATCAGCTTTCTCGAATGTCCAAGTGTGATCATCACTGGCAACAAGTTCCACGACATGCAGGTTGATCTTGTGATGAATGCCGATCGCTCAAATGTGTCACTCTCGGGTAACTGGGTCTCGCAAATCGACGCCAATGCCGATGGATCATATGTTGAAGCCGAGACATCGACATTATTCATGAATCACGAGACAGTCCAAGCCAGCAAATTCTATTCAGCCGTCACATCCTACAACACAGATATCCATGTGTCACAGAGCACATTCACCCTCAACGAAGGCATCATCTTTTCAATGACCATGGGCAACTTCACCCTGACAGGATCGACCATCAAGGGCACAACCGCAGATACTGCGGTCGCTCTGCTAAACATCCAACGTGTCCAGATCAATGACACCGATATCATCACCAACTTTGCCAGCAACTCACCACTGAGTATCATTGGCATGAATGGGCCCTGCTCGATCTCTTACTCAAACATATCGGACAATACAGGAATGTTTGGTGGCGCCTTCTACCTGGAGAACATGTACTATCCTTGCGAGTTCAGTTACAACTCCTTTGTTGACAACGAGGCAAAGGCAAGTGGCGGTGTATTCTACGTGGCAAATGGCGACCCCTTCCTGCTCGATGCGACCAACGTCCTTACTGGCAATGTGGCCGAGTTCTACGGACCAAACTATGCATCGGTCAAGAGCACATTCAACATCACCAACCTGACAGAGAACCTCCGCAATGACGTAGCCATGGAGATTGGCATCACAGTGCTCGACGGGTATAACAACACTGTCTCGAACGAGGTTGGCGAGATCAAGATCAGCATCGTGCCAATGACTCCAACTCTGTCAAATTCTAGCTATTCATTTACAGTCACTTTGATGGGTGGCCAAGGTATCGTGTACCTTACTGAGCTCGTCGGCAAGCCTAATGGAAGCGTGTTCCAGATCAACCTGTCCCAAGAGGACTCCTCACTGCTACCACTCTCATTCCAAATCACCATCCCCAGCTGCAGTCCATTCCAGTTCCAAGGCATCAACTCGTCACTCTGCCAATTCTGTCCGTCCAATCTCGATGTCTACTCACGCTCACTTGGTCGATGCCAGTCATGTCAGAGTGAACTCAAACATCTGACACAATGCTATCAAGACAGGGTCAGCACAACACCTGACTTTTGGATGTATAACTATGACATTGAGTACATCTATCAATGCCAACCGAACCAGTGTCTTGGGTCGAACAGATGCCTGTCCGGCCACACTGGAGTCCTCTGTGGACAATGTATAAAGTCACCAGGTATCAACAAGTCTGGACTGTATTGCTGCAGTAAGTACACAAGAATATTAATTATCTGAATCACGTGACACCGATAATCTGATCACGTGACACCTATTATCTGATCATGTGACTGTAAATATTAACTCATCCTTTCAATCACTTACAGGCTCCAACAGTATCTTTATCACACTCTCCTATATCATATTTATTATGCTAGTGATCGTTGGACTCTCAATTACTCCTGGACATCACGCTTCAATTGTTGGAATATTATTCAACTACTTCCAGAGTATTGCAATCCTGCTATTCCCTCAACTCAACCTATACATTGTGCCATTGTTTAGGATATCGATTGACTTCATTCCCAAGGTGTGTCCACTGCCCGAACTTGGATACATTGCCAAGGTATTGCTGTCCACTCTAATGATCATAGTGATCATTGTCACTGGTACTCTGGCAACTGGAAGGATAACCTTCTTCCAACGCAGGAGATTGATCAACATACAAGAGACCATGAACACATCGGATATCTCAAGATGGTCTTTGTTCTGGCACTTGCTCATGATGTTCTATGGTGCACTGGTATTCAACTTCTTCTCTCTGGCATTACCATGCCGTAACGTTGGCAATCAAACTTCCACATACCTCTACATGGACATGGATGTACAGTGTAACGCATTCACCACCACATTGCGGGTTATATCAATTGGATTACTTGGCATCATGTTGGTGTTGTTGCCACTGTACTACATCTACACACAGTATGCACCTGGTTCTGTTATGCATCGACACATGTCTGAGCATTACAAGTCCAAACATAGATGGTGGGCAGTGTTTGCAATGTACAGGATGGCATCATATGGTATCACTACATTATTGTTGTTGTACCAACCTGAACTGATGTCAGGTGTACTACCTTCAATAATGGTGCTCATCACAAGTGTTCAATACTTTATTAGGCCATACAGGATTAAGACTTTGAACGAATTGGAGAATATGTCAAACCTTACCATCACAATGTTATTCATCATCTCTTATACCAACATCACCAGTCCCAATACTCGAGGTATTATAATCAGTGTCCTCGTCTTCATCCTAGCCATCATAATGTTCATCTATCACCGTCAACAAATCTCCAAAAGGAAGGATAAATAAATGGATTGGTTCATCGATCACCAGGTTGTTGAGCGAGGGCAAGGGCGAGGGCGAGGGTTGGGGTTTGTGATCGCGACTAGGGTTGACCACGAACTTCTTTTTCGTTCGTTTTGTTTCAAACTTTTCAAAATGACAAGATGGACTCGTCAATTGAATTGCATTGTTGTCAAGTCCATCAACTAATATATATATATATATATACATATAATACATATATAACTTAGCAAGTAATAATGGTTGTCAAGAAATTATACCCATTCATTAACTCATTGGAGGTTAAGAGTGCTGGCAGTACTACTACTACTTGGGTCAACAGAGATTTGAAGGATCTAAAGGTCACACAACCAGCAACTATTCTAGTTGCCGCCGATACCTTCTTCATTACATCGATCGATGATAAGGAGGGAAAGCAGAATCACAACAGTGCCTACGATCGCGTGCTCAAGAACTTTGAAGACTGCGTCCAAGCCCTCTTGCCATACTTTAGCGAGATCAGGTTTGTGAGCACTGGTCACGAGTATGATGAGACAGCCTCAAAGCAACAGACTGTTGTTACAAGCAATGACTCGACTACAACTGCTGATGCCCCCGCTGCTCCTGCTGCCCCTGCTACTCAAGACACAACCTCCACCTCGACCACTACCACAGCCGCCACATCACCAGCAACAGACTCGACAACTGCGACGACCACTACTACTACCGACGCACCAAACAGAAGAGAGGCTACATCGGAGAAGGCAAGATTCATGAATGGTGAACGCGATGCTATCACGAGATACAGGTTCCGTTGCATCGAACCATTCATTCTGAAACGTATCGAGCAGATCAATGGCGAGAACCCCAATGTTAAGGTGTCAATGGAGCAGGCTGTGACCAAGTCGCGCGAGGAGGTCATGATGATGGCCAACCAGTACATTGCCAACAAGAAGGACTCCACTGTCTACGTGCTGGCCGATGCCGAGTACATCTTCTTCCACTCGGACCAGCAGCCCAGCAAGAACGACGGCGAGCTGGTCGTCGTGTGTCTCGACAAGAAGTCCAAGAAGTACAAGTACTTCAAGCGCTCAGAGTTCTTGCGCGTGCTGCTGGGCAGCGACGACATTGACACACAGCTGCTGCCGGCCATCGCCTGCATGTTGCTGGACCTGGAGAACGAGTTCAAGAATGACGCACAGGTGGACAAGTGTCAGCAGTGTAAATACGACGCCAACGGCTGCGCCGAGTTCAAGCGCGGCGACAACGTCTACACGACCAAGCAGCACCACGCTCTGATCTGCCCCAACAAGGTGGCCGACATTGTCAAGCAGGTGCTGGAGAAGGGCGTCGAGGCCACCAACACGGCCTCCAAGAAATACAGATGCTTCTCGCTCAAGACGGTCGAGGAGCGCCACAAGCAGTTCAGTGGCGAGCAGTTGGACAAGATCAAGCGATACGCCTTCCCCGACGCACTGTTTGAGCAGACACCCATGGAGGAGATGGTCACCGAGGCGATCCTCGATGACATTGCCACCGGCAAGCTGACCGTGCGTCAGGCTGCGCTCAAGTGCACCCTCCAGGAGGCGCGCTACAACGGCTTTGCCGAGGCGGCCAACGTAATTGTGGACCCACGTCTGGATGGCAAGAGAAGAAAGATACTAAGGAAGGACTTTGACTTTGTGGCATGCTATCGCTATCATCTGTACAACCTCTGGGTGCACCTGCAGTCCAAGGGCGTGGAGGTCACGCTCACCAAGGACGACCTGCTGAACTTTATCTTCAGCGACTCGCGCAGTGAGCTCGCACCACCCGTCACTGTCTCTGCCGTCGCCAAGAAGGAGGCTGCCAAGAAGGCTGCCGCCAAGAATGACGCCAAGTCCAAGTTCCAGTTCCTCTCGATGGATGATGAGGATGATGATTAGACGATTGTCCGTACAATCTTGGAATAAACTTTTATTGCAAAATAATCATATTTGGAACTAAGATTCATTTCCAAGAAAGGAAGTGATCAATCAAGCCATGGCTTGATTGACTTCCTTTCTTGGAATTGGCAATTATATATAATTTTGGCGCCAATCACTAAAGTTTATTCAATTTTAAAATATTAATATTTTCTTTATTGATTGTATGTACCTAATCACTTCTAACAAGTATCCACTCTATTATAATTTAAAAACGATAGCTATCGTTCAACATTGCAAATATATACCTTTAAATAGAGATACAAATCCCAATAATAGTTTAATTAAATGATTAGATCTAGAATGGATATTAAGATGGAGAAGGAAGAAGAGGAGAGAGATTATATTGATAATAATAATAATGAATCTACTAACAAAAATAAGGTCACCAACACAAACTACAGGTTCAAACCCAAATTTTATCATTATCAGACTAGACATGACTTTGATCATGATAAAAAGTTTGTTCCAACATTATATGATACTTTTGATCATATAATTGGAAGTGACTACTTCCATGTTGAATCTCCAGGATTTCAGCATACCTCTCAATATATGTGGCCCTATCTCAAGGCTTCACAATCAAATCATTTTAAATATGATAGGGAGTTGACTTATGGATGCCTTCCAAAGGTGGTATGGTTTGTAGCCAGTGCTTTCCTTGATTCCCATGATAATCTCCCTTATGACAGTATATACCCATTGGAGAACCAACTCCCATTCTCAAGAATGGTAGTTATACCAAACGATGATAGTTTCGCCAACTATCTTTTGTTTTGGGTTGGAAGTTATATCACATCAAACTACATGACCCAACATCATGTGTTGCTGGTATATCCCTATCACCCTTCAGTAAGAGTACTTAGAAAATACTTTACCGAAATGGATAAGCATCAAAGAAATCCATTAATATACTATTGCTATGGAAAATGGTATACCTTGGCTTACCAACAAGGCTATAGCGGACATCTTGTAAATGTAGCAATTGTAGGAGATGTCCAAATAGGTGGTCTACCTTGGAGAACTGTATACCACCGCAAGACCAACTACATATAAATTATGTACATCAATAAACCAATTATCCACCTTTGTTTGATCATCGACTCACTGATTTTATGAAATTATTTTGGTGATTGGAGTTGTTCCAAAGTTTATCAATTGATCGTTCTGGCATTGTAACAGAACATAGACAAAACAACAACTAAATACGAAATGGAGTCACTACCACTGATCATTCTACAATATATTAGTGATCAACTATATTGTGTTGATGCATGTTGTTTGATCCTTGCATGTAGGAAGTTATATTATTTGCGATTGTCAATTGCCAGAACACCAGATCATTGCATATGTGATGATGAGTATCGATATCCCATTGACACAAACCAGCTCACTATCTTCCATCGATGTGATCCAAATCGTATGTTATCTCTATCACACTCGCTGCACTACTGATCATCACAAACTCACTCACTCATACATCGATAGATCAAAGCGTCCCACCCCTACAACATAATCAACCTTTCAAGTTGATTGGACAACAGGATGTAGCGATGACGGCCATCATGTACAAGAAGCTATACTCACCATTATCAACAGTGTCATTCCCTCCAAACATCACTTCAATGGTCTTTGTAAAGATTGGATTCTACAACTCACCTATCACTCCAGGTGCCATCCCAGACAGTGTCACAGATATCATATTGAGTAGCAATCTCAACTATCGCCTAGAACCCGGTTCAATACCAGCGTCAGTGACATCATTGAGGTTTGGAGGTCTATACAATCATAGATTACGTCCTGGAATCATGCCATCAAAGCTCACAAAGTTGAAGATGGGCTTTGGATTCAAGAAGATAATCATGCCAGGTGCATTGCCACCATCACTCACTTATCTCTCAACTGGTGGATACAATCATCCGATACTACCTGGTATGCTTCCAACTTCATTGTTACGTCTAAAGTGTGGCTTTGGATTCAATCAACCTGTTGGCCCAGGCATGCTCCCTGCGTCACTTATCGAGCTACGCTTTGGACTGAGGTTCAATCATGAGATTGGATCAGGTGTTCTACCTCCAAGACTATTGGTCCTCAAGTTTGTAAGGAATTTCAATCATACCATTCAACCAGGCGTGCTCCCAGAGTCATTGATCAAACTTCAGTTTGGAGACAACTTCAAACAAGTGATCATACCTGGAACGCTGCCAAAGTCACTTCAATCATTGGATCTAGGTTATGATTACAATCATCCATTGGAACAATCAACTTTACCTCAATCATTAACTCATTTATCAATATCAAATGATTACAACCATGCGCTATCCAGTGATGTGTTGCCTCGATCACTCACATCAATGGGATTCTCAGACATCAATCTACTACACATGGCAACAAAAGACACATTCAAACATTGTAATATAAGGATATTGAAGATTGAATCGGATGATATAACAACAAAAGATATAACATCAATTGATTGGAACACATTATTCAATGGACAAGTGTCATTGATGATCATTAACATGATCGCAAGTCAGTCAATCATTCAACAAATCCACGAATGGAATACATATATAACTACAATTCGATTCAAATGTATGGGTAGCATTACAGATATTCGCAGGATTGATACCAATCATTCTTTAATCTTGGACGATCAATCAAAGATGTCCATAATAGGATAGGTTCAACAACAATCAAAGATAAAAAGGTGGGAACGAGATTAATCCAAAAAAGGGGTCATTCTTCACTTTTCGTGTGTTCTTTCTGTCAGTCGAATGATCCAGCTTCTCGCGAAACACCTCATTCTCTCATCACATCCACTTCCACACATCATAAACACAAACACAAACTTATACAAATACAAATACAGATACAGATACATAATGGATATCAAGCAATACTCTTTGGAGGAGGTCGCCGTACATGACAAACGTGATGATTTGTGGATGGTGCTTGATGGCAAGGTCTATGATTGTACAAAGTTTGTCGACGAGCATCCAGGTGGAGGCGAGTACTTGATCGACGTTGCTGGCACAGATGCCACAATGCAGTTCCTCGACAATGGTCACTCTGACCACGCCGTCAGTCTCTTGAAGGACTTTTACATTGGCGACTGCACCAACCCTCAGCACGTTGGCAAGTTTGACGCATTCTATGGCTCTGGAGTCAAGTCAACTCAGACAACACCTGTTGCCACTCAACCAACAGTTATCATCCCAACTGCTACAAACAACAACAAGAACGTACCATCAACACCATCAACCTCTTCCAACTCCTCCTCCTCTTCACCATCCTCCAACGCTATGTATTTCATTGCTGGAGGTGCACTTGCTGTGACCATTGTCGCAGTCGCCGTCGCCAAGCTGCTAAAGACCAAATAAACTTCCCCAACAAAGAGAAGCAGTGCCAGCGCGAGTAGCCCTCTTCCTCCTCCTCTCAACATTGAGAGATATATGATACACGCACAACACCTCTAGTCCTTTACTTTATTGTAATACCTCTCTTAAGAGTCAATCTCATAAGGCAATGGAATGTCACGCGTTGCTCTGAAACGACCACAGTTGTTGATGTGCTCATTCTCCAATCGATAGACATTCCATTGGCCACGACGTAGTACTTCTAGGATTGCAATGATCACTACCAACTTGTAGGATGGCAGTATGAATGTGAGCTGTGCCAATGATTTGGTAAGTGACCAAGTCATCCTAAATATAAAGTTGGTACCAATGGCAATATAATAGACAAACGTTGGATTATACATCCTCTTCTTCCTCAATGTATACTTGAATGGATTCCAAGTCGAAGTCTTTGGCTTTACCAATATTGACCAATCCATAAACAAGTCCCACCAGTATGCTGTTTGGTTGTGATGGATTGAGTGAGTGATCAAGTGGATTGATTGATTGATCGAGCATGCATCAAGAGTGGACTTACAATATGAACTGTTGACTAGACCTGATATTAACCATATGATTCGAGTTGGTGATGACCATCCATGTGAGTAGAATGAGTCCATGGCAGAGAAGAATACTACAACGATGGATAAGAAGTACTTTAAAGCATTCTTCAAATGTACCTTATCCTTGCTATCCTTATATCTTCTAAAGCACTGCATCAATCGCCAGAATGCTGGCAATCCAGACTTTATATTACATTGCATGTTAGTATGATGATTGATTGATTGATTGATTGTATGGTGGAATAGTTCAAGTGACTTACAATGAATGGATTGATATAACGACCCTTTTGAGGACAGATTGAATCGTCTGGAGGATGGTAGGCATCGACTGAGTAGAAACAGATGAATTGGCTCATTTGGACCATCATCAGGACTAAACTGGAGAGTTGATCACCCATGAAGAAGTGTGCAAACTTGACAGACTTTAGAGGTGCAGTCACAACTCTCCAGATGGTGATGAGGAACCACTTTCGTATCTCTAATTGGAAGATGTTGAATGGACATATAAGGATGAGAATGTAGATGATGAACAGCACCAGGGGAGTGAACTCGGGAGGTACCCATGGGAAGGGGAACTCGCCCATCGACTTCCACATGTATATGCCAATGAATGTAATCCAGAGAACAGACAGCACGGTCACAGCCTGGAACACCTTGTGGTAGGTGAGGGTGTTCTTGCTCAGCTCAAAGATGAAGGAGTAGTGAACATGTGTCTTGGTCCAGATGTAGATGTTGATGCCAAACATCAGCGCCCACAGTATCGTGAGGCCAAGTGTTACAAACAAGTTGTAGACTACGGAGAATCGAACAAAGTCACTATACTCGCCAGTATAGAGCACAAAGTATATGAGCAAGAGTATTGCCGATGTCCATCCCGCACACATTCCGGTAAAGAATGTTGAGGATGTCGTTGCACCCTTTGTCTGCTCGACCGCTTGTTTGTGCCGCAGGTTCTTTCTCGCATCCCTCAACTTGCCATGACAGAACACATCAGAGTACAATTTCTAAATATGATTGATTGAATGGATAAGTGATGGATTGAGATGATTGAGTGTTTGGATACCATACCTCGACTGATCCAGACAGTTTGTCGACTAATTTGGATGTCTTGAATTGATATCCGTTGATCGTGTCGATCATCTTGGCATTGAGTACCAGGTCGGTGTTCTTCTCGGCCTTTTTGATGATCTTGACAAGGCCAGTGTAGTTGATAACTTTGTAGTTCTTCAATAGGATAAGGTATCGATAGAACTCTTGAAGCAACTCCTTGATGACAGACTCATTGTCCTTGCTCTTCTTCTTCTTTCCAAGCTTCAACCATTTCTTTGCCTTGATATTGAGTGGCTGAAGCATATCCTGCTCAATGGTCACCAGTAGCTTATCCAACATCACATTTCCAGTCCTGACCTCTGTCATCTCTATCACTGCATCCTGTCCATTGGAGTCTCCATCCGCGTTGATATTATCATTGTTCTCGTCGCCACTGCTATCGCTATCGTCATCGCCCCCAGTCAACAGATGTTTCTTGTCCTCCTTGGTCGAAGAACTATGAGTTCGGTCCGATGCTTGCTCTGCCTGATTGTTGTCGTTGTCTGGGATTGTGATCACCACGGTATTCTTCTCGTCTCCACTGCTACTTGTGTCACCATTCCCAGCCACGCCTCCATTGGTTCCGCTTGCACCTCGTGGGGAGGATGGCGGTGACGACTCCATCTCAATCTTCTCCTCATTCCTTTGTTTGATGAGATGATGCACCTGGCTGTATATCTTGTTGAATCTCTCAATGGCCTCCTTCTCGCGCTCCACATAGAATTCGTTGATCTTCTTGGCTTCATCCATCACCTGCTCGACAATATCCGATTGAATTTCAATCAATCTTTGGACAACATGTTGAGAATGAAGCGGGAACACTGGTTTTGGCTTGTTGACGCCTGTACTATTGGCCAACGCGTTGGCAAATGCCATCTGAAGATCGCCATTAGTGACAGAATCGATCGATAGGCCTTGTGACTGATCGCCCATGAATGGTGTGTTGACGCCAGTCGTGCCACCAAGTCCGCTTCGTTTGACAAGGTTGGCGTAGGTCGTGGCCGATGAAGGACGCAGAGGGCTGTGGTTGTCCGAGCCAGAAGTCAGCGCTGAAGTGAAGCGCATCGATAGATTTCGACGAAGTGATGGTGTTTGTGGTAGTGTTGGCGCGTGGGTGTTGGAGTTCTCGTCCAAGTTGGTTGTCGTTGATGATGAAGTTGTCTCTTGACGACTTGGTGCAGAAGTCGGTGTTGAACGATCGTCATCATAATCACCATTCTTGAACTGATCCAACTCTACCTTGAACTTCTTTATCATCTTTCTCATCCTCTTATACTGGATATATCTATCGCGCCATTCTGGCACATAGTTCTCCTCCAAGTATTTACCAAACTTCATATTAATAAATAATACAAATAATAATAATAATAGAGTATTGTTACAAATTATAATAATATAAATCTCTCTCTTTCTCTCTATCTCTGTATCTCTTATTTCTTTGTATCTGTTTCGAAGTTGGTGACCCTTACAATGGCATCATTCATTCAAGCAGCATGTACTTAATGGGGAGCAGAACACTGTTTTGTGTTTGGGTCCCATCATCAAAATCACACGTCACGTCTTTGAAAAGTTCGTGTCGTTGGCATTGTCAAAAAAAAATCAAAAAAAAAAACAATCTGATTCATTGTTGATTGGTGATGATCTTGAGAGAACAGGTCATCATTTATTGACAAGTGCGGTCCATCATCATATATATATATATCTTGACTTAAGTGTGAACAAGTAGTGAAATGAATGAATGAATGTCAATGATTCTTCTTGAAATCTTGTTGGTGGCGCCAAAAAGTGGAAACGATGAAGTTGTTATTTCCAAGAAAGTTATTAAAGTGGGATACACAACTTCATCTTTGGTTCTGAACATGGATGATGCTAATATATTGTGTGACGTACTTAGATAGATAATAAATGAAGATATTGAATGTAGCAGAGAAACCATCGGCAGCTGCTGAGATATCAACAATATTATCAGGTTCAAGAAAGAGACAGGTACATTATCATGGTCTGAATGACACCAATGTCGACGATAACATCTACTCACATCTATCAATCAATCTATCAATCAATCTATTAATAGAGAGATGGATTCTCAAGGTTCAATTGTGTATGGGACTTCAATTGTAATATACTTGGTACTACCGGTGCTGATATGGTGTTCACATCAGTGCTTGGACATCTGATGAGTACAGATATGGAGCCACCTTATAACAATTGGAACTATTGTGATCCAATAGACTTGTTCGAAGCACCAATTTACAAGCTTGTCGATGGTGACAATAACCCGAATATATTCAAGACTTTGCAGCGAGAGGCGAGACAATGCGATCACCTTATTCTCTGGCTTGACTGTGATCGCGAGGGCGAGAACATTGCCTTTGAGGTACTCGAATGTGTCAAACAAGTCAAGAGCAACATCCGTGTGCACAGAGCACACTTCTCATCGATCATTCCAACGTATGTTGTTGTTGAGCCATGCAAAGGTTCAGTCGACTGACACTACTATTCCCCGATCAGTGCCATCAAGAGAGCGATTGAAACACTGACACCACCAAACCAGAAGGACTCATTGGCTGTGGACTGCAGGATTGAGATTGATCTGCGATTGGGAGCTGTGTTTACTCGATTCCAATCGACATACTTGAGGAGTAGGTTCGACATTGATTCACAGGTCATCAGTTATGGTCCATGCCAATTCCCCACATTGGGATTCGTCGTGGAACGATTCCTTCGTATTGAGAACTTTGTTCCCGAGGACTACTGGTCGATCGGCGTCACACACAACCGAATGTCTGACGGGGAGATGCGCTCGGCCAGCTTTGGATGGAAACGCAATCGACTGTTTGAGCACGCTGCTGCCTTTGTCCTCTACGAGAAGTGTCTCGACTCGCCCGTTGCCACTGTGGTCGATGTCAACATCAGAGAGAACAGATACAGACCCGTGCCTCTGACCACAATCGAGTTGCAAAAGATGGCCTCCAAGAAGCTGAGGATATCATCCGATCAGACGATGAAGCTGGCAGAGGAGCTCTACAACAAGGGCCTCATCAGTTACCCGCGCACAGAGACTGACGCATTCGTCCCCGACACTGACTTTATGGGTCTGATCTCACTGCAGACCAACGATCAGCAGTGGGGCCAGTATGCGCGCTCCCTTGTCAATGGCGAGTTTGTGATGCCAAAGGAGGGCCGAAACAACGACAACTCACATCCGCCAATCCATCCCACCAACCATGCTGGCGGACTGACGGGCAATGCCAAGGCACTCTACGAGTTCATCACCAGGCGATTCCTGGCATGCTGCTCGCGCGAATCGGTCTATGGCCAGACGACTGTCACCATTGACATTGCAGGCGAGCGATTCTCCGACTCGGGATCCATGTTGCTACAGAAGGGTTATCTCGAGGTGTATCCATATGACAAGCGAGGTGATCGTGTCATCCCCACATACACGTTGGGCGAGACATTCCCACCCAACAGCATCGACCTAAACAAGAGCAGGACGGTTGCGCCAAAGCCGCTGTCCGAGCCAGAGCTACTATCGGCCATGGACAACAACAAGATTGGCACCGATGCCACGATGGCCCAACACATCAAGAAGATATTGGACAGGGAGTATGTTGTCAAGAATGAAGAGCATCGATTCATACCGACAAACTTGGGAAAGGCGTTGATTCAAGGTTATGACTCGATGGGCTTTGAGTTCTCCAAGCCAACTTTAAGAGCAAAGGTAAGCTGGATGGATCGCCAACTCAATCTCCATGAATATTGATCGCTAACACGTGACACTGTACCTATCACGTGACCAATCACGTGACACAATACCTATCACGTGACAACATACAGATTGAAGCTGATGTTCAAAAGATTAGCACTGGAACAATGAACAAGGAACAGGTGTTGAAGAATACAATCGATCAATATAGGATACTATTCGTTCAAGCTCGAACTCAGACAAAAATGCTTGATATAGTATGTATCTCCCATTGGTATCTACCACAACATTAATGTGGAGACTAGACTGACACCAACAATATCAAGGCATTCAACAAGTACTTTAGATCATATGGACATCAGTTCAAGACTATAACAAAGACGTTTACAAAGTGTGGCAAGTGCGAGAATCCAATGGAGATAAAGCTATCCAATAATAATGTATGTAGAGTGTACCGGACCGGAAATGAACATGGACTAACCAAACTATAGGAGAGGATATTACAATGTGCACAATGTAGACTATCACATAAACTACCAAAGAATGGAGAATTGTCTGTGAATGCAACGAGATGTCCACTGTGTCAGTTCCAAGTTGTATCAGTGACAAATGAAACTGGATATGTCTACACCATGTGTCCATACTGCAGGAACAATCCGCCAAGCTTCTTCAATGTAAGTGTGCAGCACGTCCCAAGATCATGTTCAAGTTCTTACCAATTCAATCAAACAAACAAGGAACCTTCAAAACCATTCCACTGCTTCCAATGTACTGCACAATGTACACTGGCAAGAGGACATACGTACAAACCCGCAGCCAAACAATTGCCAGCACCAAGTGCCAACAAGTACAAGGCACAAGCCAAGCCAGCTGCGGGATACAACAAACGACCAGCGTCAGCAATCAATGATTGGTAATTGTGGACTCCAACGACAAACATAATTGGAACCATCAAGCCATCTCATCTGGTTCGACCACCAGTCGTCAGTAATCAAATCCGATGATGACATCTTGGTTGATTGACAGTTAGCAATCTTCATCCAATTTTGATTGATTGATTGCGTGTTTGTCGGACCATCAATGGTATGGAACCCCCCGACATCCGTCATCCATTGAAGTCGATCTGCAACCGACACCACACCCACACCACCAATCAATCCCCAACAACCTTTCACAAGAAGTTTTAAAAACTTTAAAATCATTTCCAAACCACGATTGTGGTGGATTCCACATCCATCTCCATCGCACCATTGCAAGGGTCGCGGGCCATGTGTTTGGGTACATCGTAGTAGGAGTCAAGGCACTGAGCCCAGTCCCAATCCTAGACACACAATCCAAGGTAGAACATCTTATTCATTCACTTCATTCAATCATATATAATACATACATTCATATTTATTACTCACTATTAACTACAAACACATCAGAAAGGGGTTGTTTCATTCACTTCACTCCTTTCATTCATTCATCAGAAGGGCAACAACCACATCAACAAGGCGGCAACAGAGACTTGACGACAAGCCCAAACACACACACACACAGAGAGGAACACTCAATCACCCTACCCTACCCCCACCCCACCGCCCGACCAACACTCAATCAATCACTCTATCCACCCCCTTAAAGGACCACCTCTACCTCCGCCTTCACCTCCTCCATCAAACATCACCCCAAAGCAATCAAGCAATTAACTCTGACCGATTAATCAACAATCCATCCATCCATCCATTACACAAATACAACAAATACATAACAACATACATAGAAGAAGAGTGATAGATATATAATAACATGGCTTGGAACTATCTAAACTATGATATCACTCATATAGTGTTGGCTGCCCTCTACTTGGTGTTGGGGGGTGTTGCAGTATATGCCTGGTGGAATAGACCAACATCCAATGTATCACCAATTCAAAAGGTGTTCTATCCTCTAATGCTATTTGGTGTATTAGGTATGTTTGAATATTTGGAGAATGGAAGTTGGAAGTTTGGAAGTTGGCAACACAACACTAAAACATTCACTAAAACACAACTAGTTCGCGCACTATTTATGATGCTACAACCATTTATTCGAGAGAATGATATACGTCTACCAAACCAGGCGAATGTACTGCTAAACTCATTGCCATCATTCATATTCTTTAGCAACTACTTGATCGTGTTGTTCATCTGGGCCGAGATGTACTTGATCTTTGACGGCAGCTCAATGAAGGTCGTGCACAGACTGCCATGGATCTTCAACCTGATGGCCGTGTCAATGTACACCACGATCACCATCCTCTATATACTCGACTTCACAATATACCCATTGTCCTACCAGCCCATCTCAGCATTCAACGACACGATCGAATATATCATTGGCACATTCGACGGATGTTGTTTCATATTCTTGGCGCTGGCCTACTCTGTAGTGGGCACCAGTCTGATCGTCAAGTTCCGCGAGCCACATCCCAACTTCACCGAGGACAAGCGAAGAATAGTAGTTAAGCGTGTTACCGTTGTCACTCTCCTTGTATTCATCTGTTTCCTAATCCGTGCCGCCATCACTCTTTTTGCAGTCAACAAGGATAACCTAATATCAGGTGTAAGTACTTACATGTGCTGGAACAAGTCTGGAACCATTCCATCACTCACTTACTAACTCACCCAATCAATCAATCAATCAATCAATCATAGACTTGGTGGTGGTTCGATGGCGTCTACTTCTTCTCCTTTGAGATCGTTCCAATCACAATCATGCTTTATGCACTCAGGATGAACAATGGCAACAGCAGTCATTACACTTATGCACACTCGACCAACATCAAGAGACAGGATATGTTAAACATCCGATCGGCATCAGGCTCACACAACGACTATGCGCCATTACTTGGACACCATCCATAGGAATCCCAACTGACAACTCGACTTTACTGGCTGTCTGGCTGGCTGGCTTGCTGACAATCAATCCCATGGTTAGGACACTATCTGTCATACTGTCACATGGAGCGAACTCGAGTATCACGACGCCAATCAATCAATCAATCCTTCCAATCCTTTGTAAATACATCCATATTATAATTGTTAACTGACTGATTACCACTTGAATACAAGCTGGTCGTCTTCGTCTCCGTCCACTTCTTTGCTGTTGGCCACAGGCTTTTGTGTCCTCATGGCACTGCGTAGGACAGCCGGCTTTGATCTTGCATTCCATTCAATCTCTTGTTCGTCGGCGTAGACTGGATCACTTCCGTCCACAAAGTCAAACGAGGCAGACTTGCGATTCTTTAGGAATCGCTTGACAATACGATCTTCGATCGAATGGAAGGAGATAGCCACCAGATGACCATTTGGTTGTAATATCTTCTCGGCTTCGAGTAGTCCTTTGCGTACCTCGCCCGTCTCGTCATTAACATACATCCTAAGTGATCGGAAGATCCTAGAGATGGACTTTAATGCCGCGGGATATGGTATACAACTCTCTATGATCTCCACCAATTGATTAGTCGTCGCAATAGGCGCGATACTTCTTCTTCGTATGATCTCCTCTGCCACCTTCTTTGTGTGTCGTTCCTCGCCATACTACAAGTGAGTGAGTGCGTCAGTGTCAGTGCCTTGTGATTGATTGATTGACTTGCTCGCGACTATCTTACATAATACATAATGTCTCTTAACTGTCTGTTGTTGAAGCCATTAACAATTTCATATGCGGATAGCCTACTTGACTGATTGTCCATCCTCATGTCCAAGGGTCCATCCAAGTCCTTCCTGTTACCGGGGGATCATTCGGGGGGAGAGATAGGTGTTAGTGTGGCTACCTTGTCGAGCACATCAGCAAGTATGCATACCTGAATGAGAAGCCACGCTCTGCACTGTCAAGTTGATAGGATGATACGCCAAAGTCAAAGAGAATGCCGCTGATGGGGATGGTATGTAAGTTGTTCTCTTTGAGTAGGGTGGAGAGCTCACTGAATGGTCCTTGTACAGTGATCAGTCTGTCTTTGTATCGTTGTCGCAGTTGCTTGGTAAGGTTAAACACGTTGGGGTCTCGATCGATACCGATCACAAAGCAGTCTGGACATGTATCCAGTATACTAGTACTATGTCCACCCAAACCAAACGTAGCATCGATATAGCAAGCACCTGATTTCAAGTGTAGCCTATCAATGACCTGTTTCAACAATACTGGTTTATGTATATTAAAGTGTTTGCCTTGTCCCAATGCTTCGCTATCTATGTCATCATCACCAACATGGTTGTCTGAGGCTGAGGCTGAAGCTGAGGCTGATGATTTTGTTGAGAATGACGATGATGATGAGGTGAGTGTAGGGATCACATATGAAGAGTTCCTGCTAGATACTAGAGTCCTATATCTTGTAAGTCGAATCGTCAGCATTTATATGAACAGTGATTAATTGACAGGCAGTCAATCAAATGATTGACCGAAAGTTCCAACAATCTCGATTTTGCCCACAAAAATCCCCAAGTTGGTCAATTATTTAATTGAAAGAATAGCTTTATCTCAAATCCAGTCAATAAATTGATGATTTGATGATGAAACATCCTCTATAAATACCAAGAAGAATTAGTATATTCCGAATAAAATACCATCAAATAATAACAATAATTAATTCTATAATATTTTAATCACAAAATGTTCCAAAGACAAATTACCAGATATATCCAACGTTCCCAAAAGAAATGTTCCATCAACTTTGTTAGGAATTGTCAAGTACCTCTAAAGTTCCATCAAAAGGTTATCCAAAGGGTATGTTTAATAGAATTTTGTATTATTGGTGTTATACTTATTCATTCTTCATATGATCTTAGAACAAACAATTGTTTATTACAAGTGGAGTATTGAATATGAAAGATAAATTCTCCAATAGATTAATAATGCCTAGTCAGCCAACATTCAAGATGATTGATGAAAAGTTCAAGAATATGGCTATTAATGTTAAAGTCCATATCCTTTATTTATATGAAGTTTAACTTGTCCTGACATCAAGGACGACTCTATGCCATCTTGTTTATGATTCTCAATTCATATCAGCAAGAACTGTATATTATGTTACATAAAGAACTACCTAGTGGCAATAAATTAATTTGTTCATTTCCGGTTCAACAACAATTAATGTCCTCTGGATTTAATTGAAATCACATGATCAGAATGTTGGTCATGTGATCGGATATGGTGATCACGTGATCTTTATCAAAATATTCCATCATTGATCAATCAGTCAATGATATGGTATTGAGCTGTTGATCGATAATTGTGTTGATATTCTTCAAGGATACGAAGCCTCCACCTTCTAGACTCTCACATACCGCCAGATATATTGAGGGATTCTGGCGCACCCTAAGCAACGTGTACATTCGCTCCATCAATTTAAGTTGGTATCGAGAGACATTGCATAGGTTGAGGAAGTATTTGCTGGAGACCAGACCTTGTTGGAAGGAGATCTGCGTGACAGACTCGGGTATTGAGATGTACTGATTGCCATTGACCTGTGATCCAAATCCAATATGTTGTACTGTTTTGGGGATACAGCGATCGCCAAGCTTCTGCTCAAACTGTGTGCCAAATGTGATTGATGTGACACTGGGAGGGATGGCACCGGGAGGTATTGGCTGGTTGTACTTTGGTCCAAAAGTTAAACTGGTGACTGACGAGGGTATGCACGACACTACCGACTGCGTGCTTGGTGAGTGAAAGGCTTTGGGCAGGAAACTGTGGCCCTTTGTTGGCTTGGTCTTGATTGTCATATGTATCTTTTTGTTGAATGCCTTGCCGAAGGTGAGTGTTGTGATTGTGAGAGGTATGTCGCTGGGTTGTAGTGGGTCATTGAACTTGTCTGTCATTGTGAGGTGAGTGAGGTTTGATGGCAAGGGTACGGTGGGCAACAGATAGAATGATCCAATTGTGAGTGAGGTCAAGGATGATGGAAGACTGGACATAATATGTTGACTAAAGTTGTCGCGCAAGAATAGAGATTGGAGTGAGTCGGGCAGGCGGAAGTTATCCACTGGGTGATTGAACTTGGCGCCGAGATCGAGGTAGAGGAGGGTCGATGGCAATGCATTGGGTGGCAAAGGATGATTGAATGTCTTGAGAATGAGATGAGTGAGGCGGCCACCAGAGAATGAGCAGACATCAATGGGGAAGTTCCAAATACGGCCAAACTCAATCGATGTTACCGTATCTGGTAGTACGCAATGTCTAATATCAATGTTAAAGTCGTCGCCAAAGGTGATGTGAGTGACCCCATTAGGAAGAGCACCCTTGACCAAAGTAGTATTGAAGTCATGATCAAATATAACATGTCTGAGTGAGTCTGGTAACATGCAAGGTTGTAACAACTGATTGGCAATAGTGATTGTCGTTATATCCGCTTGAGGAACTGAGCTCAACTGATTGATGTCTATGATGTTCACTCATGATATTAGTTTGTGATGCTAATCAATCAATTAATCAACGATGCATGGCGGTCCTGCTCCCATACCGTATATAATGTCATAGGCTAGTTTGAGTTGGACGACATGATCCTCGGGCAGCTTGGTCCGATCCTGTCCAGTGAGATATACATGTGGCTTCCTGCATTGAATAGAGTTGATTATTTGATCTTTAAATTGTGTAAAGTAGCAAGGATGTCGACGAAACTGAGCCATCGTTGGCAAGTGTTCTGTATTAAAGTGTAATATATTGGCTCGATGATCAAACAGTTTCTTGGCTGACAATATAAACAATATCCTATCAATATTAGAGTCCAAGAATGACATTATATGCCGTAGTACAACATTTGGGAATTGTAATAAATTCATCATTATTATCTCTATTTTCTCTATTATCTCTACCTCTATTCTATCTCTTATATATATATATATATATGTTTGTATGTAGGAAGTATGTTTGTTAATCTATGTATTGTTGGGTGGTGTGTTTTGTGTAATGGTTCAAAGGAACCCTTCAAAAGGTCCTATTTTTGGAGTCCTTGTTTTTGTGTTTTGGGACTTTTTGATTTTTCATCGCGAGCCCGTTTTGGATCAATTGACGGTCAATCTTATCTCTTAGTAATGATTGGATGATTGACTGATTGACAGACTACTTTGCACATGGTTCATTAATACACATGGTTCATTTTTATTTGGTGATCTTGGTACTCTAGCAGGGAAGGGATGATTGGATACATGGTTGGTTTGATTGATTGATTGATTGATTGAATGGTTGGGATGTTGGACTGGATTATGCAAGAGATAGAGAGATCATTTGTGTGTTGGGTGTGGACCAGGGAGAGGAATATGGAGGATCATGGTCATGTCAGGTCGTCATTGCTATGGCTTTAATGTCGGGGTACTCTTAGCGTCGACGAAGAAGTTGTATACTTTGGTGCCATCCCCTCTGTAAAGAGTTGACTTTACACGGAGGGAACTCCAAAAGACTAAGGTATGGTTGGGTTGGGTTGAGATGTATGTGAGGTGGTGGCGGCGGAAGCAGATCACAACTCGTTCACTAGAGTGTTGATGCTGGGTATTGGGAATGGGTTGCTGAAGGATGGATCCTGGAAGTTGATCTTTTGACCAAGACGTGAGAGAAGCTCGCGCTCCACCTCGGTCTTCTTGGTGTAGCTGGTGTATAGCATGTGGTTGCCATCAATGTAGGTGGGCTCCAACTCAAAGTGCGCCATCGACTTGAGCTTGTCGCCTTGGTACATCTCGTTCTGGAAGACGATCTTCTTGACGCGATGATCGTGGCGGCTGACAATGTAGAGCGACAGCAGGTTGGTCGATCCCCACTTGAGACGATCGGCGCCAATACAGACGCGGGCCATTCCGTTCTTCTCAAAGTCCTTGCTCTCCAAGTAGAACTTGTTGACGGTGGGAGGCGGGATATCCTTGGTGTTGTTGTAGCAGACCATGGGCGTGGAGTCGAGCGTCATCAGTTGCTTGAGGGGCGCGCCGCGCGACTTGTCGTATAGGATGAACTCGATCACCAGCTCCTTGGTGTCGAGCAGACGGTGCGCCGACATGCCAGAGAATGTGGCCAGGCCGGTGTGGCTCACGTTGGCAATATTGTGCGTCAGGTCAAAGTCCTCGGAGTTCTTGGGCATGGCAATGACGGTGAGGTTCTGAGCGACGCCATGCTCGCCCAGTTGATTCATGAATGAGCCAGTGATGAACAGCTCGATCGATGGCACGTTGCCGTTCTGGATGAAGAATGCGGGGAAGGGTGCGGTGCTGCGCATTGAGAGCGGTTCGTTGACGTGCTGGCCAATCTTGATTGACATGGGGTCCATCTGGCGCGACTTCTTCTTGGCGGACGTGGTCACGACTCGCGTGCCCTTCTTGACGATGGAGTCGCGGGGTGGACGTCTCTTCTTCTGGTTGGAGCCGGGTACACTATTGCTGTACACGAGCTCGGGCGAGTCAGGGTCATCATTATCAGAGTTGACGTTGGTGTCGGGCGGCGAGGAGTTTTGTTGAGGGCTCAGCTCTCTACTATGATGAAGTGATGTGTAGGGAAAGGATGGAAGTGTCAAGTTGTTGTTGTTGTTGCTGTTGTTGTCTTCTCGTTTTAGATTGGTGATAAATGGTAGACTGGACGCGGAGGAGGAGAGGGAGGTGGATGTTGATGTAGATGAGGTGGAAAATGATTCGAGGGTGTCTGGTGATTTCGGTGAGGTGGCGGCACTCTGGAAGTGCGGCAGTGTTGGTTTGTTGAGTGTGAGATTGTTGCTGCTACTACTACCGCTACCACTAATGCTAATTGTGTTGTTGTTGCTGCTGCTGCTGGGGTATCCTCTGGGTGAGGTTGGGCTGTTCATCGATGTACTGCTGCTGCTACTGCTGTGATAGTTGGAGGAAATTGATGACGTCGGTGGCGGCAGGGGCGACCGCAGAATGGAGGATGGTATGCGACTGACATCGTTGCCACCGCCGCTACTACTATTACTACTACTACTACTATACACGCTGAATGGGAATTGGCCAGGTGCAAATCCACCGCGAGTTGATGATGGCGGTGTGACCAAGTTACTGAGCATTGGAAGTCTGTTCGTAGGTTCCTGATCCGCTCCCATAAATCTAGTGAATGGTAATATAGTATTCTTTTTGTTGTTGTTGATTATGTTGTTATTGTTGATGCTGCTGTGTATGTTGGTGATGTAGCCACTATCACTATGATTATTATTATTATCTATATTATTATCATTGTTATTAATATTATTAATAATATTATTTACGCCATTGTTGTTGTTATTGTTATTAGCCCTGTTTGGTGAGCTACCAGGGTTGTTATGTTTCATTGTCTGTCACCTGAATATCATATGATGTGATGTGAATGTGATTGTAATGTATAGTTGAAGTGATCGAACGATGATCAAGTGACGTGATCAAAGTTAGTGTGATATGATTGGCTGTTGAATATTAATCTCTGTTGTTGTTGGTTGTAGTCTACTATGCTAATGCTAATACTAATATTTAGTGATAGTATATGTTTGATGAATGATTGATTGATTGATGTAGATTATGGAGATGGGCTGGTTCCGCGGATGTGGCCTTAAGTAAACAAGTAGAGTAAATGAGTGTGTTAGTGGTGTGGATGAAGTGAGAGCTATCTAAGGGCGAGATTTGATGATTTTGATGGTTCGCAAGCAAGCTGGTGAATGAGGTGAGTTGGATGGATGAATGTACGTGTGTGTAGAATACAAGTTGAAGATGAATGAATGAATTGAAGGGCTTGTACCTTGAGAGTGTCAATCGATCAATGTTTCAAAGTGTCAATAATGTATGAATATAGTATATCTTGGTAAATTGATACTGTACTAATACTGTCACTCTTCTGGACGGTCCGTGTCACGTCGGGGATACCTTCTAGATTGATTGCTTTATGATAAGGGTCCACTACTGTACAGTCTAGAAAGATGTCTGCGCTTTGATCGATCAATCGATGGGGTGTTTCAGCGTGTGATGTGAGGTGCGATGGACGTGTCGATGCGCTGAGTTTAGAGATTGGATATTCGTCAATTAATTCTCTCTATGCTCCAAATGGATAGAGGCGGTGTAGAACAATGATTGAATGTTTGGATCGGTGTGTGTGTGTATGCGAGTGGATGTAAAGTATGGCAGTTGACGTGTGTCAGCAGGAAACCATGTCATACCTCAGCTTGTTGCACTTTCCCAAGTTTCTAATCACACTCACTGCCTCACAACAATGTATTCCACTGCGTCACTCACTGTCGTCAGTTTAGGATATACTTTATTAATAATAATTATGGATGATAATAAGTGTGTGTTGATGACATTAGAGCCTTGATGGTAACATACTCATCATCAGTAGATTAGTTAGTGTGTTTGGGTGAGTGATACCATGGTGTACTTCTAGATTGGCGCTTACAAGCCAAGAATCTGTCAATGGCCTAAAATAGAAAGGTGGGTTAGATGCCATGTGTCACTTGGCCATATCGCCTTGTTGTTGCCGTACAGTACCACTGTGTTAATGGACGTTGGCTCAGAGTACCACGCCCACATTAATTCATTCATTCATGAAGGCACACTAACAAACAACCTTCAAGTTGGAAATAATATTATTTCCAAAGTCAGTCCGCCGATATCTATTTCATCGTTTGTATTGGGCCGTAAAATAGTTCGTTTGCGCCCTTGACCAACCCAACTTGCTGAAAAATCCTTTGAATAAATGAACCATTAAAATTATGAGGCTCCAATTTGGATATCTCTTCTTGAACAGGGTGCACAACAGCCACCTTGCCCTCAAAGTGTCTCTTAGACATCAGACGAGAGCTCAGTGGGTTTGTGATAAAATTTAAAATCCTTCAATTGTCTTTTTGGACAAGGAATAGCATCATATGATATCATCAAGAGAGGGGGTGGTCCAAGGGTAGGGTACCAAGTGTCGCTCAACATCACATTGATCAACATTCCCTCGCTCTACAACTGGTTCGAACTCGAGCTGTGTAGATGATCGGTTCATTCCACGTAAACTTAAGGCCTCATCCCTCCTTCATAAAGTGAGACATTCTCTGGTGGCAGGTCGACCAAATCCAGCCACATTCGGATATTAGGTTAGTTGGAAGAGTTGTCTGGGGTTGGTGCGAATTTCGTGCCGATGACGAGGCATGGTGATTACAGCCTTGAACATGAATGAATGTTCGAAGTCGAACCGACGAATCCTCTTTGAGACGTCGCCGACAAACTGTTTGATTGTTGTTGGTAATAATGAATTCGTATTTGTGATCACGTGCTTGTCCTGCGTTGACCAATTACAGTTCATGCATAACACATTTATCTCTTGTAGGATGGCGTCCGTGAGCCATTAGATTACATTTTGGTTCTAAGGGCTCGTACCTTGGTGCGCCCCGGTATCCAAACTTAAGGCCTCATCCTTTGCTTTAAATGAGTCTAAATGGCACCAAGCCAATTAATTGTAGCTTTGAGGGTGACTGGAATGTTCACTGGTCCACCATCTCAACCTCCTCTTCCTCTTCGTCGGTGACATCGTCTTCATCATCAGAGTCCAGGTAGTAGGTTGATGTATGGTATTCGAATTGTTCGAACTCATATTCAATGTAGGGCAGCTCATCAGGGTAGTTCCACGATACGTACATCTCGTCTGTGTTGGCATTCTTTGCGATTGATGGCCAGTCGCTGTAGTTGTAGCCATCAAAGTAGTTGTTGTGATTCTCATTCACTGATCTCTCAAAATCCTCCTTGGATATGTTGGGTCCATAGGGCAGACTGCCCTTCTTTGTTCTCCTTTCAAGACGTTGGCGGACATCTTCACGCTTGGCTGCCGACAGCATCAGCTCCAGTCCGACGCCATAGATCGAGGGCGCCAACTGCTTCTCCTTCTCAAGGATGTATGGCGTTGGTAGGTAACTGATGGCAAAGCCACGCGGCAAGTACTTGAGCAGACGTCTCTGGTACAGACGCTCGCCTCGTATCTTGTGACCATAGTTTGTGGCAAAGTTGGCGCGGTAATTCATGGCCATCAGACCACGATGTGTAGTCCACACATTGTTACCGTCAAAGGCAAAGCACGATGCCTCAATGTCCACTCCTAGCAAAATGTCCTGGATGCCCTTGTGGTTGACGACACTGATCTGGATGTGTCTGTAGGGGTAGTGGCGACACAGCGTGATATCAGACGAGCCAACACAGATTGAGTACTTGTCATTGTCTTGGAGCGAGTTGTACAGCTGTGTGAACTTGTTCTGGATGTCATTCTCATCATTCAGGCCATAAAAGACAATGTCAATGTCTGATGACTCGAAGCCTTCAGTCTCGCCAGTGAGTGCGGTCGTCATGCCACCGCCAATGACCACCATGTTCTTCCACACATCAGGGGTAAAGTTGAATCGATCCGATGTGACTGCGGCAAAGTTCTTGAGGAATGTCTCACGGTCCACGATCGATGGCGCACCTACTGGCTTGACTGTATTGGCTGGCTGTGGCATCACGATGTTTGTGCTTGGCACATGCTTGATCTTGAACATGTTGATGTTGTCATAGACATTGAGCAAGATGTTGGTGTTGTGTGGAGGTTTGAATATGCTCTGAGGCATTGACCATGTCGAGCTCTTTGACATCCAGCAATGTCGTCTAAACATTGATTCGACTCTTTGTTGGAATGGGAAGAGATCCTCTAACGTGTCCTCATTGTACAGTGCTCCCATACTAAAGTGATCCAAAAGGTAGTTGGCAATCTCATCACCAACTGCTCTGGTGTCTGCCAGGCAAGAGTGACAAAACTCACGCAACACATCGATTGGCAACTGTGATATCTTGTCAAGGAACGACAGTTTGTCAATGAGATAGTGCTCCTTGAGCACTGTGAAACAAATGTCGCGCATTGATGGTATCTTGTTACGAAGTGGCAAGTTGTGAACGTATTGGCTGAGGTAACCTGGCTTGGGCTCAATCTTCGCAGTCTCATAGTGGACATAGTCAGTGTTGGTGAGCTCCTTATAGGTTTGCTCAAACTTTGCCTTGGCCTCCTCAGTTGTGCCAAAGGCAAAGTGATCGCGACTATACTCTGACGAACCAGCTGTTGGCAAGTAATTGAGTGAGTGAGCGATTGAGTTAGTATCCATGGTTCATTCATTCAATCAATCAATCAATATAACTACTTACGGACATGTCTATGGATAATGACCAAGTGCTCCTGATCCTGGTTGTAGGAATATGGAGTGTACTGTCGTAATAATACAACCTCTGGTGTATCATGTTGATCGTAGTGCAACAACACTGCAGAGTGATGGGCAGTGCCATAGTTGTTGTGACTCATCCTACCCGAGTCTGTGACTCCATAGTAATCCGTTGGATCAGTCTAATATGGATGAACAAAGTGAGTAATTGTGATTGTGATTGTGATCTTGCTGCCAGACACTTACATTCGTCTTGAGGAAGCGACCGAGGATTGTGAACAACTGACCACCGCGGTCTCGGTCCATTATTTCATTGATGGATATCGGCTGTGAGTAATGTTGCCTAACCAACCCGTTTAGGATGAAGGGTATATGGTTGCCAGTTGTAATCACAGGGACAAAGTCTCCGCCATAGTAGGTGTTTCCACTCTTGGGCTTTGGATTGTCAATGAGCGAGAAGTAATTCCTTGTCAATGCAATCTGTTCGGCTTCAAACTTGTTGAAGTCGCCCAGTTTGATCACAGCATCCACATGTTGTGTTTGTGATGTTTGTGATGGCAATGTCTCGCTATTGCTAAACACTCGTAGTCTCCTTTGCCATGTTGCGTGAACTGAGTCAGCCTGTGACTGATCCATTGGGAAAGTGATTACCAAATCATCACAGGTGCATCTGTTCTGCAACAAGTACTCTGGAGTCTCTTTTGATAAGTTATCAAACAGAGGCTTGTATTCATCGACCTCCTTTTGGAAGAAAGATGAGTAATATGAAGTTGTTGGTTTCATTTTATGTTATTATGTATATGTTTATGCTATCTCTATGTATTACACATTGGATTGAAGTGATGTGAAGTGAATGAATGAGTAACAAGGTGTGTATCATTCCAAGAATTCTTCAAAAGATCTATTGACCTCGATCCGGCATAGGGTTGGGTGAAGTTGTAGTATGATCAAACCTGAAGTCATTGGTCTTGTACAAGTTTCGATATGGTTAGTTGTTTATTATGTACATATGCGGAGTAACAGATGATTATCATAATCAATCATTCATTCCAAGTATCATTCATTCATTCATTCCTCTTGTTGGATTGCCATGTATGTTGACTCTGTACGACTACTACTATTCTGTTGTCCTTTGCTAAGATAGTATAACATTGCACATGTTGGTAATATCTCTAGAACAACAAAGAATATCAATACCCAATACCATGCCAGATTGAATGTCTTTGACTCTGGTTCATTCTTATTAATGCAAGTAAGTCAAGTTAATAGGTTAGTATGATTGATTGATTGATCGGAATGATTCCAATGTGAATGAACAACATACATTCAATAGTATTATACTATATACAATTAGACATGCCCTTAGAAGGAAACATAGAGAACATATCCATGTGATGGCCTTGACTTTGGTAGATTGTACATTTTTGATAAGTAGTCGACAGTCATTCATTAGTCTGTTTATCTTTAGTCCATACACTGCAAACAATCCTGCAGTCATAAAGTATAATGATGTGATGAAGCATGCTGTTACCAATTCTACAGTCTTGACCTGTCAATCATGTACATGGTTAGTGAGTGAAGACTACACTGGCATCGCAATCACTTACTGTATCTGGATTGTTTGACATTAGGAAACATCCAGTGATGGCAATCACACTTCCAACATAGAATGATGATAAAACAATCACTACTATCCTATTCTTGAAGAAGTTGGACTCTGATCCAACTGATGCCTGATAATAGAAGTCTGTCCATGATAAGAAGAACATGAAGTATGCCAAGAAGAATAGCATATCAATCATGTGATCTGAATGAGCGAATGGATGGGAGGGTGTTACGATCATTGAAGGAAGGACATGTCATTGATTAACATACCCCACAGGAGTAAGACGTTCAAAGGGAAGTTCTGTAGACTCCCACTGACTATGGATGGAGTGATCAAGAAGAATGCACCTCGAGCAAACATCACAAGTACGATCGTGGCTGTGAACACTTGCTTGGTGTTGGACCTCGAGAATCGCACGGCCTGTATGAATTGATACAATGCCAGGAATCCAATGAGAGCAAACATGCCACCAAGTACATAGTATATCGTATTGTACATTCTATATCTCTGTTAGCTATTATCTATCAGTTTAGTTACATTATAATTAATTACACTCAATGTAAGTTGTATGTGATTGTACTATGCATTGGAATGAGTGAGTGATTGATGTGATCACTCATTCTTTCACATCCCAAGCCCATTATCATCAAGTATCAATCAATACAATTGTAGTACTGCAAATGAATGATTGCCCATTCCCAACAATCCAGATACTGATCACACCAAGCCAAGCAAAACAAGCAAAGACTGATGGATGGTCGCGAGACTGAGTGCGTGGTATTTCTCGAACTCGAACAACAAGAGTCGATCATTCAATCAATCCCACCGTTTCACAACATTGTTGAATTGGAATCGGCTTTGGAAGAATCTACATATGTTATTATCACTTTACTTTAGGTATTTGATGCAGGGCTGCTGACCACCGTTGGCCTCACCAGCATGGTCCACCAACTTAAAGTGAACAGGATCGTAAACTAGATCAGGTTGTTGCAGCTTCTTGCGCTCGGCCTCCTCGACACGATGCTTCTCTAGACCAGCCCTGCGAACATCCTGATCTGCAAAGGCATCGTATACACCCTTCCACACCCTGATCGAGTTGTTAGCCTCCATCGAGTCTAACGATGGTTCAACAATCGGTTCCCTGCGCATAGTATTGTAGTTGATGAACACTGACGATTTCTATTGAGAACGACACAATGTTAGTAACAACATCCATCAGCAGCATCACGATTCAGCCAACTCAACACGTACCTTATCTTTGAGGTTGGTAATGTGAAGGGTGTCCACATGCGATCCTGTGATCTCATACAGAGTGTCCTTGCCTCTGGACACGTAGATGTGGAGCTCATGCCACTTGCCACCGAGGAATGGCTTGTCCTTGAAGTGGATCAGCGCACGATGCCCAGTCTCTGGACACATGAATGTATACTTTCCAGAGAACTCAAACTTCCATCGCAAGAGACGTAGATATCCATCTGGGAACTTGTCATTGATGTATGTGTTGTTGTGACGACCTAGTTTGATCGATGTCCTGACATCCATCTGAGCGCGAATATTCTTGCCAGTGAACACTGGTGTGATCTGTTGACTAGAATCGTATTGGATGTCATGCTTTGCATTCTCAAAGTGAAAGGCAGATATTGGTGGATGATGAGACACCTGTTCAGAAACAAACCTGGTCACATCACCTGGTATCACCTTGTTTGTCGATTCATCCATATGATGTACCTGATTATGGTACACCTCTCCAAGTGTTGGATTCAAAGGATTTCTTGGGAACTGTATAATTATGTGAGTGACTGGAATTATTCCAAACTATTATTGATTAACGATACTTACATACATTCTTGGCCATATTAGATGGAACTTGAGTACTTGAAGGAACCTCTTCTCTGGATCCTGGATTGAATCAGCTCTTAGATAATGTAAGTTAGTAAAGTTGTAGATGTCACGTGATATGAACATTGATAACCTGACCAATATTGGTGTCAGGTGACTTTATCTTAATATCAAGATCACATACATTGTCAATAGATGAGAATAAACTGCTGTGTTCTGTTGAATGGACACTAGGAATGACTCTGGCATAACGAATGAAGTTGGAATTGTGGTCTTGGTCATATCTGTTCCAACTTTGAGATTGTTCTTTATGAAGCTGTATGCCTGTTTCATTACACTCTCATTCTTCTGACCTTGGCACTGGCTTTGTCTGCCCAGACCATCGTTTGGTACCTCTTTGAACATTACTCCGTCCTCAACAGGTCCATCCTCTTCCTCATCCTCCAATATCACATTACTACTAACTGATCCAGTACTATGTGTCAGCTGACTACTATATTGTGTATTGTTATTATATAACTGATCATGTTGGGATGTTGAATGATGATGATGAGGAGTAAAAGAGATACAATGAGTTGACATGGTTATAAGATAATATTTTATGTATATGTTTAAACATGGAATAAATAATTATATTGTAATATATATTTGATATCAAAAATAATTCTGTAATTTGTTTGTTTGTTATAAACGAGTATTCATGGTTGGACAATTGGTGAAGTTGTTGTTGCACCTCAGATTGACCAAATAAGGCAATTTTCTCTTCGAACCTTTAGTCGAGGGCCTGAGCCTCTAGGAAGATGGTTTTCGAGGGGTGTGGTGCGAAGTTATAAGTCCACAAATAGTGTCCTAACAACAACATTCCTCATATATCCAAGTCTTGAATCACGTAACAACAATGTCCAGTGTCATTAGCAGAATACAGATACAGATACAAAAGTTCTCGAAGTGTTTAAAGTAATACTAAGATGTTATGTCTATTTATCTGTTCGTGGGGTCTGTATGACATTTGTTTGTTTGTTTTTTTGAGACTAAGGTCAGGTGATGACATCAAAAGTTGACCTTTAAGTCCTTGTCTTGGGGAGATTGTTTTTGACATGATGTATCTCGTGTTTCTATCAGATTGGTTCTCCCGCTGAGCGGAGCAGGAAGCCAATCAAAATAGAACGATAAGTGTTCAGACAAAGGGAAGCGACACGGCCTTTTGCACTCGTCCTATTGTTCGACTCACAAAACAATCAATCGATCACACACAAACCTTCATTTTTTAACCCTTACCTTTGAAGTGTTTGGTTTGTTTCAAAATAACCCTCACACACTTAATCTCTCTAACTCTAACACATTGACACCCCTTCTTTCCTTGCTAAACATAACACACATCACACTCTCTTTATCATTCATTCATTCATTCACACAACACCAACAACAAACCTATCATTCACACATACATCATTCATTCACTCTGTTGCTTGATTGTCAACAAATACATACACACATACACAGGTTTGATATAATATATATAAACTTAACAACTGCAGCCCGGGCTAAACAAGTGTGATGTAAGTGCACGAAACAATCAACACAGACATAGACATAGACATAGACGTAGATATAGACACAGGATCAATCACTTGACATGTCAGACACAATCACTCTTAGGTGTGCGATCGCACACCGCACATCAGACTGCCACATTCCAGTTAGTAATGAGTGGTGGTGGTGGTGGACCATCCATCATCTATCCATCCATCCATTCATCCCAGTGTCAGTTGGATGGATTGTAAATGATGTGCTCATTTTCTTGTCAATACATTATAATATATTATACACCTTTATACAACCACTCAAACATCATCATCATCAACTATCCACTTAGTTAGTGAGTGAGTGACCATCCATCAAGGTGTCTTCTAGCTATCTATTCCTATTCTATCTATCAATCACAATCAATCAATCAATCATCAAATAGATCGGTCACACATCATCACCTCCCTCAAACACATTGTTCTTTCTATCACTTGTCTCGTCTCATTCATTCATTCACTCATTCACTCACATCACACATTGATTAAGTTAACTTAGCCAGCTCATTATTAACATTCTCTCGCATTATATTATTATTATTATTATTATATATACATTTTAGATAAAGTATATATTGTTGTACTTTTAAAAAGAAGAAGAAGAGGATATTAGCTTAGCGGCAACTTAAGAAACAGCAGCAGCAGTAGCATCAACAACAACAAACATAAACACAAATAATAATATAGTCTCAAGATGGATTCAAAGGACAAGTCAAACAGACCATCAAACACTGCGTTTAAGCAGCAGAGGATGAAGGCGTGGGAGCCAATCCTGACGCCAACGCCAGTTATTATCACGTTCATTGTGATCGGAGTTATCTTCATCCCGATTGGAGCCGTGATGATCAGCGCATCGAACAACGTCGTCGAGTCGACGCTACAGTACGACAAGATTTGCCAGGTTGGCACTACATGCAACTTCACCATGTCGATACCAAAGAAGATGAAGGCACCCGTCTATATGTACTACAGGCTCGACAACTTCTACCAGAACCACCGTCGCTACGTCAAGTCGCGAAACGACGACCAGCTGCGCGGCCTCAGGGTGACCGATTATAATAAGCTCAAGACAGACTGCGACCCATACACGTCGGTGGACGGCACGCTCAAGACCGTCTACCTGCCCTGCGGTCTCATTGCCAGAAGCATGTTCAACGACACGTTCTCCCTGTCGCAGACGGACGGCTCCATCATCCCCTTAGTCAAGAAGGGCATTGCCTGGTCGTCCGACGTCGACAAGAAGTTCAAGAACCCACCAGCCGATGTCGAGGGTGTCAGAATCATCCAGGACTTTACCGACGAGGACTTTATCGTCTGGATGAGAACCGCCGGTCTCCCAGACTTTAGGAAACTGTACAGAATCATCAACCAAGACCTCCCAGCTGGAAATGTCAACGTATCCATTGTTGCCAGTATGTATAACCAGTCACCTGATCGATTATGACTTAGTATCTCTAACACTGTTTGCTCCACTTCCACAGACTACCCTGTTGAGTCATTCGATGGAAAGAAGTATGTTGTCCTCTCAACAGCCACTTGGATCGGAGGCAAGAACCCATTCTTGGGCTACGCCTATATTGTCGTTGGTGTAATTTGTTTCTTCCAGGGCATTGGTTTCTTGATCAAGCATAAGGTCGCACCAAGAAAGCTCGGTGATACCAAGTACTTGGAATGGAGTACTAAATAAGAAGAAGAACAACAACAACAAGCAAGAGATTAGATTTAGATTCATTCATTTCAATATCCATCATCAAATCACCAAACTCAACTCAAACTCAAACAACCAACCTTCCAACCATCCATCTATCGATCGATATTTCCACCTCTCGCTCTAGATAGATGAGTTGATATATAGAACCTCCAATCGTACATATACTACATGACTTGTAATTTACAACTACTACCTCCATCAACCAAACCATTCACGTATTAATAAACTATCAATCACATCCTCAATTACAATGTTGTCTTTGTTGTTCATTCATTCATTCTTTCGTTCGTTAGTTCGTTCGTTCTTTCATTCATTGGAACTCATTGTATATATATATGTATGTATGGTGAGTTATGTGTTTGAGTCAAATGACTCATTCTGACTATCTAATATATGTGTGTATGTTTGAAGAAACAAACTATTTATTCAAATTAAATCTCTTCGAGAATATCGAAAATTGTGAGATTGACACAGAACATCATCAAAGTTAAATTACTTTGTTCATCTCATCATCATCACATTCATTTCATTTTATTCAGGTTTACATACATATATATATAGAGATAACATACATATTTATACATATTATTAATATTATTTATAATTAAGTAATATGAATAACAACAATAACAATAGCGGTGTAACCAGTATGGAGGTTGAGCAAAAGATTGATGATGCTCTTTATAGCAGACAGTTGTATGTCCTCTCTCATGAGGCCATGCAAAAGATCTCAGCAACAAGTGTACTCATCGTTGGTCTATCCGGACTCGGTGTCGAGATTGCCAAGGACGTCGTACTAGCAGGTGTCAAGTCTGTCACCCTCTACGATAATGATCCCGTCAAGATATCCGATCTCTCATCTCAAGTATGTTATCTTATGTTATGTTTGATTGATTGCGATATTGAATGAATGATTAACATTAGCATACTTTTAGTTCTATTTAGAAGAGTCACAGATTGGAATGAGAAGATCAGTTGCTTGTGTGTCAAAGCTTGTAGAATTAAATAACTATGTGGCAGTGAACAACTACACTGATGATCTCACCGAGGAATTCTTGAACAACTTTAATGTCGTGGTGCTGGCCAACCAGCCACTGCAGCTCCAGCTGCAGCTCAACGAGGTGTGCCACCGCAACAACATAAAGTTCATCGCCGCCGAGACTCGTGGAGTGTTTGGATCGCTCTTCAACGACTTTGGCCAAGACTTCCACATCGTCGACACCAACGGCGAGAACCCCGCCACCTACATGATCAGCGCCGTCAGCCAGGAGACCAGCGGTGTCATCACCATCGTCGAGGAGCACAAGCTGCAGCTCCAGGACGGCGACTACGTCACATTCAAGGAGATCAACGGCATGAACCAGCTCAACGACCTACCCCCACAAAAGATCAAGGTGATCTCGCCCTACACGTTCAGCATTGGCGACACCTCTGCCTTTGGCGTCTACACCAACGGTGGCTACGTCACCGAGGTTAAGCAGCCAAAGATCGTCAGCTTCAAGCCATTGGCTGAGGTCCTGGACAAGGCTGAGGGCCTGTTCACCACCGACGACTTCAAGTTTGATCACCCATACCAGCTGCTCGTCGGATTCCAGGCGATCCACGCGTTCAACGACAAGAACAAGCACTTCCCCCGCCCACACAACAAGGCCGACGCCGATGAGGTCCTGGCCCTGGCCGCACCACTCGCCAAGAAGTACGACGTTGAGCTGAAAGAGAAGCTGATCAGACAACTGGCATACGGATTCCAGGGAGACATTGTTGGTCTGTGCGCCATCATTGGAGGTATTGCCGCTCAGGAGGTTCTGAAGGCATCCTCTGGCAAGTTCCACCCAATCTGCCAGATGCTCTACTTTGACGCCATCGAGGCCTTGCCCTCGGACGACCTGCCCGAGTCAGAGTTCCAGCCAATCGGCTCACGTTACGACGGACAGATTGCCACTTTGGGTATCACCCTGCACAAGAAGATCGAGTCGCTCAACTACTTCCTCGTCGGATCCGGTGCCATTGGTTGCGAGATGCTAAAGAACTTTGCCATGATGGGTGTTGGCTGTGGTGAGAATGGAATGGTCCACGTCACCGACATGGACACCATCGAGAAGTCCAACCTCAACCGTCAGTTCCTCTTCCGTTCGTCCGACATCAACAAGCTCAAGTCCGAGTGTGCTGCCCGCGCCGTCAAGGCCATGAACCCCAGCGTCCACATCAAGGCCTACTCGACCCGTGTTGGCCCAGAGACTGAGAACCACTACAACGAGCAGTTCTACACCTCCCTGGACGGTGTGTGCAATGCCCTCGACAACATCGACGCCAGAATGTACATGGACAGCCAGTGTGTCTTCTACAGCAAGCCACTGCTCGAGTCTGGTACTCTGGGCACCAAGGCTAACACCCAGGTCGTCGTACCCAAGCTGACAGAGTCATACTCATCGTCGCGTGACCCACCCGAGAAGTCGATCCCAATGTGCACTCTGCACAACTTCCCCAACGCCATTGAGCACACGATCCAGTGGGCTCGTGACATCTTTGAGGGTCTCTACAAGAATGCCGCCGAGAATGTCAACTCATACCTCACCATCCCAACGTTCGTCGAGTCCCTGCACAAGCAGACCAGCAACGTTCGTCTGGAGACCCTGACCAGCATCAAGTCATCTCTCGTTGGTCGTCCACTCAACTTTGACGATTGTGTCCACTGGGCCCGCCTAAAGTTTGAGGAGCTGTACAACAACAACATCGAGCAGTTGCTCTACAACTTCCCAAGAGACATGCTCACCACCACAGGCACACCATTCTGGTCTGGCCCCAAGCGCGCACCAACTCCACTCAAGTTTGACGCCTCCAACTCACTTCACGTAGACTTTGTTGTGTCGGCCGCCAACTTGCGTGCCTTCAACTACGGTATCAAGGGCACCAACAATGCAGAGCAGATCACCAAGATGGCACTGGACACCATCGTGCCAGAGTTCACCCCCAAGAAGGTCAAGATCTCGACCAACGAGAATGAGCAGCAGCAGCAACAACAGCAGCAGACTCAGCAGATGGACGGCGACGACGACCAGACCGACAAGATCCTCTCTGAGATCCCACAGCCAAACGAGTTGGCCGGCTACAAGATCAATGCCATCTCCTTTGAGAAGGACGACGACACAAACTTCCACATCGACTTTATCACGGCCGCCTCCAACCTGCGTGCCACCAACTACAACATCACCCTGGCCGACCGTCACAAGACCAAGGGCATTGCCGGTAAGATCATCCCCGCCCTCGTCACCACCACTGCCCTCGTCTCTGGTCTCGTCTCTCTGGAGCTGCTAAAGGTCATCCAGCAGAAGCCAATCGATGCCTACAAGAACACCTTCTTGAACTTGGCCATCCCATTCTTTGCCTTTATCGAGCCCATCGCCCCATCGACCAACAAGATCCGTGAGGGCTGGAGCTGGACTCTTTGGGACAGGTTCGAGGTCGACGGCGACATCACCCTGGCTGAGTTCCTGGCCAAGTTTGAGAAGGATCACCGTCTGGAGGTCAACATGATTTCCTGCCAGGTGACCCTGCTCTACGCCATGTTCCTCGACAAGAAGACCAAGGACGAGAGACTCAAGACCAAGATGAGCACCTTGTACGAGACATTGAGCAAGAAGCCATTGCCCGAGAAGAAGTACCTCGTATTTGAGGTCTGCTGTGAGGATATGGACACTTCCGAGGATGTTGACGTCCCCTATGTTAGATATAGATTCAGAGAGTAAGGAGGTACAATTCCTTGGACATCAACAACTTGTTGTATCCAAATAAACAACACTTTCAACCGAATTCCTCCTTTTGTATCAACATTCATGATGATGATCATTGTATGTTTATGGTGATGGATCAAGCTTTCAACTCAGCAGGTGGTTCTGTAATGATCTTGCACACATCTGTAAGTGAGAGAATGGAGATGGGCTTTCTATGTTCATCAACAATCCACAATCTATGAATCTTGTACTTGGCCAACATCTCAATTGCATGGGTAAGTGTATCCTTTACAGAGATAATAATTGGGTAGGATGGTTTCTAAAGATATATGATAATTAGGATCAAAATTGTTGGTACCAACAAGATTCTAATATATAACATACATGTTTGTTTGGATCGAGCATATCGTTCCTGCTGATGAACCTCTCGGTGGACTGGAGAAGGAGATCCATGTTGTCCTCTTTAAGACTACTGAGATCATTAATGGATAGTGTACCAATAATTTGTCCGGTCTGGTCTGAAAGAACTGGGACAGCTGTGACACCATGGTGATGCATAGACTTGAAAGTATCATACACCAGAGTTGAAGCTTGGGTGGAGATGACATCCGCCTTATCTACGAGTTGAGGCAATAAATCCAAAATGGTCTTATTCTTCAAAGTTCCAAGGACAGATACATTATCTGCAATAAAGGAAATCACTGCACTCTGGCTCACAATGTCCTCAATATCGCTAAATATTGAGAGTAGAGCCACGCGATATACTCCTCTGGCATACATCTTCATTACTTCAAATAGTGACTGCTCCTCTAGTACAACTGTAAATTGATCCTTCTTTGATAAGTCCATAATATTTGATACTGTTGTATGAAGGAAACCAATGGAAAGTAATCTCATTGCATGATGACATACTGATGCATTCTCGCATATCTTTACAAGTAATGCTAGTACATCATTTGTATCAACAAATCCAATAACTCTGTTCTTTCCTTTAATATGTACTATTGTGTTAGAATTAAACTATAGCTTATTCTAATATTAGATATCATACCTGTATCAGAGTCAACAACTGGTACGGATGTTAAACAATGTTTATGGAGTACTGCCAACAACTCTTGAACTGTAGCAGTCTTCTCAACTGCAATCAAAGTTTCTTTCTTAATAATATCAGAAATGGATGTTTGAGTATATACTTTTTGATAATCCTCCATCATGGTTGATTCCTTGTATTATTTATAATTATGTATCACTATGATATAATTGTATACAAGAGTGATAGTACTCGAATGAATGAAAGATGAGTGACGTTCATTATCATCTCCACTCACTCTCTCTTCATCTCTCTCACACTAATAATAATAATTGAGGATCATTCTTCCATCCATACACTAACCCCACAACACACTTCCATCCATGTTGGTGACCACATTACTTCATTTGGACAATCTAGATCTCCCGTTTGGGATTTGCTCCCTTCTGTCTACAAGATGTGAACATCAACATAATCAAGGGATCATTGATTGATTAATTGTTTGAATAGATCGTTGATATAAAAGGGGATGGTGAATACAAAATAATTATAATTATATTCAAAGTGGGGTCCACGACTACAATGACGAAGACTGAGATGAAGGAAGAGGATAATTGGCCCAACCTAGAACCTTGAACGCAATCGCTTGGTACCACTACTTTCAAATATATAAGTGAATGGCAGTGGATTGCTGTAGTTCCTGCCATCGTTGGTGATTACAACTTGTACGGGCAACTCGGTGCCGTCCGGTGGACTAAAGTTGGGTGGCGACGGGTAGGGCGGCAGTGTGAAGAATAATACTGACTCGCTGTACAACTCTATGTTGTTGGCGGGAATATCACCGTGTGGCGTGTGGAAGATACATCTTAGCGAATTGCATCGTATGAATGGAGACCCAACAACATGCATCTGCTCCCCTCCAATCGTTGAGCCTTTTGTTAGGCTAAGTGTTCGCAGTGTAACATTTCCTGTAAGGGTAAGGGTAAGGGTAAGGGGAGGGAGGGAGGGAAGTGTCAGAGAAGGAAGGTCGCATTGTGACTAGCGGGAGCGAGGTACATACTTCTTCTTGACAAAACCTTTTGGTTGGAGTATGCATAGAATGGTCGGGATCGCTTGATAAAGGGCATGCCGCTAGGCAAGATGAAACGCTTGTTGTCGTCAGTGAGGAGGATGTACTCGAGACAGAACTCGTTCTCCTGATGCTTAGTTGATGCCTCTGTCATAGATAGGCTATCGAAAACGACCTTGCCATCCTTGCCAACTGGCACCAGCTTGTTACCGCCGAGGATGTCCTGTGTGGGACGCTCGGTGTGAGAGTTGGCGTAGGCCAGCTGCGCCAGCACCATTGTGACATTATTCTTTGCATAGTCTCCAATCACTCTAATGACGCAATTGAATGTTCTTCGATCGTTTGGTGTTCGCGTCCTCACATCCGATGGTGGCTGTTGTTCAATTGATATATCGACGTCTCCTCTGTATTCGTGTGATCGTTGTTAGTGATTGTTGAGTGAATGAATGAATGGATGATTGAATGAATGACCTACATTAGGACCAGTGATTGATTGGTAGCCAGAGGCAATAGAGATGTTGTGAGAGGGAATGGTGTTGTCTTGAGTACGGGGACACCCATGTAGTTGACTTGTTCTTCTGCCGAACCATTGATGAGCTCGGTGGTAAAAGGTGATTGCTGAAGTTGCTGGTTTTGTGGGTTGATGAGGTGTTGTCCGCCTGCCGTCTGTAGCGTAGGCGGTGATGACGTTGATGTTGTATGCTGTGGAATATAAATAGGGAGAGTCGTCGACTGAGTGGTCGTCGTGGAGGTCGTCATGGCATTGTTGGGTGTGATGCCACCGCCCATCTGTTGTGCCAAGTTATATATCGATTGTTGTGGTTGTTGTTGTTGGTTCTGTTGACCTTGCGGGAGATATATCAAGTTGCCCTTGAAGTACATTGGTTGCTGTTGCTGTTGCTGTTGATGCTGCTGTAGTTGTTGATGTTGTTGATGCTGTTGTAGTTGATTGTGTTGCTGCATCTGACCCTGATTATGTTGTTGTTGTATCTGTTGTTGTGTCGACATGGGCTGCTGCTGTTGCTGAAGATGATGATTGATGAGCTGGTGATGCACGGTGTTGATGAGGTTGGACGGCGAGATGGTTGAGGTGACCTCACACACAGAGTTGTCCATCGATGGCGCTGTGTTGTAGTACTGTTGGTAGTTGGGGAAGGCCGACTGCTGCACGAGCTGCTGGAAGGACTCGGCCGCCGAGTTTTGAAAGTCTGTGCCGGTGGGCATCGCCAGTGGCAGCTGCAGTGCCTTGAACGTGGTCGACAATGAATTTGCCGTCGACGAAGGCATCGACAGATCGTCGCCGTCCAGGCCACCACCAGGTGGACTAGTGGCACTTGACTGTGGCGAAGAAGGTGATTCAATCTTCACATTAATCAAGTTTGACTCCAAATTAGCGCTGTTTATATAAGTTTCAAAGTTTATAAGTGCTGAATCATCCATTATTTGTTTCCTTTGCTTTGTTTTGATTTATATAAATAAAAAATATACACAAGTTATAACTTATTAATTGATTGATTGATTGATATTGATTGATTGAATTGTTTACAACAGCTGTGAGTGAGTCATATGATTAGATATACATAGGTTGGTTGTGTGTGTTTGTGTGTGTGTTTGAAAGAAAGAGAATTAGAAAGAGAAAGAGAGATAGAAAGTTAGATTGAGGTAGAGGCAGGGCTTCAGGGGAACGAGGAGTTAGTGTGGAGTGGTAAAGAGTTACTGACACACAACACAAAAAAGATAAAAACTTGAATAACGAGATATCAAAGTGTTAGGGCTCTACAACGATAATCATGATGCTTTAGCCAATTTGGGTCAAACAACGGCATAAATCAATCAAAATCAACAACCTGGGCAACATCTATTTTATAATTATAATAATATAAAACAAACATATAAATAAATAAAAATAAATTCTCAGATCATATATTTCTTCTCAGTCTTTTCATTCATTAATTGATCATTCATGAATTATTATTATTATTATTTATCTATATAAAATATATCTTTGTTAAACATGAATGGATTCATGATTGATCACGATACCCAATGCCCGACAATGGTGGGCAATGCCTATAACATCAACAACACTATCGGAGATTCTCGGCACATTGATTTACATGATTGTGGTCGAATTTGACACCAAAATGTGGATATTTCGGCAAAAGTCACAGATTTGCTTCACATTCATTGGATTGGAACTTGTAGTGCAAGCATCAGCAATGATCTCTAGTTGAGGAAATCTCGTTGTTATTATTATACTTTATTAGTAACACATATATAATATACATTAAACAAATAAATACAATGAATACTTCATCTTTGTTTATTGTTTTGGTCGCACTCGTGACCATCACTGCCGCAGTTGACAACGGACTTGGTCTTACTCCTCAGATGGGTTGGAACAGGTACAGTACCAAAGTGTGCACCACTCAATGAGACATATACTAATCAATCAATCTTTCAATCAATCAATCATTCAAACCTATACCAGCTGGAACTACTTCGCCTGTAACATCAATGAGACAATCATTATGGAGATGGCACAGGCTATGGTCAGCAGTGGTATGGCCGCTGCCGGATATCAATACATCAACATTGATGACTGCTGGGCCTACTCCAGAGACAAGAACACACATGTCATTCAAGCGTATGTTCCTCATTCACTCAATCATTCGCGCGCACTCACTAACCTCATTCAATCAACCAACAGTGACCCAAAGACTTTCCCACATGGTATCGCCTACGTTGCCGACTATGTCCACTCACTTGGATTGAAGCTTGGAATCTATACTGATGCTGGCACTGAGACTTGCGCTGGCCGCCCAGGCAGCTATGGATACGAGGAGATTGATGCCCAGACTTACGCCTCATGGGGCATCGACTACTTGAAGGAGGACTGGTGCCACACTAGCAAGGACGTACCCTTGGAGCGCTATGCCGTCATGTCCAAGTCACTCAACCAGACTGGCCGTCCAATCTTCTTCTCGCTCTGCGACTGGGGCACGGACAACCCATGGGAGTGGGGACCCACCGTCGGCAACTCGTTCAGAACCACCGGCGACATCAAGGACAACTGGGACAGCTTCATGAACAACCTGATGCTGCAGGTGCCCATCACCTCCTACTCGATGATCGGCGGCTGGAACGATCCAGACATGCTCGAGGTCGGCAACGGCGGTATGACCAACACTGAGTACATCTCGCACTTCTCGCTCTGGTCGATCATGTCGTCGCCACTCATTGCCGGTAACGACCTGAGAAACATGGACGCCCAGACCCTGGCCATCCTGACCGCCTCCGAGGTCATTGCCGTCAACCAAGACCAACTTGGTCGTCAGGGTGCCCTTGTGCGCTCAATCAACGGCGGTCTCCAGCAGATCTGGGGCCGCATGCTCGCCGATGGCTCTCGCGCCGTCGTCCTCTTCAACTCTGACACCGCCACCTCAGACATCCAGTTGCTGTGGTCCGATATCTGGTTGATGTCTGGTCAGTCCATGAACGTCCGCGACCTCTGGGCACGCCAAGAGCTCGGTGTCTACACGGGCAGCTACATGGCCATCAACATCCCAGCTCATGGAAGTGTCATGCTCCGTGTTTACTAAGTCCTCATTCATTCATACATTCAATCAATCATACTATTCAATAAAGCTCGCTAACTTTATTGACCTGATGACCCTGTTGTTGGAGCTCGCGGAAGTGAACAATGCTTGACTTGGAGAGTGGACGACCTTGCAGAGTGATGTCCGACCCATCGACAATATCGACCATTATGTATTCGCCAGGTTTGATCTGCTCCATCACGTTGGAATCATGCTGTGATGACACCTCCACATTAGGTATGATCACCTTCTTGTTTGTATCTGTACGTCCAACAAAGTGATCTGATGACCTCCTACTAACACCATCGATCAACACCAAATGTCTCCTTCCAATCTCCAACTTTGACTTCTCTCTCAAGTTGGCGTAGAATCTATCAATCACCTCTGACAATCTCTTTGTCTTGACTTCATCCGTTACATCATCCCTGATTGATTGATTGATTGAGTAGTTTGAGTTAGTTTGGAATCCAAGTACAGTCACGTGATCCATCAACTACTTACTTCATTGTTCTGTGAGCATGGGTCTTCTCGCGAAGTGAGTACATGAACATGAAGGCATTCTCATACTTGACGAGGTCCATCAATGAGAGGGTGTCTTGGTGTTCTTGGTCAGTCTCCTGACAGAATCCACTTATAAAGTCAGATGAGATTGAGCATCCTGGTAGCTCCCTACGTATCATATCGATGAGTGCCAAGTATGACTCTCTTGTGTATCCACGTCTCATTCTCTCCAACACATCACTGTTTCCGCTCTGTGCCGGTATATGTAATGCCTGACAAATGTTTGGTCTTCTCTTGATCAGTTCAATGAGCTGGTAGCGATTGATGGGAAGAGTGAGGGGATGTCAGTGATGGTTCATCATGAGATGGGTGGACAAACATACATCGTCTGGGAAGTCCTTGGGATGGGGACTGGTGAACCTGATCCTCATCTCTGGGTCGACTTGGGACACTAGATCAATGAGTTCGGTGAATGTGACGCCACGCTTTGGTGACTTGTATATCGTGTTGAAGCCATCGCGTGGCCGCAGGACATCTGGTTTCTTCTCGCCAACTCCATCCATGGCATCGGCACTATCAGTGTAGTTGTAGCTATTTACATTCTGTCCAAGCAGTGTGATCTCTTTGTATCCCTCGCGGGACAGTTGACGCACCTCCTCAACAATGGAGGCCACTGAGCGACTGCGCTCACGACCGCGTGTGAATGGTACGATGCAGTACGAGCACATATTGTTGCAGCCACGCATGATTGATACGTAGGCCGACACACCATTGCTGTTTGTTCGAATCGGTGCAATATCTGCGTAGGTCTCGTCCGCGGACAGGATGACGTTGATGGCTGTCTGGCCCTCCTGCTCGTCGATCTTGCTGAGCAGGGCGGGCAGCGAGCGATAGGCGTCCGGTCCGACGACCAGGTCCACCTGGCGGTCCGACTCGAGCAGCTTCTGCTTCAGGCGCTCGGCCATGCAGCCAAGCACACCCACCACGGTCTTTTGTCGCTTCTTCTGCTTCCTCAGCTCGGATAGCCTGAACCAGATCTTGTCCTCGGCGTTCTCACGTATCGCACACGTGTTGAGGAACACAATGTCGGCCGTCTTGGCTGACTCGGCGAGGGTGTAGCCGGCCGCTCGCATCACAGAGTAGACGATCTCCGTGTCTGCAAAGTTCATCTGGCAGCCGTATGACTCGACAAAGACTGAGCGACCTTCATCCTGATGTGAGGCGGCGTCGAGGTATGGTGGGTATACCGGTTCATGCTCTTGTTGCTCCACTATCTGTGATTGAGTGTCCACATGAGTCTTCAAGAAATCATTGAGTGATGGTATTGCGCCACTCTTTAATGATTCTTTAAACTGCTCTCTTCTGACTTGTTGTTGTATCTGTATTTGTTGTTGTTCTGTTTGTTGTTGCGGTGGGCTGTGAACGTGTCCATGACTATGACCATGACTATGACCATGACTGTGTCCATGTGTACTGCAACTACCTGTTCCAACACCAATACTTGAGCAAAATGACCTGGTTGCTGAGTAGTTGATATTGTTGATCATCAATGATGATGATCGTAATATCGGTTTATATGATCGAAGAATGGATGTGTTCATCCTTCCTTTATGTAGTCAACTCAGTTATATCTATGTTGTGGCGCAATGGTATCTGTTTGAGCACTCGGACGAATGACAGTCGTCTGAAATTCGAGGGCGAGGGCTTGGGTCAAGAATTTGACACAGGGGGTGAGGACGTTCTCTTGAAGAAGGCTCACTTTCTTTGTCTGTTGTAGTTCACTAGATTCAGATATAACATCAACTCATACAACCCAATGGTATATGGTACATTGAGTTATCTTGGCAAACAGCTGAGGAATGGTAGTGTTAGTTCAGTCGACTTGATCAAACATTCATTGAATGCATTGGAAAAGACGAAACATCTAAATGCATTCATAACAGTGGATAATAATCAATCATTGTTGGATCAGGCACAGTTGTCTGACAAACAACAGCAGCAGTCGACATCAACATCGCGTCGCCCACTCGAGGGCATACCAATAGCAGTGAAGGATAACTTCTCGACAACAGGTCTAAAGACGACATGTGCCTCAAACATACTCGCAAACTATACACCATCGTTTGATGCGACGGTAGTGTCACTGCTCAAACAGGCAGGCGCTATTATCATCGGCAAGACAAATATGGACGAGTTTGCAATGGGCTCATCAACTACAAATGGGCACAGCGGTGCGTCTATCAATCCCTGGTCGACAACCACCACGGCCCCTCTTGTTGCTGGTGGATCGAGCGGTGGCAGCGCGGTGGCTGTCTCTTCACGCGTCGTCCCATGTGCCATTGGAAGCGACACTGGTGGCTCAGTTCGCCAACCCGCAGCATACTGCGGCGTTGTTGGATTCAAGCCGTCTTATGGAAGCATCTCACGATATGGCCTGGTGGCCTATGCAAGCTCATTCGATACACCAGGCTTCTTTGTTCACAGCGCTGACGACGCAGCACTGCTCCTCGATGTGTTGGTTCGCCGGGACCCGCGCGACTCGACCTCAATCAAGCATCCGACCGAGGGTGGCTTCGCGAAACACTTGGAGAAGACCCGCACGAGCGGGTTTGCTGGTCTGCGCTTTGGTATCCCAACCGACTACCTTGTCAGTGAGATGGATCCCGAGATCATTGCATTGTGGAGACAGACTGCAGAGTTGATAGAGTCCAATGGAGGACAGGTCGTCCCCGTCGAGCTGCCCAACACGCGCCATGCATTGCCCGCATACTACATCCTTGCCACATCAGAGGCCAGTTCCAACCTATCACGTTATGATGGAATACGATATGGAGGTGGCAGCGGCAACAACAGTGAACAACACGAGACAGCACAAACATTGAAACAACAATACATCGATACAAGAAGTGCAGGCTTTGGACCAGAGGCCACACGTCGCATCCTTCTGGGAACAATGTCATTGTCACGAGGCTCCTACGACAACTATTATACCAAGGCGCAGCAGATCAGACGACTGGTATCAGACGACTTTAAGCGTGCGTTTGAGGAGCAGCATGTGGATGTGCTGATCACGCCCACCACACCCTCTGGCTCTTTCGCCCTCAATCAGGACCTGGACCCGATCAATATGTACATAAACGATATCATGACGATCCCGGCCAATATGGCCGGCCTTCCAAGTGCATCGATCCCGCTCAAGCTGTCCAGCAAAGGTACGCCACTCTCACTCCAACTGATTGGCAATCATCAATGCGATCACCAAGTGTTGGAAGCAGTCGCCAAGGTGATGGAAATGAGTGCCTTCCAAGGATTCAGCAAACATACGCCCCACTTAATAAAGGAGTTGGGATTGTAGGACCATCAAGAATATATATTAAACAAAAAGGAGCCTTAGCTTTATAAAATTTTGATAGAATTATTCTAATCAAGGCTGGTTGGTTGGTTTAGAGACAGATTCCTCCAAGGAGACCACCAACACAACCGAGGACACCTCCGAGGAGACCGTTGAGGTTGAGGTTGACATCGACATCGACATTGATATCAATGTTTGGTCCACATGGGCTACAACCGCCACAGGCAACCGAGTTTGATCCCTGGATCGATGAACTGGACATTCCACCAGAAACTACGCTCTTGGACAAGGCACTGGTTGACACGCCACCCATGGAAGTAATTGATTCTATTATTATTATTCAATCAGAGTATTAGGATAGGTGTTGTATTGATCAATTGATGAATATCAGGTACTTACTCAGGAGAGTCATTTTAGAATTGTTATATTTTGATTGATTATAAATTGATTGATTTGATGATTAATTTCAATTTTAAGAGAGTCGTATTTATAATTGATCGATTGAATAAATATCCTTCTAAACCTTTCAAACCATTATTATAAGTCCAACTGAATTCAATTCCACTTCTTTCCTAATTAAGTTATCTTTGGACCAATTTGAGATAGGATTGTGTGTGACAGTGGTAAGTATAAAATACGATCCACATCATCAATTTAGGGGTGATATGATCAGAAGTTTGCCCAATCAACTCTACCACACTTATTTTACCAAACATCCCATTAAACCACTTGGGAATTAATTTATTGTGATTGGTTGATTGACAGTTAGTTGATCACTGAGAGATATCAATATCAATTAATGATGAATGAATGAAATAATTAGTTTTATTTCCCTTAGGGGATGGATTGATGGACCACATCCGTGCACATATCCACGGACAGATATCCTATTCTGAAATGATCAATACTGAATTGAACTTATCTAATGGTATCTAAAATGGCTCCACCAGGTCTTTGGATGTATTGATTGATGTGGATGTGGATGTGGATGTTAATGTGTGGGTGTGTGTTTGTGTTATGTGATTGATCTGGCAGAAATATTATGTCCTCTAGAAGATACTGATACTTTACCAAGAAGTGTAGGTATCTCCTTGCCGGGGTAACAAGAGTGTATTTACCTCCGATAAATGGTGGAACTGCCAATGGCTTATTCTTATCATTCTTTTGTCTTAGATTGCCCGAGACAATGTTGAAGTGTTGTGACATCTCACCCCAAGTACTTCCTTGTTGGAATATTCCAAGTGGATGATCATCATGATCATTATCTCCCTTATAAACTCGAACTATATATTATTTTTCCAAATTAGTACTGGAGTAGTTCCAGACATGATTGATGAGGAGTGAGTGAAAATACATACCTGTGCGCTGAGTGACAAAGAGGTCGGGAGGGTCTGGGATCTTTTGGTCCATCTTGATCTTGTGACCATTGATGTCCTTGAACTTTAATCGACCCAACTTCATGAATCCAAAGTGTTCATTGATGGTGATCACTAGGTCACGGTAATATTCACCAACTTCATAAGGTATCTTGGCAGTGAGATCCTTGCGATAGTGAACTCGGATTGTGTTTGGCGATGTTGATGTCCTCTTTCCACTACCGCTGTGTTGCTCTCTGCTCCTTTGGTCCCATGATGAAGAACCCTTTGCATCACGATCACCACTTTGTTGTTGTTGTGGCTGTTGATGTTGTTGGTCTCTTCCATAATTACCTGATGTTGGTGAATTTTGTAAAGGTTGTTGGTGTTGGTACTTGTCATACTGCTGACCTTGTTGGCCTTGCTGACCTTGTTGTGGCTGCTGTTGCTGATGGTCTGGTTGATAATGTTGTTGTTGTTGAGGTGGTTGAGGTGGAGTATGTTGAGGAGGTTGGAATTGTTGTGGCTCCATGTTTAATTATTTGTTTGATTCAAAGAGGAATATGTTGAATAAGTATGATTGATTGAATGATTGATTGAGTGGATGATGGACCATTGTCCTCCTCATTGTTGTTATCCTAATGTCCAAAAGGGGTGGTCATGGATGACAGGGCCTACATAAGAGGGTCCACACCCAAAAACACAAAAGTGCGTCACCTGCCATATAAGGCAATGATGTAACAGTGTGCGTACCACAATGCCTTAAGTGTGTCTGTTCAATAATTGACCGATGACCAGGTCCTAATCCCTAAATCCGAATATGAGACTGATTGGTTATGGTTATGGTATAAGTCATGAATGGGATGTTGGTGTCAGCTAGTCATTGTCAGCCCATTCACCAAAACAACTTGTTCTTTACTCGATGCGGATGGACATGTCCGTCCAAAGTGTCTGCGAGGAGGAGCCCAATGGGAACAGTGTCCATGATGATCTGAACCTCATGGTGATGGTCCCAATGCCATTTCTTGTACATGTCTATTATCCACTGCGGAGTACTCACAGCTCTACATCCTTCTTCCTAAAGTTCTTGCTCTTGATATCTTGTCTCAATGGTTTGATTGCAAACTGGACCTTGGGTACAGTGTATGATACAGTGTCTCCGACGACCTCCTTCTTGAGTCCAATGTTGATCTTGATTGGTTGAGCAGCAGCAGGAGCAGCAACAGGCTGGTCATCAGCTCCAACAGATTTGTTACCATGAGAGAATGCTATCCTCTTGGTCATGTCAACGGTCTCCTCATCTGAACTGCCATATTGCTCTTCGTCTGAGTGATGATAGCGATCGTTGTCATACGCGTCACCATCCCCATTGCCATTATCCGCTTGTTCTTCGTTCCTGTCCGATCCAAACATACTCTGTGAACTATGCACGGACACCCAACCACCAATGCCTGTTGACTCGTTTGTCTTGCTCTCGTGAATGGACGTCTCATCATCATCATCGTGTGTGCCAGACACCTTCTCCGCACTCACTTCATCGTCTTCATCAATCTCTCCACGTTGCTTGCGTTCATTATACTCGGCTCTCTTTCTCTCGATGATCTTCCTCTCCTCCTCAGTCAGACCATCACCTTGATCATCGTTTTCCACCTGAGCACTCTTCAGTATCTCTTGTATCTTTTGTTGATGTAATTGTTTGTTCATCATTATCTGTTGTTGTTTGAGTGCCTTTGCCTCGGCGTCTGTGTTGTTGTTGTTGTTGTTGTTGTGTGTTTGCTTGGTCTGTGACTTCTTGTTCGTTGATGCTACTGGTGCTGCTGTTATTGTTGATATTGCTGTTGTTGGTGATACTGATTGATCAGCTGTTGGTGCTGCTGCTGTTGGTGGTGCAATACCATAATAGTAATAGTTATAATAGTTATAATAATATTGTTGATAAGCAATGTTGTACTCCTCCATCGTGCTAAATTGTTGTGGATAAGGCATTACAAGTTGTTGTTGTTGGTGTTGTTGATCCCCAGCTGCATCAGTAGCAGTATGATCATAATGTTGTTGATTGATATCCTTCTCTTTATATGCTGCTAGACCTGCTTGTTTGAGATTCTCAATCTCCTTAAGATGATCACGCTTCTCCTTTTCCTCATTGGCCTTCTCACGCTTCTGTGTCTGTAATACATTTCTAACATTGTTCTTATGAAACCATCCTGTCTCATGTGTCTTTATACTCTGTTATCATTAAGTCATTTGTTAGTCATCGTCATCGTCATCAATCAATCAATCAATCATTGAGAACATACCGATTGGTTTGGGAATATGAATGTCTGGCAATACTTGCACCAATGTCTGTTGTTGTTGGTTGCACTATCTTTGTCTTTGCCCTTTCCTTTGTTCATCTCTGTATATGCTATGCTTGTGCAGTTGTATCTGTTTCGCGAAACCAAGATCGAATGAATGAACCCGCACGAATGAGTAAACTTTGGGTCAGATGAGCTTGACGAATTTTCGAGACTTCACGTGCCTTTTGAAGATTGATCAATCAATCAAAGTTGATTGTGCGCTCCAACACCTTCTTTGGCTTGGCCTTGGGCTTCGACACCTTTGTCTTTGGTTTGAAAGTGATTGGATCTTGCTTGGATGATGAACAGTTCGTCTCCTCCTTGTAGTTCTGTCCAGGATCATTCTCAACAACTTGGTATGGTGGAGTAGTCGATGTTGTCGATGTTATCGATGTTGTGGAAGTTGTTGAAGGACTAATCGTGGACAACTCAGCAAAGGCTTGTTCAAATGTGATCGTGTTGCTTGTGACTGATTGTATGAGTTGTTGTTTCTTCTTTTCGTTGACGATATAGTCGTTGAAGGTTGATGGCTGGTCCTCTGCCATGTGCAGATCACCTTGCCGCCTCATTAATGATTGAACATCCTCAATATCCTCATACTGATTATCATACTGTGATATCAACTCCTCATCACTCTTGCCCTCCAACTTCCTTATCTTGTCAACCAATGTCTTGCTGTCCATCACAGTCCTTGAGGTTGGGATCACATCTTCGTCTCCATCACCATGTCTGTTGAGTATCATTGTGAGCTCATCATTGGTTGCCAAGTGAGTGTGATCGGTGAGATACTCCAACATCGTGCTGCCCAGCAGTCCTTCACTTGTGCTCAGATTGAACTTGATACCATCGATCTTGTTGAATATTGATTGAACATGAGTGGCTGAGTGAGCCACGAGTACAATCGACTCGCCACCATAACATTTAATACATGAGGGCACTGCTGTCAATCGTTCAAAGAACACCGACAGTGAGTTGGCATTGAGTAGGCGTCTGATGTATGCTCTTGGCTTGCCCCTCGCATCAGACAGTTGAGCATTGAGTCGTATGTCCTCAAAATCGAGCGGGGCGATCGTAGGCTGTGCGGCACACGTCTGACAAAGTTGAATGACACGCCACAAGTTGTAACTTGCCAACAAGTCATGAGATAATATCTTCTCGATTGATACACATAGACGATCAACTCCAAAGCTATCAGAGTATAGTGTTGTCGTTGATTGAGGATTGTCACCTTCACGTATAAGTGTATATATTATATGTTGTAAAGATATCCTCAAGTCTTCCAACAAGTTATTGCGTATCATCTCCAATCTCTGTTGTTCAGCTTGCTCCGTCATTGTTTGTTGTGTCAACAATGGCCACTCCACATTGTTCTCCTCCACTACTTTATCATCCATCATTCCTTATCTCTATCTATAGATCTTTGTAATTATCTCTTTGTAAACACTTATGGGATATGAATCTTGAGATTCTTGGAAAGACACCAAGTGTCCCATAAACTCAAGCCTAAATTGACTTTCACTTTCATTCTACATTCAATCAAACAGATAGAATACAAAGAGATAAAGAGATATGGGAGTACCAAAGTTATGGGACTTGGTACAGTCGACAGGTACTTATGTGGAGTTGGATGAACTGCAGGGTCAGACACTGGCCATTGATGCATCAATCTGGTTGCACTCATTCGTCAATGCATTTCGTGATGGTCGAGGTGATCCCGATCCAAACGCTCATATACTAGGCTTCTTCTGGAGGATATGTAAGCTACTACAACATCGAATCAAGCCTGTACTAGTATTCGATGGTGAAGCACCCTATCTAAAGATGAGAACTATTGTAAGATTGATTGATAGATTGAATGAATGATTGACCATCACTCACTTGTCGCTCATTCCCCAACACACAGGAAGAGAGAAGAAAGAGAAGAGAGAATAATGAGGCATTGATTGAGAAGAATCAAAGGAAGATGTTGTTGTTGAATACTCTAAAGGCACAGTTGGCCAAGGCTAATGGTAATCAGGATCTGGCCAGTAAGGATTTGGACAGTTTGGTCGATGACTTGGACTTTGACTATGACTTTGATGACAACAATGAAGTGGACAGTGATCTTGAGATTGTTGATGACACTATCATCCCAGCATCCAACTCAATCAATCAACCAGTTGATGTTGATCAACTTGATGACAACAATAACAATAACAACAACAATAATAATAACACTACTCAAACATCTGATAACTTGGACGATGATGACGACGATATTGGTGATTACATTGGTGGCATTGATGATGGACAGTTCATTCATACATTCGAACCTGAGGAGATTGACAAAGAAGTGTTCAGTCAGTTGCCCCAGGACATCCAACTAGAGGTGCTAAGTCAAATGAAGCAGGAGAAGAAGGTACAAGATAGTCTATCCATACTCACTCCTCCAAAGGTATGCATGGCTTGGACATCCAACTCAATCAATCATTCGATCACTCACTCACTCGATCAATCAATGATATAGACACCGATAGACTTTTCCAAACATCAGATTGGAAGCATATTACAAAAGGGTAGACTCACAAGGAAGATCTCGGAAGTCAAGGACAACATGGAGCCAGAGATGAAGTACATGAATCCAGATGGCGAGACGATCTTTATACTTCACAAGAGCAACACTGCTCCATCATTGGCCTATGGATCATCTTCATCCACATCCACATCTTCATCCACACCTTCAGCAACATCATCTACATTGAAGACCAAGGCAATGACACTGAGTGACAAGCTAGCATTGGGCACACCAATCCGAAGTCAACAGAAGCCAAAGAGACAGCAGGACGATATGTACAAACAACAACAACTGAATGTTAATAGTGCCAGCAGCAGCACTCAGTCCTCTCCATTGTCAGCCAAGCTGAGTAGTAACTTTGAGCTGCTGATCAATCGAAAGATCAGCTCATTGACTCCGTCAAAGACATTGGACAATGTTGTTGGAGATCGAGATCAGCCTGTTTTTGCACGTAGTAACACTGCCAGGAACCTTATCAATGACCTTGTACAAGCCAAGAACACTAGCAACATTGATTCAGCTACATCAACTCCAAACAAGACACCAACAAAGACTCCAACAACATCAAAGTCATTCACAAACGACTTCTCAATGTATGACGATGATGCCTTTAACTTTGATCAGCCATTCGATGATGACTACTTTGATGAAGGTCCGACAACATCAACGACATCTACCGCAACAACAACTACTACGACAACGGCAACATCACAAACGAACACTTCATCACAATCAATGTCATCAAAGAACATGGGAAAGGACACATTCACAGCTGCCAGCCTGGTTTCTCGAGACAAACCATTGGCATTCAAAATAGTTGGTGGTGGAGACAGCACAAGTGGCAAAGAGGCCAACAAGGTAAATCATCCAATTGACCTATCCGATGATGACAATGATGGACCAGCGGTGAGCATCAGCTCACCTGAGATTGATTCCAGTCCACAACAACAACAACCGCAAGATGTTGATATTGTTGTTGACAACAATGACAATCAACAATCACAACTATCTCAATCTCAATCGCAACAACAACAACATCAGCAGCAAGATCACCAATTCAAAAAGCCCAAGAGCAAATTTGATAATGTTGATATATTCGACCTTGATGGGCCAGATGTGGCACAGGATCAACAGAAGAACGACGATGCCATCACCATCAATGATCAGGAGGACGATAAGGACATCATTGTGGAGATTGCTCATGATGATGACCAGACATACGATGGACAAGCTGTCGGTGACGATCACATTGATGAACATCCATTCACTCACACTGGCAATGACAATCACAATGGTGACAACGCCACTGCCACCAGTGCTGGCCCATCCAATGGTTTCCATCAAGGTGCCAGATTCAACTATCTGGAATTGAGAGACTTGGACAAAGAGAGAGAAGAGAATGAGGATCCAAAGTCAACGCAATCAAGCTCAAAGAACAAGTTGATATTTGAGTACTTCAACTCGAACGAACGTGATAGATTGGACAAAGAGCTGGAGTTGGAAAAGACTGCAACAATGAACGTCATCTCGCAAAAGGTCAGAAGCTTCCAATCAATCGATGATGAGATGCTTCGTCAATGCCATGACCTGCTCACACTCTTTGGCATCCCATTCATCACGGCACCCACCGAGGCAGAGGCACAATGTGCCGAGCTCTTTAGATTGGGCCTTGTTGACGGTGTTGTCACAGAGGACAGTGATATCATGCTATTTGGTGACGCCAAGCTGGTGGTCTACCGTCACTTGTTCCATCGTCCCGAGCGATACATCCTGTCGGACATTGTGGTCAAGGTTGGACTGAACAGAGAGGACATGATCAACTTGGCACTGCTACTTGGATGTGACTACACTGTTGGAATCAAGGGTATTGGCATAGTCAATGCGATGGAGATCATCAGCGAGTTCAATGACCTGGTAGAGTTCAAGACCTTCATGAAGAGTGCTGCCAAGTCAGACGCTGCTGCAGCCAAACAGATGAATGAACGATCCCATCTGAAGGGCCTTGTCAAGAATGTATTGCTACCGGAGAGCTTCCCTTCTGACTTGGTAAAGTCCGCGTTCTATAGTCCTGATGTCAACTCATCTGACGAGCCATTCTCATGGGCAAACCCTGATTGGGAGTCACTGCGTCGAATGGCTGTGGACAAGTTTGGATGGGAGAGGTTCAAGGCTGAGAACCTTCTACAACCAATCATGAGGATTGTAAATCAACATGACACCACCGCCACACAACCAAGTGGCAGGGCCAACAACAATCCAGCATCTTCACTTCCATCAAAGCTCAAGAGCAAGAGACTGGCACAGGCCATAGAGAGGATAATCAAGAAGAAAAACAAACAAGATGGTGATGATGGCGATGGCGAAGGTGAGGTTGAAGGTGATGCGCCACAGGATGAGGATATGGACAATGCGCCAGTTGACATGGATGATGGTGGATGTGATAGTGTCAAGACAAAGAACAAGAGCAGCAAGAAGAAGAAGAAGAGCAAGACTACACCCAAGCCAATCCCAAAGGCAACAGCCAAGCCAAGCGCAAGCAAGAAGACAAAGTCACCAAAGAGACCCAAGGAAGACAGTGATGTTGAAGAGGAAGAGGTGGAAGAGGAAGAGGATGATGAACATGATGAAGACGAAGACGAAGAGGGATACAAGGACTGGGTATCAACTGGCGACGAAGGATCAGATATGGAGGAGCCTGATAGTGAGGATGAGAAACAACTTGTGGACACGAGCAAGGTAGTGCCAAGGAGAAGAAAGACAACAATCACACCGCCCAAGAAGACAGCCAGACGTAAATGATTAAAAGGACTTGATTCCTAACTTGTACACATGAATTATTATTATTTGTATATATATTATTTATTATATTATATTATATTACAACTCGAATGGATCGTGGGATTACTTCACAGAGGAATGGTGTGGCACCCTTGAGCTCTCCATCAATGTCGATGATTTCCTCCTCGATCTGATCCTCAAGCTCGGCAAGGATGGTGTTACACTCAGTCTTTAGAATCTCCAGTGGCGAACCGGCCTCGCTGCCCTCCTTCTTGGCCAACGCCCTCAGTCTCTTCTTCTCCTTGTGCAGACGCTTCTTCCTCTCCTTGTCCTTCTTGAATGGAGTGATGCTGAACCTCTTGACCTGCTTGTAGATGACGTAGTCGAGCTCAGTGTGCGTTCCGTCGTACACCTTGGCAAACACGTTCATCAGGTCCAGTGCCTTGGTCGACTTGATAAGGATGAGATCAAACAGTCCGTCGTTCAGCTTGGCCTTGGGTGCCATCTTCATGCCCTTGGCAGCTCCTTGGATGTTGTTGATGATTGCCAGACAGAACTCGTCCTCAATGGCAGAGCTCTCTCCGTTGGCATCCTCATACTCGATACGCGCCAGAATCTTCTCGCCCTTGAACAACTCGATGACGGCGGCGGTGGTGTAACGGACGGCCTTGCCCATCCAACGCATCTTCTCGGCAGTGATGTTGACCTTGGAGCCCAAGCCCCAATGCAGTGAGTTGAAACTATAGTATACCTCGGCTTCGCTCGACTCGGCGGCAAAGTCCATGAGTGCGTCGGGACGTACGGCCTTCAGATTGTGATATGATCTCCTCTTGGCATCCAAGGACTCGGACAACTGTGTAGAGTTAAGGTCAATGTTGGCCAAAGTACTCTTTAGACTTCTGTACTCGGCCTTCTTCTTGTTGAGGTCTTGAGTGAGTGTGTCTTTCTTAATGCAGGTGACCTTGGCGACGTCGACGGGGACGGTGAGACCGTTCAGAATTCTCTCGCAGATGTGCTTGATACTCAGAGTACCTTGCAGCTCCATGACGAATGAGTTTCCAGTGCCCGCCGGCAGACATGCCATGACAAACTTCTCACGTGTCTGTGGATCTCGCTTCATGATTCCGTTGACAGCCTCATGTATAGTTCCGTCTCCTCCAACCAAACAGACTGCATCTATGCTTGTAATATCCATATTCCTACACAAATCCTCAGCGTGTCCTTTATATTCGGTTGGTATAATTTGAACCTGATGTGTAGTAATGGATGTTAGTATAATGTTGTTGTGCAACAGAAGATGTAAATGTGTTGTAATAACTTACATTCAGTCCATGTACCTCAAAGTAGTTCCTTGCCTCATTCATGATCTTCTCTCCAATCTTGGAGCCAGAGAATGGGTTATATATAATGGCGACGTTCTGGATTTGGATCCGGGTGACGCGGGATGGCTCTAGGAACGATGGATGTGAAAGCAGAGAGTTGTCAGAGAACTCTCCGCCGTCGGCGGCGAAGCTCTCCTTGTCCTTGTCCATCTGCTCTGACCACATGCGCTGTGGCATTGGTGTGGTGTTGGCGCCCTCGTGTATAGTCTGTATGCGCTCCTCCTCAATCTTGAGGGTGGTGGTACTGAAAGTGGTCATCGTTGATGACGACTGCTCTCTGGTGATGGTCTGTGAAGCTCTGTATGACTGTTGGTTGCCTGCAGAACGCTTCTCCAACTTGGCAGCGGCTTTTGCCTTGACTCTCTCTGGGTCCAGGCGCTTCTTATCCTTCATAAAGATGTTGAGAAACTTGGTAGCTACGACTGACATTTTGTTGTTGTTGTATATATGTTGTTGTTGTTTGATGTGCTATAAGCTTTAAGGGAGTATATATTAGACTACAACTGTTACTGAATGACTGTGGCAAGCTCGTGATCCACAACTATTGATTACAAAATACAAGATTGATTGTATTGTAAATGTGTGTATGATATTATCTGTATGTATATTTATATATGTGTGTGTAATAATTATAATGATATTATATTAACTTTGAGCTTGAAGCTGTAGTGTAGTGTAGTGCACAACCTTTGGTGAAGAGATTATGAGAATGGAAAACTATTGTGTTTAAAGCAACGAAAACTTTGGCTTGTCAAGAGACAGCTTGTGTGTGTATGGGGTGAGTGTGTATGTAGAATGTGTGTGGTTGTCGGGTATGTGTGTATGTGTCAATGTCGTCCTATCTCTTTATCTCTATCTCTCTCTCTCTAAAACTTATATCTACATGAATATGTGTAGAAATGCACGCGCGTGTGTATAAACAAACAGTAGTGGTGTTGGTTGAGAGAGTGGACCGAGCAAGGAGCAAGGCAGTGTCAGTGTCCGACTGTGAATTGAATTGAACGCTCGCGTGTGTTGGGGAGAGATATTGAAGTGCACTTCGCTCAGCGTCGAATCTAGAAGAGTGAGTGAGTGTAGGTCAACAACAACAAACAAAATAAAATTAAATATTGTTGTGTGTGTTGGGGAAACACAGAGAGATACGTGTCCTAATGCGGAGAACACCCATAGTGGGGGTGGACGTGGTGACTTGTGGTGAAGTGGCGGGACTGCTCCATTGTGAGGGTAGGGGTGTTCGGGAATGTCACAAATAGGGCGTCGTTCGTGGATCTTGACTCCATGGAGTCATAATGCACAGTGGTGCGTACGAATGAATGGGTATATATTATTACACATACCTATGTATAAATAAGGAAGTATTAAGATCTTGGAAATACTTCTAGGCTCTGTACCTCTGTGACTATGACTATTTATATTTATAATTATTTATATATATATTAAATAGAATTATTATTGTCTAGATGGGGATAAATAATTGTTGGGTTGCTTGCGTGGTTAAAGTTCAAAGATGGGTGTGATCTTGATCTTTCGAGTCGGTCTGTGCTGTCTTGGGAAACAAAGAGTTGATATACTTCTGTGTTTTTTGGAATAAATAGTCGATGTTTGAATCTGAACTGTTTAGTTATCTAATATATAAATATTATTATTATTATCGATTGATTCAATGTATATGATTGTGATGAGGTGTTGACAGTCGTAATAATAATGTTGAACGGTAGTATGTTGGAGGTGATGGTCTATGTATCATGAAACAATGCGATGCTGTATGAACAATGAACAAACAATTGAAGGGTTGTTGTTTGATTTGATTAAATTAAAGGAATGGAATGGTATATATCAATCACTTCTAATGAATACGATATATATTTTTGTTTATAAATAATAATAGTTTAGTTATAACAACTCTTGTTGTTGATTTGTTATTTGTGTTTATGTGTATGTGATTGATGGGTATGGATTGGGATTTATGTTAAAAGAGTAGAACTGGAGATGTTGCCAACAAGGATATCATTATGTGTCTGGTGCTAACAGAGACAAGACCGTGCTTCGATGGATTAACCCCCGCGACCCTGCCCAGAACTAATCACTCACTGCTTCAAACACACAAACAATACATACACCATTCTCATACACATTGAGCGTCACCTCGACATCACCAAACAGAACAGAACACCCAACTAAACACTCACTATCACTATCCCATCAACACACCAGAGGGGGGTGGTTGTCGACAAAATCACGCCAATGAGGACATGATGTTGAGTTCGTGAACTGCTTCCACATCATGGTACCCCATGGCACAATTGTGATTCGATTGTCTTCCAAAAACAGAAAGAGAATGCTTTCCAAAGTTATATTTTTTGCCACTAACGCGCGCTCAAAACATCAGGCGCCATTCCCTCGAGTTGTTGCGTTTGCCCTGGTACAACGAACCAAAGCAACGATTTAATTTGTTGCGTCGGATGGATTGAATGGTGGGTGATGGTGGTGATGGGAGCGATCATGATGTCCCGGGCGGTGTTGGTGTCCATCGATCACCTTAATTACTTAGTAACACCACAATTAATTGTGTGGAGAATGGTCTTTGTCCAATCGACAGGTGCATGCTCTTGAGTTGCGACGTAAACCTCACCTCATTACACGAGTTCCAACGCCACTTTAACTTGACCAACCATTGCAATGGAGTAACGTGGTGCGGTCCATTCATTCTTTCTTCTTTGCTATGGACCTGGTGGTGGTGGCACGGAGAAGGTCCCCTCCAAAATTGGAAAGTTTGTTGTGTGCTGTTGTTTGGTTGGTTGGATTGATGGACGGACATTCCAATGTTCTTGCGAAGTTCTCTAACCTTAAGGAGTGGATGTTTCGTCGCTTCCCACCTTAGACTTGGCGGCTATCCTTTCCCTCAGTCGTCTGAGTACGTCATTCTCCTTTTCTTTAAAGCTCTGTGATGTTGTTGTTGGTGTATTTGTTGAGGTATTATTCGTTGGAGTTGTTGTTGGCTCTGTGATATTTGTGATGTTCTGAAGAACATCCTCATTGTTGTTCTCCGTGCCAGAGGGGACGTGGGATGGTGGCGATGAGGCGGTGGTGGCTCGCTCGACCTTCAGCTTGAACTTGCTCTTGATCTCTTTGCTTTGTCCGATGATGCTGTCCACTGTCTTGTTTGAGGTGAAGTACACGATGGCATTACACTTTCTTCGTCTTTTCTCACCACATTCATCGTCTTCCAGAATAACGATCGAGTCGACTTGTCCATAAGATGAGAATACATCAGTCAGACCATCCTCTCCATACTTTAGCTTGCTTCTCCATCTAACAAGCACTACACTCTTTGTGTCAATTGTTGAACTGCTGCTCTCTGTACGCGACTGTTGTTGTTGTTGCGCGGCTCCGAATCCTGACGCTTCAAATCTTGACGAGACGGTCGGACTTCCACTGGACATTGATCGCAAGACTTCATCACGGTACTTATCTCTATCACGTTGCTTCTCATCCAACTCGCGTTGTTTCTTTCTGCGGATCTCTTCCTCTCGTGTGTTTAGGTCGTCCTTCATCTTCTTCCTCTTCCTGTCCATCTCGTCATCCTTGCGCTTCTTCTCTCGCTTGGCCTTGATCTGAGCGTCAAACAGTGCTCTCTTCTCCTTATCATTGAGTATCTTCTTGGCCTCTGATATCTTCTCAAACATGACCCTGGCCTCTGCACTCTTGTTCTTGTCCGGATGCCATTTCACCGACAACACCCTGTACGCTCTCTGTATCTGTTTCTCTGTGGCATCATGCTCCAACTCCAACACAGAGTACCAATCTTCGAATATCTCCTCTTTTGACATGTCTAGTCTATATGTATATATATTATAAGTTGAACAATTAATTATAAGTTGAAGATGAACACACTCACTCGCGGCAACACCTTGATGCGCCAACCTTGACAAGAAAATTCAACAATGGCAATGAGCGCAGACATCATGAACCAATGATTGTGTCCAAGTACTTGAACGATGTCAACAAGTACTTGATTGATTGTTACACTCGTGTACCTTTCCGACGTAATCACAAACTCCTCTCCCCAAGTATCCTCGTCGAGGGGGAGTGAGCTGTGTTGGTTGTTGTTGTTGTTTATTTACAATGCTTGGTTGTAATACTGTACTGGCGTATATGACTTAATTAATTTATCCCTCCACTCACTCAATTAATGAATGAATGAAGAGGTGTTGACATGGCATGATGGCCTTGGTTGTGAGGGGGAGGGGAGGGGAGGGGAGAAGGGAGGGATGCTGGGTTGTTGTGTGCCAAGTCAATGACATACATGATCGTGTGATTTGATAGATAATGGTCCAATCAATCCTACATGCATGAAAGTTAACCTGCGGCCCGTGATCCTGGGCGCCGCCGCTGCGTTGTCTGTCTTTGTATGTTGTGTCTGTGTTGTTGTTAAATGATTGTTTGAAGCTGACGCTCAACCTTGATGATGAGCGAGGCGGAGATAAGCTGGTGAATATGTCGGATTGGGAAGGAGGACGGTGCATTGGGCGGATGTGATGTAAATCAATCCATCTCAAAGATGTCTTCCTCGGTCGTTGGTTTGGGCTTTTGCTGCTGAGTGGTCGAGCTGGCAGCAGGGGTGGTGGAGGAGGATGGGGCAGCGGTGGCGCCGGCGGGGACGGTGACGGCGGGTGGCTGCGACTTCATGTTGGGTGACTTTGACACCTTGGACCTGTTCATCTGTTCGATCATGTTCAGGACCTGAGGAGGGGGTGTCTTTGAGAGAGGAGAGTTACGGATGTGCAGCAGGGTGTTGCGATCGTAGACTTTCTTCGTGCCGCCTGGTGTCGTGCCGTAGATGGTGCCTCCGACTGACGTGGAGAAGTCGATCATGTCATGACGGGCAATCTCCTTCTGTGAGAAAGGAATGGCCTTTGTTGTTGAGGACGATGACGACGACGTCGATGATGGTGATGGTGTTGAAGACATTCTTTCTGTAGTTCCTCAAAGTTGTATTATACTACTTCTCTCTTAATTGATTGATGATCGTATATTACTACTAAATAATACAACTAACTATATATTGTTACGTATGAGTCGATGTATGTATGTATGTATGTATGTATGAGTAACCATGTTTCTTCATTCATTCATGAGTCCTTGTCCTAGGACATCAATGATCATCAATCGTTGTTTGCTTGCTTGCTTGCTTACATGTATTGGGTAGGTGGGGGATCTACAAGAGTTATAGGGTCCTAACAAACAACAAGACAGGTATCTCTCTCTCTAAACTGTGCTGTGTATATCACTACTTCTTCTTCTTCTTCTTAAGTTAAGATTGATAGACTTGACTTAAGTAGACAGAGAGGCTAGCTAGCTAGTGAGTACTGAATTACAGGTGAGGGTAGGTAAAGAGTTGATGCTGTGTGTGTGTACGTGAGTGAGTGAGTTGCTCCTGAACCAAACAAACCCCTCCAACAGTAATTTCAAACATTTTGTTTGCTCTTCTCGTATTCATCAAAGAGGTTTGTGTTGTTGAATTAAAAAAAAAAACAAAACAATTCGTAGTTCAGTCATTCAATCATTTATTCATTCATGTTTGTGAACAAGTACAACATACAAATAATTATAGTTGATACGCTAACTACAATAATAAAACAATAACATCATCAATCATTGAACAATTCTAATCTTACTTATATCTATCTATTCCCCAATCACTCACTCACTCAATCAATCAATCTCTCGTACTTAATGGTATGACTGACACCACTCACTCCGATCAATCATTGATTGAGAGGTAAGTTTATTTATTCCTGTTTGGAGATGATCAACTCCACAAACTTGATAGTACCGTCAAGTTTCTGATAATCGTGCGTTCCATAGAAGTTTGGATCATAAGGATCTTGACAACTGGAGATGTTGAGCTTCATCTCTGTGATGTTGATGATCTTATGAGTCTTGGTGAATCCAGTCTTTGGTTCACCAATCCTATCCTGGTATGCAGCCTTGGTCGCAAAATCTGCATAAGGTGGAAGTGGGATCACATCTTGGACGGCATCAATCTCAAATGTTGGCTCCCATTCCTCGGTGATTGGGCCCATAAGTTGTGATCTTTGAATGATTGATTGATTGATTGTAAGTAAATACATACCAGTAACATACTCTGGATCAACATCAAACTGATACCAATAACTGTTCAACTGTCGATAGATGAACACCATGATGAACATTGACTGGAAGTATGGCTTGAGGACGTGCTTGGTGTACTTGGGCTCACGACAGAAGTTGGACTACTCCTTGGTCTTGTGACGGAGTGAGGTGAGTGCCATTCGGATCTGGGTCTTGGTTTTCTCAGAACCAACACCATCTTCAGCCAACTGTCTCTTCAAAAGTGAGATGGGTTCCTGGAGATCATCCAACTCGCTGACCAAGCACTCAAAGAGTGCATTGACCAGTTTCTTCCAGATATTGGCTTCAGTCTCCTCAATCTTCTTGTCAATGATTGTGATCATCTCATTCTTGAGTGTGTCGATGGCCGCTTGCAACTCCTTCCTGGTCACAAGTTCCTTGTTTGGGTCCTTTGGCCAGAACATCGAGAAGGAAAAAGCCAACAATGGTCCAATACCTGGAACACACTCACTTTACATATGATTGATTGATTAATTAATTGGAATATATGAGAATATTTAATTGATTGATTGGATACATACAGTGCAGTTGAAATACATTCACCAACAAACTCCTTGTCTTTGAGCTTGTCGGATATTACTTGAATTGGATCTTAGTAGAACTCAATGATAAACTCAATGTTAATGAGTGCGAAAGGATCAGCCATGACTTTTTCCTTCATCTCACCCTCCTTCTCCTTCGCCATATTCTTCATCACCTTGGAGAATGATTTAAATTTATCTTTAGCTATTGTTTAGTTTATCTAAATATAAATATATATTATTACTTTAACTTATTTGAAAGAATATTTGTATATTTTGGTTGGATAAACTAGTTGATGTGTAGCAAGGACATCCGAAATAATATCATATTTGTTTTAATGTTATTATTATTTGTATTTTGTCCATCACTAAAAGGTGGACCCAAATTGTAGTTTGGACCCAGCAACTTCAAATATTTTGTAGGATGACCAATCTATTTAGTAAAATGGTATCTTTGTCTTGTTTTGATCAGATCATCACTTATCATTGTTTCTTGACCAACAATTCATTGTACCCATTCAATCACTCTATTCCATTTGGCACAGATACAGACAACGAATATCTTGAGGTGAATTGAGTGTTTGATCTGGTCCAGCGACGGCAATCACCTAATAACCATTCTGTTACCGAAGTACTTCATCATAATATGTGAACGGCTGGGCCAACATCGACGGGAACACAACGGTGTCCACATCTGTGTAGGCGCCAAGACACAGCCAAACCAACAAATCGATGGCTCCGACACTCATTCACCTTGTGGTGAGTACCACAGTGAGGTTAACCACAACCACAACTACTGTACCTACCACCGCAGTTGCCTTGAGGCAAAAGTGTCCACTCAATCGACCACCATGTCCAGTACAAGTAGCCTGCCTCACAAACAACAACCGTGATAATATCAGCAACAACAATAAATCACCATCGTGCATCTGACTGGTATATATGGATAGGGCATGTGTTACTCTATCAATCAATCAATCAATCAATCAAACTCAGTCACCTCCAAGAGAGACGGCTACCACAACGGACGAATGGAATCAATCAAACATGTTTGAGAAGTATGGAATGATTCCTTTATTCCGGTTTGGAGATGATCAACTCGACAAACTTGACAGTTCCACTAAGGAAACGGACATTGTATGTCGGGTCCTTAGGAGAATAAGACGAGTCGATGTTTGGGCTCAGCTGGGTGACGTTGATGAACTTGTGACTCTTGGTGAATCCAGCCTTTGGTTGACCGATCCTACGCTGGTATGCCTCCTTGTCCGCAAAATTGTAGTAAACGGGTAGATCCATAGCATCTAGGACAGCCTCAATCTCAAAGATTGGGTTCCAATCCTCTGCGTTGGTACCCTGATGACGAGCAGGTCTCTCATTATCCTTCAGTTCACAGGTTAAGGACATATTACAACCATCCGCATTGACGTATTGACCAAAGATATGGATTTGGACACAGGACTTCTTTGCCAACTTGATCACGAGGTTCGCACCATGGCAAAGAGGGATAACACGAAACTTGGTCAGAGGGTCCTCATCTTGGGTATGCCTGGTTCTGACTTAATCTTGTCCTTGAGCTCCTCAGAACCATTCTCCTGAGCTCGGTCTTGGTTTTCTCAGAACCAACGCCATCTTCAGCCAGTTGTCTCTTCAGCAGTGACCATGCGGATACCCAAAGATTGTAAAATGACCGTACTAGTATTTATTTTTATTAATAAGAAAACGAGGATTGGTTTGACCAATTGTTAATGTTGGTGTATTTTTAATGGAATGTTTTAAAAGGAGTGATGGTCCTTGACGAGTCATGAAGCCTAGTTGGCCTTCCATCCAACCTTGGTGCTGGTTGAATAGGTTGGGTAATTGGTCTTGTTGAGATCGAAGCATTGCTCTCCCTCACCCTCCGCAGTCTTGGTGAACTGATTGCCACCGGCAGCAATAGTTGGGGAAACATTGGCCTTCTCGTAGTACTTGGCCTTGACACAATAACTTCCAGGTGAGATATTCTTGAAGATAGCATTTCCAGTACTCTTGGTTGCGGCTGCACTGACACTATCGACAACTTCGCCACTAGCATCGATTAGATCATAGGCGACACGGAACCAGTTTTCTTGCTCACCCGAGTCCCTTATACCATTCTGTAGTGTTGTTGGATATAAATAAATAGGTTAATCAATGACTCTTGTGGTCTTGGTCAATGAGATGAGGGTGAGTGCAATACATACTCCGTTGGGATCTCCAAAAGCGTTGATATTAATCTGGAAGGTCTTGATTGGGGCATATCCAACCATGGTATTGAAGCGGTTCTGAGTATCAACAGTGTCCTTGTTGAGCTCGAAGCATTGTTCACCAGTCCTCTCTCCAGTCTTGGTGAACTTGTTGTCCTTTGCAACAACGGACGAGATATCATACCCATCCTCAGGGTAGTCAACCTTGAGGCAATAGCTACCTGGTTCAAGACCCTTGAAGATAAAGGCACCCGTGCTCTTTGTATCAGTGGTCGTGATTGTCTTGATAACTGCGCCATCTTTCAGTAGGTTCATGTTGTAGCGGAAGAATGCTCCCTCTCCGGTATCCTTAATTCCATTCTATAAAGTGTGAGGTAATGAGACAGTGAGTGAGTATTCGATCAATCGCTCACTTGCATGGAGTTGTTAATTGTATAACATACGTCGTTCTTGTCATTGAAGGCTGAACCAGAGATTTCATAGGTGGTGGATCCGACCCATCCCATCTTGGTGACAAACTCCTTGTTAGCGTTGACCGCGCCATCGTTGAGCTCGAAGCACTGCTCTCCCTTGGAATCACCAGTCTTGGTGAACTTGTTGTCCTTGATGACGTCGGTGATGTTGTAGCCACCCTCAGGGTAGTCGACCTTGAGGCAGTAGCTTCCAGGTGGAACCTTCTTGAAGATGAACGAGTTGGTACTCTTGAGCTGATCGGCAGTGATTGTGTCATAGACTTCACCATTATCATCTACAAGTTGAACATTGTAACGGAAGAATCTGGCCTCTCCAGAGTCGTCGACTCCATTCTAAAATTTGATAAGTGATCGATCAAGTTGAGTGAGTAATGGTCACCAACCAATCAAAATATAGCTTACCTTGTTGGTATCGATGAATGCTGATCCAAGCACATCATAGACCTTGAATGGTGCCCATCCAATCTTGGTTACAAACTCTCCATTGGCATTGACAGTGCTCTTGCCGAGGTCGAAGCACTGCTCACCCTTGGCGGTATCAGTTGGAGTGAACTTGTTGTCCTTAATGACCTTCGAGACGTTATAGCCATCCTCTGGGTAAGAAGCCTTTAGGCAGTAGTGGCCAGGTGCGATCTTCTTCATTGCCCATGCATTGGTGGACTTGAGTTGAGCAGCAGTGATCGACTGGACAACATTACCGTCCTCATCAACGAGGTCCATGTTGTAACGGAAGAATCTTGGTTCACCTGAATCAATACCATCCTAAATTTGGTTCATAGTTAGTAAAGTGGTCCTAGGAGTGGAGTGATTGGCTGGGTCACAACTTACTTCATTGCGGTCAAGGAAGGCCGATCCGAGGATGTCATAGTACTTGAATGGAGCCCAGCCAACCTTGGTGGTATACTCGCCGTTGGCATTGGTGGTCTTCTTGCCGAGGTCGAAGCAGTGCTCACCAGTGCTGGAGCCAGTAGCATTGAAGCGGTTGCCATTGGTTGTGGTGATTGCCGAGACGTTATACTCTCCCTCTGGATAGTTGACTCTGAGGCAGTAGTGTCCAGGTGCTTGCTTCTTGAAGGCCCAGGAGCCGGTGGACTTGAGCTGGGCGGGGGTGATTGTGCTGACAACGTTTCCTTCCTCGTCGAGAAGATCGACGTTGTAACGGAAGAATGCTCCTTCGCCAGAGTCTTGAGCTCCATTCTGTTGTTTGAGAGATGTGTGGTTGAGTTGGTGTCGTTAGTTGTTGTCAAGTTGGCAGAGACAAGGACTACTGCTAATATTTACATCGTTCCTGTCATTGAAGGCCGAGCCGAGAATGTCATAATACTTGTATGGTGCCCAGCCAACCTTGGTGATGTACTCGCCATTGCCGTTGGTGGTCTTCTTGCCAAGGTCAAAGCAGTGCTGTCCTGAGTTGGCTCCAGTTTCATTGAATTGGTTGCCGTTGGCCTTGATTGATGACGAGACGTTGTAGTCTCCCTCTGGATAGTTGACCTTGAGACAGTAGTGTCCAGGTGCTTGCTTCTTGAAGGCCCAGGAGCCAGTCTTCTTGAGCTGCTCCGGGGTGATGGTGCTGACAATGTCTCCAGACTCATCGACCAGATCGACGTTGTAACGGAAGAATGCTCCTTCGCCAGAGTCTTGAGCTCCATTCTGTTGGCGTTGTGTTTCAATTGTATTAGTATTCCAAGGTTCCCATGTGTGGAGAGAACTGAATGAATGAATGAGTAGACTACATACGTTGTTCCTGTCATTGAAGGCCGAGCCGAGGATGTCATAGTACTTGAATGGAGCCCAGCCCATCTTGGTGACGTACTCGCCATTGCCGTTGACTGTGTTCTTGCCGAGGTCGAAACATTGCTGGCCAGATGATTCGGTGGTGGGGGTGAACTGGTTGCCGTTTGGTTTGACGACGGATGAGATGTTGTACTCGCCCTCTGGGTAGTTGACCTTGAGGCAGTACTTTCCGGGTGGTTGCTTCTTGAAGGCCCATGCATTGGTGGACTTGAGTTGGTCTGGAGTGATTGAGCTGACAATATCTCCATGCTCATCAACCAGGTCGACTCCATAACGGAAGAACTTTCCTGGTTCGCCAGAGTCCAACAAACCATTCTATTGTTGACATGGGTATGTGTTAGTTGTGACCTTGAAATGAATGAGTAGACTACATACGTCGTTCTTGTCGAGGAAGGCTGAGCCGAGGATGTCATAGTATTTGAATGGTGTCCAGCCCATCTTGGTGACGTACTCGTTATTGCCGTTGACTGTGTTCTTATTGAGGTCGAAGCATTGCTCACCGGCAGAGTCAGCAGTGGGAGTGAACTGGTTGCCGTTTGGCTTGATGGCCGACGAGATGTTGTACTCGCCCTCTGGATACTTGACCCTGAGACAGTACTTTCCAGGATGTTGCTTCTTGAAGGCCCATGCATTGGTGGACTTAAGTTGCTCTGGGGTGATTGAGCTGACAATGTCTCCAGACTCATCAACCAGGTCGACTCCATAACGGAAGAACTTTCCAGGCTCGCCTGAGTCCAAAAGACCGTTCTGTTCGATATGCGCATCAAGGAGTTGGTATGTTAGTGTTTGATTGGTGTGTAGGTGTTGCCGAGCTGGGATTACTTACGTTGTTCTTGTCAAGGAAGGCAGAGCCGAGGATGTCATAGTACTTCAATGGAGTCCAACCCATCTTGGTGACGTACTCACCATTGGCGTTGACAGTCTTGTTGTTGAGGTCGAAGCATTGCTGACCAGCGGCTTCAGCAGTTGGAGTGAATTGGTTGCCGCTGGGCTTGATGACGGATGAGATGTTGTACTCGCCCTCTGGGTACTTGACCTTGAGGCAGTACTTTCCAGGTGGCACCTTCTTGAAGGCCCATGCATTGGTGGACTTTAGCTGATCAGGGGTGATCTCATCAATGATGTCACCATGCTCATCAACCAGGTCGACACCATAACGGAAGAACCTTCCGGGCTCGCCAGAGTCCAAAAGACCGTTCTATAGATTGACGGAATGTTAGCAATGATAGTCTCGATGGGAGGTGTTCTGAGGACTTTAAGGTCGTCACTACTTACGTTGTTCTTGTCGAGGAAGGCAGAGCCGAGGATGTCGTAGGTCTTGAGTGGTGCCCATCCAACCTTGGTTGGGTACTCGTTCTTGGTGTTGACAGTGTTCTTGTTGAGCTTGAAGCATTCAAGACCCTTACCTGGGCCGTCTTGAGTGAATTGATTGCCGCCGGGTTGAACCGAAGACGAGATGTTGTAGCCACCCTCTGGGTAGTGGACCTTGAGGCAGTAGTCTCCTGGTGGGAAGTCCTTGAAGATGAAGGCATTGGTGCTCTTGAGACTTGAGGGAGGGATGGTCCTGATGACGGTACCAGCGGCGTCCAACAGATCAATTCCATAACGGAAGAATCGGGACTCACGAGCATCATCCTTACCATTCTAGATTGATTGATTGATTGATTGATTGATGTTAGTTGTGATTGATTGATGAGTGAGTGATGGTTAGATATTTACATCATTCCTATCAAGGAAGCCGGTTCCAGCAATGTTGTGAAGCTTCTCGGGTACCCAGCCAACCTTGGTGATGTACTCCCTCTTTGAATTGGTGGTGCTGGGACCAAGGTCGAAACAGTTCATTCCCTGGTTGTCACCGGTTCTGTTGAACATGTTGCCACCGGCACGAGTAGTGGATGAAACGTTGTAGCCTCCCTCGGGATAGGTCACCACCATGCAGTAGCGACCAGCCTTGTAACCCGTGAACTTGAAGGCGTTGGTGTTACCCAACTTGGAGGCCTCGATCGAATCAATCTTCTTTGCATTGTTGTCATACAGATCAATGTTGTATCTGAAGAATCTGAGCTCTCCAGCATCATCTCTTGCGTTCTAATAGGTTGATGGTTGATTGTTAATCATTGTTTGATTGAGTGATCAGGGCAGGTTTTGTGACAAATGATTGATGGAGTCTAAAAGTTTTTGATGAAACATACATTGTTGGAATCAATGAAGGCGGATCCAAGGATATCATAGAGGTGATCGTTGGGAGTTGGGGTAGGCTGGGCTGTGGTACCGATGGTGGACACAGTAGTGGTTGCGGAAGTAGAACCAGTGATGGTGGAAATTGGTGGTGGAGCAATGGTTGAGGCAGTGGTCGTTGCTGTTGTCGAGGCCAAGGTAGTGGGTCTTGAAGTAGTGCTAGTTGGAACGGCAGTAGTACTAGTTGGTGAGACGGTAGTAGTGGCCGGATCGTTGGAAGTTGTCGAAGTCACTGGAGGGTTGCTGGTGGTCGACGTAGTTGTCACTGGAGGGTTGCTTGTAGTGGAGGCGGTGGTAATTGGAGGGTTGCTGGTGGTTGAGGTGGTGATGGTGATTGGAGGGTTGTTGGTTGTGGAACCTCCAGCAACTGTCGAGGCAACAGTTGACACTGTGGTGGTGGCGGTGATTGATGAAGCTGGACTGGTGGTGGAAGCAGTGGTTGTCACCGTTGTCGAAGCTGAGGTTGTGATAGTTCCAGTGGTGATTGTACCGGTTGGAACAGCAGTGGTAGAGGCAACAGTTGACACAGTGGTGGACGCAGTGATGGTGGATATTGGACTTGTGGTGGAGGCAGTTGTAGTCACTGTTGTCGAGGCTGAGGTTGTGATAGTTCCAGTGGTGATGGTACCAGTTGGAACAGCAGTAGTAGAAGCAACAGTGGACACAGTGGTGGTGGCAGTCACAGTAGAAATTGGACCTGTTGTAGAGGCAGTGGTGGTCACAGTGGTTGATGCGACAGTTGAAATGGCAGTTGTAGGACTAACTGTGGTAGTGACAATCGTAGATGCTACAGTCGAGGTTGTAGAAACGGTTGTGGTCACAGTGGTGGTGAAAGAACCAGTTATTGGGGGAACTCCAGTTGAAGCGCTTGTGGAGGCCACAGTGGCACCTGTGCTTACAATGGTCGAGGCAGTTGTGGTTATCTGGCCAACTTGTGGAGCACAGGAGGCAAGGTTCCTCAATGGGTCAAAGGTGCAGTAGTAACCGGTTGGGCATCTCCTAAAGGTACAAATTGGCATACACTTTGGAGAGACTGTTGGCAAAGGTTGGCAACAAACAAATCCAGATTGGCATTTAACTCCTGAGCACTCTGATCCTGGTGACATCCACTGAGAGGAATCTATAAAAAAAAAATAAAAAAAAAAATTGTGATTGATTAATGGATTGATGATGATTTTAGGTTAGAATTGTTTTTGGAGGTGGAAGTTGTAGACTTACGGGAGCCCGGAATACTAGTGATCACCAACAATAAAGTTGATATCACCACCAAGAGTAATTTATTCTTGGTGAGTAACATTGTGTTTTTTTTTGGTGTTATGGTTGTTGTTATAAATATAGTTTATTATTATATATATAATATACCTAAGGATAATTATATTGTAATAATTATTATTTATAAATATTAGATGTAATGTTGATTGAAATCAAGTAGATCCACTCAAGGTATTTGATACAATTTTGATCCTAGGGAATAATAGATCTATGGGATGATTATATACTCATACACAACAAGGATGGATGAGGGTGAACACACTATATACATCATATGATGGAGGAGGCCAGGCAATTAGTATTGTTCTTATGTTTTCATATGACTGGTCAATCCAATGACGGATGATGGGTTTCCGCCTCCCTCTCTGCTAATTAGTAACAACATTATCGTCGACTCGCGAGTTTGTGTGTGCCTAAGCACCCCAACATGATAGCACATCATCTTCATCTTTGTTAATAAATAAAATAAGGACCCAAATATAAATTAGAGTGCTAATATAACACGCTGATTATTCCCTATTTGCTTCCACCATACTAATTAGTATGAGAGAAGTGATAAGTTGATTGATCACAATCACCACTCAATTGGAAATAATGGTCTGTGTTGACCCACACCTTAACCAGATGAATTAAAAGGAAAGGTGGTAGTTTATACCACCACACTCACTTGTGTTCAATCTATCAATTCTATATTATGATGAGCAACATTTTGTAAACAACCCACTTCAACCTATAACTTTTGTGGATAAATGAATTCAATGCATTAATTAGTCATATCATAACATTGAAGTCAAAGAAAGGGTATGTATTTATTTGTATGACAATAAAGGGGGTTCATCAGCGTCAAGGCCTATGCTTGTTTATATTATTATTGACGAGAGTGTATCATCATTGGAACATCAATCCAAATAGGACAATTATTACAAGAGTGAAGAAGGTATGGGTGATGACGGTGATCGATCCAGTATTGGGGGTGAAGGTAGTAGAACTAGTTGTTTGAGTAGAAGTGGTAGAGGTGGTTGCAGTCATTGTTGAAGTTGCCCCAGTGGTAGTTGTAGAAGTAGTAGTAGTAGTAGTAGTACCAGCTGTAGTTGAGGTAGTAGAGGTAGAAGTAGAGGAAGAGGTAGAGGTAGTAGTATTTTGAGGAATGATTGATGTACAAACTGGCTCGCTGGAGAAGTTCAATCCATTGGGCAGAGGAGTTGGGATTGGATTGGTGGTGATACCTATGACACCTTGGGCAAGACGGGCACCAAGTGCGCTCAAGTTGCCAGAGTCGCGTATCGCGTGGATGACAATTGAGCGGCCTACAAAGTTCACAGCGGATGACAGTGTGCCAGAGTACGAAGTGGAATACTTGTAGTAGGCCACGCCATCTTCGTCGTAGACACATATGTTGCCAAGGTCTCCCAGCTCGCGATTGTCCGCGGGTGGCAGGCCGTGTGTCTGATTGGCGCCCTTCCAATGCGGGCCAACTGATGTGCCATTGTCCCACATCAAGTCGCCATAGGCATGGATGTGGATACCATGAGCGATCGTGTTGTCCAATCCCTTGATGACTGCAGTAAAGGTGACAGTCGAGTCTGAGTTGACCTGGATGTAGACAAAGCCGGATATTCTGTAATCATTCGTTGGACGAAGAACACTGATGGCTGTGTTGGGCGAGCTCATTATGCTGTCCGTCTTGAATGATACCAAGTTGGTGCTGTTGACATCAATACCCTTAACCCAAAATGTTTGGTAACTTCCAATTCCAATCACACATTGAGCGACACTGTTGACGGAGTTGTTGTTGTTGTTAGTCAGCGAGTTGGTGAGTGTGATAGATGGAACTATTCCTTCCAATAAATAGTACATACATGTTGGCATTAGGATCACATGTGTGAGAGTCGAGAACAGTGATGGCACGTCCAATCATTGAGTTAGAACCATTGTGAGCAAAGTACACACTGTGAGGTACGTATGTGTAGTATCCAGACTCAGCATCGGCTGATGTAAAGTTGACGATTTGTCCAGCTGGGCATGGATTGCCGAGTGTCATTCCGGCCGCTGCTCCAGCTGCGCCCACAGAGCTAATATCACCCAACTCCCTAAGTACAGCTCCATAAGTTTTGTTTGCAGGCATATTGAGAACCTGATAATCTATACCATATTGATCATCCTTTGGCTTTTTTTTTTTTTAATAGGATATGGTGTAAGTGGATGATCATAATTATTATTTGATTGAATAAATTAATAAATAAAATACTTACTCTGTAGATTATTGTGAAACCACCTACTATGTTGGTCTTGGTATTTGGAGTGAGGATACAATTAGCATATGTATAATCAACTGCCAATGACACATTGACAAAATATAAACTAATAAAAATTATACAAATAATAATATTTTTAATATTCATTGTTATATTTGTCACTATTTTTATAAATATATATATCGATGTAAAAAGTGATCAGTCTATCAATTGATCAAGACTATTAACATACTCGTGACTTGGCCCTTGAAGTGACGCGTCGTGCGACTCTTCACAAAGTCGTGTCCGACCCATTTTTAGATATTATCTTTTCAACAAAAAAGAAAGATAGGATCATATATATTCGAAGTTCCTAAATACAATACTTTAATAGCTATTAAAGTATACTATTCTTTCCATCTCCTTAACTTATGATAAAGTGGAATTGTCCTATCTAAATCCATTCATTGTTAATAGTGAAGATGACTTAAACCCTCTACCCTTGCCCTCGACCCTTGCCCTCAACCCTTGCCCTCAACCCCAACTTTGAAAGTTGATTGTGTTTGTGAAGTGACATGTAGAGATAAAGATAAGGATAAAGAGATAGAGATAGAGATATAGAGATGGGACTTGGATCATCAAAGTTCGAGAAAGACCTTCTCAATACTAATATATCAGAGGATGAACGATTCTATGGATTAGAGAATGTATGATTGAATCAATGATTGAATGATCGACGTCACTCACTGACTCACATACCATACATACTATTTGATAGTTTGGCAATACATGCTATTGCAACTCAGTATTACAGGCATTGTACTTTTGTATACCATTCCGTAATTCTATACTACAATATTACACAAAGAACAACTTACATATTGCAGCCAATCGAAGGAATATGGAGGACAGTCTCCTCCTGACCCTGGTCGACCTCTTTGTCAACATCACCTCACAGAAGAAACGAACAGGTGTCGTGCCTCCCAAGAGGTTTGTCGACCGTCTTCGCTATGAGAATGGTATGGTATCCTTTCCCGTCTCCCATCGCGCGACTCATACTCATTCACACATGCCTGCCCGATAGAGATGTTCAGAGGACACATGCATCAAGACGCTCATGAGTTCTTGAATGTATTGCTCAACTCTGTTGCAGAGTCATTACAGAAACATACCAAGCAGCAACAACAACAACAGCAGCGACTGATGCAGCAGACACCAATGATGACACAGAGCTTGAACAGCTCGGGCACATACAGCCAGAGCCTGCAGAGTTCTGGTCGCAGCAGTTTGAACAACAGCAACAACAGTGTAAATATATACAATAACAACCATGGCAGCAGCAATAGCATCAGCAAGCTATCGACCACCTCTTCATCAGTCTCGACGGCCAACCAACACCAAAGGACCGACAGCTCGACCAGCGAGACGGCCAGCGTCACCACATCAATCCCCAAGACAACAAGCGATACACCAGACAAAGATAGTATGTATAGTTGATTGATTGATTGATTGCGAGGCACAGGCTAACACAACATCCCATCTTCATCGTCCAAAGTTAAAACGTTCATACATGACATCTTTGAAGGCACATTGACCAATGAGACAAAGTGTCTGACATGCGAGTCTGTTACAAACAAGGACGAGTCATTCTTGGATCTTAGCATCGATATTGATCAGAACACATCAATCACGAGTTGTCTGTCCAACTTTAGCTCCGTGGAGATATTGTCCAAGAATGACAAGTTCTTCTGTGACAAGTGCATCTCGTTGCAGGAGGCGCAGAAGCGAATGAAGATCAAGAAGCTGCCCAACACGCTCATCATCCATCTCAAGCGATTCAAGTTCATCGAGAAGATACAACAGTACAAGAAGCTGAACTATCGAGTCGTCTTCCCATTCGAGATAATCATTCAGAATACTGTATGTTTGGACCATTGATTGGATTGATTGAATGGATTGATGAGACTGGATGATACTAACACTAATCGACTGCCGACGGAACAGACTGGTGATATAGAGGAGCCAGACAAGAAGTACAACTTGTTTGCCGTTGTCATACACGCTGGCAATGGACCCAATCATGGACACTACACTTGCATGGTCAAAAGCAATGATCATTGGATTGGATTCGATGATGACAACATGGGAGTAAGTTGGAAGGATCAGTTGGACTAGATGACATTGACTAACATATCAATATCCGCGCGCATCAGATCGTCAATGAATCAGACATATTCGATATATTTGGATCGTCAACAGAGTATTATGGAGGCAATGAATGTGGCTACCTGTTGTTCTATCAATCAGCATCCACTAGCACAGTGACACAGTTCAAGCCTCCACCACCTCAGTCCTCATCATATATTCCATCTACATCGACCTTTACCAGTTACCTCTATGGTGGAAATAATAACTGAGTTGGCCATCAATCAATCAAATGATCTAGCCAAGTAATGTTATGTTGTACTGTTGTTATATATAAACTTCAACCTCTTCTATTCATAGATAGGTTTATTATAAGCTTGTTGACGAAGATATACGCGTCAAGTTGTGAATGTGATGATGATTGGATGAGAGCATTGCTTCGCCCTGTCCTGTCCTGACCTCCAACCAACCAACTAACTAAATAAATATATATATATATATATGTCTTCCCCATGGACCTTGGTTACTCTTCCATGGAGAATATAGTGTCGCTGTCTGAGCTGCGACAGATGGTGTATCGCCTGCAACTCTTGATACATCGTTCACAGACGACAAAGTACTCGCAACCGTCGTCTCTGCTCTCGTCATCATCTTCTTCCTCTTCCTCCTCTTCCTCAGAGGCAAGGTAGTCTGGCGATGACGCTTGTTCCTCCATCTGTTTCCAGCCAATCTTGTCGCCTCGCACTTTGTTCTTGCATCGGCCACACAAGAACAAACATTTGGTGCATTGTCCATTAACATGTCCATGGCCATTTGAGTTGCAAGCAAAGCCAAGGTTGGCTCGGAAGCCACATGTATCCTGGTCTGAGCAGGCGAGTTGATTGGTGTCAGCAATCACTCCAAGTGATTGACGGCAGCATACTGGACATAATGACCAGTCCTTCTGATGCATCACACGAGGCAGTGTGAGATAGGTGCGCTTCCAGTTGGATGGTGGCATTATATAGTTGATGGAGTTGGTCTGAGTGAAGTAGGCGGTGCGTACCTGTGACTCCCAAAAGTGACGCTCTAGCATGCTTGCACAAGTCTTGCTTACAAGACGAAGTTGTTTCATGTCTTGAAGAGTGAAAGCTTCCAGCTGTCCCAAGAGTATGATCAACACATGGTAGTTATCGAATGACTTTGATTGACTACCTCTACTTCCTCTACTCTGTCCACAGTTTATACTATTGTTGTTATAATTGTTATTGTTGTTATTGTTGTGATTGTGATTATTATCAGCCGATCTCTTTCTATTTGTATTATTTGTTGATGTAACATGTACAGCCATCTTATTGTTATTGTTGTTATTGTTGTTATGATTGATTATACTGTTATTTATTGAGCCTACTACCCAACTACTTTTGCCATTACTACTTATAATACTATTATTGTTATTGTTACTGTTACTACTACTACTGCTACTACTACCACTACTACCACAACTACTATTACTGCCACAACTTCCAGGTGTACCGTTAGGATGTTCTCCTGATCTAAGGTTGGCAACCTTTGGGTCTACAATCATTATGTGTTTGTATAAAATCTGTGATATATTGGTTAAATAAATAATGTTAACAACTTAAGTGCTACCAATAGATTACATTACAGCTGTACTCGCTTTCCTCAATCATCGAGTGATTCGGCCCCAGGACCTAATCAGGATCCAGTTTTGATGAGCCAAAAAAATCAATCACACACCCCGAGAATGGCATTGGAGGCTTGATTGGGGTCTAAAAATGGATTTTGATCAAGCCCCTGTGGGGTTCTTCGCCGATTCAACACTTTCTCAACGCTTTCCGCGTAATGCTTCATTATCAAATCAACTCTTATTTGTAAGTTGTAAAAGGGTTTATTTACATAGAGGGCCAAGTCCTAGGCCTTTGGATTCTGATCTGTAGTTTCATTCGGGGTAGTGGAATGCACTCCACTTAATTGTTTGAGCCGAATCCAGTATCTACCTCTATTGATAGGGTCCAATCTTGAAAGAATGTGAAATATAAGGCAGCGGCAATGATTGCCAACACAGCCAGTATGATCGACATCCAAGACAGTCTTCTGGCAATAACACTCTTTGACTTTAAGTAAAGGAATCCAAAGAACCATGGCACTACCAGGAAGAATCCAAGGAGGAATCTAATCAATATGGCATGTCTTATGTTAGGCTTTGTCGATCGATCAATGAATCAATCAATCAAACTTACATCAACAAACTAATGGCAAAGTCTGAATGCTCACTGAGTGAATCATTGAGTTTCTCTGTCATGTCGTCCAGTTCGGCATTGGATGTTGGAGAGGTGATTATAGGGGCGTTGGGGTTGGTGTTGGTACTGGCATCGGTATAGTTGGCGGTGGTGTAGTATGGTAGAGTCCAGTTGAAGTAGTTTGAAGTGGAATAATGTAATGACTCATTCATTTCACGACGGTCATGATCTTCATATTGTTGTTGTGGGAGGAGCAATGAAGGTTCTTTGGAGTCCTCACCGACTACTCCGGAAGTGTTGGTTGGGAATGGTTGGCGGAATATATAAACATTTGTTGATGGAGGTGGTGGAGGAGGTGGCAACAATCTTGGATCGTATCTTTGTGGATGTGATTGAATATATATTGGAATGTTTTGTTGAAGATTGTTATCCATTCTTATTATTATTATTTGTAGTAATTATTATTATTATTATTATTATCTCTCTGTACTAATTGGATAAAGTTAAGAGTGAAGGTACCTTATGTTAATACTGTTTACGCCATTCCATCAGGCGTTGATGTTTGGAAGGCATTTATAACACATATAACATTTGAGGGTTGAATGCTGGAAGGATGAAAGGCCAATTGAGTGTGATGGAAGCTCCCCATTCCATCTGTTAAACTCCTTGGTATTGAATCCACAGCAATTATACATACATACATACATACATACATCTACATCCACTCCATGAGTAGTGATCAGTGTTTAGTAGTGTGTGTGTTGAAAGTGATGGTAGTGAGTGATTCGTGGTGTGAGTAATGGATAGTGCTGTGGAGTGGAGTGCGCATATGGGGTGATCAACCACTCGGCCCCTGTATCGACATGTCTATTATAAGGGTATGAAGCCCTATCGGGACCTCCCTATCATCCTTTATGATTGGGAAGTTGACGCATACGAATGGTTAGTGATGGCAGATTGATTGAGTGAGTGGGTGTCGTGTCATCTTGATAAGGAATGACCATTGACCATTCGAGAAGACTGTGTACTGATTGATTGTTTGATAGGTTGGGTTGATGACATTCGTTTCCTGCTATTCATTCGTACTGTGATGATGAAGTTGTTGAGTAGTAGTCACAGACAGATAGCTTGCTAGAGAGACTGTTTGTTTGTTTGTTTGTTTGTTGTATTGTAACATGTAGTAGTAGTTTGTGTCGCAACAGTCTACCCGTTTAGTTCGTCTTTGATTTATTATTGGTGGCTGCGTTGAAGTATGCAAGTTTGATCGATGCTGACTCAGTCAGTGATGATGGGTTGCTGATGAGCTTCTGTAGGCAATGTGAAAGTCTTGCCTCCTGTAATAATCATTGATTGATTGTTTGTTAGTCGTCAAACTGATCGATCAATCACACAATTGATGATGAAGGTATAACAGTGCGCGGGCGATACTGTACCTCTACGAAACATTTCTGTGGAGAACCATCCTTTAGTCTATAGCAATCGGTGACGTTGTCCGACTCGACTGGACAGAAGGTGGCCTTAACACAAGCAGCTGTGAGGTTGTTGGCATACTTGTGATTCTTGTGCATTGAGGCACAGTCGCCAACATGTTGGAAGAACTTAATCAGCTCATCATCTGCATTAATCTTTGTTTCTGACATCCTGCTAACTTTATGTGTATATATATATATATGTGTAAAGTAATCTATTCGTAGAGTGTTTACCGAATGATTGAATGTTTGATCAGAATGATCACACACACACGAAAAAAGGATTTGTTATTGAACTTCCTTGTTTGAAAATAAATGGGAAAGTGAACAAATGGTAATAATTATTTATTATTATTACAATATATATATAACTAGGATAATATTATGATGTACAGTTTAAAGAGTAATGGATTACTTTAGCATGAATGGCATCCACCTCCCAGGAGACCACCAACAACACCAAGGACACCTCCCAAAAGTCCACCAAGGTTCAAGTTGACATCCAGATCAACATCGAGGTCGAGGTTGATTCCTCCTCCACATCCACCGCATGCTACTCCGTTTGATCCCTGACTGGTTGATTTTCCAAAGTTACCAACAATGGCACTCTTGGACATTGAAGTGGCAGAAACGTTGCCCATGGAAGAAAGAGATTCTAATTTGATAGAAGGTTAATATTAATAAACACTATTTCCATTTGTTGTTTGTATATTATTACTTACTCATGATAGTCATTTTTAGAATCAGGATATTTGGTAGTTATTTAGAACTTGTTAGTTTGTTTGATTGTTTGATGATGTATTAAATTCAACTCGAGTTTAGAGTATTTATACTTTTGTTTCCAGTTCAGATTTCCGTTCCAACTGCAATCAGTTCAACTAGTCAAGTTGGTTGTCGGTGGGGTGCTGTAGTAGTGAGGAGTGGCGGCAACTAAGTTGATGAGGTCACCAACCCAAGTTGGTTGGTATAAAAATGAGGTACACATCACAGTTTCAGGTAACCCTTTGATGAGTTCTCAGTTGACAATCATAATAAAATCATTCAATCATTCATACATTCATACATTATTATTCATATGACCGACCAAGAGGTACTCCCCACTTATCCTTCCATATAAGGGTAGGTGTAAGTGATTGGTGTGTCAAAGTGGTGATGGTTTTTGATTGATTGGTCGAATTGTGTGTTGTGTGAGTTGTGTTGAAGTGTGATGAAGAGAGTGATCGTTTGGAATTTGATTGATTACTCACTGTTGGCACTATCTATTGACATTGACTATTATAATATAAGCGGCCAGTGGTATTACATATGAAAGAGTTAATGAGTCAGGGAGAGTAAAGAGTGTGAGGGAACATGATAATTACAGATTGAGCTGGGAGGAACGCATTCCGTTATTTGAATAAAATATAATGTTGCTTCACATTATAAATAAACTGAATGTACTCGCTGTCATATCCAATAACTGATGTGGCAATCCAACATACTTTGGTGAGTGACATCAATTCAATACAATCTTCAGTCAGGGCAGTACCACCACCCCTCAACTAACACATTGATGATGAGATTAATCAACTGATTCAATTCCAGGATTCAAGTGTTGGTGATCGCTCGAGATTCAAATCAAGGAAGACTTTAATCATTCCTAATATGGTAGTATGAGTACCATCAACCTATATTAATGTGATGATGCCCCTTCCACCTGATTGAGTAACCTCAATTATACATAATAAAGGTGGAGTGTGGGTGTGGCAATAATACATCATCAATAGGATGTCATCGGATATAAATAGATGGTCTTTAAAGACCATCTAATCATCATCTGCAAATCAAACAAATAATAATAATATTATTCAAACTTCCAAAATGACTATCTTGAGTAAGTAATATACAATATACTTATTGGAATAATTCCAATCAATTATAATAACTAACTTTTTGTATAATTATTATAATGATTAGAATCTCTTACTTCCATGGGCAACGTTTCAGCCACCTCAATGTCCAAGAGCGCCGTTGTTGGTAACTTTGGTGGAGCTTCCGGTCAGGGTGCCAACGGTGTTGCCTGCGGTGGATGTGGTGGACATGGTCTTGGACTTGACATTGATATTGATGTTGATGTCAACCTCAACCTCAATGGACTCCTTGGTGGTGTCCTTGGTATTGTTGGTGGTCTCCTCGGTGGTGGTTGCCACAGATGTTAATGGAGTTCTTAATTAACTCCTTCTCAACAACGAATAGTTTATATATACTTGTTCAAGAAACATTTGAATAAAATGATCCGTGAACCTTCCTTCCTACCATCCAACAATATTGATCATATATCTTGATCATATATCTTGATCATATATCTTGATCATTCAGTGCACTCATATATCTTGTATAAAACTAGTGTTGTTCATTCATTTGAATATCTTTGTAAGGTCATTGAGGGACAGGTCATTCTTGATAATGAATAATCTTGATGAGAGATATTTGACCAAGAAGTGAGTGGAATCAATCCGTCGTATCATAATATTCTCAAGATTCATGTTGCTAATATGTTCATCAAATGAACAACTGATGAAATGTTTGATTATAATGATATTCAGAGGTTGTGAGCCATATTGATTGTCAACAAACAATGTCCTAACTGTACCATTGAATTGTGAGTTCTTTGGAAGGTGCATCTTGTCTGAATCATCAGCATTAAACTGTGTATCAAATGTAACATGATTGATACGACAATGTTTGAATGTGTCAGGCGTAGTCTTGGCGTACAGATTATACACCTCATTAAAATGGAGCGATGTCAATGACGCTGGCAACACGTCGCTGGTCAATGGATGAGGGTATAATGTGCCCAAGGCCAGATGTGTCAGAGATGATGGCAGTAACAATGGTGTCAGAGCATGATAGTAATCACGACTGAGTGTCAGTGATTGAAGTGATGAGGGCAACGACCCTATCTCCAACTGCTGGACAAAGTGAGTTCCCAGATCGAGTCGAAGGAGTGAGTTGGGGAGTACTCCAGGCGTCAGTGGCTGATCGAATCGAGTGCCAAACTTTAGTTTGATTAGTGAGTTGGGGAGGATACCTGGCTTAAGCTGAACGTTGAAGCTTTGACCGAACTTTAGATGCCGTAGTCTGGTCGGAAGTGCCCCCATCTTGATGTCTTGATCAAAATAATAGTCCACCTTCAACTTTGTCAATGAGGTCGGTAACGTGTTTGGCAGTAGTGGATGATTGAAATGTCCAAACAATAGAGTTGTGAGTGATGATGGCAGTGACCCGGGAAGTAGTTGTCTCTTGAGCCCGCCAGTGTAGATCATTCTGAGTGACATTGGTAGTGCGCCAGGTATGAGCAACTGATCAAATCTCTCACCTAGCCACAGACTTGTCATTGATGGTGGGATGATCCCATGACCAATTGGTTGGTTGTATGATTTTCCCAGCCAGAGTGAGGTTGCGGTGATCGGGATTGAGCCAGGCTTCAGGGGTTGATTGAAATCATCACTTAGTGTAATGTCTGTTATTGTGTCTGGGAGGTCGCTGGGCTCAATGGGCAGGTCAAACTTGGCCGGCTGACCAAAGAGTAGAAAGCTGACATGAGATGGGAGAGTAACATTTCTCAATGATTCATAATATGGTCGTTTGAATATAGCACGGGATCCTTCTTTTGGTGTTATGCCACCTCTTGTCTCCAACTCAAATGGCTGTCCAGGTACTTGACGACGAACACGAACCAAATCTAACGTTGATTGATTAAGTGATCGAGTGAGCGTGAGTGAGTGACTGATAATGATCCGTACGAGTACTTACCAAGTGGATCGCAATGATGGAAGATTGTGATCTTGGTGTAGTTGAGATCAACGTGGTTCAGGTAACATTGACACACATCTGGCGTTCTTGCTATTATGAGTTTGTATTGGTACAGTCTGTTGGAAGTCAATACAAAGGAACATGCATCTATGGAGTTTAGTAGATCAACAATATGTTGAAGCACGATCACTGGTATTGTATCCATTTGACTTTATGCTGCTTTGTAGTAGCAGCCGTTGTTGTTGTGATGTAACAAAGTGATCACAAACTTATTTGAGACACTGTTTGTGTCACAATCATTCATTCAGTTGTATTTTTCACCCAAACCCTTCAAACAGATAATTTTTTATTTGTTCTTTCGATCAGCCGAACAACAGAACGAGAAATAGCTCAATAAAGCGATGAAGAGGGAGACAGTGACATTATAAGTGCCAGCCGACAGAGTACAATAAGAGACAACACGTGTAACTCAAGCATCACTCAGAAGACAACTCGTTCAAAGGTCCTCGCTCGAAGTTCAACTCATCTTGCAGATGATGTGCAGTACAAGGTCACAACACAGACTATAAACAGCAATCAATCAACAACACAATAACACATGTTGAAGGGCAGTATAAGGTCAATAAAACTATAAACAGCCAACAACCCAACACACAAGTTGAATAATGTATAAGGTCAATCTGGAAACTAAGACTATTAACAGCAATCAACCAACACACTTATCGATGTGCAGTATAGGGATCGATCAGACTATAAATAGCAATCAAGCAACCAACATCAATGAGAAGTAGAACAAAGTACAACCAGTAACAAAAGACCTCAAGAAGGGCATTCCTTCAGAGAGGGAGAGTGTAACTAAGTGGTCACAAACTTATTTGAGACGTTAATGTTACACAATCATTCATTCAGTTGTGTTTTATAACATGACCAATAACAAACAGATAACAATAAACAACTTTTATATAACTACATACAGAATTGGTCAGTAAATGTCTTGTGTTTCTTGGTCTATGCAGCAGCAACAGAAGCAGTTGTCGTTGTGGTCGTTGTCGTTACATCCAAACCAAGTGTTAGAAGGAGGCCCCTCTTTCTTAGTCATTCATTCAGATAAACTGAAGCAAACCATCACATCCCTTCAGGTCTCTGGTCAAAGAGATTGAGTAAGTTGAGGTTGTCGATAAGGTAGTCCTCAACGCACCAGGCTACTCGAGTCTTCTCTCGTCTCAGCAATGGACCGTCATCCCAACCAACGGATACTATATTATCAGGAATTATGTCACCTACACATGCATTCAAGCATACAACATCGGAACCAATCTCTATGAACCTAAGTTGGCCACCTGTGATACCAATAATGTGTTCCAACAGTTCTCTATCGAATTTTAAATACATTCTATTCACTCAACATCAACCAACAACAATAAAGCACCATCACCTGGTACTTCAACCACCTGACAATACACTATTTGCTTCCACCTTACTTGTAGAATTATAACTGGTGGTATGTCCTTCATACATTGAATCTCTGTCTCTACATGTTGTCGAAAGTGAAATTGAAAGAATGAACAGAGTTGTTGTTCATTTCTTTGAAGCGAATGAATGAACAAATAACACCAACAACAATAAAGAAAGAAGTAAAGTTGAAGGTAATAGTGTTGGGCGATGTAGGAGTTGGCAAGACATCATTGTTGAACCAATATGTAAATAGAAGGTTTGATCATGGCAAGTGTACATCAACAATTGGTTCATTTCTTTATGTAAAGGAGAATATAGATGTATCTGAAGAACATGTAGTATCGATGAATATATGGGATACAGCCGGTCAAGAACGATTCGACTCATTATCCGACCTATACTATCGTGGTGCACAATGCTGTCTACTGGTCTTTGACATATTCGATGGGAAGTCATTCGAACATTTGGATAAATGGCGTGAGGAGGTGCTCAAGAGAGTCAATCCGAGAGACCCAGACACCTACCCAATAGCAGTACTCGGTAACAAGCTCGATCTTGTGGAGCATGCTACTGCTGCTCAACAACGTGTTGTATCAAGCAAGCGAGCAGCCACATGGTGTATGAATAATGGCATCCCATACTATGAGACATCTGCAAAGGATGGAGCCAATGTCGAGAAATCATTCAAAGATATTGCAATGTTTGCTACAGGTCTATATTACAGACCGTATGTATCTTCAATCAATCAATCAATCAATCGATCACTCTCTCACTCAATCTCAACATATATAGTGTAATCAAAGTCGTGTCTGTCCCTCCCGCCGCCGAACAATCCAGATCGAACTACTGTTGCTGATAGTCGAGTAGAGGTGATCACTTTGTATTATTTAGTACTTCTTCCAACGAAATATACTATTTGTAAATGACTTTAGATTGTCCCTCGGGACGATATACCATCTTGTGCCTCTGGATGGTGACATCACCAAACATAGTGATGATAGATCAATCAAACGAATGGCTCCACCTTGACCAATGTTGAGAGTGAGGTTGGCCACGCCCGAGTCCAGGAACTGCGTCACCAAGTCCAGATTGGTATGTCTGACATCATATTCAAAGATAACATTATGTAAGTGTCCATTCAGTTGTTGAACAGTTGGTATTGGAAGGTCTGACTTCAACAGTGTCACCTCCTTGATCTGGCAATGTTTGAATGTCTCGGTTGGCGAGGTAAGTGCGAATAGATTACAGGCGTAGGTGAGCGAGGTCAAAGAAGGTGGAAGTATGTCGCTGGTCATCAGAGGTTGTTCAAACTGGCGGCCAAACGATAGATGTGTTAATGATTGAGGCAGGACATGTGGAAGAATAGGTTGATTGAAACTCTGTCCAAGTTCCAATGATTGAATGGTCGATGGAAGTACACCAATGTCCAATCGTTGGTCATAAAGGTAGCCTAGATTCAATGAGGTCAAGGACTTGGCCGAGGCAAGATTGTCGGCGATAAAGGGTTGGCTGTGTCGGCCACACATTTCTAGTTCGGTGAGTGTCTCTGGTAGTGCGCCAGGTCTGAGCAGGAAGTTGAAATGAATACCAACCGGAGGCGATATACATAGTTTCTTAAGATGTGGTGGCATCATTCCAGATGAGATAGTTTGATCAAAGTTACTTCCAAGTCCAAGGATTGACAACCCAGGTGGGATCATTCCTGGCACAATTGGATGATTGAAACCACCCAACCACAACTCTGTCAATGATGCTGGTAGCACTCCACTGATGATCTGTTTCTTGTATCCTGCTCCCAGAGAGAGTGCGGTCAATGATGGTGGGATAGTTCCAGGCTCAAGTTGATGATTATATTTGGCACCTAGAAAGAGTGATTGTAATGTTGAAGGGAGTGTTCCTGGCCTTATACATAGCTTATAAATATATGGAAATGTGAGCGATGTGATGTTGGCAGGGAAATCAATTGGCTCGATTGTATATCCATAGTTGCTTGGCATGATCACACCATTGACATCAGATGGGAATTGTACAGTTGATAATGGTCTATCCAGTTTTGAATCTACACATCTTGCAACCTTTTTATTCGACACCAACACATAAGGTCTAAGAAATGTCGATTCCTCATGTGGCTGCACTTTGATTGATTGGAATAGTTCCAGTATGAGTGATCGAGTGATCGAGTGATTGGAATGATTCAAGTGATTGATTGATTGAGTGAGTGACAACATAACATACCGCATTGATGAAAGATGTTTAACATGTTTGGAGTGATGATTGTAATATGATCATCTTCGTCATCATTGAAATTATCACAACATTTACAGTAGATTGATGCTGATGATCTGGTGATGCTCGATCTCAATTCAAAAAGTCTCTTACATGTCAGTACAAGACAACATGTATCAATTTGTAATATATTGTCAACAATATTTTGAAGTATGATCACTGGCAATGTATTCATCTTACAACCTCTTATCTCTATTCATTCAATAGATATCTGTTTAAACAAGTATGATCGTACCACAAAGGGTAATAGGTGAAGAGAGATCAAAAAAAACAGTCAATCAAAAATGGGGGGGTTTTTTTTCGATCAAAACAAGCGAGATATTTCTAAATCGTGTTTTATTGGATGGTTTTGGATTCCTTTGCCCCAATAGATATTTTTTTGGGTGTTTGTTCGTTAAACAAAAGGATCTCGAAGACATCTTAAGTAGAAGTAGATATCTACTCTCATCTAAAATATATCATATAACAAGACTAATCTTATCTATATCTAGAGATAATGGGATCATTCCTATTTAATTATAAACAACCATTTTCATTTATTATAATATTTATAATATTCTCATTATTCATCAATGTCATTGTAGCACAAGATAGAGATACACAGCTATCACCAATAGAATGTAAGATTTGATCGATCACAACACCAAGACATACCAACCATTTTACTTAAACTCTTACTTTATACAGTGCAATCTGTTAGATGGATCATTCAACAATATGGTCTTGACTTGAACTTGAGTGGACAGACATGTAATCAGATTGATCCAACATCAATACTATTGACATGTAACTCAACTCATGGTATACTTGAAGTGTGAGTACATTAGTATATCTCTATATCCTCAATCATTCATTCTCTAACCACCTATATTCGTTCATCCAATCTAATCCAATCAATCAAATAGATATATTAACAATAGCACAAAAATTATAGCGACACAGGGCAGTCCTGACCCTAACCTCACCGCTTTGGTCTTTCCAAACATGAGAAAGTTCTCACACTCTCTTGAGGCGAATCCTGTCAATTCTACGTTCGACTTTCTAAAGATGTTGGATAACTCTGGCAACTCAAATTTAAAAGAAATGCAGTAGGTGTCATGGATTGAATCAAAGATAAGGGTTACCAAAATCAATCAACTAACACTAATAATGTCCATATTGGTTTCTTTTAGCCTTTATAACCTAAAGTCAGTCACCTTGAACAATGGATTCCCTTCAAATATCAAACTAGATTCTATGTATGTACCTCTATCAATCACTCACTCACTAAATCAATCAATTAATATAACTAACACAAACATATATTTGTATGGTAATATATTTAGATATTCAACATTTGTTACATTTACCTCTGATATACCGGATACATTCTTTAATCCGTCATTTAAAAGTATTTATTTGGGAGCATGTGGATTCGATCAATCAACAAATAGTATAAAGTTCAATGATACAAGGATATATCCAAGGTTGGAGAATATTCATATAAGTTTCCCCTACGGTGGCAGTGGAATCCTTACTCCATTCTCATTGAACCAAACCCAATTCCCGGTACTAAAGTCAATGTATGTTGCAATCCACTATATGACTCAATCACACTCTAACTTATCATACATTCGAATATAGATACTTTACACAACCATCTGTGATTCCTCTTAAAGTCTTCATCAACTGTCCTATTGAAAGAGTGTAAGTATCCTATTCATAATCAATATCATATAATATGGAATAGTTCCCACAAATCCTAATCAATCATTTAAAAACATTTATTTAGTAATATTGAAGTCAATGCTACTATTACATTTGGAAGCATTACTCAATCATCAGTACAACAATTATACTTGTTGATACCAAAGCTCATCCCGAACGACTTATCATCATTCCCCAATCTAACAGACTTGTGAGTTGTTTCACTTTCCCTTGGTCCCATCACTAGGTTCCTACCCTAACCATAACATCCTATCTCTTAAATCAGGGCTATAAACATGGATGATGGGGCTAATACCATTGTAGACGCACCAAAGTTGGATTTGTTGTAAGTCATACCAAAGATGTTAAATCTATCGTTCACTCACTAAATTACTTCTTTCAATCAATCAATCAGATCATACACAAACTCTATTGGATTGACTACATTCCCATTAGCATCATGGTTCAAATCAGATAGTGTTGTTATTATAACAAATAACATAAATTTGATTGGTCCAGTACCTGATCTCCTAGTTGGAAGCATTCCAAATCGAATGATATGTGATGGCAATACACTGTTGGATGGTGCACTCCCCCAATCAATATGTCAAGTACCTACCTTCTCATTCAAGAACACCAAGATCAAGACTGGTCCCGATTGCATCTATTGCTTTTGGTCAACTATGAGTCAATACCTACCAGCGACATACCCAGCTCCAACACCATCATTCATTTGTGATTGGGGCATTGACACAGATTACTACATCCTCACACCAACAATCCAAACAATCACTATCTATGGAAGGAACCTTGGATGGAATGAATCCGACTGTTCGCCATCCTCACTCAACATGATCACTCCAAACACTCAATTCAAGTACATCCCGTCGGAACCCCAAGGAACCGCTCTGTTAACATTCTCTCAAATGTTCAACATGAACAAGACAATCACATGGGTAACCGATGGTAAGTACTACTCTCGCATTCATTCAATCAACAATCAATCATTCATTCACTAACTCTATCACCACCTTAAGTAACGACCATTAATAGCTCATTTGGTGCGATGGATAATGTATCAAAGACATTCAAAGTTAGGATTAATGGTAGATTCGATACATTATTCAATTATAATGCTACTATTGATGGAGCGGAATGTACAATCTTGAACATCACCGATACCTTTATAACATGTCTAGTCACATCACCAATCGAAGTAACCAACTACCTCAAAGGTATACTATGGAGCAAGTACCAACCATTCAATTTCAATCCATATACACAAGGTATGTCATCCAAAGTACACTCATTCAATCATTCCAAAACTAACATATCATCATCAATAAGATCCAAGATACCCATTAGTGACATCAGTTGACCCGACTACTCTACCAACAAGTGGTGGATCATTATCATTGAATGGAGTATTCCTAAGATATATAACTGATCAATCAGTTATGATAAATGATCGATCATGTACAATAGATATAATCAACACTACCTATATCCATTGTTCAGTTCCAGGTCAACTTGCTGTTGGATATGCCAACATCACCATCATCAATGATGATCATATCTTCACATCAAACTCCCTTTTAGAGATTGGTAAGCATTATCCACTCGATCAATCAGTCTCTTGAACTATCCCACTCACTCAATCAATCAATCATATTTAGTCACTGGTTCACCTGTAGTGGATTGTGGAGTTGGTATCCCTTGCAATGGCAATGGAGTATGTGGCCCTGATGGAGTGTGTGATTGTTATGATGGCTTTGGTGGATATTATTGTGAATCTCGTCTTAGTCCTGGCGTGATCATTCTGCCAAACAACACTTCTCCAGATGTTGTGATACTCACAAATGTATCAAGTCTATTCCAGTTCAACATAATAGCCGTACAGGAACTTGACTACAATGGAGTGATGGTCAAAGAGTTGTTGACCAATGACTGGGACTACAACACAACTACCAACACATCTCTCATAGTACATGAGTACTTGCAACAATCAGGATCAGTGGCAGTTCGAGTCGAGATCATTCAATTCTTAAAGTCATACTCCATTGACTTTGCTGGCACGACCAACAAGTACTCAAGCGATCAACTCAAGCTCACAGTGTCCATTGATGGATGGACCTATCAATCAATCCTCAACACACTACGCGTTGTCTTTCAACACAACTCCAATCTCAATGAGTCGGGTGACGGATGTGTCTCACCTCAGGTCGAGTTGGGTACTGTCAGTGGACCTGGCGGCGACTCATTGCGCTACGTCAAGATTGTCAACGCAAGCAGTGGAGTGGCATACTATGGTCACTTCCTCCCGTACGCTCTGTCAGATGGTCGACCAGCTATCTCTAGGACAATGATCATCAACTCGACGGCCGACTCTACATTGCTCGGTATCACACTACCTCAATGTACAAGTTGTATAATAGATCCAGACTTCTCAGTATTGTTGAGCGTTGACAATAGTGGAGGTGTAGGTGGACGTTGCCAAGTTACATCCAAATCCAAGACATGGATAATCATTGTAGCAGTAGTAGGTGGAGGTGTACTATTAGCCGGTACTATCTTGGGTATCTTCATGCTAATAAGGAAGAGGAACAAGTTCAGACAACAGAATGCGATGATGGATAATAGACTTAAGCAGATACATGCATCAAAACGAGAAATCTAATTAGTGTAATAAACATCTCAATACTCTCCAAGTCCGCTACCCTCGCCCTCACCCTCAACCCTCGCCCTCAACCCTCGCCCTGGACCCTTTCTCTTTTCAGTTCAAATACAAAGTGATTGTTATTGAGATTATTAATAATAAGGATGGGATCATATCAATCAAAGAATGCGGATATACAGGAGGAGGATAGTATATTGGTTACATTACCATTGATTATATTACAATATATATTTGATCAACTTGATCTACAACTTGATAAATGTTGTCTATGTTTGACTTGTAAGACATTATATCAACAACGAAAGAAGATAGCGCGTACTCCCAACGTCTGTCGATGTGACCATCATTATCAATATCACATCAACTATAACAACTTAACGATCCTTCATCGATGTGACCCTGAGAGTATGTAATGAATGAACAAGTTGACTCACTGAGTTGCACTCACCAATTGATCACTGACCTGTACGAGGTAGATATTACACATGTAGAGCGCGATAAAGATGCAATATATAGGATTGAGACAAGTGGCAGTCCACCAAGAACAAGATTGATCTTTGAGAATAAGCTTACTGGAGTGTATAGATCATTGTCAGATTGTTATATACCATCTCATGTCAACTTAATCATATTCCACACATCATTCAACTCAAAGATCGCACCTGGAGATATACCAGCACACGTAACTACCATTATAATGGGCGTTGACTATCCCATCAGTGGATACTTCAATCAACCTTTGCTGCCTGGCTCAATCCCCAATGGTGTCACGACTCTATTGCTCGGTGATGTGTTCAATCGTACTCTTGAGCCAGGTGTACTCCCGCCTTCAATCACAGAGCTCAAGTTTGGTAAAGGATTCAATCAAAGGTTGATCACAGGTGCGCTACCAAATTCAATTACCTCGTTGTTCATGAAGGGATATGACCATTCACTCAAGTCAGCCGTACTACCTACGTCTCTGACACACCTTCACCTGGATACCTTTCAGTCAGAGATTGAGGACAGGCTACCAATGTCATTGACAAGACTACATCTTGGACGGTACAATATGGCCTATCTTGAGGCAGTACTACCGCAACAACAATTGGGCGCCCTATCCTTTGGAGACCAATTTAACATTAGACTGTTACCTGGCTCACTACCCAACACATTGACCGAGCTCAAGCTGGGCTATGCGTTCAATTCGCCACTGGTACCACAAGCTCTGCCAAGCTCGCTGGTCTCGCTTGCCATGGGACATAGGTTCGATCAACCTTTGGTGCCCGGCGCATTGCCATCCTCACTCGGCTCACTGATACTAAGCGCATCGTTCAATCAACCTCTGTTGCCAAACGTGTTGCCAGACTCGCTCACACATATTCACTTTGGTCGACTGTTCAATCAAGCATTGAAAAGCAAAGTGATACCAGCATCACTCACATCGCTAAGCCATAGCAATGACCTGATGAAGATGATCACAGGGAGCACATTCAGACACTGTCATATTGAACGAGTGACCATTGATATATATGAACGAATGACGTTGCCTCGAATGGCACAGTTCAATCAACACCTCAAGACACTGTACTTTGATCACCTCTTAATATTAAGATATGAAGATGCATCTATTGTATTACAACAATACTTGGACTCTGGTGTTCCTAGCCTTATCGTACTTGGATACATCAACGATGCATGTGGCATGATTCGTCGTCTAGACAACAACAAACTTCTGGTCCTGGATTCGGCCGCAAGAATGATTGTCCTCAACCACGACCAACTCATCATTCACTGTCAAGAGCTATTCAAAGAGAGATAAGGTACCTGATTGGCTGGCCTGGACCTGAGCTGGCCCTTGGCACACTTAGGAAGCCCCCTCCCACTGGACCCACTTTGATGATCAGTTGATCTTTTTTTTTCATCATTCCAAAAAACAAATAGTGGAAGAAAGAGATAAACAGATAGATAGAATGGGACTCAATCAATCAAGGGTTGATGATTGTTCACTACCATCACCCGTACCAATACCCACCCCCACCTCCACCAAGTGAGGATAAAAGTCATACTTGGACTTGATGCCATTGATCATACTTCAACGTGTAGTTGACCTACTTCATCCATTGGATTCATGTTGTCTAATCCTAACATGTAAGACACTATATCAACTTAGGTCACCCATCTTCAGAGCTCCAGTTACATGTCAATGTGCTCGTCTACACCTCCACTACAACACGTTCTCAATCACTCATCAATGTGTACCATATAGTATGTACATCAAAGAATGAACAAATCCATGAATGAAATGATGAACGACACCTTTACTGATCATGTTGATAGATGAACCATTTGTTATTGGATATACACCAGTGGATAAGAGACGCGAGTGGACAACAGCAGTGATGGGAGGTGATCCTTTTACTCGATTGACTGGTCGGTACATACCAGAGACAGTCACAACAATCGATTTACACCATTATACAATTTGGACTTGAAGCCTGGTGATATACCCAGTCACATCACCACCGTTAGGATTGGCAATGGAGTTCCACTGGGTGGATATTACAACCAACCACTGATTCAAGGTTCACTGCCTATATCATCTAAATCTTGGAAATAAGTTCAACCAACCTTTAATACCAGTCGTCCTTCCTAGCACACTCAAAGAGCTCATACTTGGCACAAGGTACAACATGCAGTTCAACATTGGGTCACTCCCGAGCTTCAACCATCACCTCATTCCGGCGCACTACCCTCGTCGTTATTATTTCAACTAACTTATTCAAATTGGTGCCCTACCCGAATCATTGACTGCGCTAAAGTTTGGATATGAATACGATCAACCTCTGACAATTGGAATGCTTCCCAAGTCTTTGGTCTCATTGGATATGGGCACCATGTTCGATCACCCATTGGATCTTCAAGGAACTGGACCCGTACCTGGACAACTTATGATTAGAACAGTGATCCTAAACAATTGCCATCCAGATAGTTTGAAGCATGATATAATATCAGACTTCATCTTTAACACTTCAATACCAAATCTGGTCATGCTGGAATTCAATGATCATCGATCATGTGTTGGTATGATTCGTCGACTTGGCGGACAATCCTCCCAACTACTTGTAATGGGCAAAAATTCAAAGATATTCTTTATTCAAAAGAATAAAATAATAAATCATTTTAGCGACATATTCTATTAAATTAATAGAATTAAAATACAAATAATAATAAATAATAATAAAGTCCAACATTCCAAAAAAAATCTGATCAAAAAATCATGTGATCTCATTGTATTAAAATAATCATAGTTATAATTAGATTGATGGTGGACACAATAGAAGAATGGGACTCAATCAATCAATTATTGATCAATCATTGCCATCAGTACACGATCCTCTACAATCACCGACACCAAATTTGGGCTCATTGCCATTGATCATACTTCAACAACTAGTCAATCATCTACGTCCATTGGATTCATGTTGTCTTGTACTATCATGCAAGACACTGTACACACTTAAACTACTCATCTTCAAACCTCCAGACACATGTCAATGCGACACAAGTCATCGCTACGACATACACTTCAACAAGTTAACAATCATACATCAATGTGTTCCAAAGGTAGTACCCTATATCATTTGTGCCCCTACTACTACTACTACTACTACTCAATCAATGACTGGACATGGATCAACTGGAGTGATGGTCGACACGTACCTTCAACAAAGATTGATCGCCAGTCAGATACCTGAATCAATCACAACGATCATGTTGAGCACATTTTATAATTGGGACTTTAGACCAGGTGATATACCTGATCATATTACAAAGATATGGATAGCAGAAAAGGGCTTAGTCCATGGTGGATCATTCAATCGACCTCTGGTCATTGGCTCCCTGCCTCATTCAATCACATCTCTATATCTTGGAGAGGAGTTCAATCAAACGCTCGAGCCGCACGTGCTCCCACACTCACTCAAAGAGCTAAAGCTCGGCAAGAAATTCAACATGCAGTTCAAAGTTGGGTCACTACCTAGCTCATTGGCCAAGTTGGACTTGGGTGGCTTCGACCATCAACTCATTCCAGGCATACTGCCCTCATCGTTGACAGACCTGACCTTCAACTTTTACTCTCAACACATCCAGGCAGACATACTTCCAACATCATTGATTACATTTAGAGTCGGGGACTCCTTCAACGAGAACATTGATGTTGGGGTACTGCCACCATTCCTCAGAAGTCTCACCTTTGGTTTCAGATTCGACACTAGTCTCTCTACAGGCGCACTCCCAGACTCCTTGACTGAGCTAAAGTTTGGGTTTCAGTTCAATCGACCTCTCACTATTGGATTGCTACCTAGTTCAATCATCTCGTTGGACTTGGGCTTTAGCTTCAATCAACCGTTGATAGGAGGCGTGTTGCCGACTACTCTTCTATCATTGATACTCAGCCCAAACCTCAATCAACCTTTGCATCCATTCGCGCTGCCATCATCACTCAAACATATTCAAATTGGTTGTTCATTCGATCCAAAGTTGAATCGTGATAAGAACTTAATACCAGACTCACTGGCATCAATAACATTTCACAACAGTACATTCAAGAACATGCCCAACAACATGTTTAGTCATTGTAAGATCGAGCACATCACACTCTACATTGACCATCCAATATACTTTCCCAAACTCAATCAATTCAATCATCTTTTGAATACATTGACCATATATCAATGTATTAATACATTGGATTCACAACAATCGATCATGAAGCAATACCTGAACATTGGAATACCACAATTGATCATTCGTGGTGTCCACAACAATCCCAAGGCAGTGATTGGAATTGTTCGTCGACTTGATTCCAATCAACTACTTGTAATGGATTCCAAAAGGAGAATATACATAATCACCAAAAAGAAACTACTTTCTTCCCAACAACATCTATTCAAGTATTAAAGGTATTGGTCTATTTATGTGACGGAATGGTTCCAGTGGGTTGTGTTGAGGTTGGAGTCCTATAGATTCAAGTTCTGGGACCATTGGATTCTTCATTCAATCCATCATATGAAAGGTATTCCAAAAAAATTCCAGTCTAAGCTCCAAAAAGATCAAAAACTCGGTCCTTTCTTGATCAGGTCTTGACCATTCTAACATTATTTAGTTCTTGACAAACATACATTTACATATTAATATGATGGTGGAACACACTTAAGAAAGAATGGGACTCAATCAATCTCAATCACTACCATCAGTATACTTTCCGCAAATACCTTCAATTAATTTGGACTCATTGCCATTGGTCATTCTTCAACGTCTAGTCAATCTACTAGATCCAATTGATTCATGTTGTCTTGTACTATCATGTAAGACATTGTATAAACTTAAACTGTCTATCTTCAGACCCCCAGACACTTGTCAATGCGACCCAAGTCATCATTACGACATACACATCAACAAGTTAACAATCATACATCAATGTGTTTCAAAGATTGTACCTTATATCATTGGTGACACTACTACTACTACTACTACTCAATCAAAGACTGGACATGGATCAACTGGTGTGATGATCGACACATACATTCAACAAAGATTGATTGCCAGTCACATACCTGATGGGGTCACAACGATCATGTTGCACACCATTTATAATTGGGACTTTAGACCTGGTGATATACCTGATCACATTACAAAGATATGGATGGCTGATGGATTCCCCATGGGCGGATCATTCAATCAACCACTGGTCATTGGCTCCCTGCCTCAATCAATCACATCTCTATTTCTTGGAGACGAGTTCAATCATCCGCTCAAGCCTCGCGTCCTCCCATACTCGCTCAAAGAGCTCAAGCTAGGCAAGAGATACAACATGCAGTTCAGCGTTGGGTCACTCCCAAGCTCAATCACCAAGTTGGACACTGGTGGCTTCAATCATCCTCTGATCCCAGGCACACTGCCCTCGTCTTTGACAGACTTGTTCCTGAACGTCTACTCAAAGCACATCCTGGCAGACACTCTTCCCACCTCATTGATCACACTTAGAGTAGGTGACTACTTCAACGAGTACTTTGATATTGGGGTGCTGCCGCCACATCTCAGAAGTCTCACCTTTGGTACTAGGTTCGACACTAATCTTCCCGCAGGCGCATTCCCAGACACCTTGACTGAGCTCAAGTTTGGCTCAAACTTCAATCGACCCTTTACGATTGGATTGCTGCCCAAGTCAATCATCTCATTGGACCTGGGCTACTTGTTCAATCAACCATTGAGCGGATGGGTAGTGCCGCCCGCACTTCAATCATTAATACTCAGCCCACGCTTCAATCAACGATTGAGTCCATCCGCGCTGCCACCAACACTCAAACATCTTCAACTTGGTAGTTCTTTCGATCCAAAGTTGAATCGTGATAAGAACTTAATACCAGACTCAATCACATCATTGTCATGTGATAACAGTATCTTCAAGAACATGCCCAACAACATGTTTAGTCATTGTAAGATCGAGCACATCACACTCTACATTGACCATCCAACATACTTTCCCAAACTTCAACAATTCAATCATATGTTGAGTACATTGACCATATATCAATGCCATGGATCATTGGCAGCCCAACAATCAATCATTAATCAATATCTAAACACTGGACTTCCCCACTTGATCGTTCGTCAAGACACAAAGGGCGTGATTGGCACAGTTCGTCGACTTGATACCAATGAACTACTCGTAATGGATTCCAAAAGGAGAATGTACATCATCAACAAAGAGAAACTACTAGATATCCATCAACACGTATTCGGGTATTAATAAATGACAAAGGTGTCTATTTATAGACGGAATGATTCCAGTGGGGTTGTGTATGTGGGTGGGGGGTTGGCCCCGATGATCTGATTAGTAGAGCCAACAATGGAAAATTAATGGAACAATGTTCGTATGCCTTGGTCATTAAGTCAATGGTATAAAGATGTTGGATATTACTTTGCCGGCTCACTTGATCAAGTCATCAATTCAAACCAAAGTTGTCAGCTGACGAACTTGACATATTCATCAATCATTCATTCATTCGTCTAATCAATCACTAGTTATAGATACTCATACAGATAGATACACTGCTTCACAATGGACTCATTACCATTGATTCTATTACAACGTATTGTTGAGAGATTAGAAGCAATGGATGCTTGTTGTCTCATCTTGTCATGCAAGAGGTTGTATAAACAGAGATTGAAGATTGCCAGACCTCCAACAAACAGATGTCAATGTGGTCTTTTACTCTACTGTAATATAAAGTACAACAATATCACTATCTTTCATCGTTGTAGTCCACCAGGTACATGTCCAATGTCAACTTCATCATAATCAATCAATTATATTTCATACTTACACTCTATCTCTATCCCTATCTCTATCAATGTTAAGTTCAATTCCTTAAGCAAGAAGATGATCTACCTTATGTACTTGATACAAACAAAGAACATGCATTGTTTGCTAAACCATTCGATGACTCATTCGATCGATCATTGGCAACAGTAAAGTTCCCTCCAACAGTCAATCGTATTACATTTGCAGGAATGGTCAGGTGTAGACTACCAATCGAACCTGGTGACATACCAGACAGTATAACAGACATCACACTGTCAACTGGATTCAATCAACTCAAGCCTGGATCAATCCCTCGCAATGTCACCACACTGAATCTTGGACAAACCAAGATCAACCTGTTTGATCAACCCGGTATCATCCCAGACTCGATGGAGAAGTTGTGGTTGGGAGAAGGACATACTGATGCGATCATCCCTGGTAGATTGCCCATGTCATTGACAATGCTCCACACAGGCTACTCGAACCACCCTATCCTGCCTGGCACCCTCCCCCGCTCTCTGACCGAGCTTCATATTGGACATACATTTGATCAGGTGATAGCGCCAGGCACACTACCATCGGGCATCACGACACTCACATTTGGTTCTCAATTCAATAGTGAGCTGGTGCCAGGTGTGCTGCCCTCAAGTCTCAAGACTCTAAAGCTAAGCTCGATATTCAATAAGGAGTTGTCGATCGGTGCACTGCCCGCGACCCTTCAGGAGCTGGACCTTGGCTTCTGCTACTCCCATCAGTTGGTTAGAGGCGTGCTACCTGACAACCTCCAATCCCTTGTACTTGGACGGCTTTATACACATCCCATGCTCCCTCAAGCGCTACCCCAATCACTCACTCACCTCTCTCTGGGTGCCGCGTACCTAGAATCACTTGGCATCCTACCCGAATCATTGACATCACTCAGCTATGCCAATGATAGGTTGCTTAGACCTCTCTCGCCTTGCCACACACCCGATACCTTCAGCCAATGTCGCATCCAGCGAGTGACACTGAACGCCAAATGCCGTGAGGCAACTCAATACCTGCCTCCAAACACCCTTTTCCATGGACATGTGCAGACGTTGGTATTGGAGAACTATCCTTACTTCAAGAACAACGGATACCAAACGGTACTTAGCTACATTGATACACAGATACCCAACTTCATTCAAACTGATCAGAACATCATGATACGTCCACTCGACCGTCGATACCTTCTGGCCAAGGTCAGCAAGTCACGCTTAGTAATCGTCGATCTTGCGAATGTTAAGAACAAGTCATCAACCCTGACCCTGTTTGATTAATAAATGATCGGAACTGGATTTGGTAATTGGCGCCAGTAATCAATCAAATGACTCCAACGAAGTCCAACCAGATGATCATATTGAATAAGTTGATTGATGTCCAGAGACATGATCATTTAATGTTACAGTTGATTGAGTTGGAGTTGCCCATGTCTACATGAGTGCTGTCCTTTCATTCCTCATCGTATTAAATATGGCTAAGTGTGATTGGAGGAGAGGAAAGGGACCTGTTAGTAATCATTCTTGAGAGGCAGGGACTTTACATTGCTCACCACCACTTACATTCAAGCTTATCATGCATGGCAGCCATGTCAGTCGATCGTAGTTGTCCATGGAGCTTGAGAGCATGCTCCAGATGTACTAGTTGCTGATCCATCGCAACCTTGAGCAACTCGGCAAAGTGCTTGTTGTCCGGATGCTTCTGAAGGTATTGGTTGGTCAGGAAGTGATCGTAGCGCGATATGCCTCCGTTGACGGCCGCATCAATGATGCCATTGAGTGTCATGGTCAGAGGGTTGATGCTGTCGGGCTGTGTGTTGTTGGCCGTGTGTGGGCCATACTTCTCGATGCGTGCCATCAGCTCCTCATTCTTCTGCACGACACTGTTGAGTGCGTTCTCAATGGGCGACACCTCGTACTGATGGCGATCGACGACCAGTGATCGACGTTCCGTACAAGGGAAGTGCGTCTCGGTAATCAGGTAGATGTTCATCAGCCACAAGTCCTCAAACTCGTTTGTGGACTTTGATGCAGATCCTGCTACTGTTCCCTGTGCAGCTCTCTTGAATGGCTTTGAGTACAAGAACACATTGACCTTGTTCCTTGCACTCAGTTGTTGTACTCTAAGAGGTACTCTCTTCTTTGAACTGAAGCTCTCTCCAATGTAATTGAGGCTATGTCTCTTCTGGATGTCTCCCATGCTTGATATGTTTACAGTTGTTATTAATAAATCTGTCATGATTGAGTGAATGGATGTTAGTGATGGGTCAACGGACAACCCTGGATGGAACCAAGTGCAACATCACTTACATTGTGAATCCGAGTCCATGATTGATTGGCTTGGCGTGTCGGTGGACTTGAGCAGTTCAGCCTTGGGCCACTTCTCGCAAGTCCTGGCGATGAAGTCTGATAGACGATCAAACTCATTGCCCTTGTAGATGAACTCCTTGTTCTGGATTGAAGCAGGGAACTTCTTGCCATAGTATCCAACTCTAAAGTACTCCTCAAAGATTGACTCTGTCTCATTGATCTTCTGTATGAACGCTGCCTGTTGTCTGAGGTACGTCGCAGCCGAGACCATGTCACAGATGTTCATGGTGAAGTGATGCGTCAGCTCCTTGAGCAGAGGGATGGCGCGATCCCATGCCTTGCCAGTGTTGTAGCATGCCAGCACCTCTTTGTAGAGTATCTCCTTGCGCTCCGACTCCTTTTGCGCGGGGAATGGCGCGTAGTCACAGTTGATGGCGTTGACCACCTTGTTGTGATCCCATTGGTAGAGGTTGGCATGCAACATGACGGCCACGGCTGACTCGATAAAGTTGCCGTTGGTGAAGTGTCGCTTGCTACACATGCTGGCGAAGCGAATGAAGTGGTTGGTGCGCTTGTTCTCCTGGAAGTACATGATGAGCTTGCTGACCGAGGCGAAGATCTCCTCCTCGTCCTGGTTCTTGACGTCGTTCATAAAGGTCGTCAGCAGGTTGATAAAGTGTGTGACGTCCACGATGAATCGCTCGGCCTTGATCCTGACCTCCTCGTCCGTCTTGGACAGCACCAGCTGCATGCTCTGCGTGCTGAATACAGTCGCGAATGTCTTTTGTGTGAATGGCAGCTTGCCGTCGCTGCTCTTGGTAACGAGCGGCCAGGTCATGCCGTCGCTGATACTGGTGCCACACTCGAGAAGCGAGTCCACAGTCTTGCTGATGAGCTCGGCGTGGCCTCCGTTCAAGGTGATCTCGCCCTCGAGCATGTCGTAGAGGATGCGGGTGGCCAGACGCTTGGCATCGGCAGAGTCGCTGATGTACAACTTGATGATGGGGTCGACCAAGACGGGGATGAACGATGCCTTCTCCTTGAGCGGCACAGTATTCCACACGCGCTCAATCACTCGAGCCATCTCGATGCGAACGTCACCACAGCGCGACTTTAGATAGACCGCTTTGGCGGGGTTGACCGACTCGAGCTGCAAGTCCTTGCTGTTGAGGTACGAGCTGGTCATCAGGAAGAAGGAGCGCCACAAGGCAAACTCAAATTGGCCGGCGACCTTGGTGCCCGCAGCCGACGACTGGTAGAAGATCACGTCCTCAAGGATGCGAGTCATGCGCAACAGGGTCTTCATCTTGAAGACTGTGAACGTCCAAAAGTCGCCTGGGATCTTGGGCGAGTCGAAGAGATTTTGAAGACTGTCAAACAGGTCGATGAAGAACGTCTTGGACGAGACTGTCTTGCTGAACATCTCCCAGTGCTGGATGCCGGCCAAGCGAGCAGTGCCTAGGATGAAGGCGTAGATCTTGAGACGCAGGTCCACCTGGCTCTCCTCTCCCAGCGACGACACCATCGACGCCAGGGACACCGATGCCGATGCGCCGTTCAAATATGATGAGCTTGAGCTACGTCGCTTGTTCAGACTGCCTGGTGTGATGGTAGTGGGTGCAGTGGCGGCCAGACTGACATTGATCAGCTGCAGGAGCTCGAGGATCTGCACAAAGAAGGTCATGACGTCCATGAGCCACGTGTCCTTGTCAGCGCGTATCTCAGACTTGGTGATCATGATGTCGGTAATCTGGCCCAGCACGGTCAGACACACCTCGGTCTCTTCGATTGACTTGCCAAAGTGCAGTTGCAGCAGCTGGAACACGATGGGATGCAGCTGGCGTCTTGTGTCCTTGTTGAGCATGAGCTCGCCGTGCAGGTACGACGACAGAAGCTTGAGCTTGAGCATGTTGAACGTCTTGTTCTTCTCAAGATGCTGGATGGACTTCATAAACTTGAGCGCGATGATGCCCATCTCCTCGACCGTGAAGAAACGCTTCAGGTCTGAGAACATGCCCTCGAAGTTCTTGAGCGCGATCGTCTGCGCGCCAATCAGAGAGGGCGAGTTGGAAATCATAATCTCGCACAGGATGTCCACGACACTCTTCAAGTTGTTCTGATAGTTCTCGTTATTGACGTTGGCGTCCACCTTGTTGGGGAAGCGTGATCTCGATGCAATGACCATCTTGAAGACATACTCGAGTGCCTTGAGCGATGAGCTAATCTTTGATGCGTTAGCGGGGTCTTGGAAGTTTTCCAGATTCTTGACGACCGAACGCAACAAATGAGAGTGTGCGGCAATGCCTGCAGGCGAGCCGCTTGGGTTCAGCGACAGGCCAAAGTATTTCGAAATGTACATGTCCAATGCGGGTCTGAAGTTGACCGTTCTCGAGTCCACCAATACTCCAATGATGAATATAAGTGCCTTGAATCTGTGATTGATTGATTGAGTAAGTAAAGTGATTGATTGATTGATTGAGCGTGGTGTCCAACTTACATCTCCATGGAGAGTGGCGAGTCGTGTAGTTGTTGATCCATGATCGCGAGGAAGTTGTAAAAGATCTCTTGGAGGTTGCGTATCAGGTCTTGTTGGTTGAGGAATGTGATATCTTTGATGAGTGTGGATAGCTCGCCTTGGAAGGACTGCCATTTGGACAGATGTACCACCTGGGGGCTCTGTGTGTGACACACAGAGACAAAGGAAGTGCGAACGCGCAGTGTGTCCAGCTTCTTGGACGACGATGACTTGGCGTCCGTCACCACGCCATTGATGTAGCTGGCCAACGGGATGTCATCAGAGGCGGCGCGATAGATGTTGATGGTGTGTGCGCCGTCCTTGATCATGCAGCCGTCATCGTTGAGGAACCGCAGGAAGCCGAATCCGATGGTTTGGCGCTCCTTGTCCTTCTTCTCGGAGCACGAACGCACAGTGAACAATAGATGCGAGTTGGCAAAGCTTTTGGCCGACATCCACACTTTGATGGACTCGTTCCAGCGCGAGCTGGGGCTCGCCTGCACGCTTGTGCGGTACTCAGACAGCTCGGGCTGTCCGTTGGCAAACTTGATCGAGTCGCTAATCATGTGGCCCGTGTCGTTGGAGCGACCCACGACTGTGACCTCGATGTTCTTGTCGGAGAACTCGCCGTCCTCAAACTGCAGGTAGAGGTCGTTGCGGTCGTAGCCCGGCAGCATGACCTCTGGCAGGTGCATCTTGAGCGATGCCGTGACGCTGCGGTATGGCGCGTTCTCAAATAGGAACTGCGCATAGTCTGAGAAGAAGTGTTGCACAGTGCATACGATACCCTTGGCGCGAGTGATTGGCTCGTATGTTGTGGTCGCCTCGGCAATGATGCTGTCGTGCAGTGTGGCCAAACTGGTCTCGTTGGACGACGTGTAAAGTGTGATGAGCAGCTCGACTGGTGTGTCGACACTGTTGAGCAGGTCGAGTCGCTTGACGCCACAGCCAATGTACTTCTTGAAATGCTTGTTGCTGCTGCCTGAAGCCACAATCGTCTGCATGAACGCGTTGGACGACGAGGTGTTCAGTGACATGGCCGATGGCATCATGCTGGCGTTGGATCTCGTCATTGTTGGAGAGGAGTTGGGGTCCTTCGAATTGATGTTGGTCGTGCGCCTGTAGATCTTGGCCACGAGGTAGAGCTCAGAGTGGAGATCGCGTGGCTCCAAGTCCTTGAAGATGGTGCGTATCTTGTCCTGTGGACTCTCGGGCTCGACAAAGATGCCGCTGGGTGGCACGATGCCGCAATAGTTCTCCGTGAGGAACCTGCCCTCTGTCTTACTGTAGACGCTCAGCACCAGCTCCAGATACTCACCCGATGAGTACAGGAAGTTGTTGAGCGAGACGACCAGCTGACACTTGGAGTTGCCGTCCAGTGTCTGCGAGGTCTTTAGCGACTTGCCTGGCTTGAGCATCAGGGGTGGCTGGCCACCGCGAGCTCCGCGTGGTGTAGTGTTGTTAGCAGCCGAGCTGAGGTTGAGCAGCGACAGCTGGCTCTGCAAGTGCGGGATGTGTGTGGGGGCTGGCGCCGTTGAGGGTGGGCTTGACGTCAGCGAGATGTGTGAGTTGGCCAGTGATTGTGCCGATGTCGACGCCAACCCGTTGTGTGTGTGTAAGTGGAGGTTTGGCGTGGATGCAGAGGCTGCGGACACTGGCAAGGGAGGCATGCCCCCGCTTCCCGTCAATGAATTGGTCGGCATCTTGCCCTTAATTCGCACGCTGCTGAGGAAGTTCTTCTTTGCTGACTGTGGCGAGCCGTTGCCGTTGGCTATTGGCGACTCGGGATGTTTGGGCAGTGAGCCCGAGCCACTAAGCCCGGATCCAATGCCGCTCCCGCTGCTTGTCGATGGCGATATGTTTAGACCGCTGCCGCTGCCGCCCGCGGGCGACTGCGATCCTGGGGCGGTGCCAGTGGACCCGTTGAGTGCCATGCCTGTGACGGCGCTGCCGGCGGTCGGACCCGTCGCCTCCTCCTTCTTGGCGCTATCCAGCAGTTGTCTGTTATTGGCTTCGTGTGGGCTGATCAGCTGTCTCTTCTCTTGGTACATCGTGCACAGGGCAAACACGCCAGAGTTTTCTGCGTCGGCCAAGATCAGGTCGGTGGCGGCCAGCGCATGCAGTGACACGTTGCTGTTGCGCGGGTTGGACGAGGCCACCGAGTGCGGGTTGGACATCTCCTTCCTCAGGACGATCTTCATGCCCGTCTCCTGACGGCCCTCGTCGATCAGGTGAATGATCTTGTCCCTGAGCTCAAAAGTGATCTCCTTGGGCGACGATAGAGTCAACAACTGGTTCCTGAACTGCACGAGCTGCGTGATCCTATGTGTCAATGTCTTAAAGTCGTTGTGCTGCTTGTTCTGTGAGAATATCTTGAGCAATGTCGCCCATTCGACAATCGTTGTCGTTATCTCATTGAGTATGGCGCAGTTGGTGAATTGTTCGTTTGGTATGTTACTGTTGGCGGGCGAGGGTGTGAGCGGACATGTTGCTGGGGGGTGCGTTCGTGTCGCCGTCCGTCAGTCCGGACTCAACTCCAACTTACAGTCTTGTGGATATAGGTACATGATGAGGCGATGTTGCCTCGTCAACAGTGTCTGGTAGTATTACAACATAGGATTGAGGGAAGATGCCACTCTCTTGTGTAGTGATGGAGACGCCGCTGAACCAGCCTTGATCGCCCTCGACCGCCGTCTGTGAGTGTATCTGCACCAGGTCACCAACGGACAGTGGCAATTGGAACTTATGAGAGGCATTGAATGGGAATAGCACTACTCCAGTCTTTGTGACATCATTCCACTCTCCTCCCTTATTATTACTAGCTCCACCTCCTGTCGTCATTGATTGTTTTGTTGATGCTGCGATGGTCGTCATATCTCTGTCTTCCTGTCCTCCTACTAAACTTATGTGTGTCGATATCGAGTGCGCTGTTGTTCGCTGCGCTTGACCTGCTGTCTGTTGTCACTGTCTGTCCGTCTGTCTGTCCGTCGATGTATGTTTGATTGATTGATTGAATGAATGAATGACTCTGACTGTGACTATGACTGTGACTGTTGTTCAACAAGTTAGAATATCTATAAACTATAACAATATTATATATAACTCTATCTCTAACTCTATCTCTAACTCTATCTCTAACACAACATCAAGTCAATCAATCAGTAGATCAAGGGAGGGGAAGTAAGCGCTCACTTTGGTGAGAGGGAGAGTGTGGTGTGGAGGAAGAGGATGGATTGACTCAACTCAGTCAGCTTCGCAGCAGTCAGGTGATATGATAAGCTTGAATGTGTTGGATGGATTGGATGGATGGAGGGGAGGGAAGAGGAGGATGGCGGTAATGCTTTGTGCTTGTTGAGTGATGAGTATGTAGCATTGCCCACCACACTCTTCTTCAAACAAACAATACCAATACCAATGCCAATGCCAATAACCAGGTATGTGTTTGATCAAAGTACTTCCTTATATGGTTGTGTGTGATCACCCAACAAACACTCTTGATCATGACCACTCACTCGCCCCCATCACACACACTCACACACACTTGTTGTATCCTTAATAGTACATGTATAAATGTTGTTGTTGTACTATATCTGTGTGTTGTGTGTTTGTTGTTGGATGCTGTTTGTTGTGTTGTTGTTGTTGGAAAGATTGAATGAATGATGATGATGATGTGTTGGTCAATCAATCAATCAATCAATAATGAGTTGAACTGAACAGTCGACTGACTGACATAATGTTATAATATCCCGCGGGGATGTAATCAATCTTACAACGTAGATATACGATGTGTGATGTGTGATGTGTGATGTGATATGTGGCTGCATGTAAGAATGATAGACAGATAGATACAATAGACAATAGCAATTGTATCTTCGACTATTGATGAGTGAATGAGTGATGCGTTGTGATTGGTGTCGCGAATAGACTGGTCGATTCCGATCGATCACAATACATATGCGTCTCAATCAATATATCAACTTTGACATGTATGACATGACATGATATGACTCACCTACCCTTCTATAATGAGCTGTCGACTACCTATCTCCTGTGTCCACCCACCTGTGTGTTCTCACTCTTGTCTTGAATGAATAAATAAATAAAATCTGTATACAATGTAATAATAATAATAAATAAATATATATATATATATGTATCTGTATGTATGAAAGTTAATGACAAAGAGTAGTTAGTGTTGAGGACTTTGACACAGTGTGAGTGTGTTTGTGATTGAATGGGCATGATGGCCTTGGGACAAGCCACAACAAATGAAATGAAATGATGGTGGACCACGATACGTTTTCAGATCTGATCCAAAATTGGACGATTTTTTCAACAGCGACCTCTAGGAAGGACAACATCAAAATCGAACCTCCTCTTTTTGGTAAACAGTCCTCAAACATTCAATCAATCACCCTATCAATAAAATATATTTCACCAATCATTTTTATCAATCAATCAAATACAAAGATACACATATAACTTAACTTTGAAAAGGGTTGATATTTATTCGTCAAGATGATCAAAAATAATATCCAAAAATCAAAATATCTGTGATGTTTTTGAACAATTGCAAAAGGGCAATTGGGTCCAAAGATAAGATGAGCATAGTCGAGCTGTGAGACCATCATTAGTATACATCACTATCACTCTGTACAAGTATAATTATACAAATAATAATGTTTGTTAGGTCGTTTTTAGCAATCACTGTGTTGTTGACGGTGATCAATGCAACACCAAATGCAGATATATGGGCACCAGTCGATGCCTTCCTCGAACAGGCAATTGCAAATGGTACATTCCCAGGTTGCGTAGCACTAGTTGGTAACAAGGATGGTATACTATATGCATCTGCACCTGGACACTACACATACGGTGTGCCAACACCTCTTAATGATGGTGTCGTACCAAAGATGACCATGGATGTATGTTCATTCATTCAATCATTCATTCATTCATTCGATCCGATCACTCACTCAAACATCCTGGAATCATTCCAACACCCACTCCCTTCAATCAATTAATCTATCAATCATTTACAAAATGAAAATTAGACTTTATTTGATATGGCCAGTTGCTCAAAGGTTACTGCTACTACTACTGCTATTGCACAATTCTATCAAAGAGGAGAGTTGGACTTGAACGCCACAATTGCTAGTGTGATCGGTCAACAATACGCTGTCAATGGCAAGGGTCCCATCACCATCCTAAACTGTCTCCTCCACAACTCTGGTTACTTCCCAGACCCCGACCCCTTTTGGAGTATGTCCAATCCTATCATGTCCAATACCCTCATTCATACATGATGTTGATCACTTACCAATCTCTACATAATCACTTAATAGACACACCAGAGTTTGGATGTCCTGCCACTGCCAATGAGTACCCACCCATGGACTTCTCATGCCAGACTCAGATTTACAACAGCATCATGAACCAATCACTCATGAACCCCATCGGTGCCACATACGTCTACAGTGACCTCAAGTATGTCAATCAATCATTCAATGGAACTATTCCAATCACTTAATCACTCAATCACTCATACAATCAATCAATCAATCTTATAGCTTCATGACTTTGATGCTGGTGGCTGGACATTACGCCAGAACACTTGGATATGTGAAGGAACATGATATCATACCAGAGTGCAATACTGGTGGACCAGGAATTGATCAGTGCTACTATGAGGCTTATGTGAGAAAGTATGTGTTTGACCCTGTGGGCACCAAGTTCACGGGATACCTCCAGCCAAACTTCCTCTTCCCATTCTCTGCACCAACCGAGAACGACACAGTCTACATGCACACGACAATCCAAGGTGTGGTATCTGATGGCAATGCCTACGCGATGGGTGGCATTGGCGGCCACGCAGGTGTATTCTCCAACGCGCCCGAGATGTTCACCTTCATGAAGGCCATCATGTTTGCTCGCGAGGACAGCTCATACCTCAACACCACAACCATGGAGTTGTTCACCAAGGAGTACAATCACTCGCAGAGCAGTCGTGCACTTGGCTGGAATACCAACGACCCGACTGTCAACGACGAGGGCTGGGACCAATCGTGTGGATCACTCTCACCTACTACCTGGATGCATCTTGGCTACACTGGCACGATGCTCTGTGGTGATCCCGAGCGTGAACTCATAGTCATCCTCTTGACCAACCGTGTCTATCCCACGTCCACCAACGAGCTCATCCTCAATGTCAGGCGACCATTTGGCAATTTGGTACAACAAATCTACGACGCCAACTATTAATCCAAATCAATCCTACCATTCAAACTGGAATGATTCCATTAATAATTAATTAATTATTTGTTTGATTAATTTGATGTTTGATTGAGCTGTTTGTTTGATTATTTGGTAAATTTGTCCAACAACTTATCTGATCTTGGTAGTCTGGGAATGATCACGTATCTTAATCATCATAAAGACGATTAATAACGAGGGGTTGATCAATCAATCAAACATACATACATGAATGCGCCCATTAGTGTATTCAATTTGGTGACAAGGATATCAAAGTGGTCCATGGACAGCCCTATCCATTCCATTGTGATCTTAAGATGTCCCAATGAAGCCGTTGTCATGCCCGAATGAATAATATCCTACCTGGCACGGCGCCTCCCCATAACCATGTGTATGTATGTTTGTGTAAACCAGACGGTTAGGTGTTTGCGATATCTTGGAATCAGATCACCATCATCATTCATACAACAAAGATATTTATCATCGAAAAGTAAGTCGGCTTCATCTCATCTCCAAATATTTCTTCTCTTCTCCGTACCATGGGACCTTTCGAAGACATCGAAGGTGTGTGGTGGTTGGTTCTGATTGAGGACCCACAAGGGCTTACCCCACTTACACCCACACCCACATCAACAAAACAAACTGATGAAGCATACACAACCAACTCGAAGTTTTGAATCGAAAATTCGTTATTATCATTTTTCAAAAATATTATTAAGTGCACATGAATGGATGATAGCCCTATGCTGATTCCATTTTTGTACACGCCATGGGATCAGGTGGCGTAAACACAACTGTATCATGTATTAATTTGGTAGCGGCCCTTGGTTCGTGGGTGTGGTTGTTCGCGCGTTCATAAGAGACGCGGAAATACACTGCAGCGCTCAAAGGCAAGATAGCCCCCTGAGGCAGGCATCCAATCACCCAGCAACTCATCAATCAAATAATATAAAATATCTACTTCTCTCTCCATGTAGGAGTGAATGAAATGTGAATATTGACAAGACGGTCCAACCCTGTCATTGGGGCTTCCGACCCTACCGTGGTGCGGAGGGGCAGCACATCAACATGCTAGAGATGATCATCTACACATGCGAAGCTGAACTTTCCATCTTGTGAAACGCGCGGATTTATATTCAATCGCGGCAACGTCGCTTATTGATTCGTTGTTGTTGAGGTGATGATGTTGATGAGGGTGGGGCTGGAAAGCAGCACTATTGGAGAGAGCCTGCCACAACCAGACAGCCGATTAGTCATTCCAATATGTTCAGACGTGTCCTTCCTCCTATTTAGCAGAATCAATTTGTCACATTTAACACCTCTGCTGCATTAATGCCAGTCAATGACTGGCTGGTTGGCTGGGAACCACAGAGACATCATCTCCAAGGACCCAAGACCCTCAGAGTCTCGACAAGTCGATGGCCTTCTCCCAAAGGCCACACACACCATTACTCACTCCCACTCATTATTGACATTTTAACTGTTTTTGCACCATACCTTGCAAGGGTAGCTATAGTCTCTCTCTCTTCTCTTTGTCAATCTAACTAACTAACTAATCGTGAACCAAGAGACGCGTACGCGTAGCAGGTAGTTATTAGGCCTTTGTCTTGGCTCCCCAACATCAACAACCACCACCACCATCTACCTTGAATTGTCTGTCTGTGCGTGTGATGGATACTAGACTGACTTGGACCTTACCAAATATATATTCTCTATCTATTCCATCCAACCATCGATGCACCGTCCATCAATTATTATCCCAATCTCGGTGGTACTCACTAATTCACTAACTCACTAACTCACTCACTTTGTCACCATCCATCGCACATGCCTCTCCAAGTTTCATTTGCATCGTTGTCGATCTTGTTCTTGTTGTTGTTGTAGTTGATATGTGATAATGTAAATATAATAAATATAATTAATTAAACAACTTATAAATATATATATAATATAATTAATATAATATAAATATTATAATATCTTTGCTTAACATTTACAACAAACAAGCATCAGACCCAGCTAATTAATTAGTTAAAAGGTATAAATCATATAATATCATATCACTTCACTCAATTCTGTATTTGTTTGATTGTTTGTTTGTTTGGGTGAAGTGATCGTGTGTGAAGAGGCGGACGACTTAGCCAGGACCACAACCCTGACTCCTCTTTTCGAAAGGCGTTGAGTGAGTAACTCTGACACCCATCAATCCGATTCGAATTGAATTGATCAGGTTCTCTTCAGACGGCACGCACGACCCGACACGACACGCCTGGAGGTCCCTTCCCTCCCTCCCCTCTTCAATATTTAATATTCGCGTGTTTGTTCTTGTTGTTGTTATTGTTGTTGATGTTGTTGTTCACATTACCCTTTACTGACCTGTTGACCAAATGTATGAAATGAATGTTGAATGATTGAATGAATGTATGATTGAATGACCTTGCACAACAACTACATATCATATCATATCATTATACAAACAAAGAGACAGTAACGGTATTGTCCTGTAACCCTTTACCTTTGTTTGGTTATTTCCAAAACGTTGTTGTTGTGTCTATTCAGTTAACAGACAAATCAATCAATCAATTATCTTTATCTCTTTATTATATATATATTTAATAATAATATACTTATTGAAGCATACATAACTTACTTTGAGTAAGGTATGGTATTTGTTATTATCACTCCTTCCACCAAACAATCAATCAATCAATTAGACAGTTATAATATATATACTAATCACTCAATAACTCAATCAATTAATCACTTACTCATTCGATATCAGGTGACCTTTTGGAATGGAGATTGGATTCTTGTTGAACTCCAATACTACCAAGGACAAGAACAACAATAGAAATCAAACAGATAATGACTCTCCAGCAACAGCATCAACTACATCTACAACAACAACAAATACAAATACAAATACTACTGCAGTTAAATCAACACAGGTGAGGGAACAATCCCCATCACCATCACCCTCACCATCACGATCACCATCACAACATTTAACATCATCACCTCTACCAGTCCATCATCATCAACAACTCAATTTACATTTGCGCCATCATCAGCCACCGCCACATCCAGCACCATTCAGCAGAACAATCATAAATCAATCATCACAAGACTCATCACCTCAATGTATACTTCCACCATCACCGTTACAACATAATCAACAACAACACCAACAGCAGACACATTTAAATACTATTTATCCGAGTCACAGCCTACTCCATGGCCCGTCGGTATCCCACCAGGGCTCAGGCGGCCACTCGCCAGCCAAATCATCACCGTCAATATCACCTGATGTTCAATCAATGCAAGCAAGACACAGACAATATATATTCACACAGTATAATCCATCAGGAGGTAGGTCTCCTAACTCTATGAGGTCCACTCCATCAACAAGTTCTCCACCCTTTGGGTCAACATCATCACACTCATCAATCCCACCCTTGCAATTGTCTACTTCATCCACCATCAACAACACAGGCCGCGACTCACCCTCAGGCCTAGGAGGCCGTGGATCACCTTCATCACACTCCAACCCACTCTCCCACCCCCAGTCGCATTCCTCTCCCTCCTTCACCAGCACCACGACTACGACACAATCCTCGAGAAGTACTACCCCTAACCTTAAGCGGTCCACTGGTGCACTTAGCAGGGACTCTTCACCAGGCGCCAACAGTCCTCGAGAGTCCCCCAGCGGACATGATAGTCCGTCGCTAGAGCACACCACCATTCATCACACCGAGTTCAGCCCAGGAGTGGCACGACCGGCCGAGAAGAAGAGAAGGACTCGCTTGAAGAAGGACCAGTCCAGGGTGCTAAAGGAGTTCTTTGAGAAGGATAACTATCCAAACAAGGAGGAGAAAGAGAGGTTGGCGACGACGCTCAACATGACCTACTCAGCCGTGACCACTTGGTTCTCAAACAAACGCCAGGAGAAGAGGAGGAAGGAGACTGATGGCATGGGTGGTCGTCGTCTGCCTGTTACTGAAACAGATAGCCCCAACCCAAACAGCCAGGGAACTGGTCTGACGCCACACATCGGCAGTATTAATATGGGACATGGGGGACGACCACACATGGACCCTCTGACCCTCAACAGTCAGCAAGCTGGTAGTATGCACTCCTCGCCAATACCTTCCCCTCACACTAGTAGAAGTAGTACACCTCCAACACCATCATACAACAGAAGTCAACTAAGGTCAACAGGGTTCACGGACCTCTCCAACAACAGTCTCTCAATACTTTCACATGTGGCCAAAGATGATATCGATGTAGGATATAGCCATAATATTAATAATAATAATCAACGACGACAACAACAAATTCAACAACATTATCAATCCAGACACAACAATCATCAACATGTAATAACTTCCGACTCGGATTCTGAGATGATCATATCTAATACCGATCAACATTGGGATGATGATTCAAGATCAGACTTTAGTGATGATCAAATAATGGATCACAAGAGGAGAGGACTCTTCCATAATGCTACAGAGGGCAGATATAACACCGAGCGTTCCTCTCCACAACTACTCCCAAACCCCCTCCTACCAAGCCTACCGAGTATCCGAAGCAGTAACAGCAATCTTGGTAAAAGGAAACAATCACCATCCGATGATGATGAAGATACCAGAACATCAACAAACCCCAACAACAACAACAACAACAACAACAATAATACCGATTCAACGACCAAACCAGATAATCATGCTGACAATGACACGGATAATTGATTGATTGAATGAATGAATAATGATACTTCTTTTTCCTCCTCCTCCTCCCCTCACTCCACTACTTCTTCCTTCTTTCCTCCTCAATTATAAATCAATCAATCAAATAACAAACAGATTCATGTAACAACAAGGAGGTACTCCCTGTAATATCAACAAATCAGAACCAAAGAATATTGTATTGTATTGTATTATATTTCTATTTAAATGATTGATGGCTTGATATTATGATTGAAAGATGGAGTGATTGATCACAATCTATTGATCTTCTCGATGAAACAATCCTCTTGTACTTCGGACAAGTCACAACCTTGGATCTCAGCCTGGATACCAACACAAGCCTTTCTAAGTGCATCCTTGGAAGCAGTATATATCATCTTGGCCTTGATGGTTGATTGGCTTGGACACCTATATTTGAGTTAATATGAATTGGTAATTGTTTGATCGTGTGAGAGTTTGAGGTATGGCTTACCAAGAGACAAAGACTAACTTCTTCTTCACCAATGAGTTGTCGTCGGTGAATGTGAAGTCGACAAGGGCATAACGACATTCATTGTTTGGTAACTCTGAGAGGAATGTTGAGAATGGTGTACCAGTACTAAATGTCTTATCAACAACAATCTGAGTATTGTTATCATTCAACTTATAAAACACAAGTCCAAATTGATGTTTCATCTTCATCTGATCGAACACTTCTATACAGTTGCTTGCAAGTTTGATTCCAGTAGACTATACAATTTATTATTATTAATATTATTGGATAAATTAATTTCTTTGTTTAACTTACCATTATTATTAATATTGATTGAATATAAGTAGAATTGAGTAAGTTATAATTAAATTTTTTTGATTATTTGTTTGATTGTTAGTTTGTTAGTTTGATGATATTAAATGACTTTCCAACTATCCTTTATATAATGGAAATTGATCATACAATTGGAAGACAAACAAACAATGACTTGTGATTGAAATGAGTTGGAATGATCAAACCCATGTGACCTGGAAAGACCCAAAAGTTCATTCAGACCCACACCCACAGCCTTGATCTTCAATGAATTTTAGACCTGACTCTATCAATTAAACAGATACAGATACAAGTAAAGATACATATACAGATACAGATATTGATATAGATATAGAGTTGACAATGACATCACTACTTGAGGAATCATATGCACCACCAATACAACAAACACCTCCATTCCCAATAAGGACTAGACAACTAAGTGTAAAGATCAATGATATACACACTGATATAGTATTATCATCATTCGACACTTGTATATATATAACAATCACTCAAACATCAAAGTTTGCTACATGGGTATGTCTATCTGTATACCAATCCTATTGACTCGCTCACTCACTCAATCATTCATTCGACCAAACATTGAATCATATAGTTTAAGGCAACAAAGTTACATGATGGAGTGATCGCAGATGAACCTTGTTATCAAATAGATACATTGCTTGGAAGTAGTCAAGATCAATTGTTGACTATATACGCACGTCAATTGATTGAACATATATCTAAACATTGTGCAAAAGAACTATTACTATCAATCTCTCTACAAGACAAGTCAAAGGATACTTTCAAAGCGATACTGTCACTGATATTCGATCATAGGGTATGGTAGTTAATAAACGCCGTTATCCATTATTGATGGAGATATTGCTCTATGTTCTTCTTCTTCTTCTTCTTTATTCAAACATATAATGATGATGAATGATCAGTGATCGATGATGTTGTTGATTCATCGACGGCGATGTCCAATCCATTCCAATCCAATCCTATCCGATCACTCAATCATGAGTACACTTAAGCGTCTGACCAGTTTACACTCAGCTTATCCTCAATACCCTCGTTATTTCCAATCATCTGTATATGAATGATGAGTGTCAGTCTGTCAGGTCGAATACCAATCAATCAATGATTATATGTAACAACATACCAAAATGAACTCATCGAATGATATCTTGCCATCCTTGTCCAGATCACCCTCAATGATTGTCTTGTCAACGATCTGCTGCAGTTGGATGTCATTCAGGTTGGTACCAACCATCATCTTCAGTACTTGAAACAGCTCTCCATTGCCAATGAAGCCATCATTGTCCATATCATACACCTGGAACAAGACTGTTTGATTGATTCATGAATGAGTAAGAACGAACGAACGATCAATCAATCACATAACATACACTTAAGCTTGTCCTGCTTTGAACCCTTGTCAGAGAGTGTGGATAGAGTTTGAACAAACTCTGAGAACTCGATCTCATTGTCCTTGTTCAGATCGAATATAGTGAGCACTCGCTCCAGCAGAGGGTTCAAGGCCAAGTCGGGAATAGACAGGAATTCATCAGTTGTCAGTGTACCCGAGCCATCCTTATCCAACTTTTGGAATCTTCTATATAGTCTCTTCAACTCTGCCTCTGAGACTTAATGATCATGATCATTATAATATGTTAGGTATGTCATGTTCATTGTTTCAATCATTCAATCATTCATCTGTTCATTGTCATACAGTTACTGATGTCCTTCATGTGGTCCAGATGCTCTTTGCTGATTGCTCCCTGTTGATTTCCCATCTTATATGTCTTTTACTGTAATAGTTAGAAGTATATGTATGTATAAGTATTTATATGTCTATTTACAATCAAACAATCAATCAATCAATGTTGTTGTTGGATGATGTTGTTGTTTGTGTGTGAGATTGAATGAAGGATGATGAACACACCACTTCCCCATCAACAATAACACAAGCAAGGGCAAAACACTTCAGTTTCTTTGGACTTCGATGAAAGGTCACACAAATGTGCTTGGTTGAGCAATTACTTGACTTGGTGTCCTTCATACCAAAGATACAACAAACAGATAGATAGATACACAAGACAACATATATTTATGTACATGTAACCAAGTTCCCTTTGCAACATCATTCATATGTTTTGGAAGTGATGAATGTACATCAAGTCAATAGGACTGAACAACAACTACAACAACAACTACAACAACAAGTGATAGTAGAGGTATTGAATGATGAAGATGATATAAATAACACCAATGATGATGAAGAACTGTTAAAGAAACAATTGACTTGGTACGAGAGAATTGGTGTAGACAGCTGTCTACTAAGTCGTATCATTATCTTTGTAGTGATATTCACATGGATTGTTCTTACAATGTATGCTGCATTTAGTGCTGCATAATAATGTAGAAGAGAATACCAATCAATAAACCAACCATCGAACGAACGAATCAAGAGATGATGTAAATATATATATTTGAAAGACTTAACTTATAAAGTTGTTGTTTATTTAACGATAGATATATCATGTTGGATACCTTTAGATAGTTGATTGAATGGAAGTTAGTTAGAATGAATGAATGAAGTTGAGAGTATAGATAAAGTAGTTGAGTTGAGGGTTGGTAGGAAAGAGGGTATTGGTTGGTCATATGGTGATGCATGAAGATGTCAACATGTCAACGTTCAGACTTAAAAGTCGTTTAATCGTAGTTATAATCATCCGAATAGATTTAGAGAGGAAGAGAAATGAAGAGATAGGTGTATGTGTATGATGCTTACCTGTTGTGTTTGTTGATGAATGATTGATCAGCTGGCAGACGTGCAGAACATGTAGCTTTCGATTCGTTCAAACGAAACAAGTTTAGTTTGATTCAAAATAACTTGAAATGAACACGAAGTTCCTAATTGCACAGAGTGTCAGAGTTGGGAACATCAGTTGAGTAATGTTGCGAGGACATTGATAACATACACACATACACACTCAAACACACACATACATCGCAAGAAGGATGAAGGAAGAGGGTGTGTAAGTGGTGAATGAATGAATGAGTTATAAGTTAGATGGTGTTGGGGTCGTTCGAGTCAATAGTGTTGTTATGTGTGTTAAAGTGTAAAGTTCATCTTCATCTTGACTCAATATATACACTTCATTCTCTCTAACTCTCTCTCTTTCTCTCACTTCACAATCATTATCTAACTATCTAAAGAATAATATTATTTGTAGTTGTTTAATTTATACATACATACTTACCATTAATAATGACATCGACACAGGAGAAGGTATGATTGATCGAACGAATTAATAGAAGAGAATGAAGATGAAGGGTGTCTCGGATGTGATCGTTGTTAACATTTAAAATATTATTTATAGACACCAAACTTGGACAATATGTCACCAGAGGAGAAGATGTTGTATGAAAAGTATGGTCGACTGCCAAGACAATCTCAATTGTTGGCAAAGAAGGAGAAGAAGATATTCGATAGTGCTGACTGGGCCAAACAACAAGAGGCAAACAAGAAGAAGCCACCTGTTGGTGTTGGTATCGAGAAGACCATCAACGAATAATAATAATAATCAAACAACTATATTAAAGAATAGAGTGGCAGTCCATCTCCCCTTCATCTCCTCCTCCTCCTTCATTATGAATGATGGATGGATTGATGGATTGATGAATGGATTGCACTCATTTGTATTATGTATATACATTGACATTGACAATTGTCAATATCTGTCTATCTCTAGTTAGTTTGGTATCACACCAAGTGTCAATCAAAACTCTCATTCGGTTTGAGTGCCAATATGATGGGATCGATCGAACAATAAGATGTGTTTGGGAAAAGCGTCAACAATGTTGGGGGTATTGTTGAGATCAACAACACTCAAACAGTATTCAAAAGAATGAGAATCAGTTGTTTGACATTCATCATTCACACTTGTTACAGATACAAACATATAATATATACTTATATACATACTTATTGATACAGATATAAAGTTAGTAGTAGTAGTAGGTTGGCTGACTACTTTACTGTCAACATAACCATGGTTAGACTGTTTAGAAGTGGTTCAAAGAGTATGTTATTGATTGATTTGATTGATTGATTGAATGATGAGTTAACAACATATTATTACTTTAGGTTCTCGTGGCGAAGATACACAACAGACAACTGATCGAAAGGATGATGAGGAAGATATAACAATCAGTGCACCATTGTCACCTTTGACTCATATGCTTCATGTCAGTAGTGACTTTAAATGGAAGTCAAGAGAACCAGATGCATTCTTGTTTGAGGATATGCTTGGCGAGGGATCTTTTGGCGCCGTATACAAGGCCACGCACAGAGACAGTGGCTACACATTGGCCATCAAGGTGTTCAACAAGAAGGACGACACGACAATGATCGAGAAGGAGATTGATATATTGCGCAGGTGTAACAGTCAGCACTTGGTCTCCTACTTTGGATGCTTCAGTCCGCGACCCTGCAAAGAACTTTGGATACTGATGGACTTTTGCGGGCTGGGCTCCATCGCCGACATTATGAAGTCGGCACAGCGCACACTCAAGGAGCGCGAGATCGCACTCATATGTAAACAGGCACTGGATGGTCTACTCTATCTTCATGACAATCAAATCATTCATCGCGATGTCAAGGCCGCCAACATACTCCTAACAGAGAGTGGCATTGTCAAGATTGGAGACTTTGGAGTATCATCACAAATAATGTCAACCTTTTGCAAGGGTTCAATTGCAGGCACTCCTGTAAGGCATTGATCAATGGATGGATGGCATGTGCCATATCAATCAATCACATGATTGACTAACATACACCACATCAATCAATCACTTAACTTAGTATTGGATGGCACCAGAGATACTTAAAGAGGAAGAATATAGCAGCAAGGTGGACATTTGGTCACTCGGTATAACGGCAATAGAGATGGCAGAGGGAGACCCACCGTATGTTCATTCGCTCACATCCTTTGAGCCCATTCACTTACTAATCAATCATTCAAACAAACGAACAAACAAACAGACTTCATGATGTCAACCCTGTAAAGGCAATGTTCATGGTACCACGTAAGCCTCCTCCTACGCTTACTGATCCAAAGAAGTGGAGCATTGAGTTTGTTTCATTCGTAGAGTGCTGTCTGATCAAGGAAATCGACAGACGTTCTTCAGCACAGACATTGCTCAGCCATCCATTCATCCAAGCCGCAAAGCCAGATGCTCTCAAGGACTTGGTGGCATTGGCGCTAAAGAATAGGAAGAGAGTATGTTGATATGATCACATGGACGACGGACGATGTACTAATGAATGTAATTCATCATCCAAACATAGAAATCAAAGAACTCCAAACAAGTTCTTTCACCAGAGATGTTGAGCATGAATGCATCATCAACCATTCATTCAGATGACTCTTCAATATCATTGCACGAGCAGGTGAAGGACAGGACTGTATTTGGAAATGGTACAACAAACAATAATCAAACAGTATATAATAGTGGATCAGTAGTATATGGCAACGATAGTGTCTATATACCAGATGGTGCAAGCATCAATGGCAATGGCAGTGTTGGTGGCAGTGTAATAATGTCCAATGGCAATGGCAATGGCAATGTTGGAACAGTCAATGGCAAAGGTTCAATACCATTCAGTGATCCAATTGAAGCAATCGTACACAGGGAGAAGATGAAGAATGAAGCGGCCAAGAAGAGAAAAGAGGAACAGAAGCAGCAGCAAGACACACCAACTTCAACAGACACCTCTGGAACTAAGACAGTTAAACGGGTCACTATCAAGGAACCACCAGAGCAACCGCAACCTCAACAACAATATGATACAGTTATTGTCCATCGTGATGACACTATGGTCAAGTCAAGAACTTTGGCATCAGCAAGCAGGGCATCGATTAGCCTTGCCGAATCCAAAGAAAGAGTTAAAACATTGGTTGGCAACACGCCCAGCACAACAGAATTGTCTGGGTCAGACTCATCCAAGTTGACGTCCAAGCAGCGCAGTGATAATACTGTCAAGCGGAAGTAAGTGGTGCATGCATGGGCAGGGGGATGAAAGGTACGCGCATACTAATCTCATCAATCAATCAATCAAACAGTCTTTTAATCTTTGGAGTAGTATTCCTTATAGTTCTCATCATTGTTACATCAGTTAGACGGTTTTGGTCACAGATAACCGGCGATTCTCCACAACCACCAAGGTTTCATGTAAGTATCCATCAAACAACAAACAACATAATCATGGTTGTACATCCATTAACAATATATATCACTTTACTAGTATTTCTTTCAATCAGACATGGATTAGAAGTTGGAACAAATTGAATAAAGTGGAAGGTGTTGTATTTACGAGATGATTAGGGGCCATGCTAGACATGACCATAACCATTGATGTTTATTTGTTACTGTACTCTCTACTCATAGTTGTATGGAGTTGACCTCTGGACCAATTGAATGTCCAATGGGTTTCCACCGACCTCCTCGAGGACGAGGATCTCGTTCGAACCATTGTTCAACCAATCATTGGGGATGTGATAGTATACCTGGCTGGGTTGACCACATCCTCCACGACAGTCGGTGTCTGTGTATCCACCCTGGTAGTTGCAGCCAGTGCATCCCTGTGCCTCGACCAACCAGTATCTGCCGCAGTGGTTACCATTGGCGTAGATCATGCCCTTGGTCATACCATCCATGTACAGAGCAAACGAAGATGTGTTGGTGAGCTGCAGGTTGAAGTTGAACTTGTACCAGGTGAGTGGTGGGAGTGAGCCGCCGGCTGCGGGCAACGAGTCCCAGGTGACGGAGCCAGAGTTGGCTGGGTTGAACAGCTCGAGGATCTCTCCCTCAAGCGCAGCACGCATATACCATCCATTGTTGGTGATGTCTACACCGTTGAGGGTCACACTTCCGAGGAGACCGACGACGTATTGCTCCATGTGTGCACCATAGTTCTCCAATCCGACGGTCATACAGAGGATCTGAAGTTGGTGAGAGCCGACGGGGATCGACTCGTTCAAGGTCATGGACGAGCCTCCGCCAAAGCCTGTGCCGACGAATATGCCATCGACAAACATGTGGTACATATCGTTGATGTTGGTGAACTTGACAGTGGCTCCAACCTCATCGACGTTGATCTTTGTGATGTACCACAAGTAGTCGGTGGTGTCCTTGGTGACGTTGATCTGCTCCAGTGGTGCGGTAGAGACGTTGGTGAACGTGTTGAAGGTGAGTGGCTCGGTCCACGAGCTGATTGAGACGTCTGACCACTCGCCAGCACCAACGAACGACTTTCTTGATGGCTTGATGGCACTTGGGATCACAGAGGTATCAAACACAGTGATGTTGTTGTAGAGCAGCTGGACAGACCATGGCTGTACGATGTATGAGTTTCCGCCCCATGTGACATTCTTGACATTGGACGAGTCAGAGTTGGTAAGGAATGAGAACGACTCTGAGGTGGTGGCGTAGTATGAGATCTCGACATTGGTTCCCAATGAGATTGGTGCAGGTGGGTTCTGTCCGAGGATGATGTGTTGGTACTCATGAATGACGTTGTGGAACATGCTGCTCAGTGAGTACTTTGGTTCGTATGGGTATCCATACTCGTCGAGAGCGACGTCATAGTCGTAGGATGTGACAATGAATGGGCCTCCAGTCCAACGTCCAAAGGTCGTGCCTCCGTGCCACATGTAGTAGTTCATGTGTGAGCCACCGTAGGCGAACCATCTGGCGGCTGAGTAAAGGACGTCTTGGACAGGGCGATGTGGGACACCGGTGCCCCAGTTCTGGAACCAACCTGGCCAGTTCTCAGTCCAGAAGGCGGGTTGATTGTACCATGTCTGCCAGTGATTGGCGATCCAGTCGTGGCAGTAGAAGCCGTTGCATGTGTTGATCACGTTGCCAATGTCGTCTTGCGAGCACATGATCCAGGGCACGCCAATGTCGAGCGAGTTGGCAAAGTTGGCAGCCCACTCAGCATATTGCTTTCCACTAGCGCCGTACTCATTCTCGAGCCAGCCGTACTCGTTCTCGACCTGTGCCATGATGATGGGGCCACCATTCGAGGCAAAGTAAGGCTTGAGATAGGTGACGACAAAGGTCATCCAGGCCGACATGTAGTTCATGAACGGCTCGTTGTAGTCACGGAACACAATGCCTGGCACGTTACGAAGCCATGTTGGGAAGCCTCCATAGTTCCACTCGGCACACACGTATGGTCCAATGCGCAGGTTGACGTAGAGTCCTTGGCGTTGGCACTCGTCGAGGAATGCTGTGATGTTGGCATTGCCTTCAAAGTAGTATTGGCCTGGTGTGGGCTCGTGCAGGTTCCAGAAGATGTATGTCTCGATCAAGTCGATGCCAGCAGCCTTTGACTGTGAGAGGATCGATGGCCACATAGATGGTGTGCTTCTTGGATAGTGTACAGAACCACTCATCAACATCTTTCTCTCGCCATTGATTATAAGTGATCTATGATCATATGTGACCGATATTGGTTGTCCAGCCATTGCCAGACTTAGACTTGCAAGCATCAACATCACCAACACCAGCAAAGGTGTTGATATGTTTAATGAATTCATTTTAATAATATTATTATATTATCTAATAATTATTATATGTGTGTATTTGTTTGAATGAATGAAGTGGATGGATGAATGAAGTTGAATGAAGTTGATGCCAACACCTTTAGATTCATTGAGTGAACATGCATGCAAATGAACAAGATGAATCTGTTTAGATAATATGAAGTGTGTTTTGAATGGGGGTTGGGGGTTAGGCTCGGGGTTGTGGCGGCCCGACAATCGGGACGTTTCGGCTCAACGACATTGCCCCCACCTGGGCGATGGCAAGCACATGTAAATCATTTATACATACATACATTCGTTTATTACAACAATGAGATATATAATTTTGAATTATTAGTACAAATAAGTATGAGTTTGTGATCCAGTGGACGAACAGATATCTTGGCGTCTTCACCACGATCACCATCAACTTGATTATCACCATGACCATGAATGATCATGTCGGTAATGTCAGTCTCTTTGAACAATCTTATAAGGTTGTTGATTGAATGATTGCCACAATGCAACAACTCGAGTGTTTGTACACGATTGTCAAACTGGGAGTTGAGTGGCATTCTAGGTTGGTGCATTTTTGAATCAACATCCAATGTAATATGTCTGATATGACATTGTTCAAAGGTGACATGAGATGAGAATTCCAATAGATTGGGGTTTACATATCCAAGTGATGTAAGTGATGCTGGCAACAAACCTCTGGTCAACCTTTTTTTGTACCCTACCCCAAACGACAGATGAGTGAGCGAGTCTGGCAACACCCTTGGCATTAGTTCTTGATTGTATGATCGCGACAACACCAGTGATTTGAGTGATGCTGGTAATGAACCAATCTCCAATGGTATGTTATAATAGATACCCATATCCAACGACAGCAGGGATGAGGGCAGCGTGCCTGGTGGCAGAGGATTGTCAAACCTTACAAACTTGAGCAAGGTCAATGACTCGGGGAGGACGAAGGGCTGTAGAGGCCTGTCAAAGCTTTCTCCAAAGATTAGGCTGGCAAGTCGTGGCGGAAGTACACCAAGCTCAATGACCTGGTTGAATGAGTATCCCAGCTCGAGATGTGTCAGTGATGTAGGTAGCACGTCGAGTGCCAGGGTACCAATATAGTTGTACAGGTTCAAGCTGGTTAATGCAGGTGGCAGTGCGCCAGGAGGTAGTTGGTACTTGCACCCACCAAAGTCCAGCTTGGTGATTGATGGCGGCAGTGCACCTGGCTTTGGATGTTGGCTGTTGTAATAGTGTAACTCTTTCACTGAGGCTGGGATGATTCCAGGCTGCAAATCATGAGTGTAGGACAATGCAAGATTGAGTGATGTCACACTGTTGGGGATTGCGCCTGGTTTCAAAGGTTGTATGAACCGACCAAGTGTCATAGATGTAACTGTATCAGGGATATCACCTGGTTCGATTGGTATCCTGAACTGTTTATCCAGTGATACATTGAAGTGGACACCAACTACATTGGATGGGAATGTTACACTTGACAATGGTTGATCGAATGGTTGTTCAAACATTGCTCTTGACTCTTCGCCTCGTGTTTCCAACAAATAAGGTTGGCCTTCATCCTTCTGCTTTAGCCATATATTCTCTTAAGGTGTTGTGTTCTCATATAAGTCGACGTACATGTTTCTAATACCATCCATCGTGATGATACATACGTTGATTACATCGATGGAAGACTGAGATCTTGTTGAGGTCTGTAGGAGTGATAACACAACCGCAAGTGCAAGGATCTGATGGGCGTGCGATTGACACTCTATGTTGATATAGTCTCTTGGTCGACAGGATGAATGAACATGCATCCATTATATGTAGTTGATCAACAACCTGTTGAAGAACAATTACAGGAAGTGTATCCATTGTCTTGGGTATATAGTATCTGTATCTGTGATCAATCATTCAAAGTAATAACAATGAATCAAATTAAAACTTCAAACGGTTAAATCATTTATATTCATCTATTAATCAATCGATCAATCAATCACAGAGTGTTGTTCATATATGGTATCAAGTACTGATTGAACCAGACATCTGTGAATTGGAGATGATTTCCTTCGCATGGTATCTTGGTGACACGTCCTTCCTTGTCAAGATATTGTAGTCCAATCCAATCCTGTGTGTACAGATCAGTCTCCTCCATTGGCACCACATCTCTAGCCTGACCATATTGATAGAATCCAAACCATTCACTCTCTCTTGGTATGACCATCGTATCATTAGTGAACATTACCAACACCAACTCATTCAAAGATATCATATTCTTCTTATAAGTATCATTTTTCTCTGATCTAGCATTGTTGATATCCTACAAGCAAGGATGATGGCCAAAGTAAGTAACGATGAATGAATGAATGAATGAATACAAGTTGATAACATACAGCGAGGAACTGTGACTTGTCGAGGTACTCTAGGTAGTCGAGTGGATCTTGCCAGTATTGTGCTTGGACGAGATGTGATTGAACAAACTCTGTGTAGACACCGAGTTCGAGCATCTCGCGGGCAAGGTTACAGAGTGTCTTGTTGGTGCTGGCGCAGTTGGGCATGCCGTAGACACCTTGATGTTGTCCACCAACCGAGATCAGGTTGTAGACGGGAGGGTCGTTGCAACGCTCGACGTAGGCGCGAAGGAATTGACCGCCCTGCGAGAATCCAATCGCATTGAACCCATTGGTCAAGTTTGGATCGGATCTCATCATCTGGCACACCATATCAACCTGTTCATTGACAGGTTTAAAGAATGAGTTGAACTCATCCTCTGGCAAGCTATCACCAATCTCAATGGACTTGACGTAGATTCCTGGAATCTTCTCCTCAATCATCTTCTTAACATATCCCATACTAATAGTTGTGTTGGTGATTGTGTTAGTAATATTATTACCAAATATGGTATGTTTAGATGTGGAGATCACTTACGAGAATGGATAACAACATGTATCTCCCATACCATGCCATATAACTGTTGGACGTGGTGTATCTTGTCCTTTTATAATGCATACCAGCATCAACAATATTATTATACTCTTCATTATTATTATCTCTCAACTAGTTATAACTCTACAAATAAATAGGATAGAGATAATGTATATAAATAATATGATTAAGTTGGTGGTATCGATGTGATGATCATCATCACACTAAACCTAAGGTGTGTGATTGATCGTTACCACACACTTAACTAACTTATTGATAGTCACACACTTCCTTTAGTCTAATTTAAATGATTGACCCTTTATTACTTAAGTACTGTATGGTATAACTCTGTTGACAAGCTGGATTTCCAATGGATCACCACTGATTTCTTCTAGAAGGACGATCTCGTTGGCACCATTAAATAGCCAGTCAATTGGAATGTGATAGTACTGTTGGCTAGGTTCACCACATCCTGTTCTACAGTCATAGTCAGTGTAGCCACCATATTGATAGGTGCATCCGTCGCATCCCTCAGTTGCCTCGACCAACCAATACCTGCCACAGTTATGACCGTTGGCCCATATCATTCCTTTGGTCATACCAATCATATTCAATGCGAATGGTGCCGTTGTGTTGTTGATCTCCAGATCAAACTCGAACTTGTACCAAGTGAGTGGAGGTAAGGTTACAGCGGCGGGCAGGACGTCCCAGTTGACAGCGCCCGAGTTGGCTGGATTGAATAGCTGAAGTATCTCGCCATCGAGAGCTGTTCGCATGTACCATCCATTGTTGGTGATGTCCACATGGTTCAGTGACACACTGCCAAGTATGCCAACCGAGTATGCCTCCATGTGCTCAGCTTCGCATACCAGTCCAACTGTCATACATAGAACTTGAAGCTGATGGGTACCAACTGTTATCGAATCATTCAAGGTCAATGATGAGAATCCACCGTAGCCAGTGCCGACGTAAACTTCATCGACAAACAAGTGGTACATGTCATTAATGTTAGAGAACGTGATGGTGGAGCCAATGGTTTGCACATCGATCTTGGTGATGTACCACAAGTAGTCAGAGGCATCGTGGGTGACTGACAGCTGCTCAAGTGGCGAGGTTGATATGTTGGTGAAAGAGGAAAACTCGAGTGGCTCTGTCCAAGAACTGATTGTTACGTCCGACCATGTTGCATCGACATCTGTGTACCTGCTTGCACCGTGGACGGCCATGCCTACAGTCATTGAAGTGTCAAACACTGTGATGTTGTTGTAGAGAAGCTGCACTGACCATGCCTGCACAATGAACTGGTTATCACCCCATGTTACAGTATGAGAATTGACTGGATCTGTGTTGGTAAGGAATGAGAACGACTCTGATGTGGTAGCGTAGTATGATATCTCGACATTCGAGTCCAATGTGATTGGTGTTGGTGGGTTCTGACTGAGGATGATGTATTGGTACTCGTGAATGACATCATGGAACATGCTACTCATTGAGTACTTTGGTTCGTATGGGTATCCATACTCGTCGATCGCCATGTCATAGTCATAGGATGTAATGATGAAGGGACCACCAGCCCAGCGTCCAAAGGTCGTACCACCGTGCCACATGTAGTAGTTCATGTGAGAACCACCATAGGCGAACCATCTAGCAACAGAGTACAACAGGTCTTGAACAGGTCGGTGAGGCACGCCCTCACCCCAGCTCTGGAACCAACCACCCCAGTTCTCGGTCCATAGTGCAGGTTGGTCTGTGAAGTTGGCCCAGTGACCAGCGATCCAGTCGTGGCAGTAGAAGCCGTTGCATGTGTTGATCACAGTGGCAATATCATTCTGCTGACACATGATCCAGGGCACACCGATGTTGAATGAGTTGGCCAGGTTTGCTGCCCACAATGCATACTCTCTGCCGCTTGCACCATACGCTGCCTCGAGCCATCCATATTCATTCTCAACTTGTGCCAAGATAATGGGTCCACCATTAGATGCAAAGTATGGACGAAGGTAGTTGACAACGTAGGTCATCCAAGTCTGCATCTCATTCATGAACGGCTCGTTGTAGTCACGGAAGACAATGCCTGGCACATCGCGGAGCCATGCTGGGAAGCCTCCATAGTTCCACTCGGCACACACGTATGGTCCAATGCGAAGGTTGACGTAGAGTCCTTGGCGTTGGCACTCGTCGAGGAATGCTGTGATGTTGGCATTGCCTTCAAAGTAGTACTGGCCAGGTGCAGGTTGATGTAGGTTCCAAAAGATGTATGTCTCTATCATGTCGATGCCAGCAGCCTTTGACTGTGAGAGTATCGATGGCCACATCGATGGTGTACTCCTCGGGTAATGTACAGAACCACTCATCAATATCTTTCTCTCGCCATTGATTATAAGTGATCTATGATCATATGTTACTGTCGTAGGTTGTGCATTGACATCAAGTGCCGTGCTGTAACTGGTCAACATCAATGCCAATACCAACACCATAAGTGTTGATATAATTTTTGATGGCATCTTGTCTTTCTATTGTTTATATGTCTGTTAGAGATTGATTGATTGCTTGCTTGATTGATTGTTTGAATGAACTTGGCCATCATTAGATGATTGAGTGTATTATGTGTTATGTCCATTTGATTGATTTATGTTTCCTTTGGATATTATATGGGATTGAAATGGAATGTGATCAGTTCCCCAATGACCGCCCGATAAACTCACCCATCAAAGTTGTTGACTTGTCGCAATCAATCACACCTTACAAAGTTTTGAGGGTTCACTTGTTTTATCATGAACAAATATTTGATTGGAAGGCAATAGAGGAGGCAGGGTGGGATAGTTCCAGACGCCAACAAGAGTGACTGACAAAAGGACACAGCACCACATGTTCCCCAATTGTCTCCAACTTGAGTACTGGGGTGGCCAGAAGAAACTTGACTTCTCAGATCGGACGAGATGAGGTATTATATTCTTTGTATGGCCGTGTCCAAAAAATATTATTGAATGTCAATGTTTTATTCGTTGTCCACATCCAAAAAATCTTAAAAACGAGCGGTTTGACGACCTTAATATTAATATAGTACTTGATCTTCAACTAATAAATAGTTTGGATTGACAGTTATTATTATTATTATAGAGTAGTTGTAATGATGGATACACTACCAGTGGTTGTACTACAACAAGTAGTTGATGAACTACATTCGATGATGGATGTATGTTCATTCATCTTATCATCTAAACGATTATATCAATATAGGTTAAACATCTTTAGACCACAAGACATATGTGTTTGTTGCAAATACTGTGATCTAAACACCAACAATATCTCAATCTTCCACCGATGTGATACCAATGGTAAGTATAGTATAGTATAGTATAGTATTGTACTCATTCATCGGTCAATCATCGGTCGATCACTCACTGACTTCAATCAACAAACAAGACCCTAGATGCATTAGATTGAAACAAGAGGATGAGGATATGAAATATTACTTGGAAACAAGAGGAGACAATGATGTACGAGCGGTGTTTAATGAACCGCTGGATGATTCATTGTCCACGTTGAGCTTCCCATCACAGGTCAATCACATCTATTTCGGTTACTCAACGTTCAATCTTCCGATTGAGCCTGGGGACATCCAGCACAGCATCACTCGTTTATCATTGAGTATGCGATTCAATCATCCTCTAAAGATTGGTTCGATACCAAACTCGGTCACAACACTACATATTGGTCGATCGTACAATCATCCCTTGGAGCATGGTATCATCCCAGACTCTGTAACCGATCTTGTTTTGGGCACTCACTTTGACCATCCAATCAAGCGCGGCGACCTGCCCTCATCACTCAAGATCCTCAACGTTGGCGGACTCAATCATATCCTCACACCAGGCGCACTCCCGTCGTCCCTTTTGGACATTACATTCGTCAGGTACACGCACCGCCTGGTACATGGAACCCTCCCAGCCTCTTTGACAATGGTGAGGCTTGCTCCTTACTACGCTCATGTCATCGAGCCCGGTGATCTCTCACCAAGTCTTAGGACACTCAGAGTTGGAGATGGCTACAACTTTGGGTTCATACCGTGTGGGCTCCCTGGCACGCTGACGAGGCTCAAGCTGGGCTTCACGTACAAACAATCACTGACAAAAGGTGCACTTCCAAACACGCTCATTGCACTCAACTTGGGATATTCGTACAATTTTAAGTTGGAAATAGGACATCTGCCGCCATCCCTTCGACGACTAAAGTTGGGACCATCATTCAACCAACAGATTCATTCAGGTGAACTGCCTCCATCACTCAATCAATTGTCCATTGGTATTTCCTTTCTTCAACAATTGAGCAGTGACGTGATGCCATCATCACTCACTTCACTCAGAGTAGACAACCTCCAGTTTCTTGATCTTACGGCGCCGTGCACATTCGATCACTGTAATATACAACAATTGATACTAGACTTTGATAGTTCATCCGACAGATTCATCATTCCTCGCAATGCCCAGTTTGGTGGTCATGTAAGCCGACTGATCTTGGAGAGATATCCATTCTACGCGCCCGAGCCCGATGTCTTTAGACAGTTCATCAGCTCAGGCATACAATCAATGCATTTTGGCAATGGATTGGTTCATAAGATTGACAATGATGGCAACAATATTCTGATCATGGATAGCAACTCATGTATGTTCTTTATTACATTGGACAAACTAGTCAATCATGCCACAGATATATTCAAGAAACCTGTGTACAGTTAATTAATTACAAAATCACGTGGTGCTCATCGATCACGTGACAGAGAACTTCTCAATCATCGACTTCAAAGACTGTGGACCAATCTCTGCCCACCCTTTGGTAAATATTATTATTATTATTATTATTATAATAATTATTGATTATCCTATTTTTAACATTAAATATAAAGAGACTAACGAACAAACCAATCTAAAACAGATATATATCTCAAGATTGAAATATATATTTATCTCTCTATCTTGATAGTTTGATAATAATGGGGGGCGGAGAATGAAGGTATGAAGTCGCGAGCGCATGGCCCAACTACTTATGATGTTGTTGGGCTTTCTGATTGGTGGTGGTGCGATGACACGTGTCATGTCGGAGTCAAACACCGGATGTATTAATGGAACATTGGTTCCTTTTGTCGGATGGAACGACACCGGAACACCCCCCCACCAGTCCCCTTCAGTCCCGGTTGGAAAGTGTCTGGTCAACTCAATGCCCGCGTCCTCACGCTGACATGCGACGAGACGCACTACTTTGTCGATGCAGTTCGACTCACATCAGCCCCCTCTGCCCCCGCGCCACACCCCACGCCATCCCCCCCACCCCACACACCCCACGGCAGTTTCCCCGGGTTTGGATGGCATCTCCGAATGTTCCCGTTTTTGGACAACCCATCTCGCAATCAACCCCAGCGCACACCCCACGACAATCTCGATATTTCACCCAATGTGTGTTGTGGGTGTGAGTGGGGGGCTTGGGGGTTGACGAGGTCAATCGAGGCTCGTTGTGTCGTTGGGCTTCTTTCGTGTCAGTATCTGGGTGTTGTCCCGGGCCCCAACCCCCCTCTTGTGGTTTGTGACACCATTGCTACCAAACAGTAATATTTGCACCATCTAGGAGTAAGTAACAAAGTTAAGTAGTGGTTAAAACTAATTAATATTAATTAATATTTTATAATTAGGAGCTTAGTACTCTTGCTTGACACGATTTATCAGTGTACACGCACGGCCCAAGACGAGACTTGTAAAAGTAGTAATCAAACCTTAGTAGCCATTTAATAGTACATTCGGAGATCCAACACACAGATATATTCATACTTATACAACTCTTTTGCATTGTAATACAGGACAAGTCACACGCTACACGTCACACGCTCACGCTAAGACACACACCATCCATCGATCCATCTCATCAACTTTGATCCATTCAACATCGATCAACATCCAACTTATACTTATATACGTACACACATATATATTATACATATATTAGAGTATTGAATGCCTAGCATCCCTTAATCAATCAATCCAATCAATCATATATTTTTAAAGTTGTTATATTACCGAATATTATATATTATTTATTATTTTTTTTAAACTACCATGTATCCACATCGACTACACAATACCAACTATCTTTCATACCTCATTCGAAGGTCCAATGGAGAGAAGGTATCAATCAACAACTATGAGATACCGGAAAGAGGTGAACTTGAATCTATAACCCAGTTCAAAAGTAAGTCATGACCCACGTGTGCCAAGGCCCAAGGTATAACCCCCTAAGGCCTCGACCCCTCACACAACACCACTCCATTCAAACAAATACTTACAACGATCTATTCTTAGACGGAGAGTTCCACTTTGTAAGACGCAAGCTTGAGAATAACAAGAATAACAAGATAAGGAAGAATGAGCAGGGATACTCATGGAAACAAAATGGCTCCGAGACAAAGATAAAGCAGTCCAGTAAGGTCGTTGGCTTCAAGCGCACGCTCACTCTCCAGGACGCCAAGAAGGACTTCAAGCTCTGGGAATTCACCGTGGCCGACTCGGACGGCGTCGAGAAGCGCGAGCTCATCCTGCGGCACTTCCTCCGCGACAGCGACGACAACAACCAGAAGAAGACCTATCCCGACCCCGACAACAACATCATCTACACCACCCCCGAGGACTACGCAAACGAGAAGATGTCTCAGATGAGTGCGGGCGGCAGTCCGGCGCACGGACACATGCCTCTCGTATCTTATGGTGGCAACAACATCAACATCAACATCAACTATCCCCACAACAACATCAACACCAACAGTAACAACAACAACCACAACAACACCAGCCATCACGCCAACACGAGCCATCTGAACACACACCACCAACACAATCAGTTCAACTCGTACATGTATCAAACCCCGACGCCCAACCAGCAACCGGCACATCATCAGTCCATGATGTCCAACCTTCACTCGAGCGACTATAATTCGCCCGTACTTTCGCCATTCCCCACCCGATTCGTTTCTGATATATCATCCAACAACTCCACGCCACAATACTCCAGCTCTTCCACAACGAGTACCCAATGGAACTCGACCCCGCCCCAGCAAGTACCCATGCCCAGCAAGCAAGCCGCGGACTTCCACGCCATGCCCTCACACCTGCCGCCACCCTTCCACCTGTCCGATGTTGGCACCTACCAACAGAGCGGTGGCTTCCAGGAGTTCCCACCCTACCCCTCGCAGTCGTCGCATAAGTACGCCGGAGGTGGAGGTGGCTATCACCAGACCAACAACCGCATGGAGCCACTGTCCACCAGCTCATTCCAGAGTGGTGGCGGCAGCAACACACCCACCCTCCGAAGTGTGCCAAGCACATCGCATACCAGTAACTCGGGCGCACCAAACATCTCCATGTTGGTGCAGATGAACGACAACAATAGCAACAACAATCAAATGTCGCATCACCAGATGAACACAACGCCCGCACCCCTGACCCTGCCACGCCTTACGCCGTACCCTGGCCCCAACCCATTCCACAACACAAACATGGGCATGCTCAACAGTGGCATGGGCGCACCACTGCCATCGTCCTTCCAGCCAAAGACCAAGAAGGTGAAGGGAGACCACGACTTCTCCAACAACATCGATACCATGGTGCCAACGACCACGTCGCCGTTTGGTGCCAACACCGGCTTGGGCGGAACGCCGCCCATGCTATCCAGCGCCGCTATGGGCAGTTCGATCGAGTTCTTGCCCGTGCCATCGCAGCCCTTCATGAAGAAGGAGCCACCCGTCTCTATGTTGCCCTCTGCAACCAAGAGAAAGGAAAGAGAGTAGACCGCCCCGCCCGATACAGGTAGTACCGGAGGAACCCCCCAACCACTCAAGCAATAAATGGAGATCGCCAAGTCTAGTACTTTGCATTCCACCAAGCTAGAGGCAGCATCCAGCCAGTGATACCCCGCACCAAGTAGGCAGAGGTATCCTTGCATGCTCGATTGACCAAGTTGTATTATTACCGAGACCCATTCAACATGTTGAATAAAGAGAGGGATACCGAAGACATCCGCCACCGATGGTGATGTCAACATCCAATGAATGAGTGATTGATTGATTGATTGATTGATTGATTGATTGATTGAGCGGGATATGCCCAAGTTTATGCTGGGATGTTGTCAACAGTGACTGGCTTCTTGCTGACTTGGTGACAGTGCTTGCATGTGCGCAGCTCTTCACTGTCGTAGAATCGAAGCATGATTGGCTTGAGCTCGAGACCGAGGTCGAGAGTCTTGACATTGAATGACTCCTCGTATAGTAGCTCGTGACAGTGGTCGCAGTACCATGTAAGACGGTCGATTGATGCTGGAGTCCTCTTTTGTTCGAGCACCAGACCAATAGTATCTCTGTAGCGTTGTGGTGAATGTGGAGTGTTTCCTGGCAACAAGAAGCACTCTCCCTCACGGATTCTAACATCCTTATGTACACCATTATCCACAACCTTCAATATCATATCGCCCTTGAACTGATAGAAGAACTCCTACATTACTACTTTGTTAGTCATATGATATGATTGATTGATTGATTGAATGAATGAGTTGATTGAGTTGAACTTACATCAGTTTGATTGATGTGATAATCTGTTCTTTGGTTTGGACCTCCGACGATCATAATGATATATGATGAGTCATGTTCATAGATGAGCTTTGCATTGACAGGTGGCTCTAGCAAGTGCTTGTGCTCCTCTACCCACTACAACAACAAGGTAATTAGTCAATGATTCAATATGTCGGACATGCATGCCTCTGTCTGTTTCTCCTACCCTACACACGTCATCATCATCATCCCTAACCTCACTTCACTTCATTTCACTTCAATCTCAACGTTAGCCTACCTTGTTAATATTAATTGGTGGTAACATGTTGGTATATTTAATTCTTCAAAGCTAAGTAAGTTATTTGTATAACAATGATGTTGTTGTATTAAACTTCAACTTCAACTTCATTCATTCCCACAACAGCACATTGTTCATCTGAATTCCAGTTCGGGACAAACAAAGTGTTGGGATCTAAATTAAAATGATTTTTTTTTAATTTTTTCATCACTCTGGGTACTTTCCATCAGCTGATTGAGAGTTCCGACCCATCACACTCTCTTTCCACACTCATCAGCACTCTCACTCACTCAAAAATCATCCAACTAGTGTTTGATGTTCATTGTGCATTCACGTGAAATAGATATAGTTATGTAAGTGTAATTGTTACATCATCATCAACGATGACCCATTATCATCATCAACACTTTAGATGATGCTTAGCAACCACACAGATACAGGTGACCCAGGGTCAGTACATTCAGTTGATTGAATGATTGATTCATTCATTCATTCATTAGCCTACCCTGGTTTATCGATTGATGGATTGATTGATTGATTAATGGGTTCGGTCGATCACCTACAACAGTCAACAAACATACATCATCAATCATATATCAATCATACACCAATCAAACAATCAACTTAATTCATTCAGACTTGTTAACTAACATCAACATCAATCAATCACCGTTGCGATAACTTATGAACCAACCAAAATAGAATAGACAATGTTTGTTGCCAGAAGATTAACCAACAAGGTTAACAACCTTAAGGTTGTCAGAGCTGCTGGATCAGCCCCAGTCAGAGCCGGCTTCCAAAAGAGACGTATGTAGTAATCACAACTCAATCACTCAATCACTCACTCGATCAATCAATCAACTAACTCAATATATAGACTACATCAGATCTACAAAGGGATCATACACTGCTGCTAAGGTCACTAGCGAGCAACAGTACCTCGATCAGTTCAAGAATGAGTTTGACGCAGTGCCACAGGATAACTCTGAGGAGGTCAACTTGTCCACCTTGTCCGATAACCAGGGTGTCGTCCACCAGGTTATTGGTGCCGTCGTCGACGTTTACTTCCCACACGGCAAGCTGCCACTCATCTACGACGCCTTGGTCGTCGAGTCCTTCCAGGCTGAGAACGTCGAGAAGGTCATTGAGGACCTCAACAACCCAGCACTCGAGGGCAAGCTGGACCTCTCCAACGTGCCAATCTCCAACATCAAGTTGGTGCTCGAGGTTGCCCAGCATCTTGGTGACGGTATCGTGCGTTGTGTCGCCTTGGAGATTACTGATGGTCTCTCGCGTGGCCAGATCGTCTTGAACACTGGCGCCCCACTGCGTGTGCCAGTCGGTCGTTCCACCCTGGGCCGTATCATGAACGTCATTGGTGACCCCATCGACGGTTGTGGACCCATCAAGACTGACACCAAGTTGCCCATCTGGAGAGAGCCACCCAGATTCGACGAGCTGGCCCCATCTGCCTCCATTCTCGTCACTGGTATCAAGGTTATTGACCTGTTGACCCCATACGCCAGAGGAGGAAAGATTGGTCTGTTCGGAGGTGCCGGTGTCGGAAAGACTGTGCTCATTCAGGAGCTCATCAACAACGTCGCCAAGTCCCACGGAGGTTTCTCTGTGTTCACTGGTGTCGGAGAGCGTACCCGTGAGGGTAACGATCTGTACCACGAAATGGTCACCGCTGGTGTCATCAAGCTCAAGGGTGAGGGCGAGACCTTCTCCACTGAGGGCTCCAAGGTGTCCCTGGTGTTCGGTCAGATGAACGAGCCCCCAGGAGCTCGTGCTCGTGTCACTCTCACCGGTCTGACCGTCGCCGAGTACTTCCGTGACGTTGAGAACCAGGATGTGTTGCTGTTCATCGACAACATTTTCCGTTTCACTCAAGCCGGTTCTGAGATGTCTGCCTTGCTCGGTCGTATCCCATCCGCCGTCGGTTACCAGCCAACCCTTGCCACTGATATGGGTTCCATGCAGGAGCGTATCACTACCACCAAGAACGGTTCTATTACCTCTGTCCAGGCCGTCTACGTGCCAGCTGATGATCTTACTGATCCAGCTCCAGCCACCACCTTCGCACATCTTGACGCCACCACTGTGTTGTCCCGTGCCGTCTCTGAGCTCGGTATCTACCCCGCCGTGGACCCATTGGACTCGACCTCCCTGATGTTGGATCCAAACATCATCGGTGAGGAGCATTACAAGGTCGCCACCGACGTCCAGAAGATCCTCCAAGAGTACAAGGGTCTGCAGGATATCATTGCTATCTTGGGTATGGACGATTTGTCCGAGGAGCAAAAGACCACTGTGTTCCGTGCCCGTAAGATCCAGCGTTTCCTCTCGCAGCCATTCGAGGTCGCCGAGGCCTTCACCAACATGAAGGGTGCCTTGGTGCCACTCAAGGAGACCATTGAGTCTTTCAAGGGTATCTTGGCCGGCAAGTACGACCATTTGCCAGAGGCCGCCTTTTTCATGGTTGGCGCCATCGGTGACGTCGAGGAGAAGGCCAAGGTCTTGCTCGCCTCTGCTGAGGGTGAGACCAAAAAGGAGAGCAAGGTCAACGCCGCTGGCGAGTCCACCAGAGAGTCCACTCGTGACAAGATCAGACGTCTGTCGGACGAGGCCTACAACTCCAAGATTGCTCAGATGAAGAAGTATGGCGTCGACACCAAGGAGCTTGAGGAGCTTAGAGCCGAGTTTGAGAAGACTTTCGACAGAGAGGTTGCCGAGATCGAGAAGGTCCTTGGAAAGTAATCTTGTGCGTTCTGCATTGGGCACTCAACATCTACCATTCAACCCTTTGGAACCAGACCAAGACATTCATTCATTCCTAAAACACAAACATAAAGATATATAATTGTAATTCATACATACCAGGGATATCGGCAGTCTTTAACTTTCCCTATTCTTCTCAAATAATGTTACCATGGTTATCAATAATCTAATTAATTGAGGGTACCGATCGGGAGCAAAAAGGAACCCTGGTTCTTTCATGATAATTCACCAGGACAGGTCTCAGGTTGATCAGACCATGAGGATTACTTGGGGAGGGTATATGATTTTGAACAAGTTGTTGCAGTAAGAGACCTTGGTTAATCTTAATTATCATAGATGATATTAACAATCAAATATATCTGAATCTTATAATAATGGGATTGATTGCTTACTATTGATTAACTTTCCAAAGTTAATTAGTTGATTAAATGATTGTCCAATTCTTCTCAATCAATCAACCAAACACCCTTCCCTCATTAAGTTCTCCCACACATTCCAGGTCCAATCCAGACTGATCATTCGTGTGGTTATTTGACAATGTAATATCCAGTATTTCGTTTATTGTGTTGTACATGTAAGTCCTAACTCCTTGGAGATGTTCCACCACGATGTGAATCCTCATGATGTAGTTCATCAGAGTTACCCAATCGTGGTCGCTCAAGGAAGTTGGCTGCCTTGTTTGAGGATCCATTGACCGGATGACTTATCCTCATCCAATGATGTGCATCGTTGTTGGCCGCTGAGGATGTATCAGACGGATTGTCCACTGAGTTTGGTGGTGTAGCGTCAGAATCGCCAGACTGGTTCAGCTTGGAGAGCTCCACCTTGGTGAGCTCCAACTCACAAAAGTCGTATATCAGCTGCTCATTGATGAATAGATAGTCCACAGCGTTGGAGTCGAGGTGGCGCTTGTAGACCGACAGAGAGAACTTGGAAAGGAATGCCTTGAACTCTTGATATCCGTTTGGCAGTTCGCCAATCGTCCTGATCAAGATACATGGTCGCAACAGTTGATGTGGGTCCTTTGAAACCACCTCTCCAGAGGATGTGAGTGTGACGAATGGCATATCCATGTCTTCATTAAACTCCACTGGGTTCTGAGAGATACTATCTACGTATGGATGGAATGGTGCGGCCTGATGTTTCAAGAAACAGTCCTTGATGAACACCCATTCAAATCTGGTTGATTGAGTGATTGAGTAAGTTAGTATGATGGAGATAACAGTGGGATTAATAAGATAACTTACAGACTGAACTGTTCAGTGATGGATGGTAGAGTAAGGGCGAGATCAAGGAATTTACAGGCAGCCAACACAAGCTCACAGAACTCTGCATGGGAAAGGATATCAATCTAATGGCAGCCATGTTAGTCAATCAATTCAATCAATATGTGCATGAGTGAATATTAATATTACCATTTCTGTAAGGATGACTGGCCAGAATGGACGAAGGTTCTCATGTGATATTCTAACGAGTAGCACACGAAGACACTGGAACACTTGGAGATGAAGCAAGATGGCATTTGGTATGCGAAGAGATTCGACAATCTTCTCGAGCACCAATGGTAGTATTGACAGGTGTTGGTTCTCTGCTCCCGACCATAGAATGAATGACAGTCGCTTCAAATGTCTGGCACGATTAATTGATTCTGTCTCCTTATTGAATGTCAATGCCGATGGTGGTGTCCATGACTTGCTTAGCAGTTCTACACAAGTTTCGGGTGTATTATGATGATTAGAATATGTTGTTATGACTCGATCCCCCTACTACTCACTTATAAAATCCGAGAAGGCAGTCTTGTCGTGGATCATTATCTGATTGATGAACTTTCCAGCTTGCTCCAGTGACTTGATGTCCAGTTTGAAAAAGTCATTGTCAAAGAAGAGCTCCAGTGTGTCCTTTCGAATCGACTTTATGTTGTAGGGATACTCTGCAAGTGATGCAAAGAGTGTGGCAGCATAGCATGTGTTCTCACGATGATGTTCACTATGAACGATTGGTGAGTGGGATGTTGGATGGCGATGGATGGATGAATGAATACATACCCTTTGGACTTTAGATATGGTACTACGTTGTGCAGTGAGTTGGCCAAGAGTGTGGCCACCTTCTCTTTGTCGTCAAAGATGGTGTCCAACAGTGAGGCCAAGGTGGATGAGAGTTGCGACAGTGACTTGAGACCCACTTGTGATCGGAGTAGTGATTCCTTCTTGAGGTAACTTCCAGAGTCATGCTCGTCTGTGGTTCGACCGCCTTGACGCTGGGCATTGTTGCTGGTAGAAGCTGAGGCAGAGTTTGCGGGGGCATTGGAGTTTGATGCCTCCTCACCGATGGTGGTGCCGGCATAGGTGTAGGCCGAGGGAGGCGTCTGAAGCAACGAGGCTGGCAGGGAGGCAGCGAGGTCGGCCGGCTGAGTACGCATCGAGTTGTCCGCTAGACTGCTACCTGGGGCAACATAGAGCGCAGAGACATCGTTGAATGACTTGCCACTGATAACAAAACAGGCCTCAACAATCTTGGGCACCAAGTCTTGCAGGTCCTTCTTGTTGACACGGCTGCTATTGGCCTTGACTGTGGTGGAAGCCGGACCACCCTTGACCTTGTCGTCCGAGCAGAACTTGCGGATGTATAGATTGAGAATCTGAAGCTGTGACACATAGGTCATTGGGTTCAACGATGAGAGGGACTCCCTGGTGAAGGCCTGGAACGAGTTGAGCATGGCGCCCTCCGAGTAGATGCTGGCTTCATCGATGTACTTGTAGACAAAGTCGTAGAGGGCCGACTCCTTTAGGGCGATCTTGTGCAGTACGCTCTTGGAGATGTTCCTGTGAGCGCGCTCCTGTGCGTGCAGGCCGGCCAAGATCTGTGAGCACGATTTGAACACGGTCTCTTCGCGCACCGACTCCATGCTGCTCAGGATCTCAATGATAACCTTGCGTGTCGTGGCGTCGCCACCCAACAAGTCGGACTTTTGCCACACCTCAATGATGGAGCTGATGAACTGCATCGGATACTTGGTCATGAGTGGGTCAAAGATGTGAATGATGAGATCCTGTATCGCGTACTTGTTGTGCGTGTCGGAGGAGACATCCGTTGACATGGATATCTTGGACTGGGCCGACTTGGGACTACCCCAAAGCTTGATAAGTGGTGTGATGATGTTGGGCAGGTCGTCCAGCAGCTCGCCCTTCAGCTTGCCAATGGGTGTGAGCGCTGTGGATGGGTCCATCTCGCTGGTGAACACGTCCTTAACAAAGTCGGTGAGCAGACGCACGCCACCCCTTGAACTGCTCTGCGTCTCCTCGACGCTGACCTGGAAAGGTGTGAGTGGCTCGATCACAGACATCTTAAAGATAAAAGCGATGCTCTTGAGCAACACAATGATGTCCCTGGATGTCAGACTGTCGTAGAGGGAGCGTGTGTCGAACGAGCCAACGAGCTCGCGCAGACAGTTCATGATGGTGGGTGCCACGGTGGTCAGCTCTGTCGAAGTGGCCATTCTGGGTAAACAGAAATTGATAAAGTCCAGCCAGTAGAAGCGAATGTTGAAGCGAGCCGATGATTGTGTTAGGCCAAGAATAGTGGTGTGCAAGAAGAGCACAGACTTGGTGATGGATGTCGGTGAAGTGTTGCCAGTGGCTGCCAGTGAGTCTTGTGTGACGTTGTTGCTACCGCCACTTCCTCCCGAGCAATCAATCGAAACAATTGAACGCAACAGTGCTAAAAGATGCACCTGTAGCACCATGTTGTTGGTTGACACGGCTTGAGCCAAGTTCTGGAGAATGGGCTCCTGAATGTTGTTGGCCACCTCGAGAGCCTTGACTGGCTGCAGGGTCGTCTGCACCAGCAGATACTGCAGGAACTCGGCGGCGCAGATCTGGACCACGCCATTCTGCGAGACGATTGACTGTCCATCGGGTGTCGACTGGTCGATAGAGGGCGGCACGCTGCCCTGCATGAAGCGGAGCGCGACCACAACGAGCAAGTCAATATATGAGTTGGCGGGCATGTATGAGAAGTCGGACGCGGCCTCGCCGCTCTGCTTGTTCTGTGCCGATGACGCATCAACTGTGCTACTGCCATTGACAAACATGTATGGTGCGGTCTCTGGCTGTCTGTTTGTGGCGGGAGCTTCTGTAGCAGGCGACTTCTGGCCGGCACTACCTGCATCAACGCTTTGCGATGTGTTCAACGTCACAATGTCCTTGGAGATGGGTTTCTCAATGACGTGCTGGATGAACAGTTTAAAGTCGCACTCAATGATCGACTTGAGTATCTTGAAGGCGTATATCACACGTCGCGCATCATAGATTGAGTGATAAATGTGATTGGTGCGTATTGTCGACTTGTCCAACAGAATGCGTAGCAGTGGGTCGAGAATGCGCTCAGCCTTGCCAATGCTGTCGGCGAGCCATGTATGGCCTGTCAAACGGATGATGGGCTGGTCGTCGTGCAACGAGTCCAGCATCAGGAACAGCGTGTTGGAGAATGGCAGCGTCGTGTTGCCAAGCTCGCCAGTCAGACGCCAGAACAGGGCAAACTTCTGATAGCCCTCCACACGCTTGTTGATGTCAGTCTCTAGCATTGCCTCTGAGATGACACTGGAGCAGGCGTACTCATTCATCTCGCGAAGTGAGAGGTAGAGGTTGGCTACCTGGTAGTGCACCGCGCAGTTCTGGGGCTCGAGCAGTGACCAAAGCTTCTTGGCGAGCGCAGTGTAGTGGCTGTCCGTGATGATCTTCCTGAAGCTCTTGCTGAGGCTTGTCTCGGCCTTGTTGTTGGTCATGCTGATGATGGCCTTGATCGCGAGGCAGCAGATGAACGGGTTGTCCGACAGACAAAAGTTGTAGATTGGGAAGAACCAGTTGGGCATTGAGGTTTCGAGCGCGGCAGGCGCAGGCGACGATGGTTTGAACTGGTGGAACAGACCGCCCAGGACCTGGAGCGAATGGTCCAGAATGATAAAGATGTTGCTGCTGGGCGAGCAGGTGAAGTTGATGGCGTTGGACGCCACCAAGTGGCTGCCACCCGAGATTGAGAACTGCACCTGCTGGGGCGGTGGCATGTTGAGCTGCGAGAGACTGTCACGCAGGTAATCGCACAGCAGCACAAAGTACTCACGGAACGCCTCGATCGACTCAACAATCGACGTCTGGACTGCGGGCGTCATCTCCACGATGATCTTTCCAATGACGCGTAGACAGAGATGTGTGTAGGCAATGATCAGTTGGTTGTCACGCGGGCGAATGATGTTCTTCATAGCACGCACGATGGCCAACAGCATGGCGGGCAGGTACTGTGTCTGCACCTCCTCGACCGACAGCGGCATGACGTCCAAGAAGCTCTCGACCAGCTTCAGACGCTCTGTCGCCTCGGCCAGCACCGACTTGACGTTGTTAAAGGCCAACATCTCGTTCAAGAAGTTCCAGATCAGTGTCTGATCGGCAAGAGCAAACACCTCGTCTGCGTACCTAACCACGTCCTTGGAGAAACTGTAGCCTTCCTTGAACTTGTGCAGGCATCGCAATATATCCACAATGATGCCGTCCATAATAACCTGGAACTCATCCTTCTGGAAGAGGAATGTGAGAATGATCAATGGTGACACTATCTCCTTGTTCTGTGCCTGTTGTGTGCTCTGTTGTTGTTGCTGTTGCTGCTGTTGTAGTTGTTGTTGTTGTTGTTGCGCTGTCTCATTCGTATTCAAGAGATTGATCAATAGTTGCTAGATTGATTGAGTGATTGATAGAGTTAGATGGAGATCGATCAACATTTGGCCCCGGGGCTGTACTTACCCTGAATGCATTGATCGTTGGCTGTCTGCCATACTTGATGAAGTAGGCTTGATGAGCCTCCTTGTCATTGCCAAGCAGCCATGAGTTGAGACGCTTGTTGAGTGAAGCATCCTTGTAGGTGACCACCCTGACTGCAGCCTTGATAATGTTCTCCAGTGCACTGTCCGAGAATATCTTGATTGAGATTGGGAAGAATCCAGTGATCAACTCCAACATACTCCTTCTGACCAACACTGATGTGTCAGACAATGATTCATACATGGCCTGAGCCACCAAAGTGTCCTTCTCTGGTAAATATATAGCTGTGATTGATTGATTGATTGAGCAGTTAGTGCATGAGGGCGAGGCGAGGACCATGGGATATACATACCTCGAAGAGAGAGATCATCAAAGTTCTTGGGAAGATGTGTAAGGAGGTACTCGATACCAGCCTGTCTGTTGTTGGGTGTGGTGACAAGGGTCTTCCAGAGGGCGTGATAGAACATTGGCGTGGAGGTCTCGCGACAAAACGCTTCGAGTAGCTTCTTGACCGCTTCGTACATCTCTCCAGTGCCCTCATCCAATCCTGGCAGCAATGAAGAGACTACACCATTGAGACAAGAATGTAGCTTATGACCCATCGGTAACAAATGCTTCTCATACAATGACAACACCTTGTATCTCACATCAGTGCTTGCGAATCTAAACAACGGGAACAAGCCCGTAGCGTATATTGATATGTCTGTTGACAGCTTCTCTTTCTACATTTAATTGAGCGTCAGTATGAGTGAGGTGATGCTGATGAATGAGAGTACATACACCTATTCGACTAAAGATCAATGCGTAGGTGTCTAGAGTCTGACTGTGACAGCCACTGGGTAATGAGGGATTGAGACATTGTGACATGCGCTTGGAGAGCAGTAGCTTTGGTTGTATACAGTTTGACTTTGGATACTTCTCAAACAGCTTGCTTAGCTTACCTAGCCACTTTACCAAGTCTGCCCATTCAGCTGACTTTGCAAATGCCACCAACACCGTATTCAGTTCATCGTTGAACTGTTTATACTTTGGATCGCTGGCTGCGCCATCTACATCATTCAATTCCAATGTGTTAGTATCTCAATGTCATCGGCAATCATTCATTCATTCTTTCATTGTTCATAATTCATGTTGTTCATATCCTACCTTCCAACTCCATGTTCATTGAATGTCAATTGATTGATTGATTGATAATGATTGATTGATAGTGATTGATTGATTGATAATGATTGATTATGTACAAGATAATATATATATTAGTTGAAGATAGATAGATAGTGAACAAACACAATCGAATATGGATAATGAATGAATGACCCTTAAAGACAAGACTAGATAGAAGTGTTGATGATGTTGTCTGTCTAGTCTTCAATAACAAAGATGATTGAGATTCGCAACCCCTCACCTCTTTTGATTAACTACACACTTCCACACCACTCACCTCACATCACACCCAAGTGAGATCGGACGACTCCGCTTTGGATTGAAGGACTTGGGGTCGTCACGACCTTGGGTCCAATCTAGAATTTTGATAAGATCTTTCCAAAACGACACTAGTGTCTTTTCCTAACATATGATATTATAATATGATTGATTGATTGTGATCATGAGGAATGATTCCAAACTTACTAAAGACATGGAAAGAGGTTATCAATCTTGTCCAATTGATCGAACTTTGGCGTGGAAATCAAATCGCCTCCGCCACATTCTCCAAACAATACATCATTATTCAATCTTTTATTGGATTGATCGATCGATTACATGGTGAGCAACAGTATGATGGTGGCTACAAGTATTGAGCCAAGGATGGTAGTGGTTGCCACTAGTTTGTTTCCATCATTATTATGACACTGGACATCTCCATTGATTTAGTTACTGAGACACTGATCGCAGGTGACATTGGCAACATCAAATGCTGGTGTGGCACAATTGTTGTCAGAATACATTTTGATTGAAGTGCTGCGGCCAACCTTTGTGAAGATGGGGTAGCCAACCTCTCCAGGACCACAACTTCTTACCAATGGGGTACACTTGTTGGCTGGGTAGGTCTTGCACATACTATACGCTTCGCATATATCATTGCAATAACTACAGAATGAGACCACGCTGCCAGCCTTATCATCTGAGCTCGAGTCTCCTCCTGTGGATGTGGAGGAGGAGGAGATTGGACAGGCCAGACCACTGGTCATGACTATTTGGTAGATGAACGATCCGGCCTCAGTCTCACTAACGCTGACGGTTTGGGTGGGGCACATGGGAGACACTGGAGATCGATGAGGGCCTTGCGGGCCTTGGTCTTGCCGGCACAGGCCAGGACGGGGTCGGTGTAGATGAGGGTGGCACCTTTGGCTCCAGCGGGGAACGAACCAAACACTCCAGAGTAAAGAAGACCAAGACTTTTGTAGGTTGATAGAGCTGGCAAGCAGAAGTCGTTGGCTGCAAACCTGTGGCTGACTGAAAGCAAACTTGGGCTTTCTGACAGATGTTCCAGTAGTACTATATGGGTTTGTGTGTGTTTGATAATTGATTGATTGATGTGATGATAGATTGAGTGGAACAACGTTTCCAAATGTAAGTCAATGGCAATGACTTACCATTGATCCACCCGAGGAGGATGTTTCCCATGAGTATTGAGTTAAACTAGATTAATTGGATATCAATGTTACAATTTGGACCAAAGACAGTTACAAGTTACCGGGTTAGCTAACGCAACACCTTTGAAACATTAATTGCCTTATATATTCTTGTTCTTTCTTTAATTAATTACTTTGTCATACTGGTAAAGTTGTATGAGTTGAGGTTATTGTCAGTGAAGGTGCATCCTGCGTTGATTGTAGCAATCATTGCCAACACAACACTGATACATCAATACATTATTCATCGTTGTAGTTGTAATATATAGATAGATTGATAACTTCGAGTATGATCAATCGGGACTGAAACATTGATGGATGCGGAAACTCAAATGACTCGTCGTTTTCCCTTGTTATTGGTAATGATTATCAGTTTTGCATTACTTTCAATCAAACATACAACCAAATATGGACATTGATCTCCAGTGACATTGGAAACATCAATGCTGGTGTGGCACAATTGTGGTCGGAATATATTTTGATTAAAGAGCTCTGGCCAACCTTTGTCCGTCCAAAATCCAAGGGTACCCTTGCAGTCTACTTACTCGCCTTCTTCGGAAACTCCATCACCTTTTTGTAATGAATCTATTCCCTCATTTCATCCAAAATGATCAAGTTTAAATGATCAAGTTGACATGATCGGAATCTCAATCATATATATCTAACAAGCAACAAGAATGATGAATAAGTATCAACATTATTTAGTTCTCGTTATTGTTGTTGGGTTGGCTACAGCATGCCACACGTCAACAGTTACAGATGGTTGTAATGAAAATCCCGTGATATGTCTTGCTAAGGGAGCCAAGTGCGAGGCGTAAGTTAATTGATTTGAATGATCAAATAGTTACATATCATACTAACTGGAATCATACTACCATTCACTCACTCACTCCTCACTCACTCACAATCAATGTCATTTTGGGAATGCTAAATGCGATCAAGGATTGAAGTGCGCAGGGGAAGTCTGTGTACCTATGTTGAATGTTGGAGAGAGGTGCAGTAATACAAGTCTTAATGGTGATAGTTGTGGATTTGGACTTAGATGCCTCGACCCATTTGGCATCTCCAACCAGAACAGCCTCAACTTGACATGCCAGTACAGAGCTTATGCAACACAAGGTCAAGCATGTGAGACCACCGCCTCTTGCTCTACCAGTGAAATGGTATGCCAGGCAGGTATATGTCCCGACAACCAATAAGTGCCTATGGGACGACGACTGCCCCATTGACCAATGGTGTCAAGATTTCTACACTCCAATGGCCGCCTGTGCTCCAAGGGTTGGACTCAATGGTGCATGTGAAGGATATAAGGATCAATGGCAATGCCAATTAGGACTGGTCTGCTCCTTTGTCGATGGTACCAGAACCAACCGGACATGTGTCCCGATAGCCTCCAAGGGCGAGGGCGAGCAATGCTGGGATTCCAGTAATTTAGACTTTAATGGAGATATCCCAGACTACGAGTGTGATCTTTCCAAGGGTCTGATGTGCATCAATAACACCTGCCAGAAGCCTTTGTTCCCGGGCGTAGACAACTGCACCAACAACTACAACTCAGACTGTGCCAACTCTATCAAGGACTTGGTGAGCTGTGTGTTGAAGAACAAGTGTCAGATGGTAACCATATACAACAATTCACCAAACACATGTTTCTACAAACATTGTGGAGGCATAGCCTGTAACAACAAGTGTTCACTTCAACCAACCAAGAACAGCAGATGTGGATCACAAGGAATCTATCCAGCATGCAGCCTCTATTCCTCTGGAAACACCCTCACCATCCAATCAATCACCACTTTTGTCCTCATCTCAATGATAATGGTAATTATTATTATTTAAGTAAACATCATTCATTTAGGTCATGCCAATCCCAATCTTAATGATCACTCAAACGACCATTCGTCTTCCCTTTGAAATAATTGGAAATCATGATTACTTTACTTTCAATCATTCAATCATTCAATCATGGACATGGACATTAGAGAGAGGCTGGCCCAGCAGCCAAACTGATGGTGGATGGACTCTTTAGTACTTGAAGATCTGTCCAGACCAGCTGTTGACAATGACGAAAAGACCCTCAGACTTCATCTCGTGAGCAGAGCGTTGGTAGGTGACGCCAGTGAGGAGCTCGGAAACTGGGACGATGTCACGACCTTGGTGTGGCTCAGCGTCGTTGAGGATGATGCGTCCACTGCCAGTGACGTTGGAGAAGTTGACGACACAGAGTACACGGTCTTGTTGATGGGTCCACTTGTAGGCGATCAATGGCCATGATGAGTCGGTGCCAGTCACGGTGAGCATCTGGAAGTCGCCAGCTTTGAATGCAGGCTTGGAGATGACTGATGTGAGCACCTTGTAGAACTGGACGGTGGCCTCATTGACGGGCTCGGGTAGCTGGCGGCGGAGATGCACCTCGAGCTGGTTGCGCATACCCTCAAACTCGCCCATCCAGAACATCTTCATGCCTGGGAGCGTGTAGGTGAGGAGTGCGGCAGCGTTTGAGCGCCACCATGAGCCAAAGTAGGCAACACCACGCTGCTCGTCGTGGTTGGAGATGAAGCGCACCGACTGCTTGTTGTACTTCCATGAGTGGCTGTTGATCCAGCCGCGGATCTGATCAATGTTGCCACCGCCAACAATGTCGCGGAAAGACTTGTCGTAGGTGTAGTCAAAGCCAAGGTTCTGGAGCTCCTCCTCATAGCCAGTGTAGACCTCGGCCATGAAGACAACGTGTGGGTGGGACTTCTTGACCTCCTTGATGGCCACGTCCCAGAACTCGTGTGCTGGCTGCTTGTAGCCCCATGAGGCCAGCTGTGTGCCCCACTTCTTGTTGAACAACGAGTTGAGCACGAGGTGTGCCATGTTGACGCGAACAGCGTCAGAGACGGCGGCGACGGACGACAGCTCTTGGATGGTGGCGCGGATGGCCTGTGTGTTCCAGATGTTGATCTGGGCTGTGTCCAGCCAGGAGTGACCCCAGATCGAAGCACCGCATGCGATGCCGCTTGGCAAGTAGGTGTTGGGGTCGTAGGGTGCCTTGGTGTCCTTTGGTGCGCGCACGTAGTGGTCTGGGTTGGAGTTGACGAGTGGTGAGTCGACGGCAGTGTGGTTGGGAACAAAGTCCAACATCAAGTGAAGGCCCATGTTGTTGAGCGACTTCTTCAAGTGCTGGAGGTCCTGCAGGGTGCCGACCTGGGGGTTCACCTCGTACTTGGTGATAGCGTATGGGTAGCCGATCACATCATCCTTGGTGTAGCCTGGCAACACGTGGGAGAACTCCTGCTTCAAGTGCTCAGCAGTGGTCTCGTACTGGACGGCGTACTTGCCGAGGGACCAAACTCCCATCAACCATACCATATCGAATCCCATGTTCTTAATATGTTGGAACTCCTCCATTGGGATCTCTTTAAGGTGGGGAGGTAACCAAGGGGTTAGTGATGATGGAGGTGGATGTGGAAATTGATGGCATACCGTTGATCCTGTCGATGGTCTTCTTGTACTTTTGGGAGAGGGTGAGGAACCATGGACGGACAGATACCTCATAGAGCATACGGCTTCCATTGAGGACGTGGTGGTGCTTTTGGTGATGTGTCTCTTGCATTATTATTGTAGTTTGATGTGTGTATCTTTAAAATTATGTATTTGTTTGATTGATTGTGTAGTAGTTGTAGGTTTGGTGTCAACTTGAATGAATGATTGAATCAACCAACATGGATATTGATTGAGTGGATACAGTAACTCACACCATCCATCATATCCATCATCAGTATACTGGGAACGCACTCCAATCCAATGAATGAACGTGATGGAATCGACAGTCAGTCTCTAGAGATGTCACCCCATTTAATATATCAAAGCACAAGGTGTCTGTACACCATCATAAGGCTACTGCAGCGGGACATGACATCTTCATTTAGTGTGTTTGTATTGGAGTGTGTTTGATCGAGGCTTCCACATCGTGTGGCGACCCTTCCACATTCACAGTCAGCCAGCCCAACACTCTGCGCCCAATCAAATTGGTGTGTGAGTGGACCTCCATCAGAGAGTGTGAATGATCATTAATCATTGTTGCTGTGCTTGCTTGTCAACACTATTAAATGATGGACTTTCACACCCACAAATGTCAGAGAGGGAGAGTATCCATCTCATACTTGGGCAGATGTCGACTGGAGAGAGACAGCCAATAGGTCCAATCTACAATAACAAACAACATGAGTTGGTGTCAATGTTGTGTTTGTGTTAAGGGTTGGTTGATAGTTGTGATTGCTATTGGGTTGTAGTTGCTGTAGTTGCTGTAATAGCTGTAGTTGTTGTAGTTGTTGTAGTTGTTGGGTATTAGGTGTTTCTTGACAACCCTGCAAACAAGTTGATTTGGTGATGTGACTGAGGCAAAGTTTAAACTTGGAACACCTTGAGAGTGAACGCCAGTATGATGTGAAGTACTGTCAAGCCAATGCCCCAAGCGATACCTTGATACCATGACAAAAGAAATATCGATGATCTATATATTGCTGCGATGATTGTTGCTATGTAGTAGTAGTAGATAGTAAGTAACGAATGAATGAATGAATGATTGAATGAATGAGTATGTATAACAAACAACATACCTGATATACCTCCAAAGCCAATGCCTATGAGGATTCCTAGTGCAGTGGAGAAGACAGGGATGAAGGGAGCAACCTTTGACTTGCGTAGAACAATAGATGCTATGAATCCCGTACATAAGTATGTCAGAGCATGACCAACCGTACACCAAAATGTAATAGCAAGCCACATATCACCATAAGTTGAGAAGTTGCCATGAAACAATGATCCATTTGTTATTGTACCAGTGTTTGGATTTGTATCCGGTATACCAGCTCCAATGAATGATGAGAATATATTTGACATTTACTGTCTCTTCTATCTATTTATCTATCTATTCTCTTTCTATCTATTATCTGTTTGTTTGTTTGTTTGGGTTAATGAAAAAAAGTGATGTGGTGGTCGCTCTTTCAACGAGATAAATCAGTTAAGATGATCTGAGATCTAGAAAATATAGATATTGACACTGCGGGGAAAGAGTATTGCTTGATGAGGTCGGAAGGCTTCGACATTTCGTCTCCCCGCGGGGCAAAAAAAAAAACAGAAGAAAAAAGACCTCCCCGTTCGGGAATCGAACCCGAGGTATCAGTGTGAGAGACTGAGGTGTTACCAACTACACCAACGAGGATATTTTTGAAAAAGAATCAATTTTCTACTTTTGTGCTCAAATAGTCGAGCGATTTTCATCAAATGAAACAAAAACAGTGGTTTTTGATAACTAAAGTTGATTGAAATAAAATAGTTATGTTCTAGAACTTTTTATTAATTGTTTGGAGCAATTGTCAATGTCAACATGTCTTCTCCAAGCTCGGCTACAACGTCATTGATGACACGGATAAGTGTTTCGAATCTTGGTCTTTTGGCCTTGTACAAGTTGATAAAGACCATATCCATTGGACCATCTGCGCAATCACGGAGAATATCAACCAATGCATCCAGATTTCTTCCAAAGTAACCTGGCACTGTCATTGCCTTTGGCAAGTAGGTATAAAAGTCATCAATGTCATTGATATTGGCAAAGTCAACTTCAGCTCTCTTTCTAACTATTGGTGCATCTCCACCTTTCTTTTTAATAATTTGATCCTTCATGTTTGATCTTAAGTAGTAGTTGTTGTTATATTATCTGTTTAAGTATTATTAGTTGTGTTTGTGTGTTTGTGTTTGAATGAATGGATGAAGTTGAAGGTAATGTTCGTTTGTTTTAAGGTGGACGAATCTGATTCATTTCCAAATAATATCTTTGTAGTTGGTCCCCAGTTCTCAAGCCGATGCAAAGGAAAAGGTTAGTCAACTTAAGATGGTCGTCAATCAAGTAGATATTATTACTCTTTACTAAAGTGACGACCATCTTGAGTTCTAAAGTATCCCAAATGTCTCCAAAATTAACTTATTCCCAATTTGTTTGTTCACAACTTATTCTCATCATGCTAAACTTCTTGTGCAATATCAAACGAAGAAGTAGAGGATAGATAGATAGATACATATATGACATATAATACATCATCACAGGTTAGAAGTTGGATATTCAACAAGCATACGATAGCCGAATGTAGGGAACAAGCTAACAAATCATATGTTGATGCAGTCGACACAAGTGATGCCTCTGTCAAGGACAACATGTTGTCCGCTGAGGAGGAACAACAACTTCTATTCTACTACAAATCAAAGATGATTGAGTTTGGTCAACAATCAGAGTTAAAGTTACCAGATACTGTATATGTATGTTGGACAACAACATTGAATGAGTGAGTGAGTGAGTGACACTGACACATGGACAAACTTCCAAAGTCAACGGCAATAGCATATATGAACAGGTTCTACTTGAAGAAGAGTGTGATGGATGTAAACCCAAAGCAGATGATGAAGGTGTGTCTGTTTATAGCGTGCAAGACAGAGGATGATCATAGAGAGATTGGTGATTACTCAAATGTGGTCAAGATACAACCAAAGGAGATTGTCGAGATGGAGATACCATTGCTCGAAGCATTGGCATTCCAACTGGTGGTCTATCATCCATTCCGTCCACTATACGGATTCCTGCTAGACATTAACGAGATGATGACCATGTCCAATAATCAATATCAGACATGGTTGAATGCCTCTACATTCTCATTCAATGATCTCTACCATGAAGCCACCAAACACATCCAACGATCACTGCTCACCGACTGCAGTTTCCTCTATCATCCTTATCTAATAGCATTGGCATGTCTTGATCTTTCATGGCCTGCATTCCACGAGTATGTACTATACTACTCATTCATTCGATCAATCAAACTGACCAAACGGTACAATTAGATATTTCAAGCTTAAGTTCTTGTCATTAGAGAACCATGTACAGATACAAAAGGAGATCAATGAGGTAAAGGCTATCATCAATGCTGTGCCAGAGAGGCCAAACATTGATCAAGTTAAGATTATAGATGCCAAACTGATGTATGTAGTTGGACACTCAATCCGAATCATTCCAAATCAATCAATCACTGACTGACCATCAACCATCCAAAGATCACTATCAAAGTCATTAAAGAAGAGCAAGACAAAGAAGAAGAAGTCATCTGCATCGTCTTCACAAGGTTCAACAAAGAAGCAACGAACAGACTTACAGTCACCGCCACCTCCGACCGATGCTGTCGCTCAACCTGTGAATGGAGGCACACAAGTTAGTTGAGATAGATAAACTGGAAGTTGTTTGAATGGAATGGAATTGGAATGTATTATTATTATTATTATTGCAATGGTGTACCACTAGAGAGGATCATCCATTGGTTGTAGTTGATGGAGGATGGATGACCAAGGGTGTTGGATGGTATGGCATGGAATGGATAGGATAGTCTTAGATTGTGATCTCTGAGTAGTTGGGGTTGGACTCCTTCTTGGCAGTGATGTACTTAATGGTGTTCTGCAGGTAGACGGAAGCAGAGTCGCCCTCCTTGCTGTGAGTGGTGCGGATCAACTCGACCAGGTTGCTGATGAATTGAGCTGGGACGGCATTGGAGTTGTTGTCGTAGAAGTAGAGACACTCATTCAAAATATCAACAAACACTCCCAAGCCAGCGTTGGACTCGTTGGTGATGATGGCCAATGACTTCTTAAGAGCCTGGAGCACTGAGTTTTGTTCTTGGTATTGTCTCTGTATGTTGATAATGATGTTAGATGATGTTCATGTTGTTTCCAGGATGACGAATGATGAAACTTACGTTCTCGTGATTGACCCAGAACAAATGAGAGCAGAGTGAGATGAGCTTGGCTTGATCGTTTGGTGTCAAAAGACGAGTGGCCTGCTTGATGGTCTGACCGGCAAGGGTTTCGTAGGTCTCGACGTCTGGAAGAGCGAGAGAGTTGAGGGTGGAGATGAGGAGGGTGAGGGCGCTGACCTGAGCCTTGAAGTCGGGGATGTCCTCCTGGAAGATCATCAGAGCCTTGATGGCAAAGTCCTTGGTGGTCTTTTGCAGGTTGCAACGATCGGCGGTTTGGACGGCCTGCAAATAGAGACGGAACGAGAGCTCGGCCAACTTGATGTCGACGAGAGCCTTGATGGTCTCCATGACAAAGGTGAAGATCTTGGTGCCAATGACGGTCCACTGGTTCTCGTCGAGCGAGATGATGCCGTCGTCCACCTGCTTCTTCAACTTGGTGACGAATCTCAACGAACGGAACACGAGTGGCACCAGGGTGTGCTTGATGCGGAGCTGACCACCCTTGCCAAAGTGGCTGCGAGCGACGTTGTAGATCTTGAACAGCTTCTCGGGGTCCTCGCTGTCAAAGAGGTGGATGAGCGAGGCCACCTTGTTCTGCTCCTCCTGGAAGTCGTCCTTGTCGATCTCGTCCATCTCGGGCTGGTCGGTCTCGTCCTTGATCAAGGTCTGGATGGTCTCGAGCAGGCTGTTGACGTCCTCGGGCTCCTCGATCACGGTGGAGTTCTTGATCGTGTTGTTGACAATGTCCAACGACACCTTCTTTCTGTTGTTGTACGACAGACACGAGATCAATGGCTGGAAGTGAGTCAACTTCAACACGGTCAGCACGTTCTTGAACACCTCCAGAGGGATCTGGAGCAGCGAGATGATCTGCTTGACACAGGTAGGCTTGTTGATCTCCTCCTTGGTCTTGTTGGCAAGGATGCTCTGGCACAGACCAAGCACCTCGTTGGCATTGTCGCGCTTCTCTGGGTAGCACTTGAGGGTCAGGTTCAAGAGAGACACGTGCAGGCCGAGGATGTCTTGCAGCTCCATGTTTGGTCTGTTCTGGATGATCTGCTTGACGTTGTTGAAGAACACGGCAAAGATGTCAATGTGCTCTGGGATGGTGTTGCGCGAGGCATAGTTGGCCAACCTATCAATCAATGATGAGATGATAGCCTTGACATCAACGCCTGGTTGGAGTTGGGCACAGGTCGAGAGGATAGTGTCCAAAGTGGCCAAGTGATACTCGTCTGGGAACACCTATAGTGTAGTAAGTGAGAGTAAGAGAGAGGTGTTAGTGGTCTGGCAAGGCTGCTGTGGCCAACAACAACTTAACAAACGAACAAACATACTTGGATCAAGATCTCCATAAGGTACTGCTGGGCGATTCTATCCTTGCAGTTGATGACTTGCTCAACGACCTTGGGCAAGACGGTGGTGGAGTAGACGTTCTGGTCGACACCCTCGAGCTGACTGAGACGCGAGAGGTTCTTGCCGACCAAGACACGGAGATCGAGTCTCTCGTTCTCACGCTTGTCTCTGATCTCCTTGACGGGCACCTGGTGCTGCATTCTGACCCAGAGCTTGTTCATCTCTGTGAAGTTCTGGATGATAAAGTCGATCGAGTCGATCACTGAGCCATCAGATGACTCGGCGCCGACGTCTGGCAACTTGTCCTTGGTGACCTCGCTGAGGTAGTAACGGAGGAAGAGACCTCTGGTTGGGTGCTGCACACCACGGCACATCTCAATCAAGTCCTTGAGCACGTCCTTGGCTGGGGCTTGCTTGGTCTTGATGTAGACAGAGCCAACAGTGATCAAGAGGTAACTAATTGATTGATATTAAGTCAGGTAATGTCCATTGCGTGTATGTCGTTGTTGTTGTTGTTCAACACTTACAGTCTTGGCAAGACGTTGCCAGCGTGTTGGACAACCTCGTAAAGCTCAATCATTCTCTTGCCGTGCTTCTCTTCAAAGAGATAGGTGTTGAGATGCTGGAGATAGTCAAAGGAGACCATGTAGAGAGCATAGTATGACTTTGGTGACAAAAGCGATGTTCTGAGCTCGTTGATGATGTTGGAGGCATACTTCAAAGCGTCCATCAACTTTGAGTTGTCCAAGGCGATCTTCATATGATGACCCTGTACCATCACATTATTAGTGGCCTCCTCCAAGAACTTCTTTTGTTCCTCCTCTGGTGAGAGAGTAACTGCAACTGTTCCTTTGTTTGACATTATATTATTCTGTTATATATATATATCTATCTATCTATTCGTTTGTTTATCAAAGAGTATCTGTCTGTTTGTCTGTCTGTCTATCTGTCTGTATTGCTGTAGTTTGTTTAAGTGAGTATGAATGAGTGAGTGAATACTAATGAGTTAGTGTGACTGTGACACTTACATTTGAAACACAAACTATATATAAGTACAAACTAATATATAAATATATATTATTATTATTATTATAACAAAAGAGTATCAAGATAATAGTAGAAAAGTTATTTGTTCTTGAGATCTGTTTGATGAAGCAAGCATGGTTAGCAAGGGAGAGTGAGTGAGCAAGACTCACTTCTGAAAGAAAAATCCAATTTTTACAAATATCTTTTTATTCTCTAAGTCCACAGAACATTCCGTCAATGCATACCCTGTTGACCTGTTAGCTCAACATTTAAATTAAAGAGATAAAATATTATATTATACCTGTATTAATACATAATAATAATAATAATATTAATTATAATGGATATATTTCTTTTGGTTCGAGTTTGATCTCAATTGAGCTGAATGTACTCTCTTCAACTGATAACTTGGCACCAATGTATTCTCCATCTCTGTGCCATCTGGTCAAATGATTGGAGTGACTTAGTGATGCGCGATATTTAATGGACCAGATGTCAGAGTATCTCTCGGGCAGTTGGATTGCGAATCTTTTGATATATATTGATTCCATTATTCTTGTGTAAAATAATGTTATGATCTCCTGCGGGTTCTCAGGGTCGACCATTTCCACAGTTAATCCAGTGATCTTGGAAATGTTGTTTTGAGTGTTTGCAATGTGATGGTAGTCGAGCTTTGGCATCTTGTTGACCTGTTCAATCTGTTTAGTCTTTATCCTCTCCTCGTTGATACTCACAGAATTTGTGCGTATTACAAGTTCTTTAAGGTTGGGAGCACGTTCGTTTAGGGCTAGATAGTCGTAGTGCAAATCCTCCATGTCTTTCATATCCGTAACTTTACCCAATCCTGGATCAATCAATGACATGAACTCGTCATCAATAGCAATTTGATCAGGTTCGGGTGGTTCTTGGGCATCAATAATCGCCTCCCTTGGCGCGATGTGCTCCCCAAGGAAGATGCCACGCGCCGGGAAAATTCGATTGAAGCCACCATTGCGTGTACCAAACAGACTGTCCACCTCTTGGAGATTGACTCCATGATCGATATCAATATGTTGTTCGATTGGCATCTTGTCGTCAGGCACCACGGGTAACACCGTCAGATTGATGTTGAGATTGAAATGTTCACAACTGGCGATGCTCAACTTGAATGCATATGACGGACCATAAATGGTGACATTGGTTATCTTGACCTTTCTTTCATGAGTGCCTTTGACAATCTTGTCTGTATCGAACTTTCTTTGAAGCGTGCCTGCGCCAAGCCTGAGCGAACAGTCGTCGACCGTCACAAGTCTTGAATTGACATAGAGATCATTTGTTTTTGCGTCGAATTGGAAGGTATGTTTTCCACAACGTACCGCCACCTTACTGATGAATGAAGGGCCACTTGTAAATTTGGGTATATGCTCTCCTCTAACATGTATCTCCAATTGATTGCTCTTATAGGCCAGAGCGTCACCGACAAAGTGATTCCTGAATCTTACACCAGTCAATGAGGAGAAGTGAGGATCACCCTGCACCTTACAAGATGCGGCTTGGCCATTACTTCTCGACACCTTATCCAACCACCATCTCTCCAGTCGTTCAGCATGGTTTTTTGTATATTCTCTAACTTCATATACATTCATTATCTTATCTTTGTCTTTGTCGTTATATTTGTAATTGTTGGTTGCTATTAATTGTTGTTGTAGTCAAAATATCTGTATCACTTGTGAGTATCAACTTTGATTCGAACTTGTATTCTCAAAGTTTGACTTCTGATCAATGTGTGGGTGAAGATAAATCAAACTCACACTTTGATGACAACTTAAATATTAATAATAATAAATGTAAATGAAGAGTACATATCAACGTCCAAAAAGTTTACTTTGAGCAAGCTAGGCAGGTAACTACTGCCTAGAGTTTGTTGTTGTGTTTGATGGTTGATTGTTGTTTGTTTGTTTCAAGAACAAGTTGTTCATATCCTTCAGATGATTGATATTGGTGAATGAAAAGTTGCCAAAGGTGATGGGATCGTGCTCCTTGATGTCCAATTGAACTGGATCCAGATCGTCGCCAATCGATGAGTTCAGTAGGCTGGTCTCTGACAGGGTCTGAGGCTGGAAGCTACCACTTCCATGTGATGCACCCGATCCAATAAGTTGACCACGTCTGACATCTTCATCATCTTCATCATCAAAGTCGTCTTTGATGAGCCCATCCATGTCAGGGTTGTTGATGGCTGGCGTCGATGGCGCGGCCAGATTGTCATCGCTCCCCAGACTGTCATTGTAAATCGACTGCCTGTCCCAGAAGTAGTCTGTGTCCAACTCGCTCTCTGGCTTTGGCACAAATATGCCGTCCATGTCCTGATCGATCAATGTGCTCCAGTCGACATTCTTGAAGAATGGATGCCTCTTCACCTCGTTGGCACCATTGGCGCCGAGTCTCAGGCTGGGATTGGGATTGAGTAGCGAGCATATCAGGTCTTTGGCATCGTCGCTTACGTCTTGCCACTCCAGCTCGCGGTCATTCTGCAGGATGTGTTCAAAGATCAGCTCGGGCGTCTCGTCGTTGAAGGGTGGCGCGCCGGTCAGGAACTCGTACAAGATGATACCCAGCGCCCACCAGTCCACTGGAGTGCCGTGGCCCGTGCCCAGGAGGATCTCTGGACTCAGGTAGTCGGGCGTGCCCACCACCTTCTTCACCTTCTTCTTCAAATTCGTTGTCTGTTGTTTGCTTGGGTAGTTGATGGGCGGGACTGCGGCCAACATGTTGGAGGTGGCTGCGATGCCCATGACCATAGGCGAGGTCGTTGGGGAAGATGATGTCGATGCGGGTTGTGAATGTGGCGACTCTGTCTGAGCCTGGGACTGCTTGTCATCGAGTATTCCAATCTTGGACAGGCCAAAGTCGGTCAACTTGATGTGTCCCTTGGAGTCGATCAGCATGTTGTCGGGCTTGAGATCACGATGAATGATGGCATGTTTGTGCAGGTACTCCAGGCACAGGATGGTCTCGGCAATGTAGTGTCGCGCCATCGCCTCGTCAAAGCAACCTAGAGCACGCAACAATGAGGCGCAGTCACCGCCAATCAGATACTCCATTACCAGGTACAGCTTGTCCGTTGACTGGAATGCGTAAAACAGTTTGACGATGAATGGGTTCTCGACTGCGGCCAGGATGTTTCGCTCTACCACCACATGGTCGGCCATGTTCTTGCGCACCGTGTCCAACTTCTTGAGCACCTTCACTGCGTACAAGTCGCCTGTCTTCCTCTTCTGCGCCAAGTACACACGACCAAATGCGCCTCGCGATATAGGCTTGATTATCTCAAAGTCTGCGATCGACACGCTGCTGTTGGGTCCACCAGATGACTCCAATGCCGGGGTTGGCTGCTCAACAGTCACTGGAACACTCTGTTGTTGAGCAGGATGATGTTGATGATGTTTTGTTGCGGGCGCGATAGTCTTGAGGAAGGGCAGAAGACCCCATACCGACCATCCTTGGTGTCGCTTGCGTCCTGTCTTTGTGGCCCTGCGCTCGGCGTCGGCCGCCGTCTGCTGGACCTGCGTGTACTGCACGTAGGTCGCCTTCTTCTGTTCAATAATGCGACACATTCGCTTGCCAATCGTCATGAATGACATGTCGTCGGCATGGTCCTCGATCAGTTGGCCAATGGAGTCAATGACCGATTGGCATCGACATACTGCAGCGGGCGTACCATAACTGATACGTGTGATCTCCTCGACGTAGTGCTCCAAATGCGAGATGATGTCGTCGTTGATGTAGTATGGATCGATGTGGGCGCTGGGTCCAACCAGCGAGTCCATCATGATGCCCTTGGCCAAGTTGAGCATGGCCAGCAGACGTTGATCATGTGTGTTGTGCTTAAAGTCGTGCATGTTGGTCAAAGCACACAGCTGAGTATGTGTCTTGAGCTGCTCGGTCCTGTATGTGTCCTCGCAGATGCGGCACACCATCGTGGTCATGGTAGTGTTGTTGGTGGCAACCACATTATTGTTTGAACTTGCTGTTGCCATGGATGATGCTGTTGTAGTTGTGTCGTCTACTGGCGTGGGTTGGACATCCACCTCAAGTGTGTCCTCGGCATGGCCCCTTGACGTGGACGCACTCAACACCCACCTGTTACTCTGCATCATCTCGGCCAAACCTGAGCTCTTGTCTAACCTGTTGATATCAGCGCCATTGTTTGTGAACTGATAGTCGACGTCCTGTATCCCATCTGCAGAGTTGAGGAGTGGCGTTGTGGAGTTGCCAGTTGAGTTTGCAACTGGGTTTGTTCCTTGGTTTGCCGGAAGATTGGACAGAGCTTGAAGCGGGTTGGTCGGACTGATGCTGTTGAGGTTGGTCAAACTCTTGGACAGTCGCTGGCTGTAGAGGCCGGATGTGGAGAACGCCAGCGGGTTGACGGATTCATCGCTGGCGCTCAACTTGGTCGAGTCGGTCAGCACATCGACTACACGGGCAAACTCTGAGAAGATGAACAGCATCCTATAGATCAATGTACTTGGTGCCAAGTTGGCGGGGGCAGTCCTCGCGCCCTTGGAATGCTCCAAAAACAGGCTCTGGATCGACTGCACGATGTTCCTACATTGCTCGCGTTGCTCAGACACGCTCATGGCCTTGATCCTGCTCGCGATGAGCTTGATGCCCAAGAAGGTATCCTCCACATCGGGGTTTGACGCCACATCACTTGGCACCGAATGTATGAACGCGTCCATCTTTGTGTCGACTATGTGCTTGGATGAGAACAGTCTCTGATTGATGTCAAATGATGGCGTGACATCAGTCTTGTGTGAGCGACCCCTGGCAGTGTTGGAGCGGGATCGTCCACCACCGCTGCGAGAGCCACTAGTCGAGTTGCTCTCGCTAAAGACTGTGTCGTCTGGCTTGACTGGCATGGTGAGAGCTCGCGTCCTGTTGCTGTTTGGCCTTCCACTTGTTAATGGCACTGGCATGACGGCTGGCGATGACCTGTTCCTTGTGTGATTGATTGTTGAAGATGGCGATGGCGTGCCATTCTTTGACCCAGTCATGGCCAATGGATCGGGCAGCATATCATGCTGTTGTTGATGTTGAGCTTGGTAAAGAAGTTGGTTGAGTGGTGTGCCAAAGGCAAAGAGTGGGGAGGCCGATGAGTGTGAGGAGGAGTTGGTGGGAGAGCCTCCAATTGATACTGGGGGCTTTGATGCGTAGGGTTTGTTGATGTAGTGGCTGTTGGTAGTTGTAGTATTTACATGTGAATGATTGTACAATTGTGATGACAGTTGGCCATCATCCTCCTCCAATAGACAAGGGCTGCTGCTGCTGCCACACGATGATGTGGATGTGGATAGCCGCAGGGCCTTATCATTGAGTGAGTGTGAGAGTGGCTGTGTCAGCCACATGTGATCATTATCTGCATTGTTGTTGATGTTGTTGGCGTTGCCTGTGTTGGCCATGGCCAGGTGGTGAAGATGATGTCGTCGGCCCACTCCCAGGAGCATGTTGGATGGACGCGATGGTGATGTGGGCGCCGATGCACTTGTGGCCAAGTACTCGAATGACTCTGATTTCTTGATGAGTGCACCATTGTTGTTGGACCACTTCTGTCTCTCCAACTCAGCCTCTTCAGCTGCCTGTAAAAGACGTGCCTCTTCCAATCTTGTTTGTGATTCCTCAATGACCTGAATCCATGAATTGCACTCATGATGACTTCTCGCCTGTAGTGTCAACGATGGGAACATTCCTTGAATATGAACAATCTGAAATATATACTGCTTATCAATCTCTCCAAGTCTTCTAATTGTACTTCCAACTATTGGAATCATTCCAGCTGGTTCAGAGTCCTGATGTAATGTATGAGTGATTGTTAGTGAGTGAGTGCTTGAGGGGATGGGCCCATGGGGTGAGGCCCTCGAGGTCCACATACTGATTGATGCTTGAAGTAGTAAAAGAGACCATCCTTGAGCAAACAGTAACGCTTCTTCCAACTTCTTATGAGTACATGTCCCTCTTTGAGTAGGAATCCTTCCTTATCAGGGTTGGTCAATGATGCAAATGCAGGCTGGAAGATATGGAACATGGAAGAATGAGTGATTGAGTGTGATTGAATGATTGATTGAATGAACCATAACTTACATCATTATGTGGTGCTAACCATTCTGCCAACTCTTGGCTGTCTTCCAAACCCTCGGAATTGACCAAGTCCATTAGATAGTGTTGTAGTTGGTCTCTTCGTTCATCGACTAGCTCCCTGTTTGTTCCAGTTCGAAACAAGTGCTTCTTTGGTAACTTTGGTAGTCTGACCTTTGGATAAGCATTCCTAATCCTCTGATCCAACTCATGGAACTGACTATATCGTCTATAAATATTCCATTGGTGTCCATTCGGTTCATCAGCTACACAGACTATGTACACCTACAATATGTAATTGATTGATTGATTGATCGAATATGTGAGTGAGTGTTGATTGATTGATCATGGTATTTGAGAGGTATGATCATACAGTGAATGCTGTGAATGACATTGGATCAAGCCTGGTCTCATCACCAATGATACATAGTTGAAAGGTCATTGGTGTGTTGTGCGTCAGTCAGCTGTGAATGGGTTGGTTCCAATCACACCTGTCTTATATATTATGGGTTGGTTTGTATGATGTATATTATGAAATCTGGATGGTACTGGTAATGGTATATTATGGTCCTGATATATATCTTTGTTTGATGATGTATTAAGTATTTGAATGATTGATGGTGTTGTGTGAGTGTGTCTGTGATTGATTGATTGATTGGTATGAGTGTTTAATTGATTGATTGAGTGTGAACACAGTTGTTGAAAAAGTTGTTGTTGTTGTTATTATGATACCAGTGACTAATAAAATATTATTCAATTAATAAACAGTAAAGTAATATCTGGTCGAGTCGAAGGTCCAGGATATTTAGTGTGTGTTATAACCGTGTTGTTGTGGGGGGTGAAGGAATTAGATTGATCAAAGTCGTTTGTGTGTGTTTGTGATGACGAAGTAGAAAACGATCAAATGGTGAATCAGCTGACCCCCATTGGTCTAAAGAGAAGTCCTCGTTTCCCAATTATTGTGATTGCACAATACGAAAATATTATTATCTATTTGTAGAGACCCAGGGTCCAACAATGACACGGCATCACCTGCAAAGCTCGCACATTCCAAAGACTAAGACACTCACACTCATCACAAGTTAGGAACACGACTTGACAACAAGTTACCATGAACATTCAATCATACTTGTGAAGTCACTTGGAACAATGTCCCTGCCCTCCTACTACTCCCCCAGGTAAAGTGTCACTCACTTGACCTTGAACTTGTTGATTGAAAAAGTGATTGAGAGACTCTAGAGTTTATTGTTGCTTGCACTCTGGGTTGGTTGGAGCTGGTGGAGTTGGTTGTCTGGCCTTGTTACCACCGGTACGACGGGCATTGACTGGCTCATCATCCTCATCATCATCCTCCTCGTCGTCCTCATCGTCAAAGTCCATCTCTTCATCCTCACCATCCATATACATTCCCTCGTCGTCCTCGTCCTCGACGCGACCCAGGAAGGACTCGATGGCGCTTGGGATAATAGAATCTTTCAGGTCGACGATGGCCTGGTACTGGACGTAGCGGAAGGAAGCCTCAGCGACGTTGCCCTCATCGTCCTCCATGTCCTCGTCATCCTCCTCACCCGCCAGGGCGTCGGAGAACTTGTCTGGCGAAGAGGCATCGATCAGCAGTGTGGTGAAGATCGACTTTGCGTTCTCCTCGATGGTCTTGGTGACGACGGTTGGCTTCTTGCCCTTTGGTCCCTTCTTCTTCATCTTCTTCTCGGTGATCAGCTTGGTAACGGCGGTCTTCTTGCCCTCCTTCCACTCGACGGGCGACACTCTGATCGATTCGAGCTGCTCGTCCTTGAGCACCAGCTCCAGCTGGACCGATTCGTTGGTAAAGTATGGGTTGGTGGCAAAGACAAAGTTGAGAGTGAAGCTCTGATCCTCCTTCAAGTTGGAGATGTTAATATCGTTCAAGTATTGGAGTACCTCCTGGTCATTATCTCCAATAATAGATTCAAACTTTCCAGAGTTGACCAAAGCATTAAACCAGAATGATGGGATACCCTTAGCATCTGTGTTTGTTCATTCATTGATTGATTGATTGATTGTTAGCATGATTGATTGAATGATTGAATGATTGAATGATGTGATATAAACACATACCTCCTGATGTAAGACCCTCAACAGCGACTGGGACCTCAGCAGCACACTCCTCCTCAGTTGGCTCAGCAGCGCCAGAGACAAAGGTAGCTCTCTTTGTGTACAATTTATCAAACTCTGGTTGGAATTTCATATCGACCAAATGTAGCTCTTTCTCCTTTTGTTGGTCCAACTCCTGAATGCGCTCCTATATATACTTTCGTTAGTCATCAATGTGCGTAACATTGTGTTGTGATTAAATATAAACATACTTGCAACTTGAGCAAAGCATTGACTCTCTTCAAGATCTCAATGGAGGTGATGTTGGAGAGATCATCTGATGCACTAATATGTTCAATATCCATAGTTTATATATGTTGTTGTATGTATGTATATATGTGTGAGAGAGAGTGTGTGTATGTGTATGTGTAGATTGAGTGTACTCAAGAATGAGACGAGATTAAGTGCACTGTTCTCAAGTCCTTCGTCACTCGTCCTTTTGTTCATAAATGAATCAAAATTGAAAAAATAAATTGAATCAAAAAACCGAAGTTTGTTTGTTTCAAGCGTGGGGGTTGTTTGTGTCTCTTCATTCTTCATTCATTCATTCTTTCAATTCAATTCAATCATTATTATTAATATATAGTCGTAGTAGTAGAGTAGTAGTAGTAGTAGAAGGAGACAGAGATAAGCCATGCCAGAGTATAAAGGTAGGATGGCAGCTGGCAGTAATGGACGTAGTGATGGGAGGTCAAGAGTCGCACCTCCACCGCCACCTCCAAGAGTACCATTCAGAAGATATTCATCGGCGTTTGGTTCATTGGAGGGTAATAGTCCTCAAGATGAATTCTTAGACAATCTATATATCGCTGGTGGTCAAATAGATGATCGTGATCATCAACCTTTTCGTCATCATCATCATCATACTCGTGAGCGTGACAATGAACGAGATGATCAACTACAACAACAATCACAATCACAACAATCACAACAATCACAACAATATATACCAAATCTCACCTATCTTGATTATATAGATAGTTTATTACATCGAAGTCGTTCATTAACTACTTCATCACAATCACTACCAACTTCATCAACATCATCAACTTCAACATCAACAACACAATCATCATCAATCAATGTAAATAACAATAATAATAATAATAATAATAATAGACATCGAATATCATTTGATCCAATGTCATTGGGTGTCTTTGAGACATCATCGCCAACTGAGAGAAGACGTCGTTCAATCAGTTTTGCTGATGAGGATGATCATATCGAGGACAATGATGACAATGACGAGGATGATGATGATGTTTACTTTAGAAGTGCGTTTGGAAGAGGTGGAAGAGGTGGAAGAGGTGGAATGGTGCGAGGTCGTACTTTTGGTACACACTCAGGTTGGCGCACATCTCTGACGAGAGATGATGCTGATGCCGATGACGACGAGGAAATTGATAGTTGTAGCGATAAAGAGCGCGGGGACGACAATGATGATGACGATAATGAAGACGTGCGAATAAACGAGCGAGTATCATTTAGAGATGTAGATGACTTCTACATGGTGCATCCCGAGGATGAGGATAGTGATGACAATGACGACGAAAAAGACAATGACAACAACAATGACAATGATGATGACGACGACGAATTTCTGGGAGACGATGAGCGCACAACAGTTGCATCATCATTATCATCATCTTCCTCTTCTTCAAGTTCAAGGCGACAACTGGATTCGAGTGGTGGCAGCGGAGGTGGCGGTGACTCTCTGCGTTCAAGTCAATCTACCAACAGTACAAACGTCTTGCAAAACCTGGACGAGGAGGACTTTCAATCAATCAAGGCCTTGCTGCTGAGCAGCTTGGCAGCGAGCCGGAGCAGAAAGAGGGAGCGTGATAATGCAGACATGGATACCAATGAAGCTGTAATGGATGAGGACAACACTGATCAAGATCAAGAGCATATCGATATGATACTTAGAAGACTGACCAAGCATTCAAAGACAACTGGATCATCATCAAGTTCTACACCATTGGCTATCAGCAACGACAACAACAAAAGTGGGAAGCCAAAGAATAAGACTGTCATCACAAGGAAGTTCACGCTCACACTGGACAACAAGGTCGACATGCAAGAGACCGTGGAGGAGGAGGAGGTATCAAGTGATTGATACCACTCTCTCTCTCAATCAATACAACCAAGTATACTATGTTGGCGCGAGGACATCTTGCTTGATTGGAATAGTTCCGGATATTTTAATTTATTGATAAGTTTGATTGATTGATTCAGGGATGATCGCGAGAGGTGGTACTTGGGCCGTGGCGATAGTTGTGGAATCCTTCCAACCCATTGGAGTCCAAAGAACTCATTCAAGGCCTGGAGTTGATCCCTGCCATGATCCCTTTGCATATTGATATCTTCCAATATCCACCTCTGTTTGAGATGCTAAAGTGATTGAGTCATTGATTGATTGAGTGAGAAGAAGATGTGGCGCCAAAGTCTAAAGAATCAAAATTGAAGTTGAATCACAGAGTGAAGATATAAAGATAAAGATACATATAAAGTGATGATATCTAGAAAGCCAACAAGGATTGAGTTGAACATCGAAGACATCGATGAGTATGAACAATTGAAGAGAGAACAAGATGTTGCTTTGTCAACATCATCAACAGCTACATCATCATCATCGGAAATGAACATGAACAACACTACAGGCAACAAACAGTATCCACTTGCTGATCACATTGGTGTCACAAAGAAGCAACCATCGACTGCACAACGTATTGGATTCAATTAATCAATCAAACATGTACATCATCATTCAATCAACGCGACCGAGCTTATAATAAAGATGGCATCAACGCCAACCAACTGCACAGCTGTGTAGTGTATGCACAGACAGATACAGACAAGACAGATGTACCATCTAGATGTTATACCTCCTCTAACTATATAGGTTAGTAGAGATACTTTGATTTATTCTCCTCTAGCAACTTGGCAGAGGTCTTGGCATCGTTGAATAGGGTGCTGACCTCTTCAATGTCATCCTTGATGATTGATGGGCGACCATTCGTCCTGGACAGAATGGCCGATGGCGTCAACAGTTGGATGGCGTAGCGCAGCGATGACTTGTCGCCAATCTCTGCCAGGTACTGAAGTGCGTCGTCCTCAATCTTGTGTCCCTCGACCGTGGCCCTAATCGTAAGTATCTGTACAATCTCGTTGAAGGAGTAGGGCAGCGTGCGGATGATCATCAGACGGTCTAGCAAGTCGACGGGGATGCCGTGTGGCGAGGCAATGTCCGTACCCTTGATCTCGCAGTTGCCGCGGTTCGTGGCAAAGATGACGATGGGCGCCAGCGTCGACTCGAGCGCCTTGTTCAAGTATGAGAAACACTCAATGTCCAGCATGTGCACCTCGTCGATGAACAGCACGCCCGGCACCAGCTCGGCCACGCCCTGCTCGATGTACCTGTTGACGATCTTGTTGATCTCCAGACGCAGCTTCTCTGTGATCTCTGTCTTCTTGGGCTTCATCATCTGGCCCATCATCGACATGATGTCCTGGCCACCCTGTGGCTTGGCGTTGGCCAAGTCGAGGTCGTGCAGCGTGACGTCCTGGATGATCTCCTTCTTCTTGAGCACCTCGCCCTTGGGCAGGGGCACGTACTCCTCGGCCTCGAGGTCGTGCTCCGTGGCGTAAAAGTCGGAGCGACCCACGCGCTTGACTGAGCCGCTGTTGGCCTCGATGTAGATGACGTCGCCCAGTGTGATCTTCTCCTTCTGAATCGATTCGTAGATGGTTGGGTCGAGTTTGAGCTGCTTGGTGCCCTTGGTCGTCTTGAGTCCAATGATGACGCTGGCGATCGTCTTGCCATAGCCGCCCAGCGGGTTGTCTGTCTCCTCGGGCGTGATCTCGGTGACCTCGCCCTCGTACACCTCCTTGGTCTCCTTGACGCGCAGACCGATCGAGCGACGGAAGTTCTCCATCAAGATCTCGGTCTTCTTGACCTCGGATGAGTAGACCTCCGAGCCGACCATTGGGCAGAAGGGCACCTTGCTGCCGAGGTCGTGTGCGATCGCCAGTGCCAGCGCAGTCTTGCCCGTGCCGGGTGGACCGGCCAGCAACAGTGCCTTGCCGGCCATCTTCTTTGAGCGAATGAGCTCGGCAACGATGCCTGATGCTTCACGTGCGCGTGCTTGGCCAACGAGACCGTCGCCAATTGTGTTTGCTGTGCCGTCCTGTGCCAATCCAAGACCCTTGATGTGACTGTGTGTTGCGACTCTCTGTGACTTTACCGAAGACTTGATCTCATCTATCTTTGTAGCGCTACCGCCTCCCTCTGCACCTGGTGCAGATGATGTATTATTATTGTTGTTATTGTTTGAAGTTGAGGTTGTAGATGTAGTTGTGGTTGTAGTTGTGGTTGGTGTTGATGATGATCCATTTGCTGAATCAGCCATCTCTGTATCACTTGTCGATGTTGTAGTTGTCATTATTATTATTATTGTCTTTTTAAATTCAAGTGATACGTATTTGTATTTGTATCTGTATTCAATTTAACTTTTAAAACAAAGAATGACTTTGTGTTTGTTCAACTCGTCGTTTTTAGCACCAAAACTCACAAAAATGATCATTTTTATTCATTCATTCATTCATTCATTTATTCATTCATTCATTCATTGTGAACAATAAATTATTTGATTTATTGATTGATTGAATATGTCATTGAAGATCATATATAGATATGTATTTATTAACTCAATCACATATTCGCAATCTTATCCTCTCACTCATCACCCCTACCTTTCATTCAATCAAGTGATTGGAATTGTCCTTCATTACAACTTTATTTTTTCCTTTACCCTTACCCTACCCTCAACCCTTGCCCTTGCCCTCACTATCAAGTTTGACTTTGACTCACAACCACACTCTTTTGATTTTTGATTTTTTTTTAATTAGTTTTGTGATGATCACAAAAGAAACCTGATGGGTGCCTCCTCATCAAGTTCACTTACTTGCATGACTCTGACAGACATTCAATCAATCATCCTCAACCAACCAACCAAATTTATATATTATACATATATATTAAATTATTATATATATAATAAATATACACACATTAGGATGCAGCAGCAGAAGCAACAGCAGCATTTGAAGTTGGCTGTGGCCATCGTCACCATGTTGGCCTTTGCCTCATCAGTGGCATTGGCAGCACCAACTACACGGTCATGGCTCAACGAGGACGTCGTGCGTACAATTGACCTGACCACACAACTTGCCAAACAAAGCGTTACAATCAAGGCCAAGAACATTGGCGATGCCCCCTCCTCCACCTACACCTTTGCACTCCTCTCCTCTGTGCACGCCAGCATCCAAGCCTTCATCGAGGGCGAAGAGTCCTCCCCACTCTCCGTCTCACTCAACTCACAAAGAACACATCAAAAGCTCCAGTATGTACATCTGATTGATCAATGGATGAGGGCTGGAATCATTCCACTCCCCACCCTCTCACTCACTCACTCACTCACCCATCAATCAATCAATCCTATCAATCAATCCAATCAATCAAATATATGATATAGGTTCGACATGTACAATGTACAGCTTGACAAGCCAATCAAGGCAGGCAGCACAGTGAACTTGAAGTTGAGGATCGTGTCGATGGGTCAGATGACTCCATACCCAACTCACATCGCTCAGGCAGAGTCGCAGTTGGTGATGTACAAGGACAACCATTACTTCAGCTCGCCATACGACACACAGACACAGAAGACGACACTGAAGCTGGCGAGCGCCAAGGTCGAGGACCACTCGTCGCTCTCACCCTCCATTCTCAAGGGCAGCAGCCTGGTCTACGGCCCATACAAGGACGTCCGTCCGCTGGCCTTCTCGGCACTGCACGTGCACTTTGAGAACAACGCTTCGTTCCTGATGCTGGCCAACCTGGTGAAGGAGTACGAGGTCAGCCACTGGGGCAACGTCGCCGTCGAGACCACCTACAACTTTGAGCACCGCGGTGCCGCCCTCAAGGGCCCATTCTCGCGTCTGGACTACCAGCGTAACCAGGCCGCGTCGCCCTCCCACGTCGCCGAGATCGTCGAGCAGGTTCCCAAGACCGCCGCCGACTTCTACTACCGCGACTACATTGGCAACATCTCCACGTCGCAGTACACTCACGCCGCCTCGCACCTCAACTTCAAGATCACACCCCGTTTCCCCCTGTTTGGCGGTTGGAAGATCGAGTTCTACACGGGCTTCAACGTGCCCTCGTCCAGCCTGCTGTTCACCGACTCTGACACTGGCCGCTACGTCCTGAACGCCACATTTGGCGTTGCCATCGCTGATGTATGGGCTGAGCGCCACGAGATGCGCGTCGTCCTGCCCGAGGGCTCCACCGACATCCAGATCGTCGCACCCTTCAAGTTTGAGCTGTCACACGACGTGCGCAAGACCTTCTTTGACACTGTTGGCCGTCCCGTCATCGTGCTCATTGCCGATCACACATCGTTCGAGCACACCCAGACACTGCAGATCTCCTACTCAGTCACGCCACTGTCCTGGTTGCACGAGCCCCTGTTGGCCATGGGCGCCGTCATGGTGCTCTGCCTGTCATTCATGGTGCTCTCGCGTCTCGACCTCTCGCTGATCCGCAAGGGACCAAAGATTGAGCGCAGCCCCCAGGTCGAGAAGCTGGCACAGCAGTTCTTTGCCGCCTTCGAGTCGCGTCTCCAGTACCACATTGACTGGGAGGAGGCCCTCGCCAACCTGGCCCGCCACAGCACCATCCAGAAGTACCTCACATCCAAGGCCGAGATTGACGCCCGCTACAAGGACACAGCCGCCGTCAACAAGGTGCTCGAGTCGATCTCTACCGAGGACCAGGTGTTCTCTGCCCGTCTCAAGGAGCTCAACAGCCAGGAGAACCAGCTGTCACAGATCCAGAATCAGTTGTTCGAGGCTGAGAAGAGAAGAAACACCACCAAGGACCTCAGCAAGAAGGAGTACGAGGAGATCAAGTCAAAGTACTTGGACAACTACAGAAAGGCCTATGACAGTGTCAGAGCTAGCTTTGACCAAATCTTGGCTTAAATTGGAAATCGCGACCATCATCCCAACAACAACATAATTCAATCGTACAATCATTCAATCAAAAAATCAATCAAACATAATATATCCCAACCAGCATCAACCATCCATCCAATCATCAACCTGTATCTTAGTCGGTTGCGCATCACATCCATTAAAATAGACCCCTGATTGATCCAATTCGCTTGCTCATTCAATCATCCCATGCTTATACGTCACAGTGGACATTGATCATGTTAGGTGGTATAATAATTTGATAGTAATCTTTTTATTGGTATGGATTAGTTGTTTGAGTCTTAAGCATTGTATGGTAAATGAATTGTGACGGATATGTGTGCAGGACAGGGTCATGGAGACTCCAAGGACTTGAGAAGAACTGCAATGTCACTATTATATCTCCACGCAGAGTAACTGTCTGGGAGGCCAGGATAATCATCCATTTTGAATCCAAGGTGTCGCCAAAAGGCCACGGCTTCGGTATCTTGCTTGAGTACCTCACACTCAATCAAGACCCCATTCCTTCTTCCTTCCAAATAGGAGGCGATAATATCAATAAGAAATGATCCAAGACCAATGTTGGCACTAGTTTCTTTGACCAAGAAAAATGGGATGTACGCATAACTTGTTTCCACTGGGATATTTCGACCTTGGAAATACTTCCTCTTACTGAAGATAAACAACACGACTAACAGGTTGGCTCGCAGATCGATTAGTGAATCCACTACTAGTCACTGACTGACTGACAGGTTGGCTCGCGGATCGATTAGTGTATCCACTGCTGTTGCTGGGCACTGAATGACTGATTGGTTGGCTCGATGATCCACCGCTGCGATCATTACCAAGCGAGTGTGTGCTGGTGCTGCCACCATTGTCACTGCTACTACTACTGCTGCTGTTGATTGTTACACCGTGCCACTTCTTTAACTCCTTCATCATTCCACGTTTGCTATCAAGTTTAAAATGATGTTCCATGTCTTGGAGTTGGCATCTTTAGGATATAACATAGTATTAACTTTATAGATATTATAAGTCTAAATGTATGTAAATGTATGTATGTATTATATGTATGTATATGTATATGTATATGTATGTAAGTATGATAGTTATGATAATATTATCGAATAAACACCTTTCTTGTACTTGTTCTTCACAATGGAGAATGGGTACTATGGTGGGGGTCAGCAACAACATGAACTGTCTTCCCATTTATTACCTTAAGAGGAAAAAACTTTGTCGACCAAAAATGGATGCGCCCTACCCCCACCACCTAGTTGTGAGTGTGTTGGGGTCACCTATCACCATCAGTCCTGCAGACATCGCTGAAGTGTTCCCATTAACCAGTTCATCCTCGATCGAACCCGAGTCTGATGTAGAAGTTGACGACGACGACCAAGATGACCAGCCCAAGCTCATGGACATCAATAAGCTTCCCTCAGAGTTGAGAAGGTTTCTTGCTCCATCCTCGCATCCCTAGCAGTGTCAACACTCTGTCGTGGTGGGCCGTCAACTCTGTTACCTTTCCCCTAATTTCAAAGATAGCTCGTGACTATCTTGGTGCGCAAGGTGCCACGACTTTCCTCGAGACTTCGTTCTCAGACCTGAACGACATTATCACACCCAATACTGCCAGTCTCTCGGACTCCAGTGAGACCATCAAGTTCGTCACCAAATACTATATGAACTATATTAACAATCGTAAATAAATCTTCAAGTCAATCGAATGAATCGAATATAAATAGAATGAATATGAACAACTGTTAACTTGTCAAATGATTATTTGTATTCATAACTCGTCGACAGTTATTCACCAATAATCGGGTCGGTTGGTCATCGTCCCAAAAATTAACTATATCCGATGAATAGGAGCCCTGTTCTGGAGCAACATACTTTGGCTTTGCAGGTTCTTTTGGAGGTGGCAGAGCGTATGGCCCGATCAGAGGATAAGACTTGATCATTGGGACAGAAGAGTCTCTCAATGGCATTTTGTTGGGATCGCCAGGAGAAACTTGAGGACTAGCCGGTTGTTGTAAAGAAGCAATAAATTCATCCAATAAATTAATCTTGCCATCCTTGATCCTTGTGTACGTTTTAAATTCAATTCCACGTTTGGTCATGTCATCCTGGATGGCCACCCAACTGAGATCATTGTTTACAGTAGCGTAGAATATTATCACCTAGGTGTTCTTGCCTGCACACTCATCAATTATCTTCTTGATGGTTACAGTTTTACCACTGTTCTTTGGCGCACATATCATAATGTTGGCATTGACCTGGTTGAATAGTTTGGATCCTTTAATGTTCTTTGGTTGTTTAGGTAGTTTGATTGGCTCTACCTCTACGTCATTTATTGTTTGTAGCTTGATCATCTATATTATTTAGGTGATACTATTGTTGTCCCCCATACTTGACAAACTCTAAAGCAATTGTAACAGCAACCGCCTCTTTAACTCGACCTCCTTTCTCATTTACACACTCAAAATAATAATTTCCTTGAATGTATCTTCCTGCTTTCTTCAAGAACTTGTAGTTAGGGGAAAGGAAACATATCTGCTCAGTGCTACAACACATAATGTTGTCAGGAATTAAATTTGATCGTACCTGAATAAGATTGGTGGTATCACCTCTGTACATAACTTCATATGACTTGACAATTATTTGGTCTGGAACGAAATCAACATTTATTGGTACAGAAATTCTTTTGTCAACAGGAGGGTCCTCTCCATCAGCTGGAAAAACAAGATTGATAAACACTGTCTTTATGCACATTTCTTTTGAGTATCCCATTTATATTAACTACCAGAGATTTAATTGGAGATTGCTCCAATTAAATCAGGCTTCGCGAGATTATTTACACCAAAACAAGGCCATTAGGTGTGATGACCAGCTTACGTTTGCACACCACAGTTGAGTGATGTGTCAAGTTGGTATTTTCGCTGAGGAAACCAATGAAATCCCATTTCTGCTCACCAAGGTTGAGATCAATACCAGTGATAGCGTTGTCCTTGTTGAAGTTGGAGGTGCCGTCGCCAAACTCCTCAATCCAGCACCAGTTCCTGTTGTGGATTCTTGGTGTCAATAGTGACGAGTCTTTGAGGATCCATCGCAGTGCCATGTAATCGTCGTTAAGGTTCAAATAATAATCATATTGCATTAACCTGTTATTGTTGATATTTGTGTAAAAGTGATCCAACTTGGTGTTTCTCCAGTTATTGTTGTAAATGGCTGTATTAGCTGCAGTTTGTGTTAGGAAAAGACTGTGATAGATCCTCTCCAACGTCATACCATTTTGTCGATTGACTCTGAGAGTCACCGATTGGTTCTGTCCAGTGAGCGCTGCTTGGTAAGAGTACGAGTAAGGTATCATCAAAGAGAATCCATCTGGACTGAAAATCTTGGTCTGGAGCTCATTGACAATCGCGAGGTTCTTTTCCACTGCCAGATAAATCGCCATGTTTGTGACATTAAATGCTGCCGGTGCGGGCAATGCAACTGGATTGGTTGTTGGGTTTGGTGATGGGGGTGGTTGAATTGCTGGTGATGGATCTGGGAGTGCTGCAGGTGGATCAGCAGCGAATGCGATATTAGCGAGCTCTGACCAAACGAATCTTACCAATAATGTCTCGTTCAACATGATGTCTTTGTCAACACAGAGAATTGATTCATAGAGTTCATTGAAGGGATTGTTACAACAACATTGGTCTCTCCGCCAGCGCCATCTCCAGCAAGTAAATACCTAGGCTCCACATAAGGGACTGCTGCTTCCTCTCCAGTGTAGTTGGGGTTGTAAACCAATCCAGCAGCGTATGAGTTTGGTAGTTTGGATGAAAGACATGGGATCATATATTGATCGCTCGTCATTCTAAATGATGCGAATGTGTTTTCTGTCTCGACCAATGGTTTATTCCTCACTGTCACCATCTTGGCGTGGAGATGGAAGTTGGTATGATTCATCAAATCCAAACCACCTCCTGTATACACCTGGATCTGTCTGAAGAATGGACAAAAGTCAGCAAACATCATTGTCTGTTTGTTTGCCACGCCAGGCAGATTGAATATGAACCTAAAGTATGATCTTGACAAGTTGTATGCCTTGGACGGTGGGATCTCAAAGATTGTGTCATTGCCACCAGAGTAAACAGTTGTTGATGTTGTGCCTGACTGTGGGAACAGCCTCGTATATTAATACTCAGGTTCGGCAACGAGCAGGGGCGTGTAATCTAATTCCTTTGAAACGACGTTCTATCTATTATATATTGTAACGATCGATTATATTTCGCTGCTAATCTGGATGGTCTCATGCTCCTTGACCAACAAATAATTAATATATCCTCGTGTCAGCTCGTAGATGTCGTTGCGCCTGTACAATATCAACGTCAAGTTCATATCGACGCCATTCAAGAAGATCTCGACTCCATCCTTGTCTGTTAAATATATGTAGAACGTCTTTTTAGTCTTTGACACCAACTGCTTAGAGTATGCCTCCAAGTTGTGATTGGTCCAGTTTACATACGCAAAGTCAGGGACGCCAGCTGTGCAAACCTCTTGCAGGACATCATCTGATCCATTGCTGCATAGGTCCGAGTGGATGTACAATATGTTCTCGATCTGCAAGTCGATCACGTTGGTGCTAGTGAGCTCGCCGCCATCAAAGCGATTGATGCTGTCCTGATTGAAGCCTAGGTGATGGAATAGGTCAGCATCATTAAATATGAGCGACACGTCCATCTTTGTGTCTGATACGATGAATGTGTATTTACCAGTATTAGGTTGTTTGGATGTTGGCCATGTGATCGAGTAGGTCAACTTGTTGGGTGATTGATCTGTTAATATTGTCTGCAGCGTGTCTTGGAGCGAGAGCCTCGAGTAGTTGCCATCAGGTATTGTTATGAGCACCTCATCATCGCCTTCTCTAAGTGTAGTTGTATTTCTATTCCTTGGCACAGTGTAAAATGACTTGGGGATCCATGCTTGCAAGATGGCAACGCGATCGAACTCATCGTGTTCATAATTCTCGATCGCATAAGTGAAGTGAATTCACATAAAAGATCCTCTTGTGGGTGATCAGACTCATTTTTGATATTTATTGTAATACAACTATATTAATAATGCCACAAACAAAGAAAGGTTACGCAGGATCARCAGCCAACTTGGCCAAGTGGAGAGAACAACAGAGAGCATTGAAAGAACAACAACAATCACAATATGTATTGTATGACTCTGATGATGAACCAGAGGAGGAACAACAACCAATTGTCGAGGCAGCATCTAAACCAATAGTGATCGAGACAGACAAGCCCAAGACTGTACGTAAGCCACGAGTCAATAAGACAGATGAGTTGGATAAGAAATTCGATCAGCTGATGCAGCAGCTCTCTAACCTAACCAACAACATGCAGAAGACCAAGGCAGAGCCCGAAGTTCCGATCCCACCCAGCAGCTCCAATTGTCCAACAGCAACAGCAGCAGCAACAACAACAACAGTTCGTACGTCCAATGCATCCTCTGTCAGCGATCCTCAAACACAAGCTATTGACTAAATTCTAACGATCATATATATGTATCATGGTTAGACATCAAGTCCATCTAGAGATCAACGAGACCAAAGGCAAGAAGCTCAGAGTCAAGATAAAGARGATCAGACCAGCGCGGTTGCGACGTGATAAGAATGGTAGGTACATCAGGAGGAAGCAGAAGAAGGTGTACATCAACTCTCGCAAGTCAGACTTGGAGTTGATCAAGAAGCTGATACGAGAGGCGACAACCGCCCCACCGAGGAGTATGCTAACAGGACTCCAACTACAGGGAAGCGCTGCTCAAGAATGCGAGAGACTTGGAGCAACAGACAAGAGCAAAGGTTGACGCGCTCATCAAGGATCACGAGCGACCAGCACTCCCAGCACCAGCGCTACTCCCACAACTCATGGAACCGCCCCAGCTTGAGGAGATCGACGAGGGTGTGGCGAGACTGCCCCGCGAGGAGGTTGAGGGAGTGGCAGTGAACGACGAGGCGCCTGAGCACAACAACTACGACCGACTGATCGAGAAGCAGAACGCAACTCATGGCCTCGTCGAGCAGACCCACGCCAGCATACAGGACATCAAACATTCGTTGAACAAACGGTTTGATGAGGATATGGACCGATTCCATAGGCAAGCAGTTAACGAGGGCAAAAGGTACCAACAAGAGAAGGAGAGAGTGCAGGTTCAGCATGACCAGACTAATTTATTACGCCAACTTCGCGGATTGCTGACAGAGGAAGAGCAACTAGAGAATGACTCGTCGTCAGAGGGCAATGAACAACGGCAACATGTGTTGGCAATGATCGAAGTAGCCAAGCGGAAATTGGAGGATGCCCAAACAAAGAAGGTGCTGGATAAGACTATCAATGAGCAGATACATGAGCGCGAGATGGATGAGATAGAAACCAACAAACAGAAAGCGATAAAGGAGATGGCAACATTGCATTCTATCGTGTCAGAGCAGCCCAAGCAACCACAACCATCACGACTCAGGAAGCCCATGCCCAGCACCATGCCCAAGGTAAAGTCAGAGCCTATTGACGAGCCGTCTCCTTACAGTACGCCTCCACATCCAACAACATCAACTACGACGACAACAGCATCGACAACGTCAACAGCAGTCAACAACAACAATAACAATAACAACAACAGGAGAGTCTCGATCACATCCTCCAGTCTCAAGGCAACGAAGGCGATACCAGCAGAGTTGACACCCAAGGTCATGGTATCAGTGCAGCACTACTTGGACACAGGATACCCAATCAATAACCTCAACTATGACCTAGGGAAGGACTTGAAGAACGTGCCCTATGAGGAGAGAAATAAACTCAAGAGAGAACTGATATCAGAAGCAGGAACGATGGCGAGACTACAGGCAATGGATTCTCTCAAACCAATCCCAACGTCACTGGCACCTCAAGTGTTGGAGTTTGTCAAGCAATACTACGACAGCGACATCGCCTCACAACAGCTGTACAATGAGTTAAAGAAGGTGTTCAAGGGCCACAGAGAAAGACAGAATTGGACTCTATTTATAATGAAGTCAAAGGCATGAGGAAGGGCAGCGGGCGCAAGGATGGTGGATTGTATGACTATGAGATCGTACAGCTGAT